AGTAAATAAAGGGACAAAGACACTATGAACAACAAAAGAATAGCTACAAAGCCTATAAAAAGTCGTCTTCTAAACATCTAACTAATATATCACTTGTTTCTAAATTCCGTATGCAGTCTCTACCTCCTCAAGAACAGAAGAACAAATGACAGAAATTTTGAATTTCGAAGAACTGCGGCAGTTTAAGAAGCAACATAACACTCATTTCGACGGTAGACATGTTTTACGTTCTTTACTAGATCGACTTTTTTTGATGGATATAAGAAATGATAAACATAGCATTTGATATATAGCGCAACACTTCATTGTCCCTTTGAACTTTTATAAAAACTTTGACAATATCAAACTAGTTCGTGCTCTTCCATCCATTTGGATGAGCTTTGCTTCGTTCTCTATTGCAAAAGGTCTCGTCAGTTTTTCTAAATGTGGTGAGTGAATACAAGATTTTCTGCATAGTACAGTGATAGACACACGTCATCTTGGCCATGATACAGTCTCGCTTGAACGAGGTGTTGAAAAATTAGCTTTTCAAATGAACTTTTAGAAGAAAAATCGAGAAGCGAAGAAAATATTGTACACCGCCGTAAATAAGGTTTCTACTTTCCTACAGCTACAAAATATTATCAGAGACAACATAAACTCTGTACCAGGCTGTTCCTGAACTTTAAATGAATAATTGAGCAGAAAATAGCGTTCCTCGAGAGTGAAAAAGAATCACACTATCTACTACTACTTTCTATTTTTCAAAACTCTGATATACTTGCCTAGATGTACAAAAAATCTGTAGACTAGTATGTCCAGAAACTTGTCTATTACAAAGTTCTTGGCATGTTCATAATTATATCTATTTTAGGGGATCAAAATTTCTGGAAAGATTGGAGATTTGTTTCGGCACCCTCAGGATCGTTTCGGATATTTCTACGTTCTGCCTTCCCCTTTGAATTGTTGTTGTACGATCTTCGTCGTCCCGTAAGAAGAAGGGTTTGTAAGAAGAGTTGTAGACAAGTGAGCCACAAAAATAATTCCTGCTTCAATATGAGTGGTTTTTCAATGGAACTCCTGAGTAATGAAACTGTTAGAGAGTGGTTAATGTGTAGGAGTGAACCCACTCTCTCTTCCAGTATTGTTGAAACAGCTTTTCCCTTGAGAGCTTATTTGCAGTTCGACTCTTTTTCTGTAACCTCTGACTTCTTGGTGAAGCCTTTAGGGGTTGTGAATGGCATTTTACTGGGCTATGTACGTATTCTTATATCGTACTTTGGAAGCGTAACTCTGAAAATTTGTAAAAGGTGTTGGGAGACCCCTATTCCTTTGCTCTTTCCCAAAACTGGGGACCAATGGTACACCCAGCAAGTAGAAGATTTGTGCTTAACCTGGAGACGCAAGAATTTCTGGAGGTATTTTTTTGAATTGTTGATTTGGTTTTCTGTCACTCTGACTTTCTTTAAAGTTTCACTGGTATTTACATAACAATACACTTCTTGCAAATTGGATGAAGGTAAGAAATAAGTAGGCCAACCGTCATAGCTTCTCATGGCAATTTTCAGTTTCCAACAGGAAAACATCGACTTCGATATTTCGTCTTGTATGAAGCTCCTCCTCCTGGGAAGATCCCTTATAAACTTCTTTCCAGTGTAGAGCTAGTCCTTCAAAGAACCGAAAGTGGAAAACAACAACCGCTTTCTGCCTCGGACGATCTCTTTACTCTGCTGCCTCCTGTGGAACAAAGTCTTCAAAGTATTCCTTCAGCTTTGGAGTTTGCTACCTTATTGCTTGGAACGTTTTCTGGGACGTTTCGTTGGACGCAGTATAATCCAGAAAACTTAACAGTTACCGAAGATGAATTATATGCTTACTCTGTCACTGTTTGCACGAGAACCCATGCAGAAGATCTTCGTTTTCGAGAGCTCCGTCGATTGTGTTATCCTAGCTTACAAATGGATAAAGCTGTATTAGATCCTTATGATAAGAAGAGATGTTTGGATTCGAATGAGAACACTGTGAATTCTCCCTTGCTGTGCAATTCTTTTCAAGCAAAGCCAACTCATGTGACTAGTTTTGTCAATGGAAACGTTGTACCCTCGTTTAACAGTGTCATTTCAACAGATCTCAATTCTAGTGGAAACGGACAAAGTAGTCCATCAGCATCGGAGAATTGTCAACCAAGAAGACCTTTGCTCTCTACGGAAAGTGTCAGCGACGAATATCGAAGTACCTACAAGAGGGGAAGATCAGTTATGGAGAATTCGGGTTTGCTTTGGACGCATTCTTGGAATTTTGCCCCTCAGGAATATTTTGAGTCATATTCATCGAACACAAGTTCAACGGATAACTTTTACTCGGAAGACAAAGGTGATATGGAGAGTTTTGAAGCTTACGATGGTTGTGACTGTTTTTATGGAAATGATTTTTTCGATGTTGTTAAGGGTCAGGTATGGGATTACACGTGGTTCTGCTTTATGCCACTTTAAAAACCTTTTTAGGTTTCTGAGTATCTTCATGACTCATCAAATTGGACAGAGTTTTCAAGTATCTCGTCAGTAGCTTCAGATTTTTACATGAGACGGACACTTAGTGGCATTAATCTATCAGAGTATTTGTCAAGTGAAAATGAGATTCTGACAAATGTTGAGCTTCCTTCTTTCGGCTCTGCCTGGGACTCAGCAGTTGATAGTCTGCCTCATGACACAGAGAATGATATTGCTACAGTATTTCTGACTGATGGGGATTGGAATTTTGCATCTGAGGCATAGGCTCAATCTGCAGTTGAAACTATTTGGGCAGTTTGACATTTTATGTCTCAAAGTGTTAATTACTCATATAAACGAAAACGAGTGAATTGTATACAAAGCGCTAAAGTTGTTTCAAAAATATGGCGATCACTGTGATATTATCCTTACTGCCTTTCTCAATTGCCTCGGTTACGAGACGTTTCGTTACCAAATCTCCCTTTGACACGGTCTTTCTCATAATATGAGTTACATCTTCTGGACTTAGTACATCCCACAATCCATCTGTTGCTAAAATAATCCAATCATAGAAAATCCAATCGGCCTTATCTATTCTAGTCAATTCGGGTTCACTCGTTAAAAATTGCTTCAAATGAGAGTCTCCAAAAGCTCTCGTTAAGGACACTTGGCCTTCAATTCTGTAAAAAGTCTCGTTAGAAATTGTAATTGGAATCACTGTGCCACCTTTTAGCTCTATTCGAGTTTTTTCATCATCACATAAATGGATTGAATGTTGTCTATTCAATATAAAAGGAGCAACAGAACTGCTTCCCAAAACTGCTAGACTGTCTCCAGCATTTGCAACAAATAATACGCCATTCGGAGCAAAATATAATACCAGAGCTGTGCTTCCAGTTGCATATGACTTTTGTGATACAATAAATCTATCATCAAGTTGCTGAAATGTACATTTCAAGGCATCCTCGGGAGTAACTCCTTTGTCAAGAAAAGAAGAAAGAGTATCTGCAAAATATTGTTTCAAAAACTAAAGATTAACAACATAGAAACCATAGAAGTCAACCAAAACTTACTTGTGCACATTCATCTCCGCCATGACCATCAAAAACTGCCAAAAGATGTTCCCCAGATGAACGGAACGGACTCAAAATACAATATCTATCTTCCATTCTATCTTCTCCTCGAAGTCCCGGAACAGCACAAACACCAATGGAAGAATAAGAATAGCAACTTTCACAAAACTTTAAGTTCGACTCCAATAGAACGGTTGATTTGTTTTTATCGGTTCGCTCAGATGAATTCGTCTCTATTATCTCTCCGTCTTCTGGAGTCCTGTATACCATACAAGAACTATCTAAACGCCCTACAATATCTTTTAGGTTGAATAACAGTTTTGATGCACATGGTCGTTCACTAGGATCTGCAGACCAACATCGTTGTATCAACTCGCGCAACTCAAAAGGAATTTCGACTGATGATGCAAGCACAGGTCTTAGGCCTTCAACTACTATGGCTCTTTTCAACTTGGATTCATTGAATCTTGTCTCTAATATTGTTTGAACTTGAGGGATTTCCATTCTTCTATCCACATAAGGTATCACACCAGTTAATATCTCATTCATTACTACTCCCAGTGAATACACATCACAGGCAGAAGAATGTCGCTTATTCTCTAATATCTCTGGAGCTAAATAAATAAGAGTCCCTACTTGATGTTTAAGACGTCCAGCTGAAGGTCTATACTCCGAAGCCAAAGATAACAACTCCACGTCATTCTTTCTTTCCTCCATCAACAAGTCCAAATCTGAAATAAAAACATTTAAGTTTGTGTCAAGTAAAACATTCTCTGACTTGATATCCCGATGTACAAGGTTTTTCGAGTGTAAATAAACAACCGCTTCTACCAACTGTATGATTATTTGCAACTTTTCTGTAAGAGCCAACCAAACATTTTGTTCATGAATAAACTCAAATAACGTCCCTCTTTGCATATATGGAGAAACTGTGCAATAGTTGGGAGCCTCGTTACACGCTGCAACGAGTGGCAAAACACGAGGGTGACACAGTTGCCTTCTCACGCTAACTTCCCACTCAAACCTCCTTAAAGACTCCAAGGAACGAATACGCGGCTTCCTTATGGCAACTTCTTGACCGTCCAAACTGCCAAGAAATACTGTTGCGCTGCTCCCTTGTGCTAAATGTCTTTTAAAAGTTAGGTCAGTTGACTTTATCCATCGCATGATTCTGGAAGTTCTAAAATTGCAATTAGAAAAATTTTGTTTTGGAATTGATTTACTACGACGACTTTTCAGAACTGGTTGTAGTCCAAGGATATATTGGTTCATAGTATTTCAACGTATATCAAAAGTTCCGAATGTGAGTTTGTCGCATGGTTTGAAAACTTGAAGTGTTCAGTATAGGTGTGGCAATCCTCGAGTAATTTTTAAATTTTTTTCTTCAGGAAGAGAATTATTAAAGAATATGAAAGTTACCAAGCTATTAGAACTGAAGAGTTTGGCAGCCAGACATCAACAAACGTTTGCACCGTTCTTAATAAGCAGAAGGCAACAAGCTACCCCTTTTCGGCAAAACTATCAGTTGTTTCCGAAACTTGTTCACGCATCTTTTGTGTTATATGTAGTCTCAAAGGTTTAGGGAAACAGAATACTTGAGTTGAAAATACTTGTTGAAATTCCCCCTTTCAAAGTTTGTTCGTTGAAAGTTCTTCTCTATCTGTGACACAAGCCACTTATTCAAGAGAGTTATCAGAGATATCGTGACAAGGAGCTGCCAAGACGTTGGTGTATCTTAATGGAGACATGTTTACTTGTCAGTTTTCTTTTCCAATTTTAACTTCAAAGCGTAATTGCTCTGCTGTAACCAGTGGCCTTTGTGAAATTACACAACAGTCATGTATCTGACTTTTCAGCAGGAATTACTTATGTATGAGTTATTCCAGGTAACTAGATGTTAGTCCTTACGAAAAGAATCCTGAAGACTTCCAGAGTTCTTCAGTTGAAAAGTTGTACAAAGAATTTCTCGAAATCCCGCCATAACGCTTTCAGGAAACTATTTATATTTTCTCTTGTGGATAAATACGTTGCACAAGAAAGGCTTGTTAGAGTACTTGAGGAAGATTGAGTCGGTTACTCTTCCAACGGGGACCACTAAGCATTCTTCTGGGAAAGAATGATACGAGACTTTCGTCAATGATCCCGAGCTTAAGTTGGTTTTTTTAATAAAGTGACAACTGTTGTACATAATATGTTTCTCAAACCTTTTAAGACATAGAAAAGAGCCACTTCATGTCATTCTCGTTAGTCGTTTGGAAAGGCGACGAGAATATCGTTCCTTGTTGCACTAGCCTCCAATTTCGGTCGTATCACTTATTCTTAGTGTGCGCTTCTTGGGAATAGACTACTTTGTTCATTCGAGAGAGAAGAAGCATACTATCGATGAAAAGGTGTATCTCTCGAGGAGAACAAGAACTTGGCTTTCAGCCAGATCCAACTAACTTGAGAACCTGAACAGTTTCCATGAATCGTGTTACTTGTCGTTTGTCTTTGTTAAATGAAGCAATCGATGACTATAGAGAAAGACAACTTTGAAGGAAATCACTTTGGATTTAGACTTGCACTCCACATAAAGAGAATTGAATATTTCATCTCTTCGGTGTTTATATCTTTCTTAGCATTCCTACCAATTCTTCTTCTTTGTCCATTGCCTTTTGGGACATTTTGATCAAAAGGACAGAGTCCGTGTTATTTGTAGCAATGTTTTTTATAAGTAGTTTATTTCACTGGAAGAGAAGAGAAGAGTCTTCTTGTGTCACACTGGCAAAAGACACTCGTTCATACAATACGTGCTTTGTAGTTTTGAGGTTTACTAAGAAAAATTGTCTTTCACAAACAAATACAGTTCGACCAACGTTTAGAACTTCCTTCAAAGCTTTTCTTCGTGAGACGTTGAAGTGTCAGAATACCGACAAAAATTCTCGCCAGTTTTTGGTAGAAACAAGCTTTGAGCAGTTTTCTTCGTTAGCAAAAGAAGCAAATCTGGTTCCAGTGTTCACTAGGTTGTTCTCAGATCATCTAACTCCAGTTAGTGCGTTTCGTTGCTTTATAAGCGAACAAGAAACACAAGTTCCTTGTTTTTTATTGGAATCTGTCACAGGTGGTGAGAACGTGGGTCGATTTTCCTTTTTAGGACTCCAGCCCAGGTTTCTCTTTTTAGCAAAACAGCACGAAATACAATATATAGAATATTCCTCTTCAGGAACCTCAAAAAGAACCGTAGTAGATGAGAGACGTTATAGTGCAGAGGATCCAACTTTGGAGTTGAGGAAGATTGCACAAAAGATATCGACAGCTTCCGATGAGCAACTGCCTTTGGAAAGTGCTTTGAGTGGTGGTTGGGTCGGTTATTTTTCATATGATACGATGAGGTATACTTCTCCCAAAAAACTTCCCTTCTCTTCTGCTCCTAAAGATGATCGAAATTTGCCAGATATCTGTATGGGTCAATATCGAGAAGTGATTGCCTTCGATAACGTGAACAAATTAGTATACGTTGTTGTGTGGGAAGATTGGAAGGAACATAAGAGTTTAAGAGATGCATATGAGAACGCAGTATCTAATCTACAACGTTTATCCGAAACAATATCCAATGGTATCTTACGTTCTCCCCTCTCAAGTGCAGTGATGGACATCAACACAAGATTACGTGGACCAAAGAATTCCGTTTCTAATATGAGCAAAGAATACTTCTTAGAAAGTATCGATAAGATTCATAAGCATATTTTGGATGGAAACTCATTTCAGACTGTATTTAGTCAGCGTTTTAGAAGAAAGACTGAGGCACATCCATTTTCTATCTATCGAGCACTTCGTGTCGTGAATCCTTCGCCTTATATGATTTATATGCAGTGTCCAAGGTAGGAATAGAACAATTGCTTTTGAAATGTTCTGATGAAAGAAATTTGAATTAGTTGCATTCTCGTTGCATCATCACCGGAGATATTATGCAAAGTGACGAATAGAATGATGATCAACAGACCACTCGCTGGAACACGTCATAGAGGAGTTACAGAAGACGAAGATGCAGAATTGGAAAAAGAATTACTTGGAGATGAAAAGGATTGTGCTGAACATGTGATGTTAGTTGACTTGGGTCGCAATGATGTAGGAAAAGTTTGCAAGTATGGAACTGTAAAAGTTCCAAAGTTGATGGAAATAGAAAAATATAGTCATGTTATGCATATTAGTAGTACAGTAACTGGAATTTTATGTGATGAATATGCTTCTTGGGATGCTTTGCAATCTGCACTTCCTGCTGGAACAGTTAGTGGTGCTCCAAAGGTGCGTTCCATGCAAATTATTGATTCGTTAGAACCAACTATGAGAGGTCCTTATGGTGGTGGAATTGGTTATATAACTTTTCAAGATAATATGAATATGGCATTGGCTTTGCGCACGATAGTCATACCTTTTCAGAGTTCAAGAGGTCCTGACGAGGAAGGACTGTGGACTGTGGATATTCAAGCTGGTGCTGGCATAGTAGCCGACTCAGTTCCTGAGCTTGAATATCAAGAGACTGAAAATAAGGCTGCAGCTCTAGAAGTAGCTGTAGATGTCGCTGAAAGATTATTTTCGTCACATTTCAAACCTAAACTTTCCAGTAACGAGATAGCATTTCACGCATGAAATAAAAATTGTTAGAAATTAGTTTTCAGCAAGCGTGTTGTTGTCAAGTTCTTTATTTTCTGAAAATACTATTGCTTTACAAGAAGCTCTTCACGATGTGTCTTTGAAGCAGACAACTAACAAAAGATCACATGTATCATGAGGATAACAAACAATAATATGTTAATTGGATTGATTGTCACTTTCTTCCTCAGGAACGTACTTGAAAGATTGCTTCTGTACTTCCGAAAACAGTTGGTTATATCTTTCGACAGCCGAAAATATATCTGCACTGAATCTGTCAGCAACGGCTTGAGTTTCGACTTTCAGCCCTGGAACTAGTGGACTTTTTACAGAATTATCTTCATAAGTACAATAATAATACCAATATTCAGGGCTCCTTTTGGGTCTTGTGTCTGAAATATTCTTTACCGGGGAGGCTTGGTGTACCATTTCTTCAGAACCAAAATAGTTATATAAAGAACCACAATCAAATGCTCTAGATAGTTCCGAACCAAGCCTCTTTGAAAAACACTGAGAGTGAACCATAGAAACTCCCAACTGAGAAACCGTGTCTGCTGTCCCATATTCCTCGGACTGAATAAAGCTGTTACTCTCGTATGGATTCCAAGAGCTGTCTTTTTGTTCGTCCAGAGCTTCCAAAAAGTTTCTCTCCACAGTTTCAAGGGTTGTCGCTTCATATCTGCTTCGAGGAAAGAACAGCTTCCAAGAACTTTGGAGCGCTAGACCAGCTCTACTTGTTTGGCCTTCCATATTCTGAAAGCTGAGTGATTGGGTACTATAGTCTTCTACCTTGCTTCCATTTTTGTAAAGCTTCTTACCACTACTATGTATGGCTCTCTTGAAAAAGAACCCGCTACGAACTGCCAAACTACTGTGCATTTTAATGCGTATAATTGGCTGACAATCCTCGGGGCTTCCATTGCATAGTAACTTATTCTTCATTGTTGAAGATATGCGTTTCTCGAAAGAACAACAGAGTGACTATCTCATCAAAACTTGGAAATATAGGCATATTGATCAGTCGTACTTTATTATTTGTTAAATTTTCTTCACAATTTGAACGACATCTTCGTCTTGTAATATGTGATCCTTACCTACTTTTTGAGGATTGAACTTCACACTGCTTCCCCAAACAAGGGCATACTTAAACTCCTTCATAATGCTCTTATGCAATTTATTACAAAATACCTCAACCGTGCAGTGTTTCTTATCATTACGTAAAATAACAGGAGCTTCAAAGTCTGCAGGTTCTCCTTTTGGCTTTGTATATACTCGAATCAAGTTGAGTTTCTCCCACATCATCTCAAGTAGACCATCCAAGTTCCATTCCAAGTCTCCAGATATAAGAACAGAGTTTGGTAACTTATCCCACAACTCTAACTCTTCTTCAGAAATACAATCGACCTTATTTATTACATAAATTGCAGGTATATACTTTCGGTTGCCTTCGATAACGTCAATCAAATCATCTGCTGTTGCATCCTCTCGTAAGGAGATATCCTTTTACGCAATAAGAAAGATCCCACAGCGCTTACCAAAACCTTACCGCATTGTGTATTCGATATTCTGAACATATTGCTTTGACGGTTTCACTGTCTAAGTTTGTAGTCTGTACGGCTGACGTGAGACTAATTCCTCCCTTGTCTCGTTTCCGAAAAGTTATTTCCGGTGGTCTCTTGTTAAGACGAATGCCAAAGCCTTCCAACTCGTGCTCAATAAGTCTTTTAACTGTTGCTGGCTTCGTGGCATCTAAAACTATAAGAATCAAACCACAAGATCTTGCTACTGCAATAACTTGTCTTCCTCTTCCCTTGCCGTCCTTTGCTCCTTCTATAATTCCAGGTAGATCAAGCAGTTGAAGTTTTGCACCCTTATGATAAATGACCCCAGGTATACAGGTCAAGGTAGTAAACTCATACGCAGCAACCTCAGACTCTGTATTTGTGAGTTTATTGAGCAACGTAGATTTCCCTACAGAAGGGAATCCTAGAAATAAGCGTAAATAAGAAAAACGGGTAATCAAAACTCTACTACATACCTACGAGACCTATTCTAGCGTCACCCGTTTTGGTCACATCGAATCCTTCTCCTCCTCCCCCACCACCCTAAACAATCTACAAAACTGACAACTATTTTGACAGAAACTTGCAACCTACCTTGGGTGGGGTCAACAACTCTCGACGAAGCTTTGCTAGTTTAGCTTTCAAAAGTCCCTAAGCGCCAAAAAAGTAAGTATCCAAGGAAAACTCACGCCAGTTTCATACAGACCAAGTGACCCATTGTAGCCTTGTTCTTCTGAGTTCTAGCGATTTCTGCTTCTACTTCTTCGACTATTCAATGAGTGGGTTCAGTTACAGTTCCAGAGGTATTCATCCAATCAACTTACTCTTTGCGAGAACAGTAGACATATCGTACTCGTTTGCAACAGTTTTAGAAGCTACTGGAAACAGTGAGACAAAGAAACACTTCCGAAAGGGCTGTAATCGTCGTTCAAGAAAATGCTCAAATTTTCAAGCTGAATTGCTTTTCATTCGTTGAAAAAATGTTACTCATTGTTGTTATGATTACTCTTATCATTCCTCTGCTATAAATGAGAATTATCCCACATTACATACTAACGTTGTTTTCAGTTATTTACTACCACAACAAACGAATGACATGCATCTCATTGTCATAAGGAAACTAATTGAGTACCTTTGTGACACACTAAGCAAACGCCAGAGCCTGAATTCGAAGTAAACCGACGAAGAAAAACAGAACAGTGTTTCGATTTGGACCTATTTAGATTTGAATTACAAGACCTGGCGACAATAAAGAATATGATGATCTTATAAGAACTGCAACTAAACACTTGACTTCATATCTTTTAAGTGACTTGAAACACAATTGAACGTCTAAAAAATGCTAAGATGTTCTTTTAATCAAAAAGTTGCTTGCAAACTCATTTAAAAAAACGAAAATCCAAAAGTTGCTAGCTCATCATTTTTTCTGAGACTCCTCATGTTTGTCAGCAATACTAAGTGAACCTCACAATAAGGAATTGGAGGACTCATAAACAAAAATTAAAATGAACTCAAAAATTTGACTCGACCTCTTGTAAACTAATTTCATTCAAGTCCACTTCCACCAAAATACGAAGAAACTTCTAGAGGAATATAAGTGGTTCTGTTGCCTTTGCTTCACCAAAATACGAAGTTCAACAAAGACAGAAAATAATTTCACATAAGAATAACGAAATCAACAACCCTGTAACAATCAAGGTTATTCAGAAAACTAGACAATCTACCTAGTTGAATTTGGAAAGTTTCCCCCAAAAGTCGGAAGAGTTTCAACGGTGTTCAGTTTGAGGGCGTACTTAAATATATCTGCTTATTTTACCAAGTGAAAATATTTACTTCACAGAACATTCTCCCTATTCTTTAGAGGACGTTCCCAAAGTATTGAGTTGTTGCACCCCTAAATTTTCTGTTCACTTTTGTAGATACGACCTTCGCTTCACGCAATGAGAGTACAATCAAACCTAAGGTCTAAATAAGTAAACAGTTGCTTCCCTACATATGCTACTGCTTGTTCCATACGCTGTCCAATCAACATGCGCAACCCTCGGACATCTGTCACACAGCAACAGCAATCGTATCAAAAATTTTTTGAAGCAGTTTCCAAACGGTCGTCAAGTTTTCAATGAAACCCTCGTGTTCTCGGAAGCTTGTTTTTGTCATAGTTTTCACGTCTACATACTTCTACGGATTTCAATTTCTTATGGAATTTACTATGAAATTTACTCCGACCTGAGTTCTGTTTGAACTCAAATCAGTAGCCTGTTTTGGAATGTCTTTTGCTTCAAGCCTCTTCTGTTTCTTCCTAATAGCAAGTGCTGTTCAATTTTAGGGGAGATTTTTCTGAAACCTTAGACGTTTTCGTAGAAACTCGGACGTTTCAGTTTTTAAGTAGTCAAAACTGAATCGGTTGTGTATTTTTCAGATTTTTCTTTATCGCTGCACCTGCTTGTCTTATTCTAGTCTTGCCTGTTGTGTTTCTAGAAAGGAGTGAGTGATCTCACGACTGTCAAGATTCACTGTTCAACAGTTTTATTTGAACAGCATACCTTTCCTTCTTCAGAGAACTAGATTCTTAAGCCGATCAGACAGAAAACTTAAGTTATTATTGAAGGAACGAAGTGAAAGCTTAGAAAGGATTCAGTCATATGACTTGTCTAGACCGAGACAGTTGAGTTTTTATAGTTTCTCTTCAAAGAAGCAATATGCCTACTTTCAAACAACTTTCGTTTTCGCTTAATAACTTAGCACGTTACTCATATGACATTTGGCTACAGAGTAAAGAATAGATGCTCGCAGAGGGACAGTAAGACAGTTATCCTTGGAAAATTGCTTCAGATTGAAAAAGGAGACTCTCTTGTATAGAAAATAATCGAACAAAAGTGATAAGAACAAACTTTATTATATAATACTTTTGCTCATGAGATTTTTTTGAATGTCAAAACGTTCGGTGCCACACCATATTTTTGAAATTCTTGTTTCGAAATAACAATTCCTGCAACTCTTGTTGGACCAGGCCAACCGGGCACGTCATCAAAAGAAATAAGTGCACCAGGCAATAGGAACTTTGACCAATTTTCGAAGTCTTGAAGCACTGCTTCATATTCATGGTCACCATCTATATAGAGAAAAGCAATAGGAGCATTCCAAGACTTGACTGCTTCCGTTGAAGACATACGATGAATAATGACTTGCTCATCTAGTTCGTATCTCTTCAAGTTATCTTGAAAAGTTCGAAACAACCATTCTCGATCATCTCCATGAGCTGCGAAAATATCTCTGTGATCTTGTTGATTTGCGGTACCATTAAAAGTGTCGATACAATGAAGCTTCTGTTAGGTTTGCAGTGTTTCAGTGCTGTCGAAATAAAGCATGAACTTTTTCCTTGCCAGCTTCCAATTTCGACGAAAGCACCATGAGGAATGTCATACTCACAAACCGCTTTCATGAAGTGTCTGCCACTTTCTGGGAAAAACCACCCTTCAACATCACTGAAGCTTTGATTGAACCAAGGAAACCTTTCGATGCCATTGTCTTCAGTTACTCTCAATTGGTTTGCTCTTAACCAAACAAAAAAAGAAACTAAAAGCGTGAAAGCTATGGTAAAAACAAGCTTTCGACGAGTATTATGAACTATTTGCTGTAGACTTTGACGCACTCAAATTATGCATCTGCTTGCAAACATTTTTGCTTGTTAGCTTAGTTATGGCGACTACCTTATTGACTGTTCTGCTGTTGCTAAAAAATTGGTACGAGCTGGAGTATTATGCGAAGCAGGTTGCCGTGGATACTGATGTTTCCGTATCCAAAGAAGTAGATTTTCGTTTAGGAACTTGTATTGAACTTCGGAAGTGGCCAATAACAGGCTTCAAACACTTGATAGAAGAAATAAGATTGTTTAGTGAATTATATGGCGAAGACTTTGAGAGAGTTTCAAACTATACAAATATTGAAGATAACGTTTTGGAAGATTCCTGTTTCCTTAGGCATGCGAGGAAATATCAGTCTCCAAATGGGGTTCTATGGCCTCGACGCCACTATCACTTTCCAGATTGGTTTCGTAATGATACGATACCTTGGAATGAGAAGAAAGATATTTTGTTTTGGAGAGGTAGTGCGACAGGCCCTATTTTGGATGAAGAAGAAGTAGCAGGAAAGTCCAATAGAAGGAAAATAGTTGAGTTGTTGCAGTCATTGAATCGTTCGGATATTGATGCTGGATTTATTGCACTGCTTGATAAGGAAGAGAAATATGGTCATCTTTGGAAAGAACCTGTACCTCAGGAAGGCATTTTTCAATACAAATATGTTTTAAATATAGAAGGAAATGATTTGAGTAGCAACTTTCCACAAGCGCTATATTCCTGGTCGTGTCCCTTCCATCCATATCCTTTTTCTGTCGAAAGTGTATACTTCCGTAGCTTGAGACCTTGGCAACATTTCATTCCACTCTATCTCAATGGTTCGGATGTGGTTGAGAAGCTCCAGTTTTGCAAAGACAATGAAAAGTTCTGTCGTCAAGTTGGAGAGAATGGCAGAAAGATGATGGAGAAGTTTATGAATGAAAGCTTTTGTCATGAAATCAATCGACAAGTTTTGATACGGTTAAGGAATGTGCCTTTACAGAGCTAGAAGTAGAGGATGATGGAATTTACGAAATCAAGTTGTGTTATTTGTTATTAATCTATGTTAAAAACGTAAAATTAAAGGTCTTTCACTCCTTTAACAAATTTTCGACAAGAAGCTTTTTAATAAAACTGAACGAAACAAGCAGTGAAAAGCATTCCGAGATGTAGGTCTGACATCAACTTAAATAATATATTTGATATATCGATTCAAGTGAGAGATTTTAAGAGATTCCTGAGCTGTCCTAAGTTTAGACTACTAAAATCTGAGTTGGAGACCCATGAAACTCCTCAGAAAGTGTTCCATTAGAAACCAAACCACCATCTTTATCATTGCAAAAGAGAACGTGGCGATGCTCAACATTCTGATAGGCAAGTAGTAGTCAATGCAGAGAAGTTGGGAGGAAATATTTCGATAGCAAATGCATCCTTCACTAAAAAGCCATATGCGTTTGACCATTGCCATGAACTCCTATCAAGATATCAGTTTCTCTAATGGCCTCAAGTTGAGTCTGTGGATCCATGTATTCCATTTGAAGAACTTGAAGTCTAAACTCTCTCATGCTTTCGATCACTTGTATCATTGATTTTTCCGGAAAGGACTTTAACGTTTGATGTACTTATAGTTGAATACATACGAAACAATCTTTTGTGAAGTATGCTTTATCTTATTTGTATTTTGGTGACTCTGCATCTTCTTCGCAAATGTCCTAAGGTGATTAGCCGCTATCCGAAACCATGAGTTCCCAAGGCTTCGTTAAATCTGAGTTCAAATAACTTTCTTCAGAAAAACGTCTGTTAGATATTGTTAATATTCAAAAGAAAATTCCTTATTAGGAAAGGCATTGTCCGAAAGATGAAGTTCTTCCAATCCATCTAACCACGAGTCATTCCACGACGAAAAAAAATCCAAATTTAAATAGAAATGCTTCAAACGCAAAATATTATCTTCTCTTGAATGAAATATCCGATGAAGTACTCTACAAAATGAAACAAATGCAATAGAAACCCATCATTAGAGTCTTCAAGAATCATCGAATGTCCTTGAAACCACATAAGTCTGTGACTCCTTCGAATGAGAGAATTGTTTGATGGATGTCAATCCTAGAATCAGAGAAAGATTTCTATTCGTGAGCAATGAGGGCGAATAGTTCTATTTGACATATTAACGTTTCAAAGTCCGAAAAACATGCAATTCTTGATCAACCCCCTCCTGCAACAGTCTCTCGTGGTTTGAACAGCAAAACCAATCCTTCTCGGAAGGCCTCCTTTTTTCTTATTGAAGATTAAATTAACTAATTGAAAGATACTTATCATACTGTTCACTACGTTTTGCAGTTCAAAATCTAGCGGGAGATTAGTTGCAATTGCAGAATTTTTAAATTCATATGGAACCAAAATGAATTGTTGGCATATGTATTTAGTTAAAATAAGAAAAGCTCTGACAACGATACTATAAACTTCCAACTATGACAATCCTTTCCAATAACAGCGTCAATGACCAATTACTACAAATACACTTCTGAGAATATTAACCTCTTCCGATTTAGAACAGCCTTGGTCTTTGTATCCGAGCTAATACAATCATGCTTCGGCTACAAAGTGACAAATCTTGCTTTTAAAATGGTTTAGAATAAAATTTTAACATTAGAAGCTTTTGAACTCAAACAACGCTCTATGAATAAGTGAATACTCAAATACTGTCAAAAAGTCAAGACATAATAGAACACTACTGGAAGAGAAAGTTCGATGTATTCATAGTCTCACTTGATGCACTTTCATTCTTGTACTCATAATAGCATCCAATAGGCATTGCTACTGTCAACAAAAATCATTTTGCAAAAAAGAAAAGACAGTGACTTTTATCTGAAACAAGATCTGACAGTCCACTAAGTTACAATTACAGAAAACGTAACAACGTCTCAAGTACTCGAACTCCAACTCCAAAAGAGTCCAGGGTGTTACTGCCAATTCAAATGTCGGCCGTCAAGAACAAGTTGAGGTACTTGTCTCTGGAGAGTTCTCTTATAAGAAAGCCACCAGCGAAAGATTTTGCACTGTATCTTCATCATTTTTAAAGGCTCATTGTTCAACCGCTCGATTTCTCTAACCATTTCTTCTACACTTTCCACGATAATCAGAGGATGATCTTGCGGAAGTTTGAAAAAGGTTTCTCCTTGTTGTAGAATGGGAATAGAAGCTGTGGATAATGCTACCCAGATTCGGAATTGTTCGGAATTAACTCCAGCAGGACAAGGAATTATTTGTGAATCCATTAACAGACCTCGAAACTTATATGCTGGATCTCCCTTATGGAAATCCTCTGTTGTCTGAACAAGAAATCTTGATTCATTATATACACTAGAGTTTTTCAAATATTCAATAAAACGAAGACGATCAGACTTCAGAGATCCTTTGAATGAAGCTGTATATTTTCTAAGAAAACATGGCAAAATGGTGTTTTCATTGGGTTCCACGAATGGAATAGCATAGCCTAAAGGCATCCAGTATGCATCTTGGTGAGAATTCATAGCTTCACACCAGTAATTTCGGATAATATAATCACAATAGGGTCGACTTATATCACGGCAATGCTTTGAACAGCCTTCGTCTGACAAAAGGAATACTCCTCTATTATCAAAACCACTCTCTTGTAAAGTTTTCAGGATGTTTAGTATCTTTGATTCATCACTGTTGGTAACAAGTAGACTATGCTTACAAATATGTGTTAGAGATCTGTTGCTATGAAGGATAGATTCCACACTCGTATCTGTTATATGATAAATGGTAGACGGATATTCCTTCAAAAGAATATCTGCTATAAAGCTAGCCTCATAAACATCCCCAACATCCCAAAATACACAAAGCGTCTCTTTTCTATGTCTTTCTGAGAATAAGTTCTCTTCAAGAGGCATAACAAGAGGATATCCTAAGGACTCGCAAAATTCATCGATACTAGAACGCAAGGGACCGTCACTCGTGGTTCGGCTACTGTATGAGGAAGACAAATTGAAAAAATGTACTGAACACACCAATAAAATTCCTATAAACAGTATAGTGGCTAATTTTAAAATAGTTGCGTTCCAATAAAGAAGGCCGCCTCTAGTTTTCTTCAAAACAATCATAGAATCGACTCAATGCCTATTTGGGGAATGATTGTGATTTGAATCGTTAAACTTCTCAAGCATGAATTTCTGGAATTGAAGTTTGAATACAAACCGTTACTAAAGAGTTGTTTATTACGCTGCCTCGCAAGCTTTTCACCTTCTCAAACCTTTGTATGATCTCAGCACATTTGTCCTTTGCTGCCTAGCCATCTTCCTTTCCACAAAAAGATAAACTTCCATCTCTACTTTATAATGTTGACCTTTGATAAGCAAAAGCCAACTGTTCGAAAACGAACGCAAGACACTTGCTTGAAATGGGATGAGTATCTTGCTCGAAATACAACAAGGGCAAACTTTGCAGGTTGACATAAATTTTTTTCAAACCAAACTGCCTCTTCATTTCTAGGAACTCCTCAAGTACATAACTTCAAGTTAAGCTACTGAGCAGGATTAAATCACAATCGGACAACCGAAATTTCTGATAATATTAAGTGTTGTTAAACTTCAACATAGTAACGAAAGAAATAGATAAGAATTCTGAACGCTTCCCGAGAGAGTGTAATCGCGAAAATACTTTCAGACTCGGTCCGACACTCGTTTCCAAGTTGAAAACATAACCTGAAAAAATAGTCAAAAACTCAGTTAGTTTACTGTGTAAAGGGTTCATCTATGAATGAAACGAGCAAAGCTAAAATATTTTGGCTTTATTCTTCATCACTCTCCTCCTGTTCTCCCTCCTCAGAAATATTGAAGTAGCGAAGTTCATATGCGTTTTTGCTACAAGCAACGACATGAAGCCAGTCACGAAGCTGCTGTTTCTTAAGATATTTCTTTGTGAGGTATTTTAAGTAACGTTTTGATAGACGAATTTCTGCAGTTACTTGCAGTTTTGACTCCACTCTTGTGACCTTGATGACATCCTTCAAATTTCCAGGTTTGCCGTCAACTTTTATGCGATCCTGTAGAAACTTCTCCTTGAAATAACGAAATAGTTAAGAAACACAAGTTCAAGCTTTAGTTACTTACAAAGGACGAAACGTCAAAGATTCCATCTTCAACGGGATTACTGCAGTCAATTGTGAAATTGCGGGAAATCTTTTTGCCCCTTTTTACCTTGCGTTCCTTTCTTACGTCAACTACTTCATGTGAAGTATAGTATTCACTTACACGTTTACTCTTTACTGCCATGACTAACAACCGTCGACGTTGCTGCCCAATTCCGCTTCGACAATAAATTTCTATTTATGACATTTCAATTATCCTTCTTCTGGTTATCCAGTTTGCTATGTTTACACAGAAGGAAGGCTTTTCATTGCGTGAAGAGGAAGACTTTCCATTCTTTGAAATGTTATTGTTCAGTGGAGGACAAAGTATCTCCAACCTTGCAGTTTTCTCGAGGCAAGGTAGAGTCAGTATGATACTTGCCCGATAGGCTGAACATATGCTTGCCTCATAGGAGAGAAATTTGCACGTTCCAGTTCTCTTACAAGAGGTTATCGAAAACGCAGTGCAAGCAAATGTGGCTGGAAAAGTGTTTGTGGACTGTACAGTGGGAGCTGGAGGTCATTGCCAAAAGATTATGGAGTTGGGAATTTTCTCCAGATGTATAGCTATCGACAAGGATGAGAACTGCAGAAAGTTTCTCGAGGAAAGCAACTTGACGGTATCGTATTCTCTTCCCTTTGGTTTACTTGGTCTAATTGAACTAGCATTCTGTACGGTTTGTACAAGGCAGTTTTGCCAAGATAGTTGAGATTCTTACTCAAGAAAAAGTGACAAGTCAAGATGTTGGTTTCATTCTTGCGGATTTGGGGGTTTCTTCAATGCAACTGGATAATGCTAGTCGTGGTTTTAGTTTCTCTCATGATGGTCCACTAGATATGAGAATGGATCTTTCACAGAGTACAACAGCTTGGCAAGTTGTCAATCAGTCCAGCGAAGAAGCATTGGGTAACATAATTCGGGAATTAGGAGAAGAACGTAAGTGGAAACGTGTGGCCGCAGCTATTGTTAAAGAGAGACAAAGGAATCCTATCAACACAACTTGTCAATTGGCAAATATTGTTTGTAATGCAAAGAAGGAACGTGCGAGATATCGAAAAATTCATCCTGCAACACTTACTTTCCAGTCATTACGTCTCTTTGTGAATAGCGAGTTGAACGAATTGAACACATTTATCCCAATGGCCCTCTCATGTTTAGGACCCGTTGGTAGATTAGCTATTATATCTTTTCATTCATTGGAAGATAGAATAGTCAAGCAAACATTTAAAGAATATGCAGAGAAGAGTGAATTTCGTATATTGACTAAGAAGCCGATAGTTCCTTCAGAAGAAGAAAGAGAAGTAAATATTCGATGTCGAAGTGCCAAAATGAGAGTTATTGAGCGTTATCCAAAAGGAAATGAAAGAGATTTTACTCAACATTAAACAAACATTGTTCTTAAGAATCTGAATTTGAAAATAATTCTTTCAAAGTTGAAGATATAGTTTAGAATTACTCACAAATTATTATAATCACATACAGAAACTCAAAGCTATGTACTTGCCTCTTGGTTTACTACTCCCTTCATTTCCTTCCTGTTGCTTTTATCTTGTTGGAATGTATGTTTAAACGCCTTTTGTATATTGGCTCTTATTCTATTTCCTTTCATATTGTGCGACATAAGTTTAACCTTTTGTGTCCAAATTTTACTTGGCTCAGAAGCTTTTGTTAATATGGAGGAGCCAGGTAGGATATCCTCCAAACAATAGTGCGACTTTTGAAAAGCTGAAATGTTGCACTTGCCGCTTTCTTGTGTATTCTCATTTCTCAAATTTGACGATGTTACTTGTTGCAATTGTGCCACAAGTTCATCTTTTGCTCTTTTCAGTGCGAATACATCTCTTATAAAAAGTTGTCGCTCTCTTTCCATTGCTTCGGATTCCTTTTCAAAGCACTTCTTCCTAATATCTCTTTTTATACCATTCAAGTTGCCTTCCTCATATCCTGCATTCCTTTTCGTATTTTGCAACTCCTCCAATTGACTAAGCTGTTCTTCTGAAACTTTACATCGATACATTAATTCTTCATTCTTTTTGTGTAAGTTTTTATTTTCCTGAAGCAACTGATTGCATTCATTCCTCATCTCTTCCAACTGTTTTAGTGTTAGATTGTGTTGCTGCGCCAATTCAGCATTCGTTGATTTCATTTGTTCGTATTCTTGAGTGATACAAATTTTTATTTCCTGATATTCCTCTCTTACAGATTCCAGCTGCTGTATAAGTTCCATCTTTTCATTCGCCTGGGCTTTTAGTTTTCTCCGTAAGGAGTCAATCTCCTGGTTTGAAGTAGTTTCTGTTTCCATTAAAAGCTTCCTTCTTTGTTTTTCAAGCTCGACAAGTTGGGTTTGAAGTTTTTCATATTCACTATCAACCCGAGTTTTGCTCTTTTCTAAAAGTTGCAAATCACTTTCGGTGTTGCTCAGTTTCATTCGTAATGCCACTCTAGAAGCCTCTGTTTCTTCAAGTTCTTGCAAGAGCTTGGCTTTTTCTTCTCGAATTTGCTGTAAAGTTTCGTTTTGATCTTTGTAAAGTCCCATCACTTTCTCCAGTTCTTTGCGCAATTGCTCATAGCTCGGTAGTCTTTTCTCCTCCAGCTCTTGATGGAGAGCGACCAATCTTTCCCTTAGTGTCTCTACTTCGGTCTTACACTCGTCTTGACTCTTCTTCGCGTTCTCTCTTTCTTTCTGTAGTTGTTCAATCTCTGCTTGGAGCTGTTTTCTTTCGTTCCAATATTTCTTCCTTTCTTCTTGTATTTCACAGAGTAGCTGTTGCTTCTCTCTTTCGTTTTGTTCCAGTGCAGATATTGCTTCTTGACAAATTACGTCACAAGTTTCTATATCTGTAATGTCACTGAATATGGAATCCTTTCCACCGTTCTCAATGTCTCGCTTCTGTCCTTGGCTATCCGTCAATCCTTTTGTTTCCCTTACAAGGTCTTTGGAGTACTGATTTTTGAAAGAAGTTGAAAGATGGGTATTAGGTTTTGTATTGAGTTCTTTTCCGAGTGATATATCAGGACACCAATCTAATATGGAGTCTTTTAATCTATTTACCGCAGTTGAATTCTCTTGCACTCGTAACAGCTGTTCCATTTGCTCTGCTTGTGAAAGCAATTGTCTGCAATAATCTATATCAATTTTCGAATATTTGATAGGATCATTGTATGTTAGACGTTCTAAATTAGTCATCTTGAGTAGCCAACAAAAAACAGCATCAATCAATCATGCGATGTCTCTGGTTTTCCCACCAAAATCTGATCAAATTGAATGTCCTTGACGTGTCCGTTTACTGTTTTGTTGTTTGATGGCTCAATTACGAGAACATGGAACAGAAATATGGAAGTACTTGGACGAAAAGCACCTTGAAGCCCTTGAAGTAAGCGAAAAAGCATTGCTTTGGTGTTTCATTTATACCGAACAATGCCACTATTCATATAGGTTTCTCTTGCAACTAAGACTGCTGGACTTTCTTATACTGGTGTTGTAGAAAACTGGAGGATACGTCATCGAGTCAAAATATCTAGCGTTGGTTTGGTTCTTTGCTTGAGTGAGGGTCCACAGTTGGTATGAATGTTCACTTTTTCCACTATTCCAGTCGACCTCATTTGTTGCTCAGTATGAAGAGGGAAAACCTAATCCTTGTGCAACCTTGGAATGTTGGATAGATCCTTTAAAATTAGGATCACAGAGACCATCTGAGGTTGTGAGTGCGGCTTTACAAGGACAATACGAAAGATGGCAACCAAAGGCCCAATATCATCTTGTTGCGGAGCCAACGTTAGATGATGTACATAAGCTTTGCTTGCAACTTCGGAGTGAAGCCAAGGATGAAAGAGTCCTGTTTCATTATAATGGTCATGGAGTTCCCAGACCAACAGCAACGGGAGAGGTAATCCGCCGAACAGAATTCCTTCAGTTTTACAGATTTACCAAATTATATAGATTTATTTGTTTAGTGAAAATTTCACTCATTATGTTCAACTTTCCTTGTTTGAACTTCAAAGCTGGCTAGGAACTCCATCCGCTTTCGTTTTTGACTGCTCCAATGCAGGTTTGATACTTTCATCTTTTCTTGAGTTTGCAAAGAAAAGAGACAAACTCAGTCCTACCTCAAATGCAGTTTTAGATGAAGTAAATGATATTCAAGTTGGAAACGAGAAAGAGGGTTGGAAAAATGAACTAAAATCCTTTTCTGATAGTATTATATTTGCTTCATGCGGAGCGGAAGAGACACTGCCAACTAACCCGTATTTTCCAGCAGATATTTTAACATCTTGCTTGACTACTCCTATTCAAATGGCATTTCGATGGTTCTTACCACGATCTTTGGTTTCAGGAGTTCGTCTAGAAATGTTGGATCGCATTCCTGGAAAAGTGAATGACAAGAAAACAATGTTTGGAGAACTAAATTGGTAAAAAATTCTTATTTGTCGAGACAATGGGACTAACAAGGTGATTAGGGTTTTCACAGCTGTAACGGATTGTATCGCATGGAATTCACTTCCGAGAGCTCTCTTTCATAAATTGTTTCGCCAAGATCTATTAGTAGCATCGTTGTTTAGAAATTTTCTGTTAGCTGAACGCATTCTCAAATCTCTCAATTGCACACCAATCACAAATCCTCAACTTCCTCCAATGAATCACCATCGTTTATGGCATGCATGGGATTATATGATGGAGCTCTGCCTTGCTCAGCTTCCCTCATTATTGTCAACCGATGAGAAAAAGGGAACTGAAAAGGATTACTTCGATGACGAAAATCTTCGCAACAATGAAGAAATAAGGAGAGATATCATTCTTGGAGAAAGAATGAATACCTCAGCATCCTACATATCCATTCCATTTTTTGAGCATCAGGTAAGAGCTTCTTCGATAGCTTATTATTGAATATATTTATTCATAAATTCAGTTGTCTGCATTTGAGACATGGTTAACAATAGAAAGTGAAAAACCCACAGTTCCTGAGCAGTTACCGATTGTTTTGCAGGTTCTTCTGAGTCAAAATCATCGCAAGCGCGCACTTACTCTTATAGGAAGATTCTTAGAATTAGGAGACTGGGCAGTTGACTTGACTTTATCAGTTGGAGTATTTCCTTATATTCTTAAATTACTACAGAGCTCGTCAATGGAGTTGAAAAAAGTATGATAAGTTTTTATTTTTGCTTTTTCTAACCGAATAATCAATAGGAATTAGTATTCATATGGGGAAAAATAATCTGCCAAGATCGTTCATGTGTTGCAGATCTAGTAAGAGAAAAGGGTCACATTTATATGTTGGACTTTTTGGATACGGATGAGGAAGAAGCCTATGAAAGTCAAGTGATGGCATTATTCATTTTGTCCGTTGTTTCCGGTTTTGCTCCAAAGAAACTGATCGAAGTAAGTTTCTAAAGTGTCTTCCTTCACAACATGAAATTTAAAAGGATATAGTCTCGTGCATTGGACACTGTGATGTCCAAAGCGGTTTTTTCAAAGGACACGCGTGTTAGAAGATGGTCTTTTCTGTTTTTCTCCAAATTTATGAAAAATTATCCTCCGATAGCTGAGGAACTCTTTGAAAATGATGATTTCATAAGAACCACATTAACAGTATTGCGAAGTGATGAAGCTCCAGCTAATCGTGCTTCTGTCTTGTATTTTTTAGAATTTCTTCCTCCTGGAATGCCTTTTCAGTTGGAACTATATGAAGATTTTTTGTTAATAAGAGACTTGGGTGTCGATCTTGGAAATATTGCTCTGGGCTTCATCATTAGTATCATCGAAGAGAAAAGTGACGATGCATCTCCTTTGGTTAGAAGAGAAGTAGTCAAATTGACTGCTAGAACTATAAAGACACTATATGATGGTGATCCTAAAAAAGTGGGATATTCTATGGAAAGGAACCTTGTAGAAGATCCTTTGGGAACTTTTTTGCTTCAAGTTCTCCTTTATCTCTCAGGAGATCCTCAGATAGAAGTTTCTTCCTTTGCTTCCGAAATTTATAGAGACTTGGCAGAAACTTCCTTTCGAAATGAGCGCCAAGGTATCCAAGGACGAGGTAATGAAGCCTTAAGAAGAATAGTTGAAGAACTAACTAACTAATCTTTTAGAAACAAAGTCTATTTCAGAGAATTATGATGGTTCTGCTAAAAGTTTCATTCCAGATATAAAAAATGCGTCACTTCCTCGGGTTGTTTCTTTGGAAGGAATTGCACAACAAATGGAAGCATTCAAAATTCATTCTACCATGGATGACGATGACGTAGACTACAACGATATCGAGATGAACTCACAAAATGGCGAAAAGCAGAGTCAACATATAGGAAATGCATGGAGGCTTCCATCTTTGTATGATTGGAGTCAAGGCGAGATTATGAATCTTCGAATTTCTGAAAGTCTTAAAGGAGGCCAATCACCGCAAAGTATCTTTGAAAATCTATATAATCAAAATAAGCAAATGGTATATCTGCCGGACATTATTGACGAAGGATATCTGTTATCTGATAAACCAGTTTATGTTCGTTGGCATCATATGGAGAACTTACAGGAACAAGTAACCATTGATCTTGGAGGATCGCCAGTGACATGTGTAAAGTTTTCACCGATGTGTTCTCAGCTCATTATTGGAACGCGCAATGGTGAATGGAGTGAATGGAATCCAGAAAATGGGATTCAACAACTCACTGCTTCTTGTGGAGATAGGGAAATATGTGCCATGCGAGTGATTGGTGAAGCTGGTGGAAGAATCACTTCATATACACGTTATGTATTGCTAACAGCATGTTCCGACAGTACAATTATGCTATGGAGAGTTGACAGGTATAATCAAGATATTCGAATGGTCTTTAGTTGTCGATGTTGGTCTCAATTCGATGATATGGAAGAAAATATCGACTACTCTAAAGCTAACATTTCGAAGAAATTTGCAATGTCTTGGGAACCTTATAGTGCAAGAATTGCAACTAACCGAAGGAATCCAGGTGTTATCAGGTTTTGGGATCTTCCTCAAGAAATGTGTTTTGCTAGGTGCAGAGTTCCATTGGATTCTTGCATAAATAGCCTCACATGGACCGGTTCAATAGCAAATATGGGTCCTCAATGTCTTTTTGGAGGTACTGATAATGGAAGTCTATTTACAGTTGATTTGAGAACCCAAAACTCCATCGAATCGGTTCCCATTGAGAATTCAATACATAATGACGCTATTGTTCGAGTTCTTGGCCAAGCGTCCAGCACAGGAGGTCATTTATTGTCTGCTTCCAAAGATGGTGTGGTTTGTGTTTGGGACCCCCGAAAACTATCAACTGGTTTAGAAACAATATCAACATTGCAACTTGGACAAGTCGGATTTCTTTCAGCACATACTTGTTTGCCTATGTTTGCGTGTAGGACAACAGAAAGCAACGTAGACATTTTCAATACAAAAGGTGAGTTACTCAAGAGCCTGGAAATACCAGATTGTGCAGAAACAAAAAATCGCGTCAATTGGATTACTTTCGATATTGAACAACCTTATCTTGGTATTGGACTAGAAAACTCAGTTGTTAGCATATACTCGTCGAATAAGGCGTAAAGCTTCTTAAGCTGCAACTACAGTTGTAGAAAGATAACTCCTCAACAGTCAACGCCTTTAATATCTGTTTTATTTTAAGCCTTCAAGGACATAAACCTTGTTCCATAAAAGTTTCTATTATGTCAATATTTGCTTTCACTATCTTACCACAAGTAGGACAAAGTTAGTCCCAACGCCAAGAAGAACAACACGGTCGAATGGGGTTGGTTAATACCCAACAGAATACAAACAAATAGAAGAAGTAGCAACAAAAACAAGACTATTCTCAAAACACTTTACACAACTAAGGCTTGAAGAGAAGCTAAATATTACACTTACTTGTGAGTAGCGGAGCTTACGCCTGGCTTCAGCAAAGAGGTAGTAGTGAAGCCCTGCATCCTCTTCCCTCAAAAAAAGACTGAGAAGCAGTCGAACAGTCAACAAGTTGGAAAAAGATTGATAATGAAGAGTAATAGATGAAATTACACGGTCAAGAATAGGAACTGTTATGTTGAGTAATACCAAAGCATCGAGTCTTCAAAAATTCTCAACATATTTTCGAATCTCATGAATCAAACTGTTAACACTAGGTAAAGCACTATACGATGAGTTATGCTTTTCTTCGATAGCTTGATAAATTTCTCGATAGCACGTTAATAGTCTAGTCATAGTCTTCTTTCTTACATCCTTTCCTCTTTCAAAGTTCGGAAAATTATCCAATGTATTGTCTCGAATGTGTTCCAAACTGGTCTTCCAGTTTGACGAGAATTCTTTCAAAATTTTCTTGAATTGTGACTCACCATTGTTATCCATTATTGAATGATCTTTGGAATACCGACTAAAAAAAGAGATTGAACAAATAAAGAAATCATTCTACAAATAACCAACTCACTTGAATAATACCATAAAATCAGAAAAATGCTCTTCCAGTTCCAACTCTACAATTGTGCTTATCTGCTTGGATAAAATGGATTCATAAAAAGAATATTCTTCCGTGTGTTCCAGCTTCCGTTCTTCCAAGACGAGACATATTAGATCTAAATTATTTACTACAAACAATGACCGAGACTTCTTTCTAGAATAATGATTTCCTATTCTGTTCAATAAACTCACATATTCCATTCGTAGTCGTTTGATATTTTCTTCCAGCATCTTGTCACTGGTGCTCATCTCAACCATAACTTGAATAAGTCCTGAAGCATATTCTACATAGCGTCTAGTAAGTGCTAAAGGAGACACGTCTTCCTAGAACAGAATAAATGAAGGAAAAAAAAAGAAAATTGAAATCTCCTTACTTGACCAGGAAATAGCGGCTTGGATGATGCTTGTGCAACATTTTGTATGCTTTGTTGTATCAGTTCTTGGAAACGAGGCTTTACCAAGATATCCATTTTTACAAAAAAGTCATCCATCAAAGAAATCTCACGAGTCGCCATGACATTCCGAAACAATTCATTCTGTTTCATGATGAGTAAACAGCCAAAAAGGTCAAAAGTTGATGTTAATTGTCTTTCAAATGTACCAAAGCATAACGCAAAGACATCTCTAAGTATCTGAAAAACGAGCATGTCAGATTCTGGGCCAAAAGTTTCCAACGCAAAAAGAAATTCGGATGTGCAAGTGTCAACTAACAGCTTAATCAAACATCGAAATATCTCTTCTATAAACAACCTATTTTGGAAGGCTTCAATAACTACACGAAAAGAACAACTTGTCACTCACCTTCGACGACGTTCTTTGGCAATGGCTAAAACGACTGCCGGTTCTTCCAATTTACGCAACGACTCTATACGGTTCCCCAATACAAATGCACCAGTGCTGCTTGTTGAAACAAAGGAACCTCCAAAGTTTGGACCAAACCAGCTTCCATCGATTAAATTCTCTCCTTTGAGATTCACTTCCTGCTTCAATGCTAATAATCCGTCCGTGTACTTCCTAAATAGGCTTTGATAGATTCCAGATATTACAGATACATATGAATTTTCTATTTCCTTATATATCTTTGGAGAACACTGACGAAGAAATCTGAAAAACTCTTTTTGCTTCAACAAAACATTTTGCTGAATAATTTGTACGTTGGTGTTCGGACTCTGCAGCATTTGTATCTTTGACTGCAAATGATCTTTTACCTTCTCACTCGCGCGACTTATCATTTTTTGTGTAAATGGTTGAATATCCTTGATCACCGCACACTCCCGAGTTTCAGGTTTTGAGAGAAAATAAACCTTTTCTTGAAGTTCAATTAGATACTGAACGAATTGTTTGTTAGAGGGGTCCAATTCTATTATTCCTGAAACTAATTCCGAAGATAACGTAGCGTTTTCTAAGAATTGCAAAATAGTCCCGTGTGACTGCTTTTCGCGTAACAAACGCTCGTTCATTAAGATAGCTTCTTCGTAGTATTCTTGGGTAGTCCTCGATAAGAGAGCTAAACGACTGGACCAATAAGTTATCTTCTGCTCTATTTCGTTCAAGTCTGTGTCGCACTGCAAGACTTGATCACGAAGTTTGACAACTTTATTTCCTTCGCTCACATATTCCTCCACACAGCTTGACTCTGCTTCCCGGAGACAATTCTGAACGACTTCAAAGGCATCACTAACGCCATTTCCACTTTTTATTGTTTCTAATAAACTATTCACGGTATTTGGTGCAGTTACAGTCACCGAACTAGCTGGGATATCCTTGCCGTTGAACTCACCCTTTCTATCTTCGACTGAAGAAAGTGACTCTGCTGTTGGGCTCTGTACTAAAAGACCTTCAATTGCTTCCCAATCTTCTTGAGTAAAAAAAGGAACTTGAGCTAAGTCTGGTTAATAACAAGGATAAACAAAGAAACAGTGAACGTACGTAAAGTCTCCATCTGCTCAGTCTGATCCATTTTATTCAATTTCATGTCGTTCGTTTTTCACTCGATTGGAAAACACTATTCAGACGACTACAAAGCACATTTTAATTGTAAAAAAGCACTTTTGAGTAAACATCTTTTGAATTGGAATATTTACTTCACAAGGAGGATGGCGTTTACCTTCAGTGCTCACGTGAGTCGTAACTGTTGGACCCTTGTAGCAAAGGGAGGTGATTCAAAGGACTCCTCAAAAGCCAAATCGAGTCGTATACCAAAACGCAGCAAAAAATCGACAAGGAAAAGTCTGAGCTCTGGGGACTTTGTAGATAATTGGAACTCGTCAAAGCATCCAATGGAAGAACTGACAAGTCCAATCAGTTCAGGCTTGGGTTCCCATAGACGAGGTGTAGGCTTGAATGATATTCCTGTAGATCTTGGTGAAGTATTTTCTGACCCACTATTAGAAGAGAAGGAGCTGACAGAGTTGCCAGCAGACGAGAGCAGTTGGAAGCACGCTGTGGAATATGCCCTTGAAGAAATTCACTCACAAGTAAAGTATTCAAAGTCACAGTTTTCGTGGATGAAGCCTTTTACGAATAAATCAAAGAATACTCTTCTATGTGAACGTTGTGAAGGTATTGGAATGATGACTTGTGAATATTGTCATGGTCAAGGTTTTGTAAGATTTGGTCCAGGAAATAATTTTCGAATAAGATATCGACAGATTGAAGTAGTCCTTCCTCGGAGAGTTTGGGGTGACTTATATTATTGTCCAGTTTGTGGAGGCTTAAGAAGGGAGCGTTGTATTTCATGTTGTGGAAGTGGAATGGAGGAAACAACGAAAAGCATTCCAACAGAAGAAGAAAGATTGGAAAGTTTGAAGGCGCAGCAAGTTTCTAAAAAAGGAAAACATCGAATATATTTCTTACGCGATATAAACAAAGAAATGGAAGAAAAGTTACAGCAACTTGGAAAGCAAAAACGGCAAAAACCTTCATTCAGTAAAGAAGCTGAAGATATCGACTTTTTGGAGTAGAATGATTCCTTTTTCGTACTATCGATGTTTCTTTTTATTTTTGCAAAGAGAGAAATTCGTTCACTAAACGAGTAAACTGGTCTGGTTCTTCTGAGATCAGCCAATGACCTGTATGAGGAATAGTCTTTATCACAGCGTTCACAAAATATTTACGGATTGTAGTTTCGTGAATATTTGGCTGAATATAAGGCGAGTTTTCTCCCCGTACAAATAAAGTTGGTCCGCGGAATACTCGTTCAGCTGGTATAGATGGAAAGCTCAACATGGCTTCCATTGAATCAACCAAAGAGTGAAGATTGACTCGCCACTTGTAGTAGCCTGGCTTTTCATCGTCGGGAATAAGATTGGTTAACACAAACTGTCGTACTCTCTCGTTAGTAAGTCCTTGTTGCTCCAAAGCAGTGTCAATTTCACTAGAGCAATGTTTCCAGTTATTCAATTTAAAGTAAAACTACTTATTACCTTCTAGATTTACACTGGTGAGGCTTTGTCCTTGCCATTGCATAAACTGCTTCTGTTGGAAGATTCTTATCCATTGATTCTTGTTGATAGGTCACCGGAGCAATATCCACCACCACTAGTTCAGAAACCCAATCTGGATTCTCCAGTGCAAATTGCATACCTACCTAATTGAGAGTGCTTTAGACGTCGGCATCATTCATGCTAAAAGTACCTTACTTTTCCACCCATACTGTGACCCAAAATACAGGCCTTGGAAATTCCGTTATCCTCAAGAAAACATTTGACGTCTTTAACCATTGCTTCATAAGCCATTTCCTGTACATGAGGACTGGCTCCGTGGTTCCTTAGATCCACGGCATATATTTCTCTCTCTGGTACTTTAAAAGAATCAATCTGAACAAGTCACAAAGGAACACAAATAACTTACCAAAGTCTTCTCTTTTTAAAACGGAACGATAAGTATTTCCTGAGGCTAATATACCGTGAAGAACTATCAAAGGAGGAGGCTTTCCTGCTTCGACTCCCAACTGACTGAAAGCCTTCTTTGGTTCCAACTTGTAATAAGATAGTGGAACAACGCAGCCTCCTCCTTTCTTTTCTGGAGTTGATAATGCTTCAGAGTTATTTTGATATTTCTTAGTTGTTTGCAGTTGTCGAAACCTTATTTGTCTGCTTACAGATAAACGAATCCAGTCCTTAGGAGTTCTCCAAAACATCTTTTATAAAGATTCATTTGCGTATAATTCTCAGTTATGTCGACTGGGTTGGAAATACTAAACTCAAGTGGCCGACAGGAAGTAGTGGAAAGAAAATATGTTGGTATAAGTAGGCGTTTGTATTTATGTGGATATTTGGGACTTCCTGTATTATGGCTTTTTCATGTTCTATTTTTCCGACATGGTATTGTTGTTAAGCTCAACCTGGGTTCAAGTGTGAAGCAAGGTTAGATGGTTATTAACTTACTTTTGGGTTTCTATGTACTTTCCTTGGTCTTTTTATCGTTTAGATATCCGAAAGAGTAAATTGGCTTTAGTTATTGTGTCTAGTTTATTTCTAGTTTGGCTAATATTTTTGAGAATATGGAATGGAGGACCGCAAACAATAGAGATTTTCTGAAATCTTTTTTACACTACTTGACAAAGTTTTCAGTTGGACAGTATGTATTTCTGCAGACTCAATACTCAATATATATATATATATATAACATTTTGCTATTTACTTTTTTGGCAATTGATTTCAACAGAATAAAATGTTTGCTAGTTATGTAGTCAGCTTTATTGACCCTTCAGTTTCGTGTAGAAACCCTTTGTTGAAGTTTCAAAAAAAGTTGTGTTTAAGTTTATTAACCTGTAGACATAAGAAAAATTGTTTTTGGAGGAGGAACAGTGTAACAATACGAAAGGTCAACACTGAGCTCACAGGACTGGACTGGAGGTGTTCGTTGACTACTGTTGGAGAAAGGAAACTACAAAGTTGTGTCATAGTCGGAGTTGATTGCCTTTTAGAAGCGAGTAGTTTCAGCTTAGAAGAAACCATGTCAGAGTTACAAGAGTTATGTCACACAGCAGGACTTGAAGTATTGGCAACGACATATCAGAGACTGGAAACTCCCAATCCCGTAACTTTTGTGGGCTCTGGAAAGGTTAGTGAAATTAGAAGCCTACTAGTTTGCTATGAATGCAATACTGTGGTATTTGACTGTGAGCTTTCACCTTCACAACAGAAGAATTTGGAGCGCAAATTAGCAAAAGACAAGCAAGTAGTCAATGTTTTGGATAGAACTGCGTTGATTTTGGATATCTTTGCACAGCATGCAAAGACGAGAGAGGGAAAACTTCAAGTGGAGTTAGCCTTGAATCAGTATCGTCTACCTAGACTCACAAGGTTGTGGACCCATCTAGAAAGACAGTCGGGTGCTGGTGGTGTTGGACTCCGTGGCCCAGGAGAGACTCAGATCGAATCCGATAGACGACTACTTAGTAGCCGTATTTCACAGCTTAAAGGTGAGTTGGAAGACGTTCGTTCGCACCGAGCGAGGCAACGAAAGAAAAGAAGGCAATTTGAAGTTCCTGTAGTTTCTCTTGTGGGATATACCAATGCCGGAAAGAGTACATTGTTAAATGCTTTAACCAATGCTGGAGTTTTGGTACAAGATAGTTTATTTGCCACTTTAGACCCAACTACTCGTAGATGTCGATTACCTGGACTTCATGTTCATCCAGACATTCTTATGACAGATACTGTTGGCTTTATTCAGAAGCTTCCCACTACTCTAGTCGCTGCATTTCGCGCCACATTAGAAGAAATAGCTGCTGCGGATATTCTCTTACATGTGGTAGATATATCATCTCCTTCTTCTGAGTCCCAACAGAAAGCTGTAATGGAAGTTTTACGAGAGATTGGTGCAGCTGAAAAGAGTATGATAACTGTTTGGAACAAAATTGACCGTTTTCAAGGCAACACCGGTTCTATCCGTTTGAAGGCTGCTCAGATAGATAAACATGTCGCTGTTTCGGCAGCTACTGGTGAAGGTCTTCAAGACCTTGTATATATTCTAGGAGAAACCCTTAGTTCTTTACTAGTACCAATTGAAGCTTTAATACCGTACAATAGATGTGATCTATTGCCTCGTATTCATCAGTATAGCATTTTGGATGTTGAAGACTATAGACCAGATGGCATATATATTCTTGGTCGCTCAACTGATAATGTTGCTTTACTTCTTGCAGAATATCGTGTTACGGAGGATCAAGAGTCTTTATACTTTGTTCCTGTGCATTCCAACGATAAGAACAACATCGATATGAGGCAACTTGAAGACGAAAAAGAATGGAAAAGATTAGCAAAGGGACGTCATCATCAAGGAGCGTCTGGAAATACAACATATTCTTTGTAAATTCCAAATACTTGAGAGTCAATAAATTACTATACGTGTTGGGGTTGAAAGACTCAATAGTGGAAGAAGAATTCATGACACGTGGCTTTCATTTCTATTCTTAGTTCCAATTGTAGATATTGCTCTGATATGGCTTTCTAAGTTACAAGCCATCTGTCTATCTGAATAATGACATTGCAATACACAAAACCAATGCAAATGGACAAGTTCAAAATAACTTTAACAAAAGAATAGTTTGGAACATAAATTGTATTTCGTATCTTTCTTTCATTATATTCATCAATAGATGCCAGTCATGTATACCATTAAAATAATCATGATACTCTGCAAGTATCTAGATATTCACGATCGTGATTATTCGTGTCATGTCTTGGATCAAATAATGTTGCGCGCGGTCGATTGTTTTGTTGAGTATTTGCCAATATCCTCTCGCGGTCTTTCTCATCTTGTAGAACTTCCTCCTTTCTCTTTTGCCAGGCATCTGGAAATGACTCTCTCAGAAAACGCTCCAAAGATTTCTTCCTTTCGAGACGAACTCCACTAGAATAATCGTGTCGACAAACTGGACAATGAAAGTCAAGTAAAATAGCACGACTTATACATTTTCCACAAAACCGATGACCACAAGGAAGTGCCATAGGCTTGTATAAAAGAGAAAGACAAATAGGACAATGATATTCTTCCATATTAGACAACTCCGAAGGACGTTTCCTAACCAAAGAAACAATAATAGAGCCTCGATAGCCCAATTCTTCCAAAGTCTTTGCCAACGCTGAATGTACAAACGGTTGTGACTCTACTTTCAAACGTAGATATTGTTTCCCAACCGACAATTCACACAATTTGTCGTGCTTCTTCAGAATCTTTCGAAACGCTGTGATATTCACATTCACATACTGTAGCAATCGTAATGCCTCTTTGTAAACTTCAACAGTTGAATTGAGCTTATCAATATAGGCAAAATTATCTTTCTCATTCCTGTTCAAAGAAGTTGATGAAGAACCAAATGATGTGCTCTCGGCATTAGAACTGTTTCTAGCACAATCGAAACCATTAGAACTTTTGGAATTGGAAGAACTCTCAAGTCTTCCTTCTGAAGCTTCTTTTACCTTTTGGGTTCGAATAGGGAACAATTTTTCCTTAAGCGTCTTGAAAGAAGAGAAAAGCTTCAACTTGGACTCCTGTTTCTCTAAATATTCATAGCGTTCAAGAAGAGCTTTTGCCCTTGGAAGAAAAAAACGGTTTACTTTTTCTAATTCTTCGTCCAAATGATGAAAGAACGCAGCATCCTTAGGGTCGATATAGACAATATTTGTAGCAAACTCTTCCTCAGCCAAAATATTTTTCTTCTGGTCGCGGATGATTTCTTCAATGTTGTCTTCTGTAACGTCCCCAGAAACTTGTGAAGACAAAGCTTTTTCCGGCCCAGAAAACCTTTCCTGGGAATGATTGGTTGTCAATTCGCTATTAACTTCTGTTGCCATATGAAAAGGTGACATAAAGTGTCTTCCATTGTTTTCAAGTATTTTTGAGCTTTCGACTTTTCCTTTCGTAGGGAAAGGAACTACAGAAGAATTGGACAAGTCTCCCTCTGTCACGAACGACTGCTGAGAGAACAGCTTTTTCAAGTGCCTGTTTTTACGTCTCAAGTCCTTCTTGAGGTTTCTATAAGACACATATTGCTTTGCATAGTCTTCGTCAGACTCTGCTACGATACGGTCCAATTGATGAGCAAACTTCATTTGTACTGCACACAACTTGAATTTTTACATCCAAAAATTGGAAAAGAATAAAATCGTATCGCATCTTATCTAAAACTGTTCTTTGTGGGAAAAACATGTTTCGAACCCATTTTGCTGCATTCCTCGCTGGCGTGACGGTAGCTTGCTCAGTTGGTTATGTGAAACTACACAGAGACCTGAAACTCGCAGGGAATATGCTTACTTCAAGCATAGAAGAGTGGTCTGATGAGGTAGGAAGCAGTTCTAGTGTTGCAGGAATGCTTTGAATCTCCTGATTGTCATAGGTTACGGAAACCACCAAGGAACTGGACAATAAAGTCCACTTCTTGGAAAACGAATTGAACCGAGTCAGAGGACTGGCCTCTGTAGGAAATGAAGTGCACTCGGATTCCAGAGTTCAAAGCAAGAAAGGGGAAAACAACAGTTCAAATACTCCAAGTGACGACGGTCTGTAAGAGCCGAAAGAGCGCGGTTGTTTTTGCCCGTATTTATATTTGTAATACACTTGAACGTAAAAGGCTAGTGTTGGCTATCCATATCTATTGAATGAGGGTTCAAATAATATGTTTCGTGATTCGAATATAGTCAAAGTTCAAGCTGTCTTATTCGTATCTTGTCCTTTTTCAATGGCTTTTATCAAATGATAAAGAGTTTCACAATAGGGCACTAACAATCCTAACAATATTCAGCATAAATACAAATCCTTGAAAATTATTTACCAAAATTTCTTGCAAGACGAACAACTGCACCATTCAAAGCGTCTATTTCAGTCGATCTTCCTCTCTGGATGTCTTGAAGAGTGGAACAAATGTTATTGGAACTTTCCTAACGACATATTAGAATTCTTCTGAGCAACTCTTATTATTAATGAGACTGCCTACTCGAATAGTTTCTAATACCTGAGCCATGAGCTCATCAAGTTCTAAGATAACACCATTTCTTTCTGCAGTCATTATCTTTGATAAAATGTCACTTCAAGGAATCATTCCTATTGCATACTTACAATTTCGCAACAAATTCCTTCAAATAGACTTTGAGGTATTCTATCTGATAAGAGTCCATTTCTTCCGTGAATGATCGTTGCTAATGGATTAATGACACAATTAACCTATATCATTTAGCAAAGAAACTATAAAAATGACATTCAATTGCATACTGCTAGTTTTTTCCATATTTCCTTTCTTGCATCAACAGACTTTAATAACTCTATTGGCAAGTTTTGTTGTCTCAGAACATCATAAAGGAATTGAATATTTGCGTTCAGTTCAGGTGAGTTTGTCAAAGTATCTGCCAATACTGTTCTACCAGTTGACCAATGAATGATCTAAGGTCGATAGGATTATTTGGGTTGATACAACAGCATATAGTTCATACCTTTGTGGAGTTTATCCTTTGTACAGCTTCATAAGTAACTGCAGCAGCTGCACGGTTAACTCCCACAACAGAAGCTACAGTTTCAAGGTTTCCAATGCCATTACAGAAAGAAATGGCCATTCCCTTTGGAGATAATAACTCAGCACAATTCTCCTTGACAAATATAAGATAAAGAAGAGTTTCCCACACTCAATAATATTCCATACCAAAGCACTTTTCAACTGGTATTGCTTCACACATAACAGGAAAATATCTACACTATCCTCCAGTTCTTTAGAAAGTTGTTTTGTGTTGGAAAAAGAATTACAGTGGAAACTAACAGTACTCGAAGTATTCAGTATTGTTCTGTTGTTCTTCTCAACAATACACTCAGCCGTTGTCTTATCTTCTACAATAACTCCATTCTCACTAATTGATCGAGCACTTTCCTCAGTTCTTGTAAGAAGAAATGTTTTACATAAAGACTTCTTTTGTAGTTGACTCAAGTGGAAGCACCACCATAGACCTAAGCTTCCATTTCCTATTACTACCAATCTTTTCATTTTACGTTTCCTCCAAATGCAAACATTTCTAAACGGAGTCAAAGCACTTTTGTTAAACTTTCCAGGAACCACTTTAGTATCTGGGTCACTATGCTCTCTTGTAATCTTGCTTTATTTATTACAAACTATCACAAAAACCGATAGTTTCTTTTATTGTGTTTCTCTAGAGCAGGTTTTCTTTTCATACCGAGGTAGGCCTTGTAGTTTCTGTTTTCCTTGTTATCTCAACTGTATAAGTTTATTTGTTATTTATTGCACCACTCCTTCACTCTAGTTTTTGGCACTTGTTGTTTAATGTTATCGCTTTGTTGGGAATCGGTCCTGTTGTTGAAAGTCGTAAGGGATCTACATTGTATGGGCTTCTTTGTCTTCTTCTGTTGCTGGTTTCGGAAAGTTTGTTTCTAATTTTTGAGCTGTTGATATATCTGCAAAGTCGATATTTATTTTTCTTTCCTATTTCCCAGTCTTGTGTTGTTGGTTTTTCGGGTTTATTATTTGCACTATTCGTTATAGATTGTATTCAAGTTTCCGTGAGAACTGTACAGCTATTTGGCAGGATACCTGTTCGCTCTAATTGGATTCCGTGGATATTTCTTTTGCTCATTCAAGCTATTTTACCTGGAGTTTCCTTTTTAGGTCACCTTTCAGGTATTTTTGCAGGTTACATATATATTCTTGGAGGGTTTGATTGGATTCTTCCTTCTTGTGAAAGACTTCATCAATGTGATGATCGAATCTGGTTTGCAAATCTGAACAGCTTCGTTTTACATAATGATATTTGTTGTTCAGCTGCTCAACCAAGTGGGCGTGTGTCCAACTTTTTTTCATATCAATCTTTGTGTCCTTCCAATATTCGAAATTGGTTTTCTTGGAAAACTGATTCATCTGAAGATATTCGTTTCCCTGGTAAAGGCCATCGTCTGGGGGATGACTCCTCTGTTCGATTAATATCTGCACAAGTAACTGAACAAAAGTTATCAGGAAAGGAATCAGGCATGAAAGATGTTGATGAAAGAACAGTGTTAGCCAAAACAGAAGGTTATGGCAGTGCATGCAGTGAGAAATGGCATGATTAGTTGATGATTGTTTTGTTGTTCATAGTAAAAGGTCAAGAGAAACGATATTTTACTAGCCGAAACGAAGCAAACAATGAGAGATACTGAAATATACCAACAAATACTTGTCTTAGGCATCATTTAGGCAATGATTCCTTTAGATAAACGAAAATTGCTACTCCATTTTGATATACTTTTGAGCAACTGAATATAATGTCCAAGTTGGGACCTGAACAACTTGCCAAATAGCAAGTGGTAACGACGATATGGTGCGAATGCAACGTGAGCCATTTTATGAGATGCAAAGTGTGCGTAACATGAAACAAGTACACCGTTCACTAAATATGTTCCATCCAAAGTGAGAGGAGCGAAGGCACCAACTTCCCTAACCTGCTGAATGTAAGTCACCTGACTGGACTTGGAATGAGAGGTATTATAAAAGAAAAACTGGTCGCCTATCTTGATGTCCTTTGCATATACGTGATCAACCTGATTATTTGAACCAACTCGCATGAGAAGATGATATGGCGATACTTTCAAATGTCCCATTTCATGAGTTATGTGTAGAAAGCTGACAGCAATGTCATCTCTTTTATCCAACCATCCAATAACTTCTGTTTTTCGTGTCTTGTGTAGTTGGGTATCGTATGTAAAAATCTTATGGCCAACTCTTAAGAATCTCATGTCGATTTCTTGAAAGTCATCCAAGCTAACTTTTGAATCTGCTGAGAAACAGTGGATTCCGCTTGAACAGGATGGTCCTGTAAGTCCAATGTCAATGCTCCCTAAATCTCCAAAAGGATTGAATCCAATCAAGTCTTTTACAACTTGGTCAATGTCAATGCAATCGTTTAATGGAATCGTTTTACAGCTACTAGAATAGCAGAGCTTAAGGTTCATATTATTTCCACATCCAGTAATTTGGGCAGTTACGTCTTCTGCTTCAGAAGGCACAGATATTCCCAAATATTTGTTGAAGAGTTCATAAAGACTGATAGGAGTTTCAAGACTGGAATCATCAACTTGGATCGTATCAGCAATTGTTGGACTCCCCTGACATGAACTGGAACTACTATAATATGAAATACTTAATGGAATATCCGAGCTTCGAATCAGGGACATCAGGTAGGAGCATTGAGCAACGAAGAATGCCTCTCAAAAATATTGTTTTCATCCTGTCTCTTTATGGTTTGAATGCTGTGCGCCGTTGCATTAACCTCTAACGCTTCAGAGCTTTTATATTGTAATGGTATGCTTCCTTGAATAACAACAGTGAGATGAACTATGACAGACAAGAGTAAGGAAGCCTCTTGAGAACCTCATCTTTGGTATAAATTTCAATCAAATATATTGCAATGTTAGAATGAATCCACTTTTCTTATAAAGTAATCGTGATTGACGTGTCCATCCTCTTTCAAAGCCGATCTGACGTGTCCAGTCATCCGTTTCAAAATCATCTGACAAAATTTTGATTTGCACAGCAACGAGACTGAGGATAAAGAAAAAGTCTAGAGGTAAGTTTTGAATATTGCTCTTATTGTCATTTTTCCAAAGAATAAAGGACAAAAGTTCAAAAGCATACATATACGGGGTCATGTCTTTTACTTGGAAAATAAAGAATGCATAATCTTTGTAAAGAAGATAGGTGCATTTTGTACATCAAAGGAAATATTGTCTTGCAAATAGGAAGGCAGTTTCTGAGAAACACCATTCAGTTGAACAGGAACGTATTCAATTTCTTCTTGTTCCTCGTCAATAAATAACTCAAATGTAATGGACCTATCTTTAGACTCATTTACGATATCACATTTGTGATATTCTTTATCGTTGTGTTTGCTGTGAATCGCATTCATTCTGGTCAACTTGTGAACTAGCTGACGAAACTTATAGTCATAGAAAGATGTAGTGCCTGGCTGTTGAGCTAGACTTTCCTGTACTATCTCATAACCGTCTTTGGGTCTACTCCGACTAGCCAGTATTCGTTCCTTTTCACTTTCGCTTTCATAGAATTTTGCCTTCCATTCTAATACTTCTGCTTCCAGATCGTTATTCTCTTGTTGGACAAGAGCAATTTTCTCTTTTAACTCAAGTTGGTCTTTCACTTCGTTCAGCCTTTCTTTTAGTCGGCAGTTTTCTTCCTTGAGTTGACTTATTAAAGTTTTTGAAGCCAGTAACTTTTCTTCTAAGCTTTCTTTCAAAAGTCCCACAGTGTTCGTCTTATCAGCAAATCGTACTTGTCTTTCTCTTTTGCCTTTCAGCGTCACACTCTCAGAAGGCTCATTACTTTCAAAGAAACCAACTAGTGCGGAGCGGCTATCTTCAACGGCAGAAACTTCGACCGTTTGGTTGGAACAACGACTAGAACGGAAAGAGTTTTCTTGTTCAATAGCATGAATTGGCTTATACGAAAGTATCCTTTCCTTGTTTGTTGCCTTCTTTTTCTTATGACGCTTCTCCAAGAAACGGGTCATTTCAGCTCAAAATTCAATTGGAACTGCAACTTTCTGATCAATAAGAGAGAAGCGTATTTTGAAATTGCGCGGGCTTCTAATGATAAGGATTTCAGTGGAATTGCTTCACAAGTAACTCTCAGGGAAATTAGACAATTTGCTCAACAAATTTTAAAAGAAACATAAAGTGCAATTGAGAAAAAGGGTCTTCAAGATGATATTTCTTCATTAGTGGTCATAGAGTTACTTTTGTTGCTCAAAAAATCTTGTCGACTTCTATAAATTTCCACTCCTAAACCTTTTACCATCCCCGGAACTGCTACAGCTGGTTTCATGACACGAACTCGAATATCCATGGCCCTTTCATACCTAATACATATACTATTGAGGTATTCAATTTATGAACCACAGCTTCGACGTACTGTGATAAAATTCTTTTCGCTACATCCTCAGCAACACTTTCTATCAACTTGTGGGGCTCCCCTTCAACAATGTGCTTGCAAACGAAGTATTAGCTCACGAAACTGTGTTAAACAGAAAGTTGACAACCTTTACTAAATAATAAACTTCAGCATAGTTGATTGTGTGCTCCAGACGGTCGGTGTTTCCTGCTTGTTTCAAGTCGGCGCTCTACCTTAAAGTCGGACTCATCTCTGAATCCAAAAAGCATCACTCACAATTTCTATGTCTACTTCAAACTTCTGACCAAGCTCTTCCAGTAAAGTTAAAATTCTACTCACACAAGAATAAACCGACTGACCAACCATTTTCTGCCTTTGCCACTCCGTGTCGACCAAAAAAAGTCATTCCACTCAGAAGCACCCTGATGTCAGAGAAACAAAATAACGTCAGATGAATAGGCAACGACTATGACTTATTACTTGTCTCTCATGATGGAATAGGAATGACAGGACAGGAACCGTCCCCAACTGCTGCTCAGTTTTGACAGAATAGCAATTGCAAATAATACTTCAAAGTGGTAATAATCGCTAAGATACATTTGCTGATGAGGAAAAGCTGAAGCTTTATTCAAAGATAACCACTCGGTAATACTGAAGGATAGCTAAGAATACGCCAATAGTAACCAGAAGCAGATTTCAGAATGGCTGAAGATCCACTATTCTCACTCACTATACGACAAAGAAAACCAGTATAACCAAGACCTGAACCGTTGGGCAAAACCTCCAAGTTGCCTTGTCCGTTGTTCATAACCTGAGCCACTAAAACGTGAGTTCCGCTCGTTAAGGTTGTTGTATAACTAGTAAGGTTATCACTCTTAACGATAGTTGCGAACCTTTTTGAATCCAAGTAAACGTACGCTCCATCTTCTGCCCTCAAGGTTACTTTGTAACTGCCAGTTGTGTCAATTTCAAACTGTGAGAAAACGAAGTATGTTCCAAACGGCTGTCGATCTTCACCTGGTCCAATAACTTGAATTTCTTCTGAAAATAATTTATAAAAGTTATGTGTTTGAGCGACAGGCCATCGATCATGCGAGTAGGAAGTGTTAAATACACTCACACCAGTAGTACCTACTTCGTATAGTTCTCTGGTCTCCATAGCCATCGTAATGTTGATCATTCCTGGAACTGCTTTTGCTTCATTTACGTACCAGTTCCAAGCACTTGGATTCGAAGTGGAATGAAGATAATATTTGCCATCTTGCTGACCTATCATCTTGACGTATAAGAACGGTTTATGAACTGCAGAGCTTACAACTTGAGCTGCCAAACGAAGCTTTCCACCACTGGATATGGAAATACTCCTATTAATGTAAATGGGATATTGTTGGGCTTCAACAAACTCGCCATTCAAATAAACATAGAACATTTCGTTGCCAAGCACCGTTAGAAGATAGTTTTGAGAAGTAGAATCAATAGAAAATTCGGAGATGAAAAAAATAGATTCTCCAGCGCTAGGAATTGTTGAAACGGATACAACCGAGTAGTTGAAGTTTTTATAACCAGCGTAACTAAACACAGGTATAGTCCAGTTAGAGTCTAAAGAATACTCAAATGCATAGTAAGGCATTTGACTTGATAGAAAAGAAATAGAAGGGTAGGAACTCGTTGAAGCACGAATACTTTCCCTACCTTCTAGTCGTTTTAAAAGGTGGGCTATCTTCACAAAAACGGGGGTACTCTCTGCAATGGATAATATTGTGTTGAGTGAACCGTTTCTTAAATAGAAATAACAAAGAAAGAAAGTGAAGAAGAACAAAAGCCAAAAAAGTCTTTTTTCCATTGTCGTCGATAATAGCTCGTTATCCAATTTCAAATGCGAGTGTTAAGAATGTCCCTACTTAAGCACGTCATCGATACTGGCAGAATTTTGAATTGCTATGTTCCTTTGTCGCAGCTTTGTAGAGAAGCTTAGAATCACTTAAATTATGTCAAAGCAACTTTGTATTCCAATTATACTTCGATATTTAGTAAGGATACCTGATTATTGGCATTATGTTCTTCTCCAAGAAGACTTTCACTTCTCGTAAGTTTGGAAAAAGCTCTCCTTAATGCACTATTAGTATCATTTGTAATTGCCACTGGTAATTGCTCTCCACTTAACTTCCCTGGCAGATTCTTATATTTCAAGATAATGGCCCTTTGTGAATGGAGTTGATAAGGAGTCTCTAGTTAGAGTGAATTTTGTCAGACTTAACCGTTAGAAAGGTCAAGGTCATTCTATTCCTTTCCCATACAATTCACAGAGTATTCAGATTTTCTTGTGACGCAATGCATGTCTTGGTAAAACAGAATTTTATTGAGAGGCATTTGCGAGCATAGTAGGACGTAGGATGCAGAGTTTTGCTATCGCTCTCACTAAGGCTATCGAAGCGTTTAAAACAGGTTCAAATTTCGCACAAAAGGTTGTTATTGAATGCCATTTTTTGCTGTTTCTATTTAAACCGTTTGTCTGAAAGATATCAAATATTAAACTCATGAGGAATATGAGTCTTTCAGAAGGGAACCAAAATATACCGCCATCTTGAAGCAGTTCCACAGAATGAATTTTTCCATTCAGAATTCCTGAGACTCAGTAACATAAATTGCAAACCAGAAAGAGACACTTCGTCTCAACCACTACTTTTGTAGATTGTTTCGTCAGATTCTTCAAGCCTATTGAAAATGTTTCGGATTGTACGAAATCAAGGCTTGGATCTTCCAATTCTAAGACAACGAAACCAACTTGACTTCTGGATAGATGCTTGTAGCAAGGCTACCCTTTTTCCTAGGAATGATTTGGTTTTTTGAGGGAAAAGCATACTACTTGAAGAGTTTTTTCCCTGAATAGTGAACTGTCTTATGAAAGCATTACTCGTTATCTACATACTATATCTGGGAAAAAGGGCAACCTGCCTACAGTCCCTGAAAAACTATGTCAACTCGGTCAATATTCAGTATTCATCGCAGCACACTAGCAGAAAAACAGCCCTGATTAACACTGATAGTAAAATAAATGATGCTGAATCGAAAAACTCATTAACTGTCGGGACATTCTGTAATTATGAAAGGCGCGGAATTTTTGCCAAACAAATGGAACTCTAACCTACGACGTAGCCTACTGAATGAATTAGTCCATCTTGAAAGATATCAGGTTCGCTATAAAATTTCGAGCACAGTCAACTATTCGAAACTTCACAGTATTCGAAGCTATACTTATAAGATAGAGTCTCTATTTCTTTAACAAGAACATTTTATTTAGTGAAAAATATTCTTTATTTGTTTACACAGGACCTTCAGGGAGCTTATAGATGGGATAGTTGGAATAACAAACTGTAGTTGCACCGGCAATATTAGTAACACCTTCTATCCAGGGACAGCAGACAATATTCTTAGGCCTGTGTTGCGGTGGGGATATTTCCGCAACGCCTTGTGCCTTTTGATTTTGAATCTTGTTCAAGTGCAAGGAAACAGACTCTAATTCATCTGAGCGGTAGACAGAGAAAAGTGATGAGTATATGAATACGTTTGCCTTTCCTCTTATATCCCACACATCGTCACAAAAAAAGTTGATTTCAGACTGTGGGCATTCTGCTTCACTCTGATAACTGCTAGAAGCGAGATTCGGAAGGCCTCTGAAACGAATTCCTTCCCGAAAGAGACTTCCATTCAGAAGTGCGATACCACCCCAGCAGCAGTAAGCTCGAAATGGGAGTTTTCTGACGAACCTGTCACTATCAAATCTATTAAAGAAGGGATATTTTGCTCTTGGAATGTCGCCATCCATATTTCGCATAACCCATAAATCATACAGTTGCAGAGTCTTGTCATTGTTAATGAAATAATCAATACCACATTTCATGTCATAGCTTTGTCCATCGACAATGAGATCCAAAACTCTTTCAAACTGGTAAGTCACATCATTGAACATTAGTACATGAGTCGCGGATATCTCCTGAAGAATAAGAGGCAGAAGAACACAATTTCGTATTCTACTGAGAGTATAAATGCGATGAGGATACCCTACAAAACTTTTTCCCAGTATGATGCGATAACCAACTTTGAGTTCCCTTAAGAAACTTGAGAAGTCCCGAAGTTGTTCCTTCACGTCTTGCTTCCCAGCATCTTCTATAATACTTACAAATACGTCTAATTTTTGTTCAATTAAGTTCTTTAACAGTTTTGTTGTTTCCGACACCCAACTTCTAACCAGTGATATCTCATTTGAATGCAGAAGTAGCCCAATGTATACGTCAACCTGTTGTGAATGTTCTTTTGACTCTAACACGGTAGGATATTCTATGTGAGAAAGGCAGTAAACACGAGTTTCTGTTTCCTCTAGTATTTTAAAACTTAAAGAATGGGTATAATCATTTGAGTGATAGAAAAACGCCAGATTCCATCTCACAAGGTCACTCACGTCTTGGAAGCTATTTGAAAAGAAGTCCTTTAGAAATAAGAAAATGAAAACGAGAACAATTAAGAAAACCTTCAAAGCGGACAAAAGCTTTCTTGGTGGTAGTTTAGTTGTGACCTTATCGACTTTAAAACTTCTCCACCAGGAGAACGTCCCAGTTAGTTTCTGGCACATGACACTTTCAAATGCAAAATTTTGTGGGTGGACAGTTGGTGAGGTAGTTCGGTAAAAAATATCAAGTTGCTAATGTTAAATCATAAAGTGGAAGACGAAAAATCTTCAAAAATTGTCAGAAACAATAAGTTGAACTTGTAACAATTCTATACTTTGCGGTGTCCGGGAGTTTCTGGCGTAAATGTTTCAAGTATAAATATATATGATCAATTCATGAAATCAACTTACAACTCAACTATCTGCTGGCAACTATTATTATTATTATAGACACGATATTATGCTATGCCTTATCGGGGATTTTGTCGCTGAGCTCGATTCTCTTATGTACAACTGTATTCTACTACGTCGTATCAGCTCACCTTCCGACCAACGCCTATCTCAGTTGTTATGGGAGAAAGTAACCACTCCTCGTACAAAATATTGCTTCAACATAATTATCTCAAAAGAATGAGTTCACATTTGTTAAATTCGGTAAAAGTAATTAATGTTTGCTTCAGATAGACTACTTTATAACCAATGTTGTTTGGTATCTATCAAAGCCAGTAAAACAGCCTTGTCTTGAATAGTTGAGACCCTTCAACACACGTATTAGAACAATCAAACCACAATAACACAAAAATAAATACCACCTCATCCTCTCTTCAAGCTCAGATAAATGCTGTTTATCTGACTGTAACCACTCTGGAACCTCTTCGTAGGGCTCTGTTGATGACGACGTGTTCGAAACAGATAAACTGCGTAGAGAAATATCTACTCCTCTATTCTTTCTTCTTACCGGGATCACACATGAGTCTGACAACAAAAAGCTTCCTGATTCCTCTTTATCCTTCAAAAGGCGGTCCAGTCGAATAGGCAATGATATTACAGAAATAGAACCCAGTGAAGATTCGAGCATATCCTCCACGTCTTGCCACCAATTACTACCATGATCCATAATAAGCAAAATTAGCTCTTCATTTGAGAGTTGAGTTTGACCCAATTTCGTAAAGATGTGACGGGCATTCCAACAAAGCTTCTGGAAAGCCTTAGTGGCTATAACAAAATTCTCCCGGTACTTGCAATCTTGAAGACAAAGGTTACTTATAGACGATAATTTGTTCGCAATCCAGCCAAAATTTTCAGCGCACAAAGTTTCAAACGAATAATTGCACACGAATAGTTGATCAAACGCTAAGCGGACACAACTCATCGCAACTTCCAGAGCTGTATAATATCCCGTGGATATCGATGGGTAAATCCACAAATACTTTGCAACTTGAAAACCCCGTTCAGCATCATTTATGATTGTTTCCCAGATATCAGCCAGCTTCTGGAAATATTCATGCGCATATCTCCGATCAGTTCGGACAATGGAAACGGACGATATAAATCCATCTTTTTGTAAGTCTGACAACTCATCATCTACTAACTTGCCTAAATCAATAGACTCTCTACAATATTGCTGATTTGAATGCACAAACACCAACATGGTAACTGCAATCGAAAAATTCTTCAATATGAAGGACTTCAGTTCTCTTTTCCACAGCTTCCAATCTATTGTAAACACATCATTAACTCCAGTTACTAGTATATTCGGCTTTGCCATCGTATAAACACCTTCTACAAAAGCAGTATCTGAGTCCATCGTCCAAACTTCGCAATAGCAATCAACCAAAGGAACCATGAAATGTGAACTGCTCTCCTTCTCGCTTGTTATTCCCATAGAGAGCATCTTTAAACCTTGGGCTACAACTTCTTGCTCCTCTTGACTAACCAACTTTTTCACAGTAATCAAGCAAGTTGTATGTCTCACTTCTTTGACGTCTGTAGACTGAATTTTCAGTGGATGTCCTCTGACACGATACATATTAATCGGAGTTTTTGAGTTCTGAGCAAAAACAGCTCTATCTTCGTTGCTCGAGTAATTACTAACTGCTTCTGCTGGAGCTCTAATGAGCGATCTTGCGGCATCGTTCAACTTTCGCAGTTCGCACTGCCACTGACATTTGATAGATAGCATATCAGATATAAAAACCTCTAAATTCTCATAAAATTCTCGAATGGAGAAAACAATATTCCTCAGTTCCTTGTCATCATTACATATATCTGTCGCATTGACTTGTAGAAGAAACTGAAACAACTGTCGTCTTATCTCTTCAATCTTCTCTATCAGTGTGGATAACTCTTTGGTCTTTTCTGTATCCACAACAGACTTAGAAGCGAGATTTCTGTATCTCAATTGCAACTCTCTTATTTGTGGAAGAAACTTTAGGAGTCTGGAACCTTGACTTCTTTGGGATGCTATCCATAGTTCATTGTCGGACCTGACTTCCTCAGTATCCCTCTCAATAATATTCTCCGAGTTTTTGGATTTTTCTACGATAGAATGGTTGACTAAAGCTGCATTCCATTCTGACTGTTCTTCTACAATCTTAGATTTTTTGCCTTCTCCAAGAAATTCATTTTCTCTCCTTACACCTTCATCTGACCAAAACAGGTTTTTGCGTTTCAAATACCTGCCTGGTATCTTTGGACTTGAATCCTTGCAATGAAAATAATCTATTTTAGGTATATTCTCATCTTCCTTGTCCAATCTTAGTTCTGAAGATAGGGAAGATTGCGTCATATCTGCTGTGTTACGCTGCCCTGTGAATGGAATATCATCTTTGGTTGAGAATTCCGGTGACAACGATGAAGTGCCTGGAGGCGGTCCTTCTAGTCGTCGTTGATTGGATGGCAAAGTATCTGCTCTTCCCATAACACATTTATCGCTCCATGAGTTACTCTTGTTCCGGTTAAGCTCCTCTTTGATGTATCGACAGGGAACATTCATTTGCATAGCAATAAAATTGGTTTGTTCCATCTGCTGTTGATTATGAGGAATAAATTCTAGTGCATTTGCTGATAATTTTCTGGTTGGTCTCCTTTCATTGTCTTTCAAGGCATAATTTTCTTGTTGTATACGAGGCAATGGTTGCGTGTTCCTTGCTTCCCTGACATGCAATAAATCTCGATGCTTCTTAGAAGAAGTCCCATGATCTAATATCTCAGTCTTTCCCATCATAATATCTTTTACAGAAAAACCATTAGATTTAGGCTCAATATGTTTAAGACTTCGTCGAGGATGATATTTTGTCAACTCGTCAGCACTTGCCGTATTATCCAAACGAATCACTCTGATTCCATCCTCAAGGTAGTCTGAAACAAAACCTAACGATTCACAAAAAGATAATGTATCCTCCAAATCTTCAAATGCCAACATTTCTTCCAACTCTGCAATAGGCATAACAGGAAAGCGACTGTAACATTTTTGCATAATTAACAGAGCCGATTTGCGTACGAATGAAAAATGTTGTTGCATCATACAAGCCACTAAATAGGATGCACGCTGTAACAGTCTGAAGAATCCAACGTAATTATTACTTCGCAACGTTTGATATACTTTCAGGGCAAATTCAACCTGTCTACTCTTCAAGACATGAATATCAAGTTCTCTACAAACAGCCAATATACTAAAATTGCGACAGTAATTTCCCGTTAATTTTAAAAGCAAAATAGAAAGAATCTTTTGGTATTACCTGTGAGGATCGAAATGTGATAAAACATAATAAGCTTGAAACTCTCCTTCATTGACTGAAGTTGTCAAACCTTTTGCACGTCTCTCTCTGTACATTTCTCTGAGCGATATCAGACACTTGTCCAATTGTTCCATATTTTGGCGACTTGAATAGACACTGGAATCTTCTTCACAAAGTCTTTGTTCTGATAATATATGAAATCTTACAGTCTTTTCAATAATATCTATGGTCATTTCATTACGAACACCTTGAAAGGTAAAATCCTGACGAATAGAACGCGTACGATCTCTAACAAAATTGTGCACTTCACTAAACGAACAATCCTTCCTATCTACAATATATTCCATCAAATATTCCATTGTCTTTTCTAAGATATAGGGTGGTCTGATCTCATTTGGTTTTGGTGCTTCTTGACAGGCAGCAGAACGTACATACTTCTTAACTGCTTTTAAATGATCTACCTTTGGAGGCTCTCCTTCCACTGTTGGTTTACAGTAGTCAATTTCAAATATTGATAAATCTCTCTGAAGTTCACGTCGCGTCCGCTCTTCAGCAGGACACATTTCTAAACAAGTTCCAATCAGATTATGAGCCAAAGATAGTTGCTGTTTTTCACCAGCTGTTCTCCATCCAGTATCATCGACATGTTCTACTTCTCCTTCATCATCAGAAACAACATTTTGAATAAAGCGTGACTCTCTCTTCAATTTGCGAACAATTTCATCTTCATTTGCAACTTTGGCTTCCATTAAAGACTCTTTGTTGTATCCAAAAGGCTTCCAAGCTCTACTCTGTTCCACGTTGTCACTACAAGAAGGAAGAGGGGTCTCAAATGCTGGAAGGTCTTCAGTATCCATTTTACTGGATACAACTTCTTCTTCGTTCCCAGAAGCCTCTGCTGAAAAATAAGGGTCACGGTAAGCAAAATAATCTCTTCGACGATAATCTTTTGGAATAAAGTATCGCATTCGCATTCTATATTCACCCTGTGGAGTACCTGCCTTCAAGGCAATTTCAGCGTCGTCTTCTGTTGAGAAGGATACAATTGCCGAGCCTCTCTCTGGTTTTACTTGGACTTGTACGACCTTTCCTGGAAGTATCGATTCAAAATATTGCTTGACTATATCATACTGACAAAACTCAGACGAACAACGAGAAAGTAATAATTGTGCTGTCTTTCTTTGTTGAACAGGGTATTCACGAGGCTTCAATGCAAAAGGTGTCGTTTGTCCACTTTCCTTCCGAGAAGTTGCGAAAGGGTCTTTGGGCTGCACAATATATTGTGGCTGTTCTTCAAAAATTTTTCTGGTTTCTGAAGAAAAGTTTGTTGTGTGCTTCACAGTCTGAGCCTCTTTAAGGGGTACACTTCCGAATAACTGCAAGGAAGGTTGAGCGGAAGGGTCATTCAAAATAGGTTGACCAACAGAGGAAGGAAATGGACCCTCAAAGCTGTAGTTCAGTTCACTAACTGTATGGGAACTATTATTTTGAAACCAAAGACTTGCTTTGTTTCCACTTTCTGTTTGTTCATATTGTCCCCAAGTCAAGTTTGGTATCCACTCGTGCATTCCTTTCCCACCTCAAGTTACCTTTGAATAACAAGAATTTATTATCCAACTTTTTCAAGACGGAACTTTAAAAGGTTTATCCTTTCTTCTTACTAACACCAACAGTTCTTCCACGACGACCAGTTGTCTTTGTATGTTGACCTCGCACACGAAGACCCCACATATGTCTCAAGCCACGGTGAGCACGGATCTTTCTCAAACGATCGAGGTCTTCCCTCAACTTAAAGTCTAGATTGTTGGAAATTAGCTGAGTATATTTTCCATCTCTAACGTCCTTTTGTCTGTTGAGAAACCAGTCCGGAATTTTAAACTGTCGCGGATTCTGAATAATGGTAACTATGCGATCAATCTCTTCCGCCGTCAAATCTCCAGCACGTTTGCTAACATCAACTTCTGCTTTTTTCAATACCAAATTAGAGAAACGCCTACCCACACCTTTGATGGAGGTTAAGGCATACATGACCTTCCTCTTGCCGTCTATGTTGGTGTTTAGAATACGAAGAATGTGTTGAAACTCGGAACTTTGTAATAAAACAGACTAGTAAAATTATTCACTGGGTATTAGTCTTTCTCAGCCAAACCAACTTACCATAATGACTTGCCGATACTAAAGAACACACACACGTGAATCAATTTCACCTTCGACGACGTCCTAAACAATCTCCCAACGAAAACTAATTATCGATTCATCTTTCGGAGTTGCGAATATGTTTGTGGATAGTCAATGTCGATTGTGTTATGATAGATCAAGCTTGTTTTGTACTTGGAGCAAGAAAACTAATAGTTTTTTGGTGGATAGGTCACGTCTAAAGATTCGTATTAAGTACAAGTGCACTTTGTGTCGTACCACTTGGATAGCTTGTGGGAATCAGAGTTCCTTTAGTTGTCTCAAAGGGCCATTGAAATATATGGCGTTGTTACTTGCAGGCTCTGCTATTTTTTATACTGGTTATATAAAATATTTCAATATAGGTTGGTGTTCGGAGTGGAAGACTGATATTCCCCATATCAACTATTTATCTGCTGGACGACAAGCACAAGGAGAGAACGGTTTTGAAAACAATAAAATTACTGGAAAGGGAGCCAAAATATTCTCAAAAGCAAAGAAACTTGCCGAACTTGAAGAGTTCTCAGCAGCCGAAAAGCTATATCAACAGCTGATACAAGAAGAACCTACGTTTGCTCCAGCATACAGCAATTTGGCCAATATTCAGGTAAGACCGATAGTTTTGTAGTTATTATTACACAAGATATACATAACTTTCTTCAGATTATCTTTGGTAAATATTCACAAGCTATCACCAACTATACTCGAGCATTAGAACTAGCACCTTTATCGAATGATACTTGGATTGTTTATCTCAATCGAGCAAATACTTGGATTGCTTTGAGAGATATTGAAAAGGCAATGGCAGACATTGAACAAGCAGCCCAGTGGAAGCCTAAGGATTCTTTGATTCTTTCTACTCGAGCATTGTTATTCGCTTATGAAGGAAAGTGGGATGAAGCCTTTTTAGAATTTCAAAATGCTGTGGAGAGTAGACCAAATGAAGTCCAACCTTTTTGGTTCAATTATGGAATGCTATTATTCGAGAAAAGTAAGTTTTACATATTATTTGCAGGCTATTTTTTTTGAATTCTACCGGAAGGCAAATCATTTGAAGCTCGTTCCATAATATATCGAGTGGCACAAAAGTATCCAAAATTATCAGATATTCATGTTGTACTTGCTGGAATAGAATATGCTGAAGGTAATATTCAAACAGCGGAATCGCAGTGGAAACTAGTTGAACATCCGAAGATATACACGCATATATTTATTGAAAGGGAAAAAATATGGCCTCCTAAAGTAAAGCAAGCTGTGGAATCGTTTGTTGAGACCGTGAAAAAGAATTGACTTTAAGTGAAATATCTCAAGTAAATGAATGTGAGAGAGAAAGAGAGAGAGAGAAAAAAAAGAGCTACAAGAGTGTACTTTTTCAAAGACCAATTTTTATACGGAATTCCTCGTGAGATTACTGAATAGTTTAGGAAGACTTAGTGGTTCCTTTTCCTTGACGTTACGAAGACTATTGGAAGCAATCGCTTGTTGTTGAGACAGGTAAATAAAATACCAATGGCAATGCTTAGTAGAACAAAGAGAAAGAATCTCGTGTTGCTTCCACTAAAAAAAGATCACGTATTCAAAAGATATTCCTTTTATTGTCATAGAAGTTTGGTTGGTACTCTTGTGTCGTTGAATGATAGAGTTTCTTGTTAGCTGTTGAAGGATCTTTTGATTGGTTGTTGATGCAAGAAGGAACTTTAGACTTGGTGCAACATTGGAAGCTGAGTATTTTATGTTATGTTGCCAGAACAATGGACGGACACACTCATTGAAAGAATCCCTGTTTTGAAGTGTGCATAATGTAGAGAAATGTTTCTCGAGAGATTATTCTCTTCTGTGTCTATGAACAAGTTGCTGACACGCCAAGTTTGACAGCAGTCGAGAATTTCGGTACATTAATAGAAAGTGATTTTCGTTACAAGTTTACAGTGTATAATTCAGATATTTCGTACTTTGTCTACAGAAGAAGTTCATGCGACAAATGTGAAGACAATTTGCTAGCTTAATAGGCGACGGGCTGTGTCAATTGTCTAACTTCGGTCATGTCAAAACTAAACAAATATATCGTAATTAAAAAGCCCATGAAAGGGTTAATCTCTTTAAGCATCGATAAAGCCTTCTTCCATGGCGCAGTAAAAAAAATGCGACAACTATGAAAAGTTTGAAAAGACCGAATAGACACTGAAAAGGTATCTTATAAACCTTAACAGAACCTATTGGTTGCTCTCACTGTTCTAATTCCTCATCCTTTGTGTCAACGGCCTAAAGTGTTAATTTTGTCTTTAGAGGTCACTTCCTTATTTCTGAGTCTAGGCAATTTCTGTTAGTTCTCAAACAACTTTAGTTTTAACTGATCGATCGAGTATCAAGCCAACATTGGTCTATTGCAAGGCGTGCGAAGGAGTACAATAACAAACAGTGGTGGATAGACTTGAACACCTTCACTAGAGCAGTTTCAATCTAAAGGCAACCACACTCGTCTTCTCTAGTATCACCTTCCCTCAAAATTAGGTGATATTTGTCTAAATGCTTTCAGATTGTAGGTTGCAACCGATTGCCAAGATCTTGCTTTAGCCTTTGCGTTGAGATACTTCAAGACTTGTATCGATTCGCACACGAGAGACCACTGGCACATGGAGAATCTTCGCATTTCACTATGGAATGTTGTTCATCCATTTGACTGCAAGCAACCTACAATAACTCGTACTTTTTTTCAGGCAAAAGGTTGATTTTATTTCCTTTCGCATATCAAACCTTATCATAAGCTATATTCAGAAAAGAAGAAACCCTCTCAATGTACTCGTAGATGACTTCTGGGTGACCTTTAAATTGTTTCAAGTCTGAACTTGGGTCTCTTGGGTTTATAGAGTTTACCCAAGGATGAGCTTCTGGTTTCCCCATCCAGGCAATTGATTTGTTTCGCTTATACTCCAAGTTGCGAGCCCAGCCATAGTGAACGTTGACAATATCTGGCAATCTCATTACTTTCCCATCTGTTGTATGAAGATTTTCTGCCGATTTTCCTTCGGCTTCATCAGTCCATTTTCCTGACGCATATATATTCTGAAGATGATTAAAGATTCGTTGTTTTGACGGAATATGAGGGAACTGATAAAAGATAGTTTGGTTACTTGCTCCCACAATGTCCTTATACAGTGCTTTCATCCACTCTGTGTTTGTTTCAACTTCATTTTGATACAACTCATATTCACAAAACTCAACTTCCGAAACATCCTCTTCCAAATATCTCGCTGTGTCGACCAAGAGCCTTGCTCCAGCTCTATAAAATACTTCGTCTGCATCAATCTTTAAAAGTTTTGTACAATTCTGATTCTTCAGCCATTGAAGCCCTTCATTCCGTGCAGATGAAACGTCGAAGTCTTCGATACCTTTGGAAATTATTCTCAACTTCCCTGTCTTAACTTCTTCGGAAAATATGTGTTTAATAAGTGACACCGTTCTGTCGAACGAGTTGGTGTCCACAAACACATATCTATCTACTTGCAATAAAACCGACGCTACTGTGAAGGCGGCAAGGCATTCTTCGTTGTAGCCTATCGTGAGGGCTGCAATATCACAGGGGGGAAGTTTAAAAGTTTTGGATCTTGTCAAAATATTCAAGTTAGCTATACTGAACCAAAACAGAAGGATGGAGAGAATACAAAAAAGTACGTAGGTCCTTCGTGGACTGATCCAAGTAGCTACTACAGCAAACAGCATTGGTTTCCTTCCCTATGAATGTCCCTGAACAATTTCAACATTGATGGATTATTGGATTTCTACATTATAACGGTAACAATTTAATTGACTAAGATGTTTTCTTTACTCCTTCTTGAGAGATGCAGATGAAAGATAAAAGGCTAAACAATAACTAGAAATATTATTCGTATCTCGTCACAATGATAAATTGAACAAAGGGCATCACAAACGCTCGAAGTTTGTTAAATTCTTAATAATGACTCAATCTTGCAACGCACGACGATGAGGCCATAAGAATTCATAAAACTGCATAAATTTCAAAGTCCTCACAAAAGAAAAAAGTTAGATGAAGGAACGAGGTAATAATACTCATCAAAACTATAGATTACTCCAAAATATGCGCTTTCGGCAACTCTACTAAGGCTTTCTACAAAAGCCGCAAAAGAAAGGTTAGGACGAATAGGAAGTTCATACCGGGATCCGGACAGGTCAAAAGCATACGGAATGGAATGTATTCAAAGACAACTCGCAAAACAGGAGTCTGGTTTGTTGAATTTTGCATGTTTTTAAGGCCATACTTGTACTGTGAAAGAATGGTCAGTTCTTCATAAGTGCCAGTAAGTTGTTGAATGTCTTCTTTCTTTTGTACAACGCAACACATTCAGGAGAGGAGAGACTTAAACACTTTACTATCTAGCAGTCCCACCGAACAATTCGAACTCTGTTTAGTTCAACGTAGTCGAATACCTGATAATAAGAAACTAGTGAAGGCTAGATACTCAGCTAGGAAAGCTGTGCATCCCTTAGAGAAACATACTATGATACCCAATACTAAAGGAAAAATGTTGCTGCACAACTTGATGTTGCTTCATGTAAAAACCAAAGCTTGGGTTTATTGTAGAGATATTTTGCAAAATAACCCAAAAAGCTCGTTTGTTTTCCATCAGCAGTCTCTCGGTCGCTTCATGGCTTTCGCTTCTACAAAAGAGTTGAGTGTAAGAAGAAATTTTTAATGAAACAAGATAACCACGTAAAAGCGACAGTCTGATTCGACTCTGGCTGCAACGAACGGACCACTGTTACAGATATTTGTGCGAAACTGATGAAAGAGAGACTGTAGTTTATGCATATCTTTCGATCCAAGAATTGAATCTCGACAACACAATTTCAAAGAGGAAAACCCGTATATTTGTTGAATCCGTCAAGTAGAAACTGTCCAGTTTATTCGCTCTTACCGAAACATCTTCCAAATTTGACACTATCACGGAACGTTCACACAGAGCAATTTCTATCGAAAACCGTTCTGCTAAAAGGAGATAATTCCACTAGAGTCAAAAGTTAGTGCAGTTACCGAGTCTCGAGCCACAAATTTCTTGTAGATGCAAACTTCCAGCTGCGACAAATTTCCTCAACAAGAAAAATAGAATTATTGAATATCTTCAACTGTTCCTCTTTTCAAAAATAAAAGAATGAGAGCTAAACCGTCACTAATTTTTAAATGCTAACATCTGAGCGCATAATCAGTGTTTCAAAGCAAACTCAGTAGTCAAGGTATCTTCGCTGTAAGGATTTACACGCATAGTCTTTTTTTACGAAAAATTGGATAAGGGCGGAGTCACACAATACTGCTGTTTTTGCAATTTTCCAAACCGTGCCACGCATCTCAGCTTGATTTTTAAACACGTTATGCCTTCATATTCAAAGGAGAAGTTTCATCATCGCGTCATACAATTTCTGCTGAACTAGATAGCTGACAAATATTATTCATTTTAGTCTGTGGGGTCCTTTTGCTCAAGTCCCGTACTACTCAATCTTCGAAACAGAATCTCGAACTAGAAGAGTATGGTTTGTTCTTCGAAGTGATTTAAAAATTTCGTTCTCGACGGAGGTTCTAAATATTGCTTAAAACAGCCGAGGAAGATCACTCCCAGAGAGTATAACGAAGACGATAACTAATAGTACGAAAACTAGTGTGAAGGAAAATCGGCGGGTACAGGTAATTCTGGTTCTTGAACAGCATTGTTTAGAGTTATACCTTGAATGGACAAAGTAAAAATATGTGTTCGAATTAGGAGTCAACACTTTTTTTAGTAGATGGGTTTGATTTAATACAGCTTCAATCGCATAGAATTGTCGGTGAGGACAAACCTTACTACGAATGCACAGTTCGATCAAGTATGCGAAAAAAAGGAAGAGGCATATTGCCAACTGCTGATAGTCTGCCTCATGATTTATGATGTTCATCTTGCGTTTCACAAAGCATTAAAGAATAACATTGAAAAATCCACTTCAGTGAAAAGCAAATTGTAAGAATAAATTTAAATTATATAGCTAATTATCTGGTAGAAGCTTCTAACTGTAAAAAAACTGAAGTTGCTACGGTTAAATAGTTGGAGCACATTTAGAGACACAATTCGAAGATGTTATCAAATGCTCTAGATGATAGTCTGCAAGGACATATTTTGTCGAGTGTTTGCGATAAATACTTTGTTGAAAACAACTTTACCTTAAGGGAAAAGGGATTCAGATATGAAGAAATTCTTTAGCGCATAAGCAAGAAGCGACTGAGGTTAAGGTCTCAGTTCAGACTACGGCTCCTATTCGTCCTAGTTCACAAAGAAGAACTTCGAATGATTATAATTTTTGATATTTCAAGCAGTTCCTCTATGAATCTTGTAAAATATTTTTACATGAGGCAGGACAATATTGATGACTTTCAACCATCTCAAACAATCAAGAAAAACAGAGTGCACCTGGAAGGGTTGACTGAGTAAGATAAATACAGAAAAGGAACGAAATTGTGCGCACTCATCTGCCATAAGAAACGGAAACGTTGCAAAAAGCTTAGTAAGTTATATCGTCTATCCCATTCAAGATTCAAAGAAGTCGACAGGCCGAATACCCAACTTTCGTAAAGTGACAATTTCATTGAACAGAGAACAAGACGAAGCGTCCAGTGGAAAGGGTAACTAAGCATCTAACAAACGAAACAAGAGTAAACTCTAGTCTCCACTCGAAAAGAACTTGTTGGAAAACAAATTGCGTACATTTGTGTATCGAAAGCAAGCTTTTGGATAATAGATCTCATAGGAATCATTTTGACGAACAGTTCTTGTTTACTCAAATTTTAGCAGTCTCAAAGAGCACAAAGTGAAGATTACATCGCAATTTGAAGTCTTCACTCCTTTTGCTGCAACTAAGGGTATTTGGAACTCAAAGCTTTCCAAAATATCAGTTTGCGCACCAAGGACTGTAGTCCAAGTCACAATATAGTTTCAAGACTATCTTCCAAATGGAATGGGCGCTTGAAACTCTATAGAATGAATGCACTTCAAACTTTGAGGTGTTCAAACCGAAGTAACCAAGATCTTCAAATAGGAACTTAAACTTTTCTTCGGGATAGTCTGTTTGAATTCTTTCATGTTCGCAATCAACATGCCAGAAACGCTCGGTCCCACTCGGAGGTGCTTCAGGAGGCCACATTTGTTTCGACTGAAAACGTTTGACAAGGTTGTCATCTTCTTTACCCCAACCCCAGAAGCAACTACTAAAACCATTGATAACTTCGAACTGTTCGGCAGTAAAAATAACATTGCCAGCTAAGTTATCTGGGTAATTCACATGGGGGTGAATATCTAGAGGAGTTAGATGATAAGGTACTTTTCCTGTTGGGCAATGATATAGAAAACTACTCGTCAGTGGAACAGTATCGGCATCTTGTAGACAGTAGCAATCATATGATTTGTTTCTTAGAAATATAAAAGCTGAATTAAAAAGTAGTCCTCTGTTGAAGTGATACTCGCTTGTTTGCTCAGCAAAAAATATTTCGTACGAAACGTTGTTGAAGCTTTTTAAATAGTTTGCGAAATAAACCGATATGAACTTCTCATCCAATGGTCTCTGGCGAAGAGGAATGATTACTGCTATGCGTGGTCTCACTTTTTCGTCATTGCTAACAGAGTAGAAGTGAAAACATATAACTCAAACCGCCAATAGTGTCAATAAAGGTACTAGTGTTGTATAATTCAAACGAAGTGAGCGTTCAATTTTTCAGGTAAGAATCAAAGGGACATTCCAATGCGCCGGAGAAATGAATTGAATTGGGTTAGCGCAATATGAGGGTGCTTTTTAATCAACGTACGCAACAGCAACTGAAAGAACGAAAATACTTCAATCCTTCAAACAGAAGCTGTTTAAAAATTTATTTCTGCGATATTTTTAAGAAATAGACAACAAAGTGTTCCTAAGAAGAGACCATATTTGTCATGCAACTCTACTTTCACCCATCTTCAGACGGAGCCAAAAAAAACAAGTAAGATGAAGTTTTTCAATTTTTTCAAGGATGAAATCCAAAACTGTTGGTCTAAATTTTGATTCAACATTCATTCATTCAACTCGTCGAAACAGTCAAGATTACAACAACTTCGTTGGGAAAATTAATTAGAATATCCTTCTACGAAAGGTTACTTCAATATTCTCTGCAAAAATAAGCTTATAGAGAGCATATATGACAAAGATAATTTTACTTGTTCAACAGAGACACTTCAGGGAGAATGATCTTCTCTATTCGAAAGCATCCACCTCAATTTATTTTATATACAAGATTTGTGCAACGATGAAATTTCTTCGTTTCCTGAAGTTGAAAAGGATCATATTTAGAAGCGCTCTTTATCTCTGAAAACAATTGCTTGAGGAAAAACTCTATTTTGAATTCTTTCACTAGATTATAAAAGAAGAAGATAAATCAACAACAATGTACAAAATTATGTGACAGTTCAACCTATGTCAAAAGTCAAGACGATAATATGAAAGCTATCACAGCAATTAGAGCTACCCAGACCCACGATTGAGATAGAGTAATTCAGTAAGTATATGTGAAAGGGGAATGTTGCTAGCCAGAGTGAGCTCTGCGGCTGGTTATATTTAATAGAAAATTGTGAGAACAGTCTCCCAAGTCTACTCTGAAACCAAGTTGAGATGTCTATATCAAAGAGGTTAGAAAGCAGCTCAAAGAGAAAGACATGTCCTTCTGTGATGGCTAAAGAGTTATTTATTACGTTACAGAGGCGTTCCAAGTAATGTTTTCGACATACTCGAACAGCCAACAAATTGTGAACAACGCAAAATCCTGAATGGTTTTATTCCTAATAGTGTTTTTCACGTTTCTGTCGCCTCGCAAAGGACAAAAGAAAGTTCACTAAAATATCACAAACTCTGCAACAGAATTTCGGAAAAGATGAGTAGGAAGAAAGAATAGAGTGTCAGGTTTCGTAAACAAAAGTTGACTGCAGATAATCACTGAGTTATCTCGAAATATTGAAACGACTGGAAACCAATTGAAAAAATCTGTCCCTAAATTGTTGAAAACCATGAAAATATATAGTTCTATTCAACTACTCGTATTTATTCAGAATAACACAATCGCAGGCTATATTTTGTAGGTTCAACAAGAATCACTAAAAGAAACGATGAACACAGGAGCTTCAGCGAAGTTGTCAGTAATAGGAAACTCGACTTGTTTTTACTTGCTATTCACTGTCTATGTTTTCCTTTGTAGTTCTGGAGTAAATTTGACTAAACATGACTGCTTCGGGAAATCTCTACAGAGTCGTATCTCACAATGACAAGCATCTGATGAAAATCTTTGTTTCAATTTAGTTACTTCCAAATATTACAGTAACTTCAACACATAGAATCGAAAGTATATTTGTTGAAGCAGAAGATGCAATATCATATTTGAAAAAAATGCCTATACTTTAGCGTTTCATTGTTGAAATACTATTTGTAGAATCTCAAGAAACTATTCTATTTCAGTGACGATGAGGCGTTGCCTTTTTTTACTTGGCATTGGAAACCAAGAATTTTGACTTCCACAAGACCATACTTTGTTTTCTTTTTCATAAGTAGTGGCATCAATGTATTCGCATCGCGTGTGGGATGCAGCGTATTGACGTCATATGAAGTCACCGTTAATTTCACATCACAAAATTGTCAACTACGTTGCACATGCCAGTCATCCCTTGGCATGTCTCGCATATTTCTGAGAGGCCAAAGTCTTGGAAATATATCGTTGCACTAATTGGGCAGAACGTCTTTTAGCTTGTACCGTATAACGTGATTGCAAAAATGAAAGTCTTTTATGGTGGAGTGTTGGAGGTTCTTGAATGTAAGAGTAATTTTTATGACGTTGAGACGTCAGGATAGCTATACTGGAACCATCATTTAACTGTCTACTTTTTCCAGAATGTTTTAGCAGTCTATGAAAGTTCCAAAATGTATGTTCGTGCAACAAAGTACTCAATATCTATAGTAGGTTTTCTTCACTCTTATCGCTTCTAATTCTCGTACTGAAAGAGAAAATACTTTTTCAAGCAGCAAATCTATCAAGTTCTTTGCAAACGTAACAGAGTGAGACTTCCTTTGAAGAAGAATTTGATGGTTGAAGCGATTCGTTGAGTGGTTTTCTTGACAAGCAAGTCCTAAAGAGATCCACGTGTGTCTGGGGTTGCTATTGTTGCTTGCTTCCTGTCTCATATAATAGCTTTAAAGTCATTTATTGACGACTAGGAAAGCGAAGTTGCAGTTATATGTGAATATGATGAGCGCTTCTTATGTAAGGTAGGCAAATTTTGGAACAGATATAAGCTGCCCTTCAGCAAGTCAAAAACAGCAATGTGCTGAGACTTGCATAAATGGATCTTCTTTATTTAGTGACCCTCGAAGAAGTCACCTTTCGCAGCGATATCACCTACTCAGGAATGCAATTGTATGTGATATCGAAAAATTTTGCAGAACGTGTCACGGATAGTGTTTATTATCCTATTCGTTTATTGAATAACCTTATTTGATTATTACTAGTGAATATTTGTGAACCAAAATATATGTCGAAACGTTTCTTGTCACTCCGAAACCTAGAGATCCCTATGGAGTTGTTGTCTATCCTTCGTTAGTTATTGTGAGCATCAGTTTTACATCAACAGTCGGAAGCACTCCTCATTGGAAGCACTTTGAGATATACGGCTTACACAATTATTCTGTTTATGGTAGCTTAATTAGTCGTCATCGTCGTATTCTATTATTATGGCGTTCTATTCTATCCATAAGCATTTTGGAATTAAACGTTATCTCCAACTATGATTTTTTCCTGCTTCTTCATGACTTTCCATAAAAAAGATGTTTGCGCGATTGATCGAAAACCGAGTTTGAACGTTTGCGCCTATTATGTCAATGTATTTCAATTTGTAGTAGCAAGGTGCACCATCTTGGAGTCTACCTCAAAATTGCAAAATTCTCACCAAATTTTCCATATAATCTTTTCAGTCGACTTGTTGAAGTTTATATACTTTTTGGAATGTTTCTCAAGTTTTAAGGAAGAGACACATCTCAGCAATAAGTTGTGCGTTCTGTGAGAGTCGAATGGAATACTCATCATTGCTGCAGAAATTGCTGAATGGATTGCATTAGTACTTAGCGCTTATATCTTTGATAGTTTACATTGGCTACCTAATAACCAAGATTTAAGTATACTGATCTTCCAAGTCCAGGTTGGATTGTAGAGCAACAAAGTTTCATATAAGCAACATTGATGACAATTTGACTCATAAATTCAATGACATTGCATTTTAGGTCAAAAGAATAGTGATTATGAAATTCGGTCGAAAAGAGTTTTATAGACACCAAAAAATATAATAATGTACTGGGAAACATCTTATTGCAAAATCAGACACAGTGTTTCGGTTCCTGTCAAAGAACTTCGTCTTCGTCATACCCTTGAACAGTAACATATATGTAAAACAGCATTACGACAGAAACTTCAATTCTATAAGAGTTGATTCGTTTAGATATTCTCCTCAGCAAACGATAGGAAAGCAAAATAAACAATGTTAACTTCTATTTGAAAAAGTTTTAATCGTCTTGCGCCTCTTCATGAATATACAAAATTACATTGAAAGATTATATGTAGCTTAGAAGTCGCTATTTTCTGACACAAATGAGAACAAAATGAACCTTTGCTGAAGATGTTCTTCTTTCGAATCATACAAAAATATCGAAAACAAAAATAAACATCTCGGTAACAGCGTTAAGAATAGTCTGTCCTTTCCTACAAAATAGCCGATGACCAAAAATATGAAGGGAATGAAACTTGTCAACAAATAACTCAGGTCGTACTCTACCTACAAGAAAGAATCCTGTCTCCACAAGTCAGTTCAATATGCTGGTTCATGCCTAAATGTTTGGTTATGAAATCTTTGACAACTATCGTGACTTAGTTTCGTACCTATCCAAGTACTTTGAAGAAAGAGTTTTCAATAGTCGATCAGCAACTTTGTTTTTAGGCCACGAGCTTCTACTCTCCTAAAAAATATCCGAAGAGATAAGTAATGTTTCCACGTTATATGCTTTTGTTGGAAGTATTGCCGTGAAACATTATTCCAGTTCGTTGTACGGCACCAAGCTTTCTGTCCTAAAAGTCGTCTACAAGAACAGTGTCCATAGAATTGCAATTTTTGTGTATGATCTGAGAACATTCTAAAACCTGTGCTTTCACATGCGAACAATTCAATGAGTTTCTGAACAAGGATATATATTGCCTGTTTTATTTGAATACAGAGGTTTGAAACCTATTGGTTGGATTCAACTAGAATTTCGGAGGAGAGTGAGAATGATGTAGCATGCATAGAAACACAAAAGAGTAGAAAGTCATCGGCCATCCTTCAGTAACCTTTTGAATGGCCCTTCAGACTGTATATAGAACGATGAAATACATGTATTCCCAATCATGAGTAGTTTTGTATCGGTACCAAGAAAATTCCGTCGATAAAGTTCGTAACTGTTATTTGATTATCATGGTGATTTATGACTATGGAAGAACAGTTTCATGGACTTTTTGCAGATTGTGTTCGTGGAGCTCAAGTTGACGGAGAAATGTAAGACAGAACAAAAACTTGCGATTCATAATCCTTTCAAATATCAAAGAGATGACAAAAAATATCAGCTTTAACAATATCAATGAAAAATGAAATGAGTTTGGCACACAATTTATCCCAGTGACGGATGAGGTTGCAAGCTGGCTTCATAATTGGGCCAACGTTTCAGATTTTCGACATTACAATACCATTCCTTTGTGAAAAGTAAGCCTGATTCCCAAGTAACTCGCTGATTCCATCCTAGCTGCTTCAGTTTCGTGGAGTCGATCTTATATCGTAAATCATTGAATGCTCGGTCTTTCACTCTTTCTATATATTTATCTGACATAGATTCAAGACCAAAGAGCTTAAGAAGATCAAGCAATACTTCTAAATTGCTTTTTTCATCATTTGAGCCTATGTTGTATACCTCGTTCGTCAAACCTCGATGAAGGATATAATCAAAAGCTCTAGCAGCGTCATCTACAAATAGGAAATTCCGCTTATGTTCCCCACTTCCATGGAGGAAGGCTGGCTTATTAAGAGAAAGTAGACATATTGATTTTGGTATCAATTTATCTGGAAACTGGCAAGGGCCATACACATTGTTGCCTCGAGTAATAATTATAGGAAGTCCAAATGATTTCGAATATCCACGGGAGATAAGCTCTGCTGCAGCTTTTGTACAGGCATATGGATTTGTAGGCTCTAAGAGAGATGTTTCATCCGAAAGTATATTTTCACCTCCGTAGACTTCGTCAGTGCTAACATGGATAAAACGTTTGATTCTTCCATATTGTCTGCAACACTCTAATAATACATGTGTCCCCAAAACATTGTTGTGGGTGAACGTTAGCGAAGATCCGAACGAGTTGTCAACGTGAGTGCAAGCTGCAAAATGTAGCACAGTATCTATTTGCTCCTCTTCAAGAAGAAACCGTAGCAGGTCTGAAGATAATACGTCACCCTTGACTAGTTTACAGTTGTTTGACCGTAAACATTCTGAAACGTTCTCTGTAGAGGAACAGTAGTCTACTTTATCAAGAATCAGCAAAAAATAATCGGGGTATAAACTAGATAGATGGCGACAAACGCTTGAACCTATAAATCCCAAACCTCCAGTGACAAGAATTCTTTTAGGACAATAAAGCCTGTCTTCTATTTTTAGTGGTTCAAGAAACGTCATCTCACTGTCGTACGGCGGGAAAAGACACCACAATTAAAAAATTGCCTGATGCGAAGAACGTTACAATTAGAGAATGTCCCTTGATTGTCCGTCATACATTGCCAAGCATAGTCTTGTTCATTCAAAATTTTTGGTAATTTTCGAAATGCAAATTGCTCAAAATATTTTCAATATTGGACTTTCATTTTCTTTTAAAGTCATATAGTATTAAAGCAGAAGTTGTTTGGATCATGACCCTTATCTTATATGGAAAGACATGTTTACATTGAAAGACCATTTTAAGGAATTGGTTTTTTGAAAGTGTGAAGATATTTTTTTCAAGGGGCACAATGAAAGTCTTGATAAAAGTTCTTTAAAATGCAAATAGCAACATGACTAGAATTTCAGACTATACTGCTGAAAGGTACTGGGTAGAAGAGATAATAGAATTTGAATCCGTGTAGTGATAGCTTCAGTCCATCTTACCCAGAAGGATAGATAGAAAAGAGATGAATGTGAACGAGGGGTGTTGAGTCAGGGCGTATTCTCTTTAGTGCCAACGTCATGATTTAATTTATCATTTGCAAGTTTTTTACTTGACGAGAAACCTGATTTGATAATACTCTAGATAGTAAGGCAACATTCAGTTTGCATTAAAGAACAGACATTTATGAAGTCAACCTTATAAAAACCACAGGAAATCATGATTTAAGATTTGAATCTCAAATCGGAATAACAAAATATTTGAGAGCACAAGCTACATGAACAATCCAAAAACGTCCAAACAAGTCACTACTGGGAGTTGTGATTGTCTAGTTTTTCCCGAGTTCTCAACAATGCAAGCTTCACAGCAGTATGTGCATCATTGACAGCGGCATCAGGGTTGTCTCGTAAAAGCTTCGACACATCTAATTCGCAATTAGAACGACCCGCTTTGAGTATTTTCGCCTGTTCTTCCAAACTAAAATTCTTCCACTGAAAATTTGGATCAATATACTCGCGATACAGCTTCAGAACTTCATTATGACTAATACTTCCTGGATTTGTAAAATTGTATTTCCCAGTCAGCCGTCGATGACTCATCGATATTGCAACGGGAAGAAGTTCATGCAAAACTGTGACACTGTTTGGAATGTTGACCACACGAGAATACTTGGTTAGCTTCACTATAAAGTTACGAGCTGAGAGATCGTCGCTTATAGGCATTCTTAGACGGAGATTCAGAACATTGGGGTATTCTAAAGCTAGTTGTTCCGCAACAGCTTTCGTTCTACTATAAAAAGAACCGAAAAAATTCGCCGGGTCTTCCTCCTTAAACGGCCGTCCTCCTTCGGAAACGTAGCGATGCTCACCTTCGTCATAATGATAAATGCACCCAGTACCGAAATTCGTTACATGAATGTTTCTGGAAAAACAACAGTCTATGAGGTTCAGCATACCAAGCACATTTGCGCGTATGACCTCCTGACGGTGCGTCTCGCACCAATCGACATTAGGTCTGCCGGTCAAGCCTGCACAGTTCAACACCACAGTTGGTTTCAAATTATCCAGCTCTTGTTCACATTTTTCTCTTTCCTCCAAGCGAAAAGCAGCGTAAGCGTAAGAATAACCCTGCGATTCCAAAAATTCTCCACACATTTGTCCAATCCAGCCTGTTTTACCTACTACGAGAAACTTTTCTGAAGGCGCGGGCTCCCCCACTGGAGCCATTTTACCGTTTCGAGACAAAAAATGATGATTGCGGATTTTCAATTGGCAATGGATTCTATTGTTGGTGAGGGACGTTCTCTGCACAGTGTTCTAGGCGATTGGTTTCGTGATTGGAAGCAATTACAGGCGTTCAGTGAATCCTTTAAAAATTCGGAGCCCTTTCCTCATGTTATTATTGATGGGTTTTTCTCGGAGGCCTTTGCTTCTTCTCTTCTTGATAACTTTCCACTGCCGCACAAAACAAATGAGCTTATTGAGTGGCACAAGTATGAAAACCCATTAGAGTGCAAGTTCGCGACAAACGACGTCAATCCTTTACCTCAGGAATTAAGGGAAGCTATTGAAACGCTTCAGTCAACTGAATTTGTTCACATTGCAGAGAAGATAAGTGACATTGCTCCTTTTGGAAACTGATCCTTTCCTTCATGGTGGAGGTCTACACTTTCACCCTCCAGGTGGGAAACTAAACGTTCATTTGGACTACAGCAAACATCCTAAACTTGACAAGGAGCGACGTCTAAATTTAATAGTATACCTCAATAGAGAGTGGCGAGACTCTTTTGGTGGACACTTGTATCTCTATTCATCTGATACAAACAATACACCCGAAAGAGCAGAAGCAAAAATCCTACCTGTCTTTAACAGAGCAGTTTTATTCAGAACGAGTGATATTTCATGGCACGGTATGCCTAACCTTATAACTTGCCCTATGGATGACGGAAGGAAAAGCATCGCTGTATACTATTTAAGTAACTTGAGGATGGACGCCGAAACTAGGTTGAAAGCACGTTTTGTTGCTAAGGACGATATAAGCTTGGATCCCGGTATAGCGGAAGAGTTGTGCAAAATACGTTCCCATCGACTGTTGGATGCGGAAACCATTTCAAAAGTTATTCCCAATTGGATTTCTCCTATGAGACATTATTCTGATCTATTTGTGAACTCGTCATCTACAAAGGATAATGTCAACCAATGAAGACATTTGTTATGTTTTTCTATAAAGAGAAAGAACAAGACTTGTTACTTTCTGCCTTTTACTGATTGTCGTTTTTAAGCCAAGAATGTTATAACATCACATTCGTGGTACACAATACTTGTTATAAAAATATCCGCCATGTTACCATGGTCTTTTTGAACGGCGAATTTTTACTTGCAGCCAATGATGATCAGTGATCCAGAATGACTATTTCATGTATAATTACAAATTTTCAGTGGAAGCAAGTCTAGAAATGCCATTAGTTAACCCTTACAAAGTAGAAACATAGCAAATCGTGTTGACGCATACCTGACTTCTTCAGTTTTCATTTAGTCACGAACTATAAGAACGATTATTGCATAGGAGCAACAGTTTAAATAAATAATGGTTTGAACAACACTTAGTGCTCCGATTGGTACTGACTTGTTATTGAAAGGGTCTTGAATCGCTTTTCTTCATACTGGAAGCACTTCGCACTTCAGTACTGGGAGTGTTGCTTGCGCAGCAAAAAGCAACTGTTTCTTGTTGAAGGAGGTTGAGGAAATATAGAGAATATCCAGAAAGTTAACGAAATCAGTTTTTGAGTCGAAGTTGTTTGACCCACTCTCACAGAAGAAAGCGTTATTGTTTTCAGATGCAGCATTGGTACAAGCTGCTATAGTACTTTGTTTACTGGTACATTTGTTACTCCCTTTTCTCTAATAGAACTTTCAGAGGATGGTATAGCAAGCTTTAAGCTTTAAAGAACTAAAATTTGATGGGGCGGAAGGAGCTTAACCTTACTTTAGATGATAGAAGTTTAGTTACCATCTGTTGCTTCAGCAGACCTGAAACTTTGTCGTTGGCAGAATTAGTAGTCCCAGCATCAGTGTCTGTAGGGTGACCAACTACTTATCATGAGTAGGTAAGACAAGTAGCATAGTCAACCTTTGATATTATCATCTTCGCAATCTCAATTTCTTCTCATGACGGTTCTGTCTTTCAAAGATTGAAACAATTATATAAAGATAAGCTCTAAAAAGCCAATCCAACATTATATTTCGAAATAGAAATTTATAATGTTTTTCAACTACATTGGTTATCTTTCTACCTTTCCATATGGCTTGAGGTTGTCCTGCTAAAATCTCCAAAATTCAGTATTTGATAGTTTTCAGCGGGGTTGACCCTTACTAACTCAACAAGACTAGAAATAAATGAGCCTCATGGAATGCTCCATAAATAATATTTTATCGCATCCAATAGTCAGTTGCATTTAGTCTTGCTTGATCCTTATTAAGATATGGCAACTTGCCAAGCAAACGCGACCCTCAGCTCCCTTCCTACGAGTTGTTGAAAGTGATACAATATCAATTGGACCAAATTGTAACTGGATACTGTGATTAACCACGGGAGCTTGAAGCTTCATTCACGATAGTTTTCCCTTCACTTTCTCAAAGTCCACAACAGTAAAATCAGTCATGAATATTTTCTCTCTTTATGTCCCGAAACCGATTTTTCTTGTTTGACTCGCAAGAATTGTTTATACGCGACAATTCTAGTGTAAGGCAGAGATAAGCTAGGAAAGTTATTGACTGCGGACGGTCGAAAATATCCAAAACCTATGTCATGAAACTCTTACACGCCAGACTGCATATTTCGAATATGTAAAAGAGGAAGGTCAAATAAGAGTAATGTTTAAGTATTTGGTCCGTGAATACAGTTGTTCTTCGTTTCTTCGTCTTCCTTTTGCAATAGCTTCTGAGGGACTTCTTTGCAAATGTCATGAAGAACAACACAAATCGTAATATTTGGCGTCACGCACAACTCGAATAGTGGGATGCTGAAAAATACTCCGTCAAGTGGGGCAAGACGTCCTGTAACCTGTGCGTAGAAACGATCAGCAATGCATCTATTATACAAATTTTAAATGACGCACAAAAATTATTCCCTTCTATTTGAAAGCATAATCATAAAAGGAAAAATTGCAGAACGTCGACCAACGCTTTGTCAGGAGCAAATTCTTCGCTCGTCGAATACTGCTCATGAAATTACTTTTTAATCTGACTCTATTTTATTATTTCGTCGGAAGTTTTCAAGCTTGTGATAAAGAAAGAGTTGATTGTCGAGATATTTAAAGAAGAGACTTTAACCTTCGTGCTTACATTTTTTCCACCAGGAAAATCTTCGAAAATGATACGAAACCTCCTTACTGACAGTATAACATATTTAATTTCCACAACTGCCTAAGTTATCTACAACATCGTAATAAATTCGGTTATTGAGTTTCTTTCTCCAGTGGTTTTAAAATTTCCGCAGACACAGACCCTGATAAGCCCGCACTAACAAAAAGAACGTCAAAGGTATCACATAAAGTCATTTAAAATCTATATATGAGCTCTTTCGAAAAAAACAATGATGCCAGGGACGTTCATGCCGGTCGTTTGGAGAATTCAATTTGTTGTTTACATAAAGGGAGAATCATCCTCTCCCTTCTTTCCCAAAACACTTCCAAGTCTTACAAGTGCTAAAGCTATTTAAGAACAAAAAAAGAATGTCCTCGAAGGGAAAATACCCACCCAAGATTCCGACTCTGTTGGCCACGGTCTTGCTGCTTAGCTCGTGTTTGTTATGTGCATACAAGTTACTACCCACCCTAGTGTACAAGGAACCTTTGAATGATAAAGTTTTCGCAATGATGCTCAGCAAAAGTATAGACCGTGCTGATTTCGCTCGAAAAAACATGGCAAAGTTAGGTTTTTCGAGCATTCAACTAATTACTCCTTCTGGAGCAAATGAAACGCTTGAGAGTCGTTTGAACACTCAATTTTCTTCTATTTATCAGGCTTTCGATAAATTTGCAAGTACCAGAAACTTTGGGTGGGTTGTGTTCTTCGAAGACGATGTTTAAGTACACCCTAATATCTCCTACTCAGAATTTTGGAAGTGCTGGGAAAAAGCAACTCAACTCGTGTCAACTTCTAACATAATACTTCTAGGAGTGTGTGGTCCACAGTTCATCGAAGAGCTTGATAACACTGATTCTCGCTGTGTCTTATCCAAAGTTTACGGATTTTGCGCTCATGCCTTCGCTGTTCATTCTTCAAATATCCACAATCTTCTGCACAACGTTTCACAGTACAAGAACGGAAAAGCAGAAGCATTTGATGTTTTCCTTTTGAAATATGAACAAAACTTTGGAGCGCTTCTTCTAGGTTCTACCTTAAGGAGTCCGGTGGTGGACGACCATTACGGGATTGTCTTTCAAGATAGGAACTCATTCGCCACATCAATGTTCATTTAACGTAGTTACAACGTAAAATCATGAATTTCTTTTTCCTATTTGAAGGTTTTCCGATTTTTATGTCATTCTAAATATTCATTTTATCGAATTCGACTGTCTTAACAGTTATCTTACATTTATGATGGTCTTGATTTCTCTCCTTCATCGTTTCGAAGGATTTTCGTCTATTTTAAACAGTGACTTGCAACTTTATCCTTGCTCGATATATAATACAGTTGCAGTTCAAAGCTATCGTAGTTGAATTCATCAATTTTTTAGGGTTTCCAACATATTTTTTTGAAGTTGTTTAAGGAAGTCATAGTACTTAACTATTATTTTTGTCCGAATCAGTTTTTCAGCAGCCTGAAACTCGCGTCAGTACATTTCTCATTAAAATCTTCTTAAGAGTGCTGATGCTTGTTTGCTGCTGCATTTTAGAAGAATCATTAAATTCTGTCTCCATTTCACACAATCATCAGACATTTGGGTTTTCTACTCATAAAAGACGTTCGTTCATTAAGAAGACGTCTGCTTTTGTTCACGTGAACTGAATACCAATATGCAGAATGCTAAGGTTTCTGTTATACCTTCAAACTACAGTCCCGAGCATATCTTTAGACGCACTCAAACATTACAACGTTTCGTATAAATAAAGTCCGATGAAAAATGCCAAATGAACTGAAAGTAACAAAAGCTTCTGTTGACTCGTGCAGTAAGGTTGTTCAACTCTTTAATTTTTTAAGTGACTAAGCAAACGAACAGAGTTCCATAAAGCAAAGAAAGAACATTCTTCCAATACTTGTCTTCCTTCGCTCCATCCCTAAAAGAATGTTTTGTGAGTTAGCGTTGGCGGGTAGTTTCTTTGGGATTATTTGTCAATAACTGCAAAAAGCAAAGTATCATGTGCTATGGAACTGTAAATTGACAAATACTTGCATTATGCTCTAATAATCAACATACTTTGATATCGTAAGAATTCGCAACTAAAGAGATAACGAGGAAGGAAGATTGCGTGTGTGAAAATCAGTTTCAAAATAACATTGTGCTCTCGCTTCATCTCCGGAACCATTTATAAGACGAACTCATTTTTCAAATTTTTAAAACTAGCACTCTGACAAATTCTAGCAAATGATACCATTTTTACTACATCTCGCGTTACAGTACAGTTATCTCTACAAATTGTTTCGAATCGAATCTCCATCGCATGAAAGCTAATCTGCCAAAACAAAGACTCTCTACAACTTGTTTCAGCTAAGCTACGAAGAGATCATCTTTCATATTGTATAAAATATTCAACTTCATGATCGAAAACATCTGTCAAAAGGTAGGTCTCTAAGCTGGAATCTCGGAGAGCTTTAAATATAGTAAGACAATTCCAACTAACAGTATATGAGACTTATAAAATCTCACAAATACAGGTCAATACTGTTTCTCAATCCAGTTGCTGCTGAAAAGATAATTTAAGTTTAGGGAAACACCAAAAACCTTGCCACGTACAACAGAATTTGGGCACAAAGTCTTATATGAACTCTCGTCTTACATAATTATAGAAATATCAATCGAAATGAATTCTGACAAATACTTGGAGTCAACACAAACATCCATCTTCTCGAAAAAGTTCCATCTTATTAACTGAAAAGAATTGTCGTCTTAACTTTACAACTCTCTCAACAACGAGGAAAGGGGTACCGAATTACAGTCGTCATTCCAAATATGGTAAGCCTCTGGATCGTGTTATTGTAAAAAATGTAGATTTGTTTCATACCGTCCTAAACTTCTTCCAGTGTTCTTTTCGAGAGTTGCAAGCCAAAAAATGCTAATCTCGGGTTGACCACGCTAGATAACTGGAAACCTACAGATCCAGGAGCGAAATGCTTTACTTCCATCACACTATTTTAGGATAGATATACCTATTTGACGTAACCCACGATATTTTCCGCTGGATATTCCGAAGTTTTCAGTTCAACAACTTGTACAGTCAACGCCACTAAATTTTCGTCACTTGCACCTAAATTTTTTGCGTACTGGAAGTATTGAAGCTCCTATCACTCTTGACGAATTGCATATCTATAGAAAGGAGAATATTTTTAGATAAAATTTTGCAGACTTTGTACTTCATTCTTACATTTCTAGCTAGTGAGCACTGCTTTATGAAAGGAGGATAAGTCTCCTTGAGACGTTCAAGCTTGTTACACAATACTTTCTTGTTGATACGTACTATTTCTGGTAAATTCTTGACTTTGTTTTCCGAAAGCTCTGTGTAAAAAGGACGGGAGAGATCGCTTTCTTTTCTTGGAAGAAAAAGTAAGAGACAATCTTTTCCTATTTAATACTTATTCGAAACGACATAAATTTGATTATAAAGATGCTTTATTCTACTATTCGGTGCCTATAAGAAAAGTTCTCTGCGAATTTTCGAAAGACCGGTTATGCACTAAATCCACCCATGAATACGAATACCTGCATGGCGAAGATCTGTAAAGAGCGTGATCACTTCCTCAAATGTAGTTGTCTGAGGTCCCCAGGAATTCTGAAGAGGATCCATTTTAAAATGTGGCTCAAAGAACATCTCATCAATCAAATGTTGCAAAGTTGTGTTAGTCCTGATCTGATCCATGAACTTATTCTCTGTGATTGCATCATCTATGTCGATTTTGAGGACAACGAAGTCCTCCTCTGAAGCAACTTGAGCCAATATGTTCAACGGATTGAAGAGGCTACTGTTATCAGTCTCAGCTGGAATATTAAACCAATGATAAACTGGCAAATATTTCGCAGGAATCTGCTCCCAAACTTCCTTTGATTGATAGAATTTAGATTCCCAAGCCCAAATTCCGTCAAAAGAGATCCCTCTCTTTTCAAATTCATTTACAATCCAGTTCTGACTAGCTGCACCGGGGCCAGTTTCCCAAGTGCTTGCACCAATATCAAAATAATGGGCCCTCGCACGCGAACTTTGCAGAGCTAAGGGAATCTGCCAGTCGATATAAATATAACTTCTGTCCACAACATCTGTTCCATTACATATTAGTGGATGGCGGAGTGGCCCGAACAGAGGTTCTATGGGTACAACAAGTGTATCACTTGGGCTACAAGTGCTTTTGAAAAGAAAACGAGACATAGCACTTGGAACGGGAACTTCAATTGTCTTATTTGTCGAACTCTTAATAAAATCTAGCCACGGCAAAAAATAGTCTGAGAACTCAGTAGAATAGTCACACGGCTTCTCACCCCATTCGGCTGCGTGTGTAAGCCAAGCTTGTTCAATAGGACTAGCTCGATAAGAAACGAATTCCCAAGGACAATTACTTTCGAGTTTACACTCAGACATAAATCTCCTCTTTATCGTAAAGAGTGCTAAAAGAGTTGCCACAATCCAAAAAAAAATAAGCTGAATGAGGTGATGATGCTTCATTTCAATGACAAAGAAAAAAATCTTTAAAATGGACAGCAATCAACATTTCGAATTGATTTTGCGTTGGAGTTCATCATTCCTTTCTGGCTTCTATAGAAAAGCAAACATAAGGAGCACCCATTAGAAATATCTTGGATCTGAAAATTTTCGGATTTATATCCTTTTCGGTTCTGAAAGTGAACAAAAATTTTTTGCAGAACTTTCTTTAGTTGTCAGCAGGCACTTCTCAAATAACTTCAAATCGTGTCTCAATAGCTAACACTGTTTATACGCTACTTTAGGGATTTAGACAAAGAAAGAAGCATACGTAAATTTCTCTATATATTTTTCGGAAGGATACTTCTCTTGGCTGCAGAAGTTGTTGTAAGCCTCATAGTATTAGAATTTTTAAGAGTTTTTTGCGGCTTTCGTCTTCTCGTCTACTGTCGTTAACTGACCCGTTCGGAAGAATGCTTTCTACTTAGTCGAAGTTTTTCTGTTATAGATAGAAGAAGTTGCTTTCTCAAAGACTTCATGGGGGTGGTTTAAAACATTCTCATCGAAGAATATGATATCAGTCTTGAGTCCGTTCTTGACTCGACCAAACTGTCCTTATTCTTTAACTATTCTTCGTGTAAAGCTTAAATACTTGGCAAAAAAGGCTGTCAGCTTTTTGCAATCAGTACGAGAAAGCAACTCTAATCTTTAAGTAGTTCTGTTGCCAAAATGTTGTATTTTCGCAAAACTGCTTTACTGGACATCTTTCTTAGCAGTTGAGAAAATGACTTTATTCCAGAAATTCTCAGCTTTCCTATCAGTGTCGTTTAAAGTCGGATTTTTACAAGTTTTAACACAATTCTGCGGGATTTTACTGGCATGTCTATTCCCAAGTTGTCCTCTTCAAAGGCAGTTCTTAATGAAACGAAATATTCACCACCGACGACGAGAACGAACTGCTTTCGAGCGTTAACGAAAATAGTGTTTGAGATAGAACTCTAATCAGCTCTTTCTTAAGGGCTTTGACACTAGGATGATGCGGATCTAAAACTGTCCTTTCATACAAAGGCGACATCGATATCTTAATCTTTAAGCATACGAGAGTTTTCTACAGAAGTCAAAAAAATGCGACAATCAAATGTGAGGAGTCGACCTTCTAATAGTCTTAATACGGTGAAAGCACTGTAATTATCAAATAACAGCTTCGACATATCTAATTCGCAATTCGAACGATCCACTTAGAGTATATTTTACTTATTCATCCACTAAATACATCTAACTTTATACCCACGGTATAGGTATAACATCTCACGGTGACTAACGAATCCTGGATTATAAAGTCACATAGGCAAGAATTCTTCAACCGTCAAGGGAATCGTAACAGAATGACATTCCCATACAAGAATGTGACGCTGTTTGGGGCACTTTTGAGACGAAAATATCTAGCTGGTTTCACCATGAAGTTAAGCGGTGATAATTCTTGACTCCTAGATATCTTGGCCTCAGATTTGAAACAGTGGAGTTCTTGGGAGCTGGTGCTTCGATCTCCGATAAAAGGAGCCAACAAGATTTCTATAGTCCCCCACTTAAACGGTCTTTTACCCTTGGAAAAGTAACGTTGCAACCAGTCGTAGCGATAAATGCTTTCTGCACCAAAGTAGTTTAAGTAAAAGTTCTGCTGAAGCTCGTCTATAAGGTTGAATTATGCCAGGAAAGTTTTGTCTTGAAATTTCCTATGTACCTTACACCAGTCTGCAATATATTTTCCAGTTAGTCTGGACAATTGAATACTACAGCTACCTTTCTCACTATTCTACAGTCAGAAGCTAGCGTAACTGTAAGAATGTCCTTTGGACTTCATACATCCTTACAATCCACCAAGTCGCTCCAACGAAAAGAAACTTCTGCAACTTTAACAGCTCTGAGGTTTTTATCCGGAGCAGTAGTTGTGGTCCATTTGGAAACCTTCTAAAAATGTTAGCTCAAATAAAAACCGAACAGGTACATTCTTGATAGCTTATATTGGTGACTGCTTGCACTAAGGGAATCAACTTCAAGGAGTTCAATTTTCCCAAAATTTTTCCAATGGCTTCGTTTCGGAATCCTTCATTGCTTTCTTTCGTGTTGAATGGAACAAGTCTGAATGCTCATTGAGTTCTTGTCATCTATATAGAAGGTCTCCTACTCCCCTCAAGGAAACCAAAAATTACTTAGAAGTCTCTAGGCTGTGTGTTTGCCCTTATTAAAGAAGGATATGTAACAGCGTGAACCCTTTCTTTATTGGGAAGATTCTTGACACCCGAACTAGGAAAGGCAGAATGAAGGTACCATACGTTATAATAAGAGTAAAAAGCTTGGAAAATGAAGCATAAACTTTACAGCAAATCTCACAGAATAGAGTGGCACGAGTTTCTTGAGGGGAAATTTTCTCTCATTGCTCCTACGAAGATAGCTCTACAAAGCCAAAAATTGCTTCGTTCTTAAGAAATGACTGCCCAGTCACGCTTACTGCACGGTGTTTCGCACCTTTGAAATAACTTCTCAATAGTTAGAGGAACCGTATAGCTATATCGCATTGAAATGACCCGTGAGAGAACGACTCAGACAATGCTTTCAACGTCACATTTGACTGCGAGCAGTTTATTCTACAATGCTCTAGCAATGCTAGTGTAAGACGGTGCTTGCTCCTTCTGGTGAAATTTTTGTTCCTTTCAGGACTACTGCAAGCTTTAAACTTCAATAGTGAAAGAAGGCGTCGTCTTAAAAGAATTTCGCCAGGATAAGACAGAGGAGTGATTTGTCTAAGACTCTTGCTATTGATATGGCGTACTGAATAAACTATATAACTCATCGCTAACGGAAAATATTAAGAAGGAGGTTGTGAATAAGGGTTTTGAAAACGCGTATGAAATACTCGAAATTTCTCTTTCCGGCCATAGTCAAAGAAAGAACTTGAGATAACCGTTACGTCACAAAACATGGAGTTGATCTATAGTATTCTATCGACTCCTATCTACGGAAATGATGTTATTCGAAAGCAGTGGAAATATTGAGCCACATACTTCAGGCTTTCACTGAAAACTGAACTGAGCTTCTTGTTTATATGAATTGAAAACAGATAATGTCGAACTCTGGACCAAGACGCGCCCAGACATATACGAACTATAATTACTTTGCGTACCAAATTTAAACAAGTGCAATCCAAAGAACTTTTCAACAGTTGAAACAGAATACCATCAACTACAATAACTGAGTTATCAGAATACGGACAATTTACGACTCGACGTTATCTAGTTGGGAGTTTAAAAGCTCTAAGTCGTAAGTACAACGATCATGTCGTGCAAATTTTCCATATTCTATACAGATACGATAGACAGGATCAAACCGCCAGTCCTTCAGACTTAAATAACTTTTGTTAAAAGGGCGTTTGTAGCTGCAAGAATTCCAGTCTGTACCTTGACACCCCCATTTTTCTGCAACATATACAGGATTATTACGAGAACCTCTTCTTTGAGCATCACGGAAGCTACTGTTCTCATGTTCATCCAAGTATATCGCAGTTCCAGATAGATAACCTTGTTGATCTTCAATACCATGGTGAATACCGTTACTGAAAACTATATCATGTCGTGTACAAACGTCATCATTTCTGTTTACTTCTCGAAGACGAATATCCAACTCATTGTCATCGTAGTATGCAGGAAATAAGTTTTCGTCAAAATATCCAGCATACTGTACAAGTCGAGAAGTCGCCACAAAACCACTATAACCAAAATGCATGTTTCTGAAACTCACAAAACCAAGACACAAGTGTGGGTCTTCCAGCAAAGTCAGCTCGGTTTGGTACTTTAGGCTTTTCAAGGAGCCAGAGGGAAAATAAACGTCGTTGTTCACAATCAGACCCCATCTTTCTCTATAAAACTCGTGCATATAACGCAAGCATATGTTAAAGCCTCCAGTGCCACCTATTCTTGAAGACTCCCATACAATTTTGACTTGTTTGAAGTTTTCAGCTATCCACCTTGCTATCTGTCTAGCACTAGAATCAAATCCCGCGACAACGACAACAAAGTGTTTAGTGGGGTAGTCTACACTATTTATAAGTCGCTCCGTAAAATTGTGGTGGTTGAATTCTAAGCTGGTACAAAGGAAGGGAATACTCTGGTTGGACTCGCTAAACTGTGACTCAAAATAGACACCTTTTTGCTGCGCTGATAGGCTTTTCCAGTTTGTGAAGTTCAATAAGAAAGTAAAAAACAACAAAAAGAGAAATAGCAGCGAAAGAAAAAGGAACTTTCTTCCAAATGCCAAAAACATATTGAAGGTCCAACTTCGCACCTGTGACATTCTCTTCATCGGACGATTTTTTTTCACTTTGTGGGTTCCCGCCAACTTTACCTTTTCAAGAACGAATGCGGTGTTTCCAGAGTAACCAACTAACTTTTCATCTATGTATGTTGATTATTACTCTGCAGCTTATTTTCTTTTCAGTCCACTATTCCAGTTTTAGAAAGAAGTCTTTAGAATTGAAGAGCCTGAACCATCGGACGTTCCCTGTCGATTTTTTAGAGTGTTTGAACGGTTCCGTTTATGAATATTTTGAAAAGTATCAGTTAAAGTTCGATGTCTCGAAGGAACGACACAATCATAGGGAACTCTTACGAATTCGGGAGCTTTTCCCTGCAGTAAGAGGTATTATTCCAGTGGTTATTTTAATGGGTGATCGGGTCCAATATATAGAAACTATGTTGGAGACTTTGTGGGATTCTCTAGGCTCCCAAGAGGTTCCTATTATTTTTTCACGTACTTCTACTAATGAAAGTATAGCAAATCTTTACAGTCAGTATGCGTTCTCGCAAGTAAGAACACCTTTTAGTTGTGTGTCTACCTTTTTCTGAAACTTTTCGAATAGAAATATACCTTATTTTTCCCTGTTGACATGGAAGATTCTTTTCACCCCAGATTTCGTCTCAAGTTACACTGGTTGTAAGTTTTTTTTGTATTTTTTTCTCAACTAAAGAAAAACCGTTAGTTGGGTTCTATTCACGATCTTCAAGCTTGTGAACTTCCAGGATTCTTTCAGTCACGCTCTCGTGTTGGAAGATGATCTCGTAGTTTCGAGAGATTTCTATAAAACCGGAAAATCTTTGGTAACCATAGCCAAATTGCTTCAAACAAAAGGCATTACTGTTCGTGATATCAATCTTTACAATCAGTATGTTGTTTATCTTTTTTGCTTGTTCACTTAACGATTTTGCAGTCGCAGTATCCATTCAGAATGCAGTTTCAATGATGTTGAACTTACACCCACATTTGAGTCTTGTGGTTACTTAATCAGCAGAGATACTTTTGAAGCAATATGGAACAATGTCGATATTTTTGTAAAGTTTGAGGACGGGTGGGACTGGTCGGTACGATTGCTTCGAGTTGTAAGTGGCATTCTCTGATCACTTTATTATTTCTCAATTATTCAGCTTGGAATAATTCCTCGTTATAACTTGCAGCCTTGCATCTCTCGTACTCTTCACATTGGAGAAATAGGTATGCATACGGTAAGTTTTCTCATTTAGTGTATTCTTTATTTACTTGATGATTTTCAGAACCCAACACTGTACGAAGAAAGTGAATATGCCTCTGTAACCATATCGAATGGAACAGCTATCAATTGGAAAGAGTATAATCTGTTGAAATATAATAGAAGCGAGGAAAAATTCGTTTATTCAAAATGTTATGATGAACAGCAGTTCGGAGGAATTACAGGACCTTTTGCGTCTCAACAACTGGAACCTTCTCTTATTTTGTCATCTTGAAAGAAATAACTTGTTGAATCTACAAAGAACGAATTGCCTCTTCGGTTTAGAACTTTTATTATTCATTTCCATCATAAAGGAAGAGAAGGTACAAAGATGATAATTATTTTTGTCAGTAAATGCTCATGTGAGAAGACATTTCCTCGAACAAAAAGCTTCGAAAATAGAAAAGTAGCCTACTGAAGCACAAATTGTGTTCTTGACTACGATGGTGTGATTCATTTTAACCTTTTTAGTATCCCTCAGTTCATAGAGATGACTTTTCTAGGCTTCCTATTTTTATCTCTTCATAAAGGAACTTTCTCCATCTATTTAGGGCAGACAAAGGAGGATGGTAGCGACGTCTCTTAATCGCTTTATCAAACTCCCCCTCAGTGAGAAGCGTATCCAAGACTGCTTATGTTGAATAATAATTGCGGCACCTATATCAATCAACAAAGTACTCATGAGAAACACTTGGCTAACAATCAATTCTAATGGAACTGGTTACGATACTCACAAGGAACAATGAGAACCAAATTCAAACCGAAAGTACATTCCATTCTCTATGATGCGTTACTTCACTAACCTTGGAAATATCATTATCCAAAACATAAGTAATAATAACCTGTCTAAACAAGTTGAAATTCAGGTAAAAGTAGTTTTCAACCAACGAAGCAGATTACTAAACATGAAGTGAAGTTTGGAAATTTTAAACGGACAGAGGAATGGAAGTCTTTGTCAGTCTCCTTAAGAAATTGAACGAACTTTGAATGTTTCTCAAATTCAAAAAGACAATATCAGCGCATCAAACTTTAGAGACCTTATACCAAATTCATTGAAGAGTCTGTAAAATCAAAGTTGAAAGTAGATGCGCTTACTTGACATCCAAAATATCTTCACAAGAGTATTCCTGTACTCCTTAGAGTTCCAATCAAGTGTTTGATTGTTTGAGCAAACGATAACCATCTCGTAACCACAAAGCGCCTGTACAAATAAAAAGACACACACACAAGCCCATATATATATATATATATATATATATAACAAGAAGGCTGAGGTATGTTCATGAAATCGTCATATCTTGTGGTTTTATGTCTTCTGTTAATGGATGTAGATAGACAGTCGTTATTACTTTTACTAAACTAGTTTAAAATAACACGAACCAAATGCAATTATTTGTTATACATCGAGTTGTACAAAAAAACATTCAAATAAAGTATTAAGCAATCCTAATCAGTTGATTCAAAGAATATTGGTTTACTGTTTGAACAGGTGTGTTGGAGCTTTCAAACTAATGAGTCCACTCTTCTAAATAATCTTAGAAAAAGAATTCAGCCAGAAAGACTGATTTAAACAGAAACGGTCATCCAAACAGTAACTCGTGATTTTCCTTGTTTTCTATATCGTCAAAGAAAGGATTGGATTCGCTGGACTGTGTAAAGTGAATGAAGAGAAGTATTTTCAAATAATATCTTATTCAATTTTTTCAAAAGGTTGGAATTTGAATGGTTTCGACAATGACAGATTCCAATTGGTAAGAAAAAGATATATACAAAGAACGTCAACAAAAGATGACTATAACCATTTATTCAACTTGGACTTCTCACCATAACAGCAGCAGCCAATGCACTATCTAGAACTTACTCATAAATCCACCCTTGTGTGACTGGTTTCCAGGAATTGAGATCCTCTGCGTGAAACCACAACTTGATTTCACGATTGGCACTATCCACAGAGTCACTTCCATGAATAAGATTTCTACCAACTATTCGAATCTATGAATACTGGATACAAGAACTGTACTCCAACCTACCATCAATTCCAAAGTCTCCTCTAAACAAACCATTTGAGCAATTGATTACAGAAAAGCAATACAACAAATACCTGATAGTTCCAGGCTCCGAGTCCAAAGGCTTGGTTTTTCCAATCATTTTCCTGCCAGTAGCAACAATATCCTTTTTGAAAGAATTGAGAAGATTATCTATAAACACTCAACAACTATGACCGAACCTTTCCTTCCCAGACCATCGCAAACACAGGACCTGAAGTCAGAAATTTCACCAAAGGTTCAAAGAACGGTTTTCCATCGTGTTCTGCATAGTGCTGCTTAGCAAGTTGCACCGAAGGAGTCATCAATTTTGCTGCCACCAACTTATACCCGCGACGTTCGAAACGAGAAATGATCTCTCCGATCTTGACAAATATACACTTTAGAATATTTCTTGAAAGCTAGTAATAACATTTACCAACTGCCTTTGTACGCCGTCGGGCTTTATCATAATGAAACTCCTCTCCGGGTGTTCCATTTCAGTGTACAATTACGATCAAAGTTAGAATGTTCGAGGAAATCATTGCAATAAAAAAACATTCTTCTGACAAAGGAAACAGTTCTTTATCCACAATAGATAAATCATTGTTGTTTCAATATATGTGTTGGTCGAATCAAAACCTGCTTAATTGATGGACTCGAAAGCCACTTTGAAATATTCATTTAGCTCACAGATTCATACAAAACCATTGTTCCCATCCAAACTACAAAAGGATCCTGAATACATCGATCTCTCATATACTTTTGTCGATGAGAAAATGTGTTGGTTTGTCGACATTGCCACAAAAGTCAAAGCAATATTTACCCATCTACAACTAATTTCTGTATAGTGCAAATAATCAACTTTACCAGAAATAGTTCAATAGGCCACAAAATTGCAAAGCTTCATACAGTTTGGTCTTGCTTTTTGATCATAAGTTGACGACATTTACACTAGTATGAGAACTCCACTCACTGGACTAGCAAGAGTTTCAAAATTATCTCTTCTACAAAAGCTTAAAACAGAAGACTTCACAAATATCCAAACAAGTCCCAAGAAACAACTTTCATGACAGTGAAATTAAGTGTTCTAAAAAATGACTCTGGCGGTTGAAGTTGAGCAAACAACTAACTGCAGCTAATATTTCAGCTCAAGACTTTTAGTGTTTCACAGTGTTGGTCACTTGTGCTTCTCTGAAGATTTCCTACCAATTGTCACATAAAAAACACAGTCCAATAAGCTTGGAACTCAATCAATTTCAAAGTGTCTTGAACTTCGTATCATCACTTTATATACTAGCATTGACATGAGATTCTGTCAGTCAGCTTTATCCAATCCACGAAACGAGGAAAGGTCAATAGCCATACTCATAGCCTTTCAAAGGTCAAGGCAGACTTATTCAAATGCACATGCTCTATGTTTTCTATCACTAGAAACTGACCCAAAAACTAGCTTTAAAGCCGTTTTCACAACACGTGTGAAATATCGTGGATGGATCGATAGGAGATGATCGATCGTGCTTGTTGTGTTCCAGACGGCCAATCAAAGGGATCTCTAAGCGGCGACAAAATGAGGGTGCGTGAAAAGTGAGAGGACAAGAAATTAGCGCTTTATAAGCAACAAAGCGGCCATATTCGTATTTTAGCTTTGTAGGCTGCGAACATTGGGGGACTGGTGTCTTGTCTTGTTTTAACTTTTAAAGTTTCTTTTGAGTTTATATAGTATAGTAGTATTTGCACACTGGCTTTGCTTGGGTGGTTTCTAGAGTGTCAAGTAGGAACTTTGGGCTTTTACAGTTTAGAAGCAACATATACCCACTTGAAGAGGTCTTGTGTTCCACTGGACCATAATCGAAAGGCATCCGTTGATATTAGACACTGTATGGTGACAGCCACTGAGGAGGTTTACGAGTACGAAGGATTAGCTCATCGACTGGATCCCTAATTGGTTTCCCGCCTCGCTCTCTATCTCAGTTTTGAAGTTTTACATATTGTGTCCAGAGAACTGAACTGTTGGCAGGTTTGAAGTTTACCTTTACTCACTTTTTCTGTCAAACAGTTAATAGTTTATTTGTTTTGTTTGGTATTACTCCTCAAGATGACCACGAGTACGATAACCCGAAGTCTGTCTGCCGGAGAACTGCACGGGGACAATTCTGTGTATTTGAATAATCGCACTAAAGCTGTGGACAAGAAACTTGTTCGAATTGCCGTTGCCAAACAGTCACTCGCTTTTCGTTCGCGCAATAACTCCTCTTCTGGAGACAAGAAGGAACAAATATTGGTTGCAGCAATGAAGGATTTGGAAGGTGTGCTGAGTCTTGGTGAGAGAAATGCTGAAACTTTTCGTCGTGGTTTAGCCTCTAAACAGCCAACTTTTGTTGAGTTTGGACGTTATGTCTTCCTTATCACCGGCTCTCCTTCAGACGACTGTTTGAACAATTATATGGATACATTAAAGAGAGCTGGAGTGAAACATGTTGTTCGGCTATGTGAGTCATTATACAATGCCGAAAAGTTGGTTGATGCAGGTTTCAAGCATCATGACTGGCCTTTTGAAGATGGTGGAGTTCCTTCTGGGGAAATTATACAGAAATGGCTTTCGTTGTTGAGTTGTGTGACAGACAATGAAAATACTACGAAAACTATGGAGAGAGCAGGCTTTCAAGGGCTGAATAAGTCGTCTTCTGTTGCTCTTCGTAAGGAAGAAGTTGGGGATAATTCATCCAAAATAAGCATCGCACTTCATTGCAAGACTGGTTTAGGAAGAGCACCAGTTATGGTTGCTATTGCGCTTATTGAAATGGGTATGGATGCTCTCGATGCTATTGGCTATATTCGTGCTCGTCGTCGAGGTGCAATCAACAGTCGTCAGCTTTTATTCTTGGAGCAATATAAACCCAAGGGATTCCATAACCTTACCAACGTGCGCAAGGATGAGCGGCCTTGTCGTATGATGTGATTCTTTGTTAACTCGTGTTGCTTTAGTAAGATAGTTGTTTGCGTTTGTCATAAAGATTCTTTTTAGCTTTATTTTTCTTTTTTGAGCAGCGTCATAATGAAATCCCAGTTATGTGGAAGTATTCTTTGTACACTAAGCCGAGAACGTTTGAACAAGTCCATATCGCTCAACTGCTTCGTCTGATAAGTTTTCAATTCATCAAGTGATACCTTTCTGTTCCACTTTTCTTCCAGTTTAACTTGTACAGCGTACCAAGTTGGACTTTCTTTTGAGCTTTTAGGATCGTAATAAGGACTTTCTGGGTCAAACTGAGTTGGGTCAGGAAAGGCTTCCTTTGTTATCCGAGTTACGCCTACTATTCCAGGTTCTTTACAGTTGGAATGATAAAAGAAAGCCATGTCTCCTACTTTCATAGACTTGAGAATGTTTCTAGCTTGATAATTTCTAACTCCATCCCATATGGCACTTTGCTCTGGTTCATTTTCCAAGTCTTGTATCGAAAAACGAACGTCTACCCCGTTTTCCAGTCTTGACTCAGGTTCTGACTTGAGTAGAAAGAACTGACAAGAGTTATTCCGATCTATTTCTACACGTTCTTCGTTTCCCTTCGTTCCTCGTCTTTTCGATTGTGATAAGGTAGTAATAGTACGCTTTCGTTTGGTCATTCAATTCAATAATGATTGTTGTGTGTTGTGTTTGGATACAATATGCCTGATTCTGTTTACAGTTTTGTTCTTGGCTATATTTGGGGTTGTAGTTCATCCAATTCTATTCTATTTCATCAACACCGATATATCTCTTCTAATGTTTGTGTGTCACCTTATCGTAGACAATACCTTGGGAGACCTCGTTTCCATACCTCTCGAGTAACTGTTCCTCAACGATATATTTTTCGGTTTCATCTTACTGCCAACTTTTGTTCGTTGATTGAAAACAAAACACTGTTAGAAAATATTGAAAGATGGGGATTCCAGAGCCCACTTCCCATACAAAGTAGTGCCATTCCTTACATCAAACGAGGTCTTGATGTGACGCTTGGTTCCCACACAGGTAGTGGAAAGACTTTGGTAAGTTGTACAGTACAACAATCATTCCAATATAGACCAATTGATTTTTTATGTTAGGCCTTTCTTCTTCCTATCTTGGAGGGAATCAACGTTCAACATAAGCAACCTCAGGTGTTCATTATTGAACCCACTAGAGAATTGTGTGTACAAATAGCCAAAGTATGTGAGTCACTTGCTAGCAATATGGGCATTAGAAGTATATCTCTTATTGGAGGAGCCAATATTCAACGTCAGATCGATAGTCTAAAAGAAAGGCAACCTCACATCGTGTTGGGTACGCCTGGACGACTTTATGAGTTGTTAATAGAGTGAGTGGTGTAATATTATATTGATATTTATACAACGTAACTGCATTCATTTAGGAGGCATATTTTGAATGCTACTCAAGTTTCTATCGTCGTAATCGATGAAGTGGACCACTGTTTGGATATGCCCAGCAATGGAGAGAAATTGGAAGCTTTGTTGCAACGTTGTGCATCCAGAAAACAAACCATATTTTGTTCTGCTACTTGTTCATCGCAATGTGTTGTTGAAGCATCTAAAAGGTAGCTATTGCATTCATCGCTTATGTTTACATCTATAGAGCCATATTTAATCTACTTTAGATATCAAAACAATGCAGTCGTATTGGGTTCTGAATGGACTCCTCATGGTGTGCCTCAAAATATCCATCATTTTATGATAACCACTTCAAAACATAAACATTTGGAAGCGATAAGAAGTATTTTATTTGCCCATCCGTTGCCTAGTGCTGTAATCATATTTGTGAATGATCAACATCGAGCAGGAGTGATAGCTTCCAAGTTACAGGAATTTAAATTAAAGGTGACCTACATGCAAGGCAATCAAACTAAAATGGAACGTGCCAAGGTACTGAAAGATTTTCGCCAACTCAAGTATCCCATATTGGTATGTACAGAAGTATTGGCGAGGGGAATGGATTTTCCTTTTGTTTCTCATGTCATTCAATTGGAATTGCCTACCGATGCTCAACATTATTTACATCGTGCTGGAAGGTGTGGTAGAGCAGGTGTAACTGGTTTTTGTTTTTCGATTGTATCTCCAGAATATCAATTTGTGATGAGAAAGTTTTCAAAGGCTTTGAATATTACCATTCATTCTGTGGAGATCAGGAATAATAAGATATTTAGTAAAGGCAGGGAATGGGTGTTTGAAACCAGCAATTTATTACCTCCTAATGAGGTCCATCGAGACAAATCATTACCTAGAATACCGGAAATGGAGGCACAGCTTGATCAATGGATAAAAGAATTGGAAGATGCTGAAACATGGGAAGATGTAGAGAATATAGATATGGATGATGAATATCTAGATGGAGTATCCGATGGTGAAGAATCGAAGACAGTTATTGTGGAACCATCCAATGTTCCCATGGAAGTTTCATCTAATAAGAAGCCAACTAGAAACGTACAAACACAAAATAACAACGGAAAGAAACATCAACAACTTGACAAAAAGAAAAGAATCACAGCAATAGCTCGTCAACAAGGTTGGGTGGGAAATCGTGAATAACTTTACCTTTTGGATTGGGCATTTCCAAGTGTTGAAAGTATTGTTGAATGGTCCACTTTGTAGCACCTAAAATAAACGATAATCTTGAAGGTTGGGGTCCACCTGTAGACTTGCCTCCAACCAAATTTCGTGACATTCCTTATGCAGCGTTTAGTAAGACGGATAAATTAGGAAAGGCAGCTGACTGGACTGCCAATGTACGAACGGGAAAGCCTTTGGATAGATATAGTGTGGATGGAGATGAAGATGGATTGTTTCAAATGGTAGAAGGCAGAAGCAACTCCAAATTTACTGCAGCCTCACACGGAAGAAACGTCCGAGTTCCTTTCTTGGCACGGACAACTTCCAACTTTAGAGACTTTCGTGGCCGTAACCAAGAAGAAAGGGAACGTTCAAGGAAATGGTAGTCTCTTGTTACTTTCTCTATTCTTTGTCACTCACATTCTGCAAAGGGACCGAAAGGATCATGCTTTTCGTCGTCGTTTTGACGACCGTAGAAGAGAACTACGCAAAGCTAGTATAGAAGTGCAAGCTGATTGGGTACTCAAAGAGGAACTCCAGTTTTCAGAAATGTCCAAGTTATCCTTTTCCAATATATCGGAAGCCCAAGATATTGTATCCTGTGGTGTTTTAGAATATTATGATAAGGCAAACGATCGTGTCAGTGTAAAATCAGAAAAACATTTGGAAAGATTTGAAGACAGAACTTTTCATTATGTAAGCACTACGGATGATCCAATTATTAGAGAGATTGCCAGTCAGGGACGTGGAAGAATATATATTACTGCCTCTATCCTTTCTTTGTTGATGTCTGCTTCTCGTTCCGTTTATTCTTGGGATATTGTTGTACACCGCGTTGGTGACAAACTGTTCTTCGATAAAAGAGAAGGTTCCATGATTGATATGCTAACAGTGAATGAAACGGCTCATGATCCTCCTAAAGATGAAAAGAATCTTCCTCGCGAGGAACAAGTCAACTCTATGCAGTCATTGACCATCGAAGCAACCTTGGTGAATCAAAACTTTTCACAAGCAGTTCTCAACTCTTCTCAAAAGTAAGTGAGTGGAATACTATTATTGGGCTGATCATGATCATCTATTCTTTAGACATGAATTGGAACGTCCCAATCCTTTTGCCGAAGAAGATGAACGCGTTGCTTCAGTTGGCTATCGTTATAGAAAATGGACTATGGGAGAATATGAAGTTGTAGTACGTACGGAATTCGACGCAGTATTGAAACCAGCTAGAGAAGAAGAAAGTCCTTTATTCCTATCTTTAAAGGCTCTGAATGAAGTACCTGATTTAAATACGAAACCTGGTAGTGGTAGCGATTGGAGAAACAAATTAGATTCTCAAAGAGGAGCAGTATTTGCAACAGAGTTGAAAAATAATGCAGCAAAGCTTACTCGTTGGACTCTTGGTTCATTTTTATGTGGCGCGGATCAACTAAAACTAGGTTTTGTTTCCCGAGTCTCACCTAGAGATAATACCAATCATGTCATATTGGGTATTCAGACATATAAGCCAAGAGAATTTGCAGCGCAGATTGGATTGAACTTGAATAATAGTTGGGGTATATTCCATCAATTGATTCAGCTTTGTTTCAAGCACATGGATGAAGAAAGCAAAGCAGTTATTATGAAAGATCCCAACAAGCCAATTATTAGACTTTATTCTGTTCCTGAAGATGCATTTGATGAAGATGGAGATGGAGAAAAGGACGAAGAAGATGATGATGATGAGGAGGAGGAGGAGGCCATTACCATTCGAACTGAATAAAAATCATTCGTATGATGAAATTGAGATTTGGATTCATTGGTTTGAGATAACAGTTGCCACATATGTTGTTGTTTCTTCATAGCTGTGGTCCTATCCAAGTTGGTTGTTTTTACCGCACTAGAAACATTTCACACACTAAAAAGGGAAAACTTCTAGTAGTGCCGCAATGTTGGAAAGCAAGTGTGAATAAGGACTTTAAAGATGCACCCTTTAGTTCCAACTATATCATAGATGACAACTCTATACCAGAAGGTCACAGGTCACTACACGAAACTCTTTACTCACGCGGAGAAGAAGAGCATAAAACTCCAAGCAAGCAGCAAGTCAAGTTTCGGTCGGATGGTTCCAATTGGTTGCCTGTAGACCTGTTTCTTAATGGAATGGAAGACGAGAAAGTGGGTGCAGTTTACGCAGTTTATGATGCAAACCGTGATATTCGATTCATTGGAATATCTAGAGATGTTTGTTTTGCTTTGAAAGCACACCGAGAAGCGCTTTCAGATAGAGATGTTGCGTGGCTAAGACTCAAGACTTGGGACTTTCCTCGGCGCGTGGAAATGGAACAGTGTCAAAAAGATTGGATCGCAGAATTGGGATTCACGCCTCCAGGAAACATAACAACTAATGAAGAGTCTAAACTTTGGGCCAAAAGTATAAAGGAAGCAACCCAGCTTGTTGCAAGTGACGTGGAACCCGAAAGAAAGTCTACTTATGAGGAAAAGAAGTTCAAATTGAGAAAGGCGATGGCTGATCCTTCTCTTATAGATGAAGAATCTCGGGAAATATTTGAAAGAGATCCCACTATTCATGCTATTTCGGAAGGAGACTGGAGTAAAGTGATCGAACAACAGAGCAACAAGGTTCTTCAGGACGCAGTGACCAGTCCTTTTGAGTCAGTCGAAGTTGTAGCGAACAATAATAGAGTTGACGAAAGATCCAACTCAAATACAGCTGAAAGTGGTAGTTTCCTGACCGTAGAGAATGTGAATCTTGTGTTGGATGAGGTGAGACCTTATTTGGAGTCGGATGGAGGAAATGTAAAAGTACTATCAGTGGATACCAATCGTAATGTTGTATTATTACTTCAAGGTGCTTGTGGTACTTGTCCAAGTTCAACGACCACTATGAAGCTGGGTATAGAACGGATATTGAGACAGCGGTTTCCCAATATTGGAGAAATAGTAGCGCAGTCAGAAGTGGCTTCCGTGACCACTATTCCATTGGAAGGTATGATAATTTCGATTTTTGAAATATGCTTATATGAGAAAAGAGCGTTGTGAGTCTTTACTGGAAGAAATTAGACCTGCAATCATAGGCTTGGGAGGGTCCATCTCGGTCAGTCGTGTAGAGAATAATCAAGTGTTTCTATTATACCAAGGACCTGATAAGATTGTAAGTTTGTTGTTTTATGCATTGTAAGATACAAGATTGAATAAGGTTAGAAATATGGAATTGAATTGGCTTTGAAGGAAAAACTCGGTTCCTCGGTTTCCATTGTATTTGAATAAAAGGCCATTTTTCATGGAACATTGATGAATCGTCATTTTCTTGTTGTGGTGGGAAGAGACTCGAGCCAATCTCCCCTTCAACCTCCCCTGTTGTGTAGTTGTTATTAGTTTTTCTATCCATAACATGTTTGCTTTTGTACATCTCGTGAGTCCTTTTAGCCATACTAAGATATCAAAAGGCCATTTTATAGTTTCTCCCAGTGGTCCCAGCAAACTAAAATCCCACAATAATTATATGAAGAAAGCTACTGTACTGGCTTCTTCATTTGGCATGAATGGTTCGAGCTTAGGTACTCTAGGCGGTGTCAAGTATAAAAACTCTGGGGTTGCCAATGATGGTCGTTGTTTTAAGATAACCTATTGTCAGCCTAGTCAGGTATGAAAGTTGCATGGACAAGGAAGCGACAAACTCTGTCACCATTTTCTAGTCAAGAGGTTTCAGTGGAAGAGAGTTGCAAAACGTTTATACCACCAAGTTGGTTCCGTTTTCTTCTTGGTATGCCGAACAACAACGTATCATGAAGATGGGTGGAAAGTAAGATTGATTCGACTTTGCTCAACACCAGTTATTCATATATTATTTTTTTGTAGAATATTCAAGGTTGAGTTGGCAGTTGGGAAAAAGGAAAGAAATGTGGGAAATATGTGACTCGACATTGTTTTACTCGTCGTTGAATAAAGTTTTCGTTTTGTCATCAGAAAATGCCTTTGAGCGGCATATTTTTTTTTGAATTTGTTACGACTGACTGACTGACTGACTGGATGGATGGGTGAAGAAGATACGCAAGCAAAATGGTATTGGATGGAAGAACGAATACATCCTTGCGAAGGCTTCGAAAAGAAGCTAGAAAATATTTCCAATATGTATATAGTGTTTCTAGTTTTCTAGAATCTACAAGACAACCGTCCCATTCGAATTTATCTTCTTCCAAAAAGCGACGACAGAGAAGAAAGAAACAACTGCAAAGTAACCAGCTCTATATGAAGACAACCTCTCCCTCATCTCTAAATAACAAAAACCCAAAGTTTGAAAACTTACGTCGGAACCTGATCATTTGTAGTAATTGCAGTTATCCTAAAACTGACAAAGCAATAGATCGATGCCAATATTTAACTCAAGCAGAGGTACAGTGTTGAATATGATTGCATATTTATTCTCGTTGACTATCAAATGTTATCTAGTTGGTAGATCTCGCTGTACTCAAACTTTCCAAATCCACGAGTACAAACGTTCTATTGTATGGAAGAAAGACAGCCAATCATTATTCCGCTGCGTTACAGCAACAATGGACATCCAATACTATTATTAAGCATCTAAAAAGCACTCCTTGGCAACAACTTTTGGCATTTGTTGGGGATGAAATAATGTTATATTGGTTGACAAAATGTACTTTGTTGTTTCCAGTCGGAAAGAATCGATGTTTGGTACAACTTTGTGGAGAACCAATTGTTAGTCTTTCTAATCACAGTGACAACATACACAAATCTAAAGACTGCTGCAAGACAATGTATAATCAGTGGAAAGAGCGAATATGTGACTCCTCACAGAATGACCGTTGGACAGTTCAGTCCATTCTTTACAAAGGCCGCTATTCTCCTTTGCAATTAAGAGGAAAATCTCCCATATTGTTTCCTAGGTTGTCACCAACCATTTCTGGTGCAAGAATATTGTATCAAAGTATTTTCCAGAAATGGACTCTCACTAGTGATACTTGTGAGAGTAGAAAGACCTTGAATATAATGAAGAAGCAGAGAATCTCTCGACATAACAGAAGAATTCTTCCATTGTTGTTGAAAGTAATTCGACGTTGCAGGAAATGCAAACTTCTTGGAATCTTGAAAAGATGTTGTCCTTTGCCGTCACAAGCTTTCAATATTATTGCTAGCAAGTCCCATACAGGTGGTTTTAAAAGGAAGCACCATCCAATGTATGATATTCCTATTGGCAAGAGAGCTCGTTTGGCATCTGAAGGTAGTTGTAAAAGAGTGGAATCTGTCAACAAGTCCCTTGAAGAAGACAAGTTCATTAATAATGGCACATATGATGCTCAGCAACAGCAAGAGCTTTTTGCTCGTTTGGTGCATTGGTACTCGCGACCACGACAAGTTACCAGATTTTTAGCTACTCTCTGTTCATTTATTATTCCACAACAACTTTGGGGTGCAACTAGGAATAGAAATATATTCAACAAATGGTTGGCACAGTTAGTTCGATTGAGAAGAGATGATGAACTCTCCATTCAGCAACTAATGCAATCGATGGATCTCTACTCTTTACCATGGATTGCATCCAAAGTAAGTCATTTTTTTTCGTTATTAATATGTTGACCATTCATTAGAACACGAGCAATCCAACCCAATATCAGTATAATCGAAGAAGATTCTATCTATTCCTACGATGGATTGTTTTTTCAATCCTGAAGCCTATTCTAACTGCATGTTTCTATAGCACGGACTCTGAAATGTTCCGCAAAAGAATTTTACATTATCGAGTAGATGTATGGAGACGTATTGAGAATCTCTTTCATTCTTCTCTTCATGCTTCTTCTTCTTCCTTTCAACGGTTACATTCCAACGTGCAACTAATTTCCGAGGTAGGTTTGTAGGTGTTATTCTGAATTCACTCTATATTTTTTTCAAGGAGGAGTCTGCAACCATTTCTCAACTTCGACTACTTCCCAAAACCTCAGGGCTACGCAAAATACAAATTCCAATCCAATCGAGTTTCAAGCAAAAGGGAAAAACAATACGATTACGAAGAAACACCTCCAACTTGACCAATCATGTTTTAACGAATATACAAGCCATCATGGAATTTGAACGACGAAAAAACTCTCTTCTTTTCGCATCGTGTGTATTGTCACTCGATGAGATTTATCTTGCGTGGTTGAAACTAAAACGAGAATGGAAAGCAGCAGGAAAGCCTCATATGTATATGGCAGCCGTAGATATTTCTAATGCTTTTGATACCATTCAACTTGGGCTTGTAACTGAAAGGATTCTTTCGGAACTTTTCCAAGAAGATGAATATGTTATTCTTCGTTTTTGTGCAACTTTCAGGTAAGTTACTGCTGTACAGCGATTATCCTGTTTTATTAACTGCATAAGGACTCATCAAAATGCCAATCCTTTTCTTACCAAATTTGAGAAGGTGGTTTGTAACGATCCACTTGAAGAGTCTCATTTTCTATTATTATGCAGAAATAAGATTGCCAACAAATTCAGAAAGGCTATTATTACCGATCAAGTATCACGAATTGTTCTCTCACGAGAAACGATACTACATGTGTTGAAACAACGTTTGATGAATAATATAGTCCTTTTCCGAAATGGACTTTATCATCAAAAACAAGGAATACCTCAAGGAATGACGCTTTCTTCTAGAATCGCTTCCCTTTATTATGGTCATTTCGAACGTCATTGTCTTAGTCCTTATCTTTCAACAACTGAACAAGAAAAGGAGGTTCATTTGAGTCTACGGCTCGTAGATGACTTCCTCTATGTTAGTTCTGATAGGAAAAAGATATTACAATTTCTTCAAGTCATGAACAATGGATCGCCCCAATATGGACTTTGTATCAATAGCAACAAGACTCGTACTCATCTAGGAGAAGAAACGACGAATGAACAGGGTCTATCAAAACAATTCTCAAGAAGAAATGTTATTCAGTTGCCATGGTGTGGACTACTTATACACTGTCAAAACCTTGAGGTAAGTTTCATCAATAACCATATGTCCCATCAATATATATATAGGGTTTCATATTGGCAAAATATAGATTACTGTTGACTATTCACGTTATTTTGAGTCGTCCATCTACGACACGCTATCTTGTAAAGCTTCCGAATCATGTAGGGAGACTTTGTTGCATAGAGCACAACAAGTCTTTTCTATGAAGGTGAGTTAAACTAGCTCTCTACAAGACATACAGTTCACTTCCTTCTCACTAGTTCCACGCTATACTTATTGATGCTAATATCAACAGTCAGCGAACAATCATTCTCAACATATTTCAAGCGAGTCTTCTATTTGCGATAAAGTATTTCGGGTAAGTGCGAGTTTGTCGCTACACAAAAAGGGAGGACTCGTTAACTCTCGTCACACCTTTCAAGGCAAATATTTTTATTCCAAAAGAGAAGTTTTGACATCCAACAGCAAGTTCCTTGTTTCCCAATCATAGTGGATACTTGTTGTCCGAGTATGATACGGTTGGTGCGCTCTAGGGCAACTTGTGACGTTGCTCGTTCTGTGGACTGTACCTTTCCCCTTTCTTGGTCATTGGTTGGTGACCTTTGTTTATTTGCTTTTAAGTAAGTGAAAAAGGTACCTCCGGTTGTGGAATTTTACTGGTGTGTTGTGACTAGGTGCACTGCAGAGAGGCTGTTGCAACGAAAGAAAACGTCTTCATGTTGGTTAGCACCAGTCGCTCGAGAAGTTGGAGTTTGTTTCAAGTATCGGTCATTTTCCGCTCAAACACAGTTGCAACAGTATCTTGTTCAACACTCTCTTACTTTGTGGAAACTTGTCAATAAATTATGACCCCACATTTATATAGAAATGCAATTCATCTATGATAAGTAATTTCCAACCACACGACAACCACAACTATTCCTATATACAAATAATAATACTTATCAAGATAATGTTTCCTTCTTCAATCACTCTCTTCTGAAACTCAGAAAAACAAGGTTGAAGACACATTATTCACCCAACCACCTCTTCCTCAGACTCTAGTAGCGTTACTATCCTTCCTTACTTGCCCCTTCACAACTCTTTGTTTTCAATACTTTGCAAACTCTATGTTTCAAGTGTAATTGTCTAAAAGCATTTTTATATCGTTTCTCTAATCTTTTCAAGGCTTCTTTGTGCTCTTCTTCTACTTCTTTGAAGCCTTCCTTTAAGCTGGACATCAAAAGTCAACACATAGACTTTCCCTATATTTCAATAACCAACCTTTCTGCTTGTGATGGTAATAACGAGTCACTATTTCTTCTTTTCATTAATGTTACTCGAGCTGCTGTCCCTTCAGAAGTCATCGCGTTGAAGACGATCATTTCAATACACGATTGCCCAGAACAGTATAAAACCAAATGCAATTGAGTGGAATGAGAGAAAAAAGACGCAACACCTTTTGCCCAACGGAAAGATTTTTTATCGGTTGAGATATGAAATTCCCGACCACTCCTTTGATGTGTGAAATGCCAAGTGGTACAATAATCATTTGCTTCTACTGAATGACATGTCAGCTTTGGATCAAAATTCATTGTGAAAGTCAAGGTTATGATCTGTTTTGTTTTATCATCGGTTCTCGGAGTCTTGTTCTAGTGTCCATGATAGACAGGTGATACTCGTGTAGTTGCCATGTGTTGAACACTCGTATACAGTTTTAAGTGTCAAGTAGGAAAACGACAACTTATATTCTACTACTCCACTGGTTTCGGTCGTGTGAGAAATAGGGGAAACAAGCTTTTTTTCCAAGCAACTTGGAAACTTGTCAGTGACTATCTATTTATTGAATGCTTCGTAGATACTCAAAAGTTGATATATGAAGTATCCCAATCACAGTTATCAGGAATCTATGGGTAACTCGTCTTCTAAGTAAGCATATTCAAAAGTAAACTCTGATTTAATCCTTTGACACCATCCAGCGTCATCATTCAAAGCATAGTCAAAATATACATAAGTGCCTTGTTCATAATCACTTTCAACCACTTGAGGCTCCTCATGTCGTTGGAACCAAGTCATATATTTACGATGAAACCTCCAAGACTGTCTCTTCAACTCTTTCGCCGCTAAATATTGTTGATAGGTTCCAGGCTGAAAATAAAAGATAAAAAATAGCGTATCTGTGTCAAAATGTTGAAATAATGAAGGACTCAATAACATAGGAGGAGGAGCAGTGGGAAAACAGGTTGGAACATATTTGCTGGGATTTCTAGGAATGTAATTCTTTGGCAAATCAACATCTAAAGGTTCCGGCATACAACGCAAAGATGCATCTAACAGAGTTTGAGTAGCAGCTCTTTCTTCTTGACGAAATGCACCACCTAAAACTCCTTCCGTCAAACTAGTGTCATTTTGGATAAACGGAGTCGAGTGCTTGCTCGGAGGATAAGAACCTTGAATACTGGGACTACTTGGAGAAGAACTCATAGACAGTCTACTACTTGCCACTTCCTTTCCTCCATCCGAGCGATCACTATCATTCGATCCTGAAAGTGTCGGTGTTCCTTCCGATACTTCAGCAGAAACTTCAGCACTACCTTCTTGACCTAATGTGCTTGATACATTCTCGTCCATCCTTTGTTTCGTCTTTCTGTTTGCCAGTTTTATCGACTCTTCACTGGAGGACAATGCCTGTGAGCGTGGAACCCATTTTGAGGAATTCGCGGATCGATCCAACTTCACCTGAGAGGAAAACTTTCCTGTTTCATCCTTCTTCTCTGATTCTGCAAAGGAAGACTTGTTTGCTGTAGAATACCCAAATGAATTCTGTTTCTGTACAGAAAAATTCTCTTCTTCAGGAGTTTCGGAAGAGGAAGAACGTTCGTCCTTCTTAGAAGACTGCAATCCTTCAAGCACTGCAGCTGCAAAAGGTCTTCTGGGAGGACTAGTCTTCAACGACTGGTTTACGGAGTTTAGTGATTTGCCTGCAGCATTGATAACATTTCCCCAAGCGCTGGATACAGATACGTTCCCTTCTGAACGAGAACTAGTAGCTGCTGGATTACTTGTTCCGCTGTTCTTGGTCGCCGCATAGTTCTTTGCTGTAAAAGGTTGACTTGGACGAGGTGAACTTCCAACTCCTTTGTTATTATTGTTGCTATCCTTTGTGGAAAGAATTGTTTTCGGAGAAACTTCCTTATTTCCGGTTGGCTGCTGTGTGCTTGAAATCTTTTGATTCGACGAATGAGAAGCACTTGTGTCCGTCACAGTAGCTTTCGTCTTCCCTGTAAGCTCTTCTGAAGTTCTTGAAGAGCTCGAATCTTCAGGTTTGCAAATAATTCCACTTTCTAACGAAATAGTTGAAGCAGGCATAACGTTGATAGCTTTTTCCAAGTTCAAAGATTCGTAAACGCTGGTGTCCTCTACAAAGTCTGGGTCGTCATTATTATATACATAATATTCCACACTTTCCTTCAATTCTGCTGCATCCTCAAAAGAAACGTTCTCGTTATCCACAGCTCTTAGTAGCCGTTCCAACATATCAATATGATAACGGTGACGAGTAAGTCGGTGAGTCAATGAAGCGAGTTTCTCGTTGTCTCCCTTCTTCTTCTTCGACTTGGACAACGACTCTACTTCAGCTTCCATCGTATCGCACTGTACACGAAGGGAATTGATACATTCCGTTACCCATTCACGTATCCTTTGCTTTTCTCTGTTCTTCGGATCCGTCCTGTCTAAGGAAAGCCCCTCTTTGGAAAAAGCTTTGGTCTTAGTTTCCCTCTCACAAACCTTGAACTTTTCCATTTTCTCTTCAATAAGTTTTCTTGACGCGTCAATCTTGCTTTTGTCTTTTATCGAAGAGTCATTCTGCCACACTTTCAACTGGTCGCGCAATCTCTGAAGCTTTTTAATCTCCCTTTTCAAGTCGTTTTCATGTTTCTCCTTTTGTGCAAAGGAAGAAGAATCGTAAACCTTTAACCATATTTCTTCAAACTGAGTAGCACCTTCTTCAACTTTTCTCAACACCTTGTCTATTTCTGCTTGTAACTTTCGGTTGGTCATGGAACGCAAATCGATCAATCAATCAATCAAATAAGAAGTTATTTTGTTCATGGAATATCTTTCTCTCATGCTTCCAAGTGGAAAAGCTCTATTTGTCAACAGAAGGGCTACAACAGAACTTTAGAGTATTTGGTATTTAGCTATTTGTAGAGAGTGATTATTGATCAATATCCAAGTTTTTTATTTCCATTGTGTTTGACATTTTCCTTATAGAATTAGGAGAATAACGGGAGAATTGTTGACACAACGTCATGGCAACTGCAGTGCCTATGGACCAAGGCAACTTGAATGGTATGGTAGACTCCACGAAAGAGCCCAATGACCTTGACAGTGTCCTCACCGGTAAGTAGCTATATTTATTTTTTACACACTTTTAGGATAACCTTGTTCAAGGACTGAGGAAGAATTTGGCCCTGTTAGAAGTTGCAGTGTTAACCAAAGAACTTAGACTTATTTCACGTGTTTTGCGTCATTTTACAAGGATTCGTAAACAGTTGAATGAACAAATTCTCTATCAAGTGATCCAAGAACAAATACAGAACAGATCTTCCTCTTCATCGGCGCTGCTCCAATCACTTTTGAGGTTTCTTCCAGAAAGTGGTTCCCATATGGACGAAAACGGTCGTGCCATGGAAGTCGACGTTCGACGCGAGGAAAAGCAGCATAGAAAAGGTACTGGAGAGAGTACTGAGACGCTGCTTCCTGAAATAATTGCTTTTCTTTATTTACTTGCAAGTGCCCATCTAGTGGACCTAGGGAAAAAGCAAGAGGCACTCGATTGCACCACAAAGCTAGTTACATATTTGAAGGGTTTTAATCGTAGAACTTTGGACGAAATCTCGGCTAGAGGTTATTATTTTTGGTCCCTTGCGCACGAACGTACAGGCAAGTTGAGAGATATTCGAGAAGCACTTTTGGCAGCACACGCTACAGCGGTACTGCGACACGACTATGCAGGTCAGGCAATGCTTCTAAACTTATTGTTGAGAAACTATATCAACTATCGTCTCTATGACCAAGCTGATAAACTCGTAAGTCGGACCAAGTTCCCAGCAACTAGAAGTAATAATCAACTGGCGCGGTACTTTTATTATTTGGGTCGCATTCGTTGTATACAACTTGACTATAGTGACGCCATGCGGTGTTTACTTCAGGCACTTCGAAAGGCACCACAAAATATTGCACTTGGTTTTCGCACACAAGCTCAAAAGTTTGCAGTCCTTGTACAGTTGCTTACGGGAGAAGTACCGGAAAGAAGGATTTTCCTACAAGAAGGAATGCAAAAAGAACTTGGACCCTATTTGCAGTTGGCTCGTGGAGTGAAAAATGGAGACCTTCATTATTTCCAACAAGTCGTCGATAACTTTTACCCATTTTTTGAACGAGATGGAACAGCGTCTCTGGTAACTCGATTGCGTCAAAATGTGATAAAAGCAGGTTTGAAGCGGCTTACAGTCGCATATTCTCGAATTTCTATTGAAGATATACGCAAGTCGTTGAATTTGGACACTGCGCGAGATGCTGAGTTTATTGTTGCAAAAGCGATTCGAGATGGTGTTATTGATGCTGTTATCTATCACAAGGAAGGTTATATTGAGTCTCGAGAGTCTACGTACCTTTATGCGACTATGGAACCACAGCATTCTTTCCATGAACGTATTCGATTCTGTTTGGATATTCACAATGAAACTGTTCGAGCAATGAGATTTCCGGAAAATGATAAAAAAGACATCGAAACCTTAGAAGAACGTCGAGAGAGATTAAAGGAAGAACAGGAATTAGCCCATACTCTGGCAGAGGAAGATGAGGAAGATGACGATATTCTTTGAATGTGATTTTGTTGGACAATAAAATACTATTGGTGCGTTGTATCAGTTTGTTTGACATGATGGAGACTTGTCGTTGTTCTGGTCACATGATTGAGCTACGCCACCTTCACTCTTATTTTACAGATCCTTCATCACTTTGTTGTAGATGTTTATTTTGTATCTTGTGACGACGATGCATGATCGCCTTTTGTGGAATTTTTGTTTTCTACAAATGATCTCAAGTATTTTGTTGAATCTGTGTTGGATGGACACACAAGTTGAAAGTCAAAAATGGACTTTATCGCCTATCCTTTCTAAACTTCCTACTTTGAGTTTCGATAAGTATTTCACGTTCAATACTTCCGGACTGTCTTTCACAAGAAGATGATGATCCTCGTGTAGATTGAATTTTTGGAAATTTCCCCGAAAATGAGGGTCAGCATAGATAAAGACTATCTTGGGCGAACTAGAGCTATCAATCTTCCATTTATTCATACAGTGGAAAGTTTTTCTGGAGAGGTTTCAAAATTTGTATGATCAAAGTTGTATTTGTTGCAGCACGTAAGCTATTTTCTTTCTTCAAAACGAGAGAGAGCGGAGGGAGAAAGAGAACCTATAGGAAGAATGAATTGTTCATAGAACCTCACTTTATAGTTCTGAAAGGACCCTTACTGATAGATTTCCTGACGTAGCTCAGTAGGCACGAACATCGAATCATCCTGAGCCCTTGGTAGAGCATTCGACTGTAGTGGGAAAACCCAACTAATTGGAAGTCGAGAATGACATAGTTATCGAGTGGTCGCTGGTTCGATTCCGGCCGTCAGGAAACGGGAATTTTTTTTCAGTAAGAAAAAGCTCATTTTTTGAGTGATGGACCATTTCTTAGGAGCTCACTTTCTTTTATTGGAAAGCACTCTTAAATAATAATATACGGGAGTGGGTTTCTTCACTGTCTCAAATGTTTGGACAACTGTCCAAAATAAGGACTTGAATGTGTCGCAAGTTGATATATTTTTGGGTTGCAAGCACAACATTTGGTGTAGTTGCTATATCAAGAACTTGAGTTGTTTCTATTTTCTGTTGGCCTGTGGAAACTTTTAAAACATGTTGTCATGCATAAATAGGTCATGTTACCGTGGATTTGTCTACTTTTTCTTCATAAGGTTTCTAAGAAACTTTTCGTGAAAGAATGATTGGGTTTTATTGCGTGAACGTTACTTGTGAATATCGAGAACCTTCCCAAAAGAGTTTTGAGTTATATCATAATACTGTATAGATAAGAAGAAGATATTAGGTCAACCATCAAACTTCACTGTTTTATTCATGGAGACCGTTTGTTCAGCGAATCCTGAGTGTTCACCTTTGATGACAACGCTAACAAATATATCTTTTTTGGGAATAGCATATGAACACTTTTCAACTACATTTGAGAATTCTCTTCTAAAAAATCATTGTCAGAGGTGCTGAATAGTTTCTCTTCGACTATCTCTTTTATAGAAAAAAAGATATTTCAAACCTGCTGGAGTCAGTGAGAAGAAAGGCAACCAACACAATCTTACTTTTAACAACTCGTCATGCTCAACATATATTTTTTCTCTCCCCCTCAACTGCTTAGGTTGATTCTATATGCCAAGAAAACATTTTTATGCCATCTTAGTGGATTTTCTACAACTGGAAACCGTCCAATCATGTTACTGTGGATTCCACTTGAGACGAGAAGGATCTCCAACAGGGGGAGATAAAATTCCTTTTCGTCGTTGTCCATATTCTCACATCGGTGGTGACTGAAGAAGGGGTGCCGACCCGTTCGTTAACCACGCTAGTCCGAAAAAGACTTGAAGAGTTATGACACAAAATATTGTTGTTCATCCACCTCTTCAAGTTTGTGACGCTTGTACCTATTCAGATATAACCCGATATTTTACTCGCAAACTTACGTTGGAACTCGATGTCGACCCATTTCAGCGCCATATTCGCGGTGTCGCTCGCATCGTTTTGGAGTGTCTAAGGATGGATGCAGATGCACCTATAACTTTGGACATTCGTGGTTTGAAGATAGGAAACGTAGAAAACACTACCACCAGAAAGCAGTTAGATTTTATAGAAGTGAAAGGAGGCAAATTTGGAGACATTTTGAAGATTTTCTTGGATATGCCAGTGGCGCAAGAACATTTGATTGAAATTGCTGTTACTTATGAAACTAGTTCGGAGGTGGAAAAGCATCCAGCTGGTTCCTGTTGTGGCTGGTTGAGCCCTGAACAAACTGTCAGTGGCAAATCGCCGTATTTGTTCACTCAGTCGCAACCCATTCACGCAAGATCTTTATTTCCTTGCCAGGTTAGACTTTTGAGGACACTATAGTTTGCGGTTGAAAAATGTTCTTAGGATTCGCCAAGTGTAAAGGCACCCTATCTTGCTACGGTATCTGTGCCTGCAGGTTTTAAAGCTATCATGAGTGGCATACTTGTCAATGAAAAGGAACATTTTGAGACGGCAAAGGGAAAACTTCAAAATATTTATCGGTATGTATGGTTATATACAAGTGTTGAATGGATTCATTCTTCTTATTAGCTTTGAACAATCTATTCCAGTACCTTCCTATTTGGTCTCATTAGCCGTTGGTGATTTCGAATCTCAAGAACTATCGGAACGCTGTCGTATTTGGTCGGAACCGGAAATAATTGAAAGTGCTTGTTTTGAGTTTGGATCGACAGAACAATTTCTTAAAACTGCAGAGTCGATTGCAGGCTTTTATTTGTGGTCGAGATATGATTTATTATGTCTTCCTCCTTTTTTTCCATACGGGTAAGTAAAGCTTTGTGAATTCCTTTCTCTGTTTTTTATTTTATTCAAAAGGGGCATGGAAAATCCATGTTTAGCTTTTGTTACTTCCACTCTCCTTGTTGGGGATCGTTCTCTTGTATATGTTATTATCAATGAAATTGCTCACTCTTGGAGTGGAAATTTAGTAACTTGTGCAAGTTGGGAACATCTTTGGTTGAATGATGGTATTGCAACTTACCTTGCCAGGAAAATTATTGCCCGTGTTTTGCATAGTCAGAATCCCAGTCGTGCGAAAGTGGATGCCTTTTTTGGTTTAGAAGCGAGTATAGGTCGAGATGCTTTACAAGAAGCTATTCATTTTTATGGCGAAGAGCACAATTATACTCGTCTTGTTCCTATTGTCCATTCACAATTTGATCCAGATGACTCTTTTAGTGTTATTCCTGCCGAGAAAGGTTTCAATATGTTGTTAAAGTTGGAACGTGAAATTGGTGGAGAAGAACGTTTGCTTCGTTTTCTTCGTTCTTATTTTGAGCATTTCAAGTTTCAGAGCATCACGACGGATGAATTTGTTTCCTATTTTTCTGAATATTTCGATGCTCTATTTCCTGATGCCAACTTTGACTCCCAAAATCGCATTGAGCTCAGTAACTTTGATTGGAATACGTGGTTATATGGTACTGGTGAACCACCGGAGTATGCAAGTTTCGATTTGAGCTTAGTGAATCATGCACGTCAATTGGCACAACAGTGTTTAGATACCCAATGTGAGATGCTCACTTGGCACGATGTTGAGGAATGGGAAACAACCCAGGTAAGGAAAGATGAATGACTTTTTTTATAAACTGAAGCACATTGTTTTGAAAGATGGTTGTATTTTTAAATCATCTACTTGCGAGTGATAAGCTTACTTACGAAGCTGTAAAGAAACTGGATTTCCAAATTCGGTTTTCGCAAGGTCGATGGAGTCGAAATGCGGAAGTTCGTTTTATTTGGTTGAGAGTGTCGTTGCGAAACCATTATGAACCTTCTGTAGAGAATGCCATCGATTTCATCACTTCACAAGGAAGAATGAAATATATTCGTCCTATTTACAAGGACCTTTATTATATTTATCCCCGAGGCGACTTGGCTTTAAAGACATTTGAAGAGAATCGTCATCGTTATCATAGTATTGCAGTAAAGTTGATTGCAAGAGACTTGGAGTTGATAGAGAATTGATTATTTGGACTACGATATAGGGTGTCTTCTGTGTTTGTGTGTGTATAGAAAAAATGTTGTGAGAAAAAGAGAGACAAAAAAGAAGAAGAAGAAGATTGTCAACAATTCTTGCCATCTCCTCCAATCCAATAAAAAGGAGAGCAATGAAAGGTAAAGATTCTCTACAAAATGATGAGGAGGAGGCTTCTTCCTCTATGGCTTTTAACAAGTTGGATAAAAGCTTATACGCCCCCAGTTGGTTAGCAGAAAGACAAGTAGCTATATGTGGTGAGTTTTTATATTCATATTGGTTGTTATTATCTAGTTGACCTCGTCCACAAGCGTTATGTTTGGCTTGTAAGCTCAGTTCCAAGTTACAAAAACGATTAGTACAAGAATCGGTCATCACCAAGTCAGACAATAGTCCTGTCAGTATTGCAGATTTTGCAGTTCAGGCACTCGTGATTCACTGGATCACCCGTGCTTTTCCCAACGACCATTTTATTGCAGAAGAAGACTCCACTGCTTTGAGAAAAGATGAAAAGCTCTTAAAAGATGTTACAGACGCTGTTAACTCCGTTCTTTCCATCGACGAGCAACTAACGGATTCAGAGGTTTGTGACTTGTTGGACTTGGGTAACCGTCATATGGGTACAAACGAACGTACCTGGTTGTTGGACCCTATCGACGGCACCAAAGGCTTTCTTAGAGGTGACCAATATTGTATAGCGCTTGCGCTTTTGAAGGATGGTGCTATTCGAGTAGGTATTCTTGGTTGTCCCAATTTGCCGTTGGCTTCAGTACCACCTAATAGCCATAAAGTTGGATGTATTTTTCATGCTGCACAAGGTGTTGGAGCTTTTGTCCAAGAAATAGAACGTGGAGCTGAAAGTTATCCCATTCGAGTGTCTGATGTGAGTGACCCTGCTTGGGCAACTTTTTGTGAGTCATGGGAACCTGGGCATTCTTCTCATGAGTTGTCATTAGAAATTGCCAAGATACTCGGTGTAAATAACCCTTCTGTTCGTATGGATAGTCAATGCAAGTATGGTGTTGTGGCAAGAGGGGAAGCTTCGATTTACTTTCGGTTTCCAAAGGAAGGCTATCAAGAAAATGTGTGGGATCATGCAGCTGGTTCGATCATTATTCGCGAAGCTGGTGGAATGGTGACAGATGGCTTTGGACAAGTCTTGGATTTCTCCAAAGGACGTAAGTTGTTGAATAGAGGTGGCATTATTGCAACCAATGGTAGATTACATAATGCAGTGTTAAATGTTGTCAAACATGTTCTTCAATTATAAACACAAATAGCTAATATAAGAAAACTTTTATTGCAAGCAAAAGCAAATATTTGTTACATTAGGCAATAGGGGAGAGAGAAAAATTTCATATCGTTACTTTTGTGAAAATACGAGAGAACCATTATCAATCTTAGTCAACTTCTTCAACTTTGGGACCAGATGAGGAACCATCTCCTCCGCTTGCTCCACCACCTGCAGCACCACCAAATCCCCCTGCTGCAGCTCCAGCAGCACCGGCAGCTCCCTCTGCACCCTGATATAGCTTAGACATAATAGGCATAGCAACTTGCTCCAATTCTTTCTGCTTTGCTTCAAACTCTTCTTTTGATGAATCCATGTGCGTATCAATCCATTCTAAAGTTTCCTTCACTTTGGATTCCAAAGTCTCACGGTCACTCTCAGATAACGTCTTCTTTACATTATCTTCTTGCATAGTATTTCTCAGATTATACGCATATTGTTCAAGACTATTCTTCGCTTCGATGCGAACTTTCTGCTTCTCATCTTCCGCCTTGTACTGTTCCGCTTCCTTAACCATACGTTCAATTTCCTCTTGCGATAAACGTCCTTTTTCATTTGTAATAGTAATCTTATTGCTCTTATTGGTACTCTTCTCTACTGCACTGACATTCAAGATACCATTGGCATCAATATCAAACGTAACCTCAATTTGAGGTACTCCCCGTGGCATTGGCGGTATTCCTGTCAAGTCAAATCGTCCCAACAAGTTATTGTCCTTTGTCATAGCACGTTCTCCTTCATACACTTGAATAGTAACTGCAGGTTGATTGTCTGCATAGGTAGTAAATATTTGCGATTTTCTCGTGGGAATAGTAGTATTTCTTTCGATTAACTTGGTCATTACACCGCCTGCAGTCTCAATACCAAGACTCAAAGGTGTGACATCAAGTAGCAAGAGATCCTTTGTCTTCTCACTTGCATCTCCTGTCAAGATTGCTGCCTGTACTGCTGCACCATACGCAACTGCTTCATCTGGATTAATACTCTTGCAAAGCTCCTTGCCATTGAAAAAGTCTTGCAAAAGTTGTTGAACTTTTGGAATTCGAGTCGAACCTCCTACCAAAACAACATCATGAATTTGACTCTTGGATAATCCAGAGTCCTTAATAACTCTCTCGACGGGATCTATGCACTTGCGGAACAAATCCATACACAAGTCTTCAAACTTGGCTCTCGTAATACTGGTGTAAAAGTCAATGCCTTCGTAGAGAGAATCCACTTCAATAGTTGTTTGGGTTGCACTTGAGAGGGTTCTTTTAGCTCTCTCACAAGCTGTACGAAGCCTTCTCATAGCGCGGTGATTGGATGTGATATCCTTGTTATATTTTCGTTTGAACTCTTTTGCCAGATAGTCAACCAGCCTGTTATCAAAATCTTCTCCTCCCAAGTGAGTATCTCCAGCAGTTGCCTTTACTTCAAAGACACCTTCATCAATAGATAAAAGAGAAACGTCAAATGTGCCACCACCCAAGTCAAAAATGAGCACATGACGTTCACCTTTGGCCTCCTTGTCCAATCCATATGCAATAGCTGCTGCAGTGGGTTCATTGATGATTCGAAGTACGTTCAAGCCTGCAATCGCACCCGCATCCTTGGTTGCCTGTCTCTGGGAGTCATTAAAGTATGCAGGTACTGTGACAACTGCTTCGGTTACTGTTGCCCCCAGATATGCCTCGGCGGTTTCCTTCATCTTTTGAAGAACCATTGCAGAAATCTCCTCTGGAGCAAAGGTCTTCGTCTCCCCTTTGTAATTTACTTGAATGAAGGGCTTATCTCCGTCCTTCGCGATCACTTTGAAAGGCCAGTGTTTCATATCTGCTTGCACTGAGGAATCAGAAAACTTGCGACCAATAAGGCGTTTCGCGTCAAAGACAGTGTTCTGTGGGTTAAGAGCGACTTGATTCTTTGCAGCGTCTCCAATCAGTCGCTCCTCGTCCGTGAAAGCGACATAAGAAGGAGTGGTTCTGTTTCCCTGGTCGTTAGGAATGATTTCCACTCGCTCATTCATCCATACTCCCACACAAGAATAAGTCGTTCCCAAGTCGATACCTACAGCTTTCTTTGTCATAGTCTGTCAACACCAAAAAAAACAACAGAAACAACAATTCTAATCTAAAGAGAAACTTTGGGAATGGGTGCTCATTTAAAATACCAATCGTACCTTCTAGATCCATCGACCGTCCTGGTCGGCCCACAGGAGGGGAAAAATGCGGTGGAATGGCGCCACAATCCATTCGAAGCTTCTATGTACACAATTATTCTTTAACATGGAGCTATTGTTGAATGATGTTCATAGAAAGTGATGTTCCAAAGTTCCGTTGATATGTTAGGGACTTGCGTCTAGAATAATTTTTCTTTCACTCTCGGTATCACTTGTTTATTCTCGTTGGCATAGAAAGCTTTACACGTCGGGTGGGTTAAACTATCGGGGCAAGTTACTCGAGTTAGAGAACAGTGTTTTAGAGACCACAACATGGTTTACGAATTATATGATCGCTTCTTGTCGTATACGGTCCAACAAACGCTCGTTGCGACTTTTTAAGAGCGTATAAGATTCGCTCCTCCATAAAAATTGAACTGGGTGACTGCTCTATTGTTTAAAGTGTTACCATTGTCTTGTCAGTGACAACCTCCCTTTTGTTAACTAAAGCTTGAAAAGTTTCAACTCTGGATACACTTCAAAGAATGCATATTGTCTTGTAAAGGATTTTGGCTAGAAGAAGCTCTTCATTGTTTCTTGCATAATAGTCACAAACGTATACTGCTCATTCAACATCCGCTTACTTGAAGAACCGTTATTATTCCAGTATCACTCTGTATACCATAATTGCATGAAAAGTTAAACTATTCTGAAAGGTGTGAAAATCAATTGAAAAATGCAATTGGTGGGTTTCGACCTGCCTACTCCTTCACGTGGACAACACCGAAAACAAAGTTCGCGTGACTTTTCAAAGAAGAAAGCGGAGAAGAAACATACTGTACGTCCTGGAAGCTTTGAATCTCTTGGTTTGAACAATGCTTTGGTTTCTAATCTGAGACATTTGGGATACAGTTTTCCTACCCCCGTACAAAGAAAGGCGATACCTCCTTTGCTGCGAGGAAAAGATGCCATCATAATGGCTAGAACTGGTTCAGGAAAAACTGCTGCTTTTCTTCTTCCAACGTTGAACAAGCTTTATCAGGAAGGTATTGGAACTAGTACGAAGCTCGTAAGTGGAATAAGATGCGTCGTCATTTCTCCAACCAGAGAGTTGGCTATGCAGACTTTTGGTTTCTTTAAGAAATATGCAAAAGGAACAAATCTGAAAGCTTGTTTGTTGGTTGGTGGGGAACCTTTTGAAAGTCAGTTCGCCGCTCTTGCGACCAATCCTGACGCTCTTATTGCTACTCCGGGAAGACTGTTACAGATACTGGATCAAGTAAGCTACCTTCGTCTACACTCTGTGGAGACCATTGTTTTTGACGAAGCAGACCGATTATTCGAAGGTAATCTTGGAAAGAATACTCGGCAACTAGTTGATTTATTTTTTGATTCCCCTTCATCTGGGGTTTCTCACACTTGTCAAAAGATGTTGGTTTCTGCAACATTGCCACAGGCGCTTGCTGACTTTGTGCAGTTGAACATGCTCGACCCCGTTTTGATACGCTTGGATTTGGAACAAATCATATCACAAAATGTAGCACTTGCATTTTTTGGAGTACAAGAGGAGGAAAAATTGGCAAGTTTACTGTACTTGATTATGGACGTTCTTCCTAAACTTCCTACAAGTGTTTCTAGCAATCAATCCAGTGCCAATGGATATCCGAAAACCATTATTTTTCTAGCATCACGTCATCAAGTAGATTTTTTGGAACAGTTGTTATCATCACAAAATATTCCTGTAGCTGGTATTCATGGCAACAAGGATTCGACTGCTAGAAAACGGGCTGTAGAAAATCTACGAAATGGACATGTGCCTATCCTTTTGGTAACTGATTTAGCTGCGCGAGGATTAGATATTCCCTTTTTAGATGTAGTTGTACATTTTGATATGCCACCGACTCCAAAGCTGTTTGTGCATCGTGCAGGTCGAACAGGGAGAGCTGGACATTTTGGAGTCATTTTGGCATTGGTGACTCCAGATGATCTTCCTTATTCACTCGACTTGTTTTTGTTCCTAAGTAGAGAGTTTCATGTAGCTTCAGAAGAGAACCAGGGTATAGAGAATATTGGAGATGAACAATCGTTACTAGATACTTCCTATGTTTATGGTCTGCTTCCATCTGCATCAGTTTCGCCTCTTGTCGATACCATTCGAAATGATATAGAAACCTCAACAGACTTACAGTATGCAATCCAAGCAGCTAAGAATGGATCAGAAAAGTATAAACGTATTCGGCCTTGTGCAAGTTCAGCATCCATTCAAAGAGCTAAAGAAATGCTTGCTATGTATAGTAAGCCATGGATACACCCTTGGTTGATGAACTCTTTGCAATACAACCAATGTAAAACAGTGGAAAATGTAGTACAACAGTTAAAATCATGGCGTCCTCATACGGCAGTAGTTGATCCCACTTTTAACAATTGCAAAGGTAGCCTTCGTAACCATAATCATGAACATGAGAATCTTCAATCCAAGGATGAAGCTTTGTCGTTATTATCATCCCCATCGATAAGAAAATGGAACAAGATGGGAGAGAATGAGGTTGGTTGCAAGAAAATGAGTCATCGACAAATGCTACTAGCCAAGGAAAGAATGCAATATTCAAAGTCCTCATCGAGGAATGTCAACTACTTTCGAGAAAAAGGTCTTTCTGTCGTTCAAGAAGGAAGAATGAAGGATTCATTAAAGGACTCAATTTTGAGTGTTGTACAAGATGATCCGGACGCTGAAGAGTCTCAAAGAAGACGACTTTTATGGGATAGAAAGAGAAAGAGGTTCGTTCATCCTTCCAACGCATCTTCAAAGCTCGACCATAACGACAACAACAAGAAGAAGAATGAGACGGATTCTATCAAGTCCCGCTTTATGAAATGGTTGTCCAAATCAAGAGTTCGAATCCAGGCAATAGGAGAAGAAGCTGATCCTGAAAATACTCGTTTGGCACAAGTGAACAGGATAATTCGTAAAAAGAATGGTGAGAGCAAAGCGAAACAAGAGTTGAAGAGACCCGAGCAAATACGTAAGGAACGGAAAAAGAAGGAATTGTTGCAAAGAAAGAGAATTGCAAAATCTAGCAAGTCAAAAGGAAGACGAAAGGAACCGAGACCAAGTAAACAAGGCAGAGGAGCGAGACGAAGAAGCTTTGCAATTGTAAAGTATTAAGAAATGGGAATACCAACACAAACTTTAAACGAATATAAACCCAAAACTAACAGACTCCATTGGTTTTTTGTTTTTGACTCTAAACAAGACTCAGAAAAGAACGTCTTCACGAGTTTTGTCTCTCTTACTTTCACGTGAGCAAATGCTTTGTGCTTTTGTCGATTCTTTTCCATCAGCAATTCTCTGCCGTGACGTATAGAGTCGGGAGTTTTTCTGTCCAATTCCTCCAACGTCCACATCAAGTCTCTCCATAACATATCACATAAATCTCTAGAAAAAGTTTCACGAATCACTACTCGAAGAACTTTGATATGTTCAGCCTTGGGAGGAAAATTATATGCTATACAAGAGTCAAAAACCATTGGGAAATCAGTCAACATTTTCGTATACCTGGAACGATCCAGCCATATTCCTTTAGACGATGTGAGATATCAAATTCATCATATGCTTGAGGTTCTTTTAAACCAAAGGCAACCAAAGGTACGCTCACTTCATCACTATAAACTCTAAAGCGTCCACTCTCTTCAACTTTCTTTCTCAAATACTGACATATCTTTTGAAGGTTACTTAACACAGCTCTATATCCATTTTGTCCCATGGGAATGAATTGATAATACTGTGCTACTATCTGACCCGCTCCTTTTGAAAAGTTGAGAGTAAATGTAGCTTGATCTGCTCCCAAATAGTTTACATGAAATATCAAATCTATAACAACATACATTGAGAGCATTCAATCACCGCTTCCCTTCAATACACTTGCCTTGTGGTAAATCCTCTTGACTCTTCCATACAACCCATCCCACACCAGGATACTTGTCAATATTATCCATTCTAGTCCCCATTTTTGTTTCCAAAACCAACTTACCACAAGGCCATATTTATGTCCAGAAACATTGATGGAACGTACGAGAGGAAGACGAAAGTCCCAAACCAAATCAGGATAAAGAAAAGGTGCAATAAAACCACCAGAAGCTGCATCCACATGAATAGGAACGTTCCAACCTTTTTCTTCATTCAACTTGCAAAGGCAGTCATTTAGTTTTTTCACATCTTCAAATGCACCATTATATGTGCTTCCAAGAATGCTGCAAACACCGATGGTATTCTACAACCCTAACATTACAACTAGTTGACTACAAAACAAAACAAACCTCATCCACATAGGACATGGCTTTTTCTGGTTCCATAATCAAAAGATTCTCCGATACCGGTACATAACGTGCTTCTACTTCAAAATAGCGACAAAACTTCTCCCAACATACTTGCACATTGGATCCCATCACAAGATTGGGCTAAGATTGTCAACATATTTGAGTTAGTAGGATTCATTCAGAGAACCATTTTACACAAAATACTTTTTCTGTTGACAATCCCGCTTGTTTTCTTGCTTGTTTCCATCGCCACTTGAAAGCCAAACCAGCCAACATGATTGCTTCTGAACTCCCTACTGTAGCTGTGCCTACAGAGTCCGATTGACCTTGTTCTGTAGGTACGTGAAAGAGGTGTGCAATCATATTGACACAACGCTTTTGTAACTCTGCAGTACAAGGGTATTCTTCCAAGTCAATAAAATTTTTACCCTAACCATGAAACGACAACTCTATATTCAATAGCATTGAGTGCAAAGATAGCATACAATATTTTCAGTCATAAGACGGTCTGCTTGGGGCTCCATCCATACGGTCACAAAAGACGCCAAGTTCAACTGTGGATTCCTAATTTATCATCGTTGAACAACAAAGGATTATAGTATCAACTTTCAATACCCGTCGAGTGCCAATTCTTCGTGAATCAACTAGTTTTTTGTCTTATTTCAGTAACTGCATACGAGTGTTGATACCAACCTGGTAAGCCACTTCTGGTGGCATGGCTTCCTCAGGCATGCGATATGTAGGTATAGGCTTTGACATGTATCTTGAAGCAAATACTGATCCACATAGTGAGTCTTCATTATCCTTTTGTTGAGAAGGCTTCGAGTGTACTGGATGGAGAGGCATTATTTTCTGGAATGTCTGATGATTCCAAAATAAGAGGGGAGAGAGAAAGAATTGCTTTTGAGTCATCCTTCACTCCTCTATCTTTATTACATATATGAAGAATATTCATTACATCTCATTGTTGGAATAGGAATATCCCAGTCATCTATGGCTCTATCTTTTTTTGAATATAATATCCATTACTTTGAGTATCACAGATGAATTCATGATATCTTTAATAAGAAGAAGATGACAACAGTCAAACATCGACACAACAGATCATTTCAAGGACATGCACGGCACACGTGGATGACGAGTGTATTCCTCTTCATGGTGGGAATGATTGAAGGGTGAGGAGACTATACAAAGTTTTGTTGATTGCAAGAGTCGTACATGAAGGACAACACACACATTTATACCATAGAGCAGGTATGTATCATCATAAGAAACTATCTACTTGACTCTATATTTCTCAGATTGCAAGGCACCATACTCGTAAAGACTTGTGGGTGATTGTACACGGCAAAGTATACAACCTCTCTTCATTTTTGGATACGCATCCTGGTGGTGACGAAATACTGTTACAATATGCAGGTAGTAGCTTACATAATGTACATCCTAACAACAACATAATCTGATAGTATCCAATATAGGTGATGATGGTACATTGGAATTTGAAAAGGCAGGACATCCTGAAGAAGCTCAACAATTATTGCAAAACTATTGTATTGGTTATGTGACCAGAGACTGTGTTTTAGAATGTGACGGTTTATTAAAACAGACTGCAGAGACAAGTATTTGGAGAAAGTATTTGCGAACGTTGGCTGCTTCTACTTTGGATAGTTTCCACTGGTTGTTATTGCTAGTGGGAATTATTTCCGTATTGTTGCTTTTATTTCATTTTTGAAACTACTTTTGGGGATCTTCTATTGGAAACTATGATGAGGAATAGTAGAATGTGGTTGTGAATTATCTCTTATGAATATATACATACATTCATTATATATATATATATATATATATACACATACACACAAATATAGATATTTATGTATAATATAGAAATAGCTTATGAGATTATATCATGATAGAGATCCATATCAATGAATGCAGTCTTTTTGGATGCCATTTCATAGTGCCAAGTGTCTCTTTCTTCTATCTCTGCTGGTGACTACTCAAGGAAAGAGTTGTATTCCTAGTAATATTCATTTCCGTCCGCTTGGCAGCCCAACTAGAAAACTTTGCAACACAACAAGATGGGACAAAAGTTGCTATTCTGTGAAACATAAACGACAGCAACGTTCAACCACTAACCAGGTTCCCTCATCGTCTTGTGTTGAAAATTCAGAATTACCCAAACACCTTGTAGTCAAAAAACTAGTTCCAATACCAGAAATAGAAAATATCGACCAATTTGTGTTGTTTTCTGATTTGCACTTGAGAAAAGATAACCTAGAAACTTGTATACAAGTATTAAAACAAGTACACCAAGTAGCATATGAAAGGAATGCAGGTGTTCTATTTTTAGGTGACTTTTGGGACAGAAGAGGTTCTTTACCAGTGGAACCTTTGAATGCTGCTATTGAAGAACTACAACGATGGCAACAGCCGTTGATCATGATTCCGGGTAATCACGACCAAGTTTCTTATGATGGAACGGTTCACTCCTTATTGCCCATTATGGTGTCTTTGAAACACCCTGCAGCCTTAGTCATTGACCAACCAAGTATTTTTCTGGATGCTTTATGGATTCCTTTTATTCGCGAAGATGATCTGTTTACCAAAGTTATCTCTTCAGTCTCTCCCTTGTGGAGTCAGATAGACGCAGTCTTTTGTCATACCGATATTCAAGGTGCTCAATGGATACGAAATGAAAGCCATTCTTCGTTCAATTGTACAAAAGGAGTTTTACCGGATTGTTTTCCATCCCATGTTGCGGTATATTCTGGTCATTTTCATAAACCACAGCAAATACCCAATACACATATTCGATACGTTGGTTCTCCATATCAAGTTTCTGCGATGGAAAGTGGACAACAAAAGTATTTGTTACGACTAAGTCGCAGTCATCGTTGGTCTGTACAGGAAACCATTCCCATTTCATTAGGTCCTAAACATTATTATTACCATTTCGGTGATATTCTGAACATTTCATCCTTGGATTTCTTACAACCTGGAGACCGAGTATTTCTTCAAGTCAACTCCGATATTCCAGAGTCTCAGATTGCACCCATTCTGGAACAAGTGCGGCAACAAAAGGCATCAGTATTCACATTTCTTGATGAACCAGACAAGGAAAACTCGGTTTCTTCTATAGAATCCGAGAATAGTCCCGCAGAGTTGAGAGATCCTATCAGAATATTACAACAATATGGAGATGTCTACAAATTGTCTTTATCCGTAATGGATGTTGGAAAGGAAATCATTCAAGTACGTATATCGAATAATCACGATAGATGACTACTCAACATGACTTAGCAAGTACTTGCTTCTCAAGAACATGCATCTTTCGATGGTCAACAATCCAACTCTATTGATTTAGTTTTGGATTGGGTACATATCGATGGTTTTGGTTCTTTTCGTGATTCGGTAACTTATCCATTATCCAATCGAGGACTGGTCATCTTAACTGGTGAAAATGAGGATGATATAACCAGTACAAGCAATGCCAGTGGGAAGACAACCTTATGGATGGCAGCGTTGTGGTGTCTCACTACTTGCACGACTTTTTGTTCTCATGTGATTCACGATGACCGCAAAGAAGCTCAAGTCACCGTTTATGGTCGATGGAATGGACATAGTTTACAAGTAACTCGTTGTATACAAAGAAAACGTGCTTCTCATCGACTACGCATTTGGTTGGATGGAGAAGAATGGACTTGTCAAGAAATACGTGCCACTCAACAACAACTCGATCGATGGATCGATACACGGTTGTTATCACATTGTGTATTCTTTGGACAGCATACTTTTCTATATGATTTATTTGCTTCCAATGACCGAGAATGGAAGGAACAACTGAGTCGGTTCATTCCTTTGAATATATGGGAAGGTTGCAAACACTATGTTCGAAACAGGCTCAAGACGTTGGATGAAAGTATTCTTCGATTGCGGTCGCAAATAGAAACCACCGAAAACTGGTGCAAGCAATTGGAATCGAGAATAGAAATGCAACAAATGGAATATCAACGTTTATTAACTCGTGTCCATTTAAGAGAGAATGATGTTTTGTATTCATCTCATTTAGATAGAATGGAACACCATACGAGTCATTCCGTGACAAGTGTACCACAACGTGATCATTATGACGTTTTACAACAGTTGAATGATCGATTACAAGATATCCAAGAAGAGATACATGACACCAAACAAAGGTTGTATGATTTGCAACATGGAATAACCACAATACAACAACAAATAGCAAACCATCGAAATCAGTACAATTATTTGGAATGCATAGAACAACAACATGATGAATGGCAACAACAATATAAACGATGGAAGCAACAAAGAGATGATAGAAAGAAACAAATACAAAGTATTTTGAAACAAAAGCCAACACAACAGCAATTCCATGAACAATTGCAACGTTTACAACTGCAATGGGACGAGTGTCAATATGAGATGAAACAAAAGTCCCGACAATGTACACAATGGGAAGAAGAATGGACACTAGGAAAGCCAACTGGGGATCGAAATGGAACAAAAGGGGCCTATTTAAGATGGAAACAATGGGAATTAAGATATCAACGATATCAAGTGGAATATTCCAAAGTATGGAATGAGAAAATGGTTTTACAAACTCAATGGGAAAAAGTAGGAGGAAAGGAAGAAGATGAATGGATATGTGATTATTGTTTACAACCTGTGAGTCCAACGCATCATAAGAAAGCACTCGAAAATTTACAAAGAACATATCAATTAAGTGTACGAAGAGAAGAAAGAATGTCCAAGATATTGAATCACATTCAACATCATATGGACCAAGCCAAACAAGAATATCAGCAACTTGTATATAATTCCATGGCCAAAGCCAAACAAGAAATAAATGATATCCAAATAGAAAAGGAACGAATAGGGGAAGAAAGAAACGATGTGCAACAACAAATCATGCAATTGAAACAACTTTTCAAGGAATGGCAACAGCTTGATGAAGAACAAAGTTGGAAAAATCATTTGATAATTCTTCTTGGTCAATTGTTGACTGAAAAGAAGAAGAAGGAGGAGGAGGAGGAAAGAGTTTCTAGTAAAAGTGGCATCTCAAAGGAATCAACCTATGATGTGTTCAATTGTGAGCACTTGAGTAATCTTATAATGAAAACATTGCAACGGAGGAAAGCAGTATATCAACTAGAGTTGGACAATCAATGGAAAGAATATGAGCACTTACAAAAGGAATATGAAGAACAATCGCAACGTTTGGAAGAATGGAATAACAAAGCATCTCAATGTCACAAGGAAAAGAGTGAATGTGAAGCTCGTATCAAATATTTACAGAAAGAAAAGGACTTGTTGGAAAAGGAAGCCATTCTCAACTCACACAATCCTCTTGTTTCATTTATTCAAAAGGAAAGAGAAGATTGGGAACAACAGAACCGATATTTGGCTACTTGGAATGAAGAATTGCGTCGAATAGAAAAAGACCAACAAGTTTTACAGCAATTGGATAAAGTATTTGGTCCTCGAGGTATACCGGTAAGTGAATGTGTTGGAAATGGATTGGATATCTGATTTGAATAGCATTTTGTATTGAAACAAGTACTTTATGAACTGCAACAACGCATCAATTCCTATTTATCTATGATCAGCCATGGACATATCCAAGTGGAGTTGAGACCTTTTACTTGTTTAAAGAGTAAAAAGGAGCAAATGGTAGAAATGATTGATAAGAAGATACTTGTCAAGAACAGTCATGGTTCATTTTCTAATAGAAGTTATTCGCAACTCTCAGGTGGACAACGTCGACGTTTGGGAGTTGCATTGGCATTGGCATTTCATGATATAGGAGAACGAAGATGTGGCTTTCATTGTAATATCATGGTAGGTAATAAGTTATTAAGAATGGACTAACCAAGAATGATAAAAAACCAGGTTTTAGATGAAGTTTTCCAACATTTAGATAGCGAAGGGAAGAAGAGAGTTGCCAACGTTTTGGAAAAGTTGGATAAAGAATCCATTTTTGTGGTTGTACATGATATGGATGAAGCTATGAATCATCTTCCTCGTGCCTTTCATGATATTGTAAGGAAGCAAGGCGATGTATCCTCGGTAACTGTTGATAAAAGTTGGTGAATAAGAAGAGAGTTGTGTAAACTCTTTATGCAATTAGAAATAAATACATTCCATTGTGTTCTTTTGGATCCCTTTCTATATCGTTGAGAGTCTCTCGAATGTGGACATCTCGACTTGGGGAGAAATGTGGCTACATGCTCCAACTTTGGGTATGTGTGTTGTTCATTCCTAGAGACCTATACAAACTGACTATGAAAAAGCTTCAAGTATTCCTAGTAGACACTATCCTAAAGCAGCTTTCAGGTTGGCACTATCGTCAATGGCTACAAACGGAAAGATTCGTGTGAAAAACCCTATTGTAGAACTTGACGGAGATGAAATGACCCGCATCATATGGTCGTTTATTAAAAACAAACTAATATTTCCATACTTGGATATTGATTTGAAGTATTTTGATCTGGGTTTACCCAACAGAGACAAGACCGAAGATCAAGTTACCATAGAAGCTGCAGAAGCCATCAAAAAGTACAACGTCGGCGTCAAGTGTGCCACTATAACACCCGATCAACAGAGAGTAAAGGAATTCAATCTGAAGAAAATGTACAAATCACCCAACGCAACCATTCGTGGGATCTTGAACGGAACTGTGTTTCGGTTCGTGTGTCGTGTATTGGCAAATGATTGCATCGTGCTAACTTGTTTTCTAGAGAACCTATCATCTGTAACAACGTCCCTAGACTGGTTCCTGGTTGGAAAAAACCTATCATCATCGGTAGGCACGCCTTTGGGGACCAATATCGAGCCACAGAAGTTTCGATTCCACCTCAAGGCGGTGTTGTACAGTTGGTTTGTCAAACAAAGGATGGAAAGACAACCACTCAGACTGTGCATCAGTTTGAATCCGGTGGTGGTGTGGCTTTAAGTATGTTCAACACAGATGAATCAATAAGAGGATTCGCAAAGTCTTGTTTCGAATTCGCATCAGCTAGAAACCTACCCTTGTTCCTTTCCACCAAAAACACCATCTTGAAAACTTATGATGGAAGATTTATCGAAATATTTGAGCAACTCCGTGCACAATATCCAAATGTTCAATATGAACACCGGCTTATCGATGATATGGTAGCACAGGCTTTAAAATCTAGTGGAAACTTTGTATGGGCATGTAAGAATTACGATGGGGATGTACAAAGTGATGTCATTGCACAGGGTTTTGGAAGCTTGGGAATGATGACCAGCGTTCTCATGGCTCCGGATGGAAAGACGGTGGAGTCGGAAGCTGCCCATGGTACCGTAACTAGACATTACCGTAAGTATATGGCAGGAGAAAAAACAAGCACCAACCCCATTGCATCCATCTTCGCATGGACGCGGGGTTTAGCACATCGCGGAAAATTGGATAACCAACAAGAGTTGTGTGACTTTGCAGACTCCTTGGAGAGAGCTTGCATTGAACTGGTTGAATCTGGAAAAATGACCAAAGACTTGGCCATCGCTGTGTATGGTGCAGATGACTTATCAGAAGATGATTATTTGCTTACAGAGGCGTTCATGGACGCGATTGCAGAAAGACTCAACAGCAAGCTCTCCGTAAAGATGGCGTCTTCCGCTCAGTGAAAATAAAGATTGCTATGAGACCATCAGACTTCCATGAACTGGGGCTTGTCAGGCATAGTTCCTGTTCACCAAAGGTGGGTTCTTTTTCTCGAGACTGCACCTAGAACGTGGTGAGAAACAACCCTTTCAGGCGCACGTCATCGAGAAAATACCTCGGTGAATACAGTACTTCCTGGTGCACGCCACGATGCATCACTTGGTCTCCGATAACAATCAAACACTGATATATAAATATAATGCCTTTATTTGTTACAAAACTCAAGGAATTACCTAAACTCTCGACGACGACACTACACATCGTCGACAAAAATCCCCATGCAATTTTATTCAATGTCGAAAGCGCTTTTAAAATGAAAATCACGCCCAATGTATCGCCAACACCCAAAACCTTAATAAATGAAAACAACGAGATACACAAAAAAACATTTGTAGTTGAGTCCCAAAGAACTCAAGACAAAAACAGTTTATCGAAAGTATCTGTTATCCTAACAAAGAACCAAATTGACAACTTCTGGGCGAACTCTTCATTTAAATAATGAGTAAAAATAATGAAAACGACGCATTTTTAAGCAAGAAGCAAAACTGAGAATGTGCATACAGCACTTTGGAACGATTGTAGAAAAATGGCAAGTACAAGAACGTAGAGCAACGAAGTCTAAACAATGGAAATGATAATAAATTTATCACTTGATGGAAATTATAATGAGAGAAACCACGCAAAGAGACGGCTAAAAGAAAGTAAAGCAAAAAGCCGAATTAGAAAGAATTAAAATTTTCGTGTCGCGATAAGTAGAGAATTAATTTTTGTAAAATACTCTTGGAACTCTCTCCAAGCAGAACGAAAAGTAAACAATTGATTAAAATTATATTGATAATTTTAAATAATCAAAAATTCGTTTCATCGACAATTAAAATTTAATCGGGTAGGTTACTGAACTTTTCATCGATCGTTTGTTTTCAAAGTACTGAAGCATATAACTTATATATTACTTTCTTAGCTATTTTTTTAAAAATGATAGTAGATTCATTTTGATTAAATTTTACTAATGTGAAAAAATGCCATTCGTCATCGTTGTGTGAAAGAATTTGTTTTGTCTGTTTTAATACAAGGATGACATTTAAGAGAATTAAATGTAATAAGGAATGATAAAGGAAACACTGATTATTGCGTTATGTTTTAATTTATGACTTTGAGTCCAAGCCTTGAAAGGGTATGGAAAAGTTACTTTGTTTAAGATTAAAAGGAATTTGACTGCCTCTCTTATTGCTTTTTACATTGATAGCGGGAATGGAGAAGAGTTATTGTTTGCCTTTATTTATTCATACATTAAACTTTGGCTGGAAAATAAACATTAAACTGCTTACTGCAAAAAATGCATCATATTTCGTATAACTTTATAGAATTTCTACTGAGATATCTTTGTCGTAGAAAAATGTGTCTTTTTCTCTGTCGAATGTGCTACTTCCTAATTCAGAAAAGAGCTTCTGACGGAGTGATCGCTGTCTGTCATATTCTCTTACACGCAGTTTTGATTTCTCAAAGTATTTGACAAGTCGACACATACTCCAATTCTGACCATGTTGCCTTGTGACTATATATATATATGCTGTGGATACAAGTACGTTTCAGCTTTTACTCGTTTTCCTAATATAATGTTGTTTGTTTAGCAGGAATTAAGAGCTCTTTGGTTTAAGAAAACCGAGCTAAACTGCCGTTGAAAATACACCTCTTCTTTGTTCATCTTCGGTTCTTCTCCAAGTGTTGAAGTACAGTTATCATCCTATATTAGCAGGAGAAGAATATACCCATATTACTTCACCCAATAAGAGTTCGGTTATCTTCTTCCCTTGTTGTTGTCCCACAGCATTTCGAGGTTGTGGTGAAAATTTTTCTGATAAACTTGTGTTATTTCAAAGCAACATAAACAAGGTCTAGGAGGAGGAATTTGAAAATTTCATATATACAGAAGGCTCTATGGTTATCATTTTCGCTTCCAGCAATAGGTTTCACAATAGCAAACAATCTCTATTTATAGAGAAGTCTTACTCCACAACAGATAGACTGCTTTATCTCAAGTTGTCGCTTGAACAGAGATATCTATTTTCCGATTGAAAAAGCGAATTCGAACTCTTATGATGGTAGAAACCATCGAAAGTAAATATAGAAATAGATAGATGTTTTCGCATGGTCTCACTAGCCACAAGTCAGCATCTTTTAGACTGCCGAAACTGTCGCTTACAAATCGAAATGCTTCCCCCACCCCACCATTAAACCATCTGTCACATTTCCTTGAACGCAACACGGAGCGTCCAAGTCCAAAGTCAAACGCTTGTTGGAGTTGTCGGGGCAGCTAAAAAAGTTTACCTTTGTGTAGGGCTTTAACAAGATACTGCTTGAAAGATATTTAATTTTATTCACAAAAGCAGCGTGACCGTTGTTGTTGTTTATTCATCCCTCTTGTTAAAGTTTTCCCGTGAAAGGCGCGCATGGGAGGTTCTTCTAACCCCACCACAAGTATTGAAGACTCTCCCATCGATGGTAGGTAAAAAGAATATAGTATCTTTTACAGACTTAGGTAGTTTGTAGAAATGACTAACGATGTGGATGGTGTGGAAGAAAGAGAAACCATGGATGTTGAGAACCCTAGTGGAGTTTTATGTTCCAGACTTTGTAAGAGTACTATGTACAATTGGGTGAATGGCTCAGAATGTGAGAGCTGGAAAGCCAGTAATATTTGTTGTCCTCATAGAAAGAAGCTGCTTGGTGCGAAGGCATCCTCGGAACAGTCCCCAGATTCCGTCCCTTACCTATTATTTGAACTTCGTATGTTGATTTCCTATATTTCGAGTAAGCCAGTTCTTTGTAGAGGGTCTGCCAGCTTCATTCGTGATCGTTTGCGAACGTTGATAGCTTTCTCTTCAGCTTTTGTCGAGAAAGAACGGAGTTGTGCGGATTCTGTTGTTTTATCCCAAGCTGCTCAAGGACGAGAAGTTTTTGAATACTTTCAAAAAGATTTGTGCCCTTTGTGTTGTGGATACTTTAGTCCTTTTAACTTGTTACCTGACGAGATTTTAAAACAAATTTTAAGTTTCTTGGATGGCCCGGATCTTGCACGTGCTCGTAAAGTTTGTCGGAAGTGGAATAATCTTGCTAATGACAGTAACTTATGGAAGGAGTTGTGTATAAGAAAGTGGCGCACTCTTGAAATGGATGTGCATGCTTGGAAACTTTTCCGAGGATATAACTGGAGACCTGGAGAATCTTTCTGTTGGCAGCATCTTTATCCATTTTTGTATCGTCAAAAGTCTGTTCGTTGCAGATTACAAAAAACAGGAAGGTTCATTTGTTATCTCATTGCGCATCAATATGATGGGACTCCTTTAGGAGCCACTGATTTGCCACAAACACTTATAGTTGAGAGACGTTTCAATGTGTCTCATCTTGAAAACTTTGTACTTCAAGATTCCGCTCGAGTTTATTTTGAACCAGAAACGGAAATGGATAGTGATGGATATAATGCATTTATTGACTATTTGATTCAACGCAATAGGTAAGTATTACCATGTTTTGAATTGTGGACATTCTGAATAGGAGAATATGATTTAGAGCTGGTCTTGCTTTGGAAGGTGATCGTAGAATTATTTTTATTCCGCCATGTGAGTATTCCCGCAATGTTTTGGGGTACAATGGCAATGGACTTTTAGGAATTGTTCAACATTCTTATCCTCCTCTTTCTTAAACACAACTTTTTGGATTCGAGAATAGATACACAGAAACATTCATGTAAAAAAGGACTTTGAAATGGTTATGCTATTTTCTTTGTAGAAATGATCTTTTGGTCATTTTTCGCAACTGATTGAATAAAACGGTTTTCTTGAAGAGTGAAAAATGGAAATGGGATGTCCTTTGGTCTTATCCAGTTGATGGAGAAGAGTCAAGTTGCCCAAGTTTCATCTCGAGTTCAACACTTATTACAACCCTTTTCTCCACATTTAGAAGCTTCCTTTTCTGCCTGGAAGGACCCTTTTGATCCTATACACAATACTAATGGTCGGTTATCTTTTGCGAACTGACACTTACTTATTGTGCACATAGGCTACATCAACTTTGCAGTGGCGGAAAATAAACTAAGTGTTGACCTTTTATTGGAAAAACTAAAGCACTGTAGAGATATACCCGGTAGTGTGTTGGGTTATGATGATATGAGAGGAAGTGAACCCTTTCGAAAACAAATTGCAAACTTGCTGGAAACTTACTTTTTCCATCGTTCAGTGGACGCCGACGGCATATTCTGTTGTGCTGGAGCAGGTTGTGCTTTAGATTTGCTGTTTAACTGTTTATTGGAAGAAGGAGATGGTGTATTATTACCTGCACCTTATTATCCAGGTTTTATTCATGATATTGAGGTTGTTATTTGTACTGTGATTGGGACTTCCATATTGATAGTTTTATGTTTTTTTGTTAGGGTAGAGCTCGTTGTAAGCCAGTTATTGTGGAGCCTACAGGAAATCATTTTCGTTTTCAACTTGCAGACCTCGACAAGAAACTATCGGAATGTCATCAATCAGGGCAACCGGTCAAAGCATTGTTATTATGTAGTCCCAACAATCCTTTGGGGTTTGTATTTAGTCGAGAAGAGTTAGAAAACATCGTCTCATGGACCAGACAAAATGGTTTGCAGTTGATTGTAGACGAAATATATGGTTTATCTGTGTTCTCTAAAAGTAGCAAGATGGTGAGCATCGGTTCCGTTTTGGAACATCTAGGAAACGATGTGCATTTTGTATGGTCCTTTTCCAAAGACTTTTGTATGTCGGGATTACGAGCTGGAGTGATATACTCGGAAAATATGGAAATTCGCAATGCGTTGCGTTTTTTACCTTATTTCTGTGGCGTGTCAGGAGATACTCAATTTGCATTGACCAAGGTGTGTATTCTCAATTGTCTGCTTTCATTGTTGTCGTTGTTGAAGAATGATCATGTATTGATTGATACGTCATTAGGTACTATCCGACTCGGAATTTGTGCAGTCTTTTATTCGTGAGAATACCAATCGATTGTATGAAACATATAGAGTGCACTGTGATTGTTTAGATAAGATGGGCATTCCATATGTTCCTAGTGAAGCAGGTTTCTTTATTTGGATGGATTGTAACAAATATATGTCGTCTCGTACTTTTGAAAATGAACGAGCAATTTGGCAGTCATTGTTTGAAAAAGCAAAAGTGGTTGTTACACCCGGTGAAGTTTGTCAAAGTACACAACCTGGATGGTTTAGGTGTTGTTTTTCGGCAGCTTCACCAGAAGCAGCAAAAGTTGCTTGGAATAGAGTGGAACAAGTCATGTCCTCGCTTTCTGTTTCCAAGAATGATCCAGAGTCAACAAGAATGTAATAGAAAACAGAGAATAGGTTGATGGTGGATGAAGCAAATAGAGAGAGAGAAAAAGAGAGAGAGAGAAAAATAAAAATAATAGAATTGTGATTCTCTTGGGTTGTACTCTTTTTTTCCTCTCTCGCTGATTGATGATATAAATCGATATCCATCATTATGGAAACATAAGATTATTGGTGGTAGTGGTAGTGGATCAACCATGAGCGACCTTTTATGGCAATTCAAATGGTGGCGATATATTGTTTCGGTTACCAAAGGAAACCCCAAAGTGATGACTGCAGTTTCTATAAGTTGTATAGGTACATTTGTAGGTTTAGCTTGGTTAGCACAAACTAGTACAGAAAAGTTAAAGACGCCACTTACCGTAAGCATAAGAAACTGGGTATCGTCCACCACGTTCATAAGTTTTGCTAGGAACTAAAAGAAACCAGTATAACTCCTAGAGAACGACAAAGATATGCTAAAGCAGGACAAGAAGCTTTCGCTTCGTTGGTTCTTTCTCAACTGGGACCTGAAAAGATGTCCCCCGAACATGTAGAAAAAGCAACCGTCCCTCTTCCTCCGATTGCTTGGCATCCCAAAGCCATTCAAAGGGAAGAAAATACAAAGTCTCAGTGACTCCAAACGGGAGGTTGTGAATCTAGAGTTTCTGGGAAACGGCTTGTTGCACCCATTTGTATAAAGCTTCCTTGCGTTTTTGTCGCACTTGAAATGTTGTGTTTTGTTGATGGGAAGCAATATCAAATAAGTGTTCAGCAATGGGTTCCAACTGGCTTTCCAACGAGCTGCGAACACAAGTTAATTGAAACTGCACTGCATCTCTCTCCTGTTTCAAACGTGCCAGTTCAAGTTCCGTTTTTTCTTTGCACTGATTATACGTTTGTCTAGTTTTCCACAAGTTCCAGGCAAGACCTGCTGATAATAAGGCAAAAAACAACTCTGTTCTATACAACACCTTTCTTTGCTTTCTTTGCAATCTGCTTTGTTCTGTCAACAATATATTGGCTTGATGTACAGCGTTTTTTGCAGCACGTGATCGAACGCTTGATGAATCTGTTTCTTTTCCATCCGAGTAAGATAAGTGTTTTGGATAGTCGTTGCCGCTAGTCATGATGATGGAACGTTAATCTATAAAAGGAAATGGAATGATACCGTTGTGATGTCAACTAGGAATATGTTTCACCTTCGTTTCCAGTTGTCTTGTTGTTGGCAGCTAGTTTTAAGGAAATCATTTTCATCCCGGATTCCCACTAAAAAGACATCCGACGGTACTTTTGTACTTTCTCAGGTTGGTTTGTTATATTTTTGAAGTGGGTTAAGTGATGATGTTATGGATAGCAAGGGAAAGCAACCAATCGGGTGTTGGATGTGCTTCCATCGGGGTTTGAACAAGCAGATGTTCGGGAGTTGACTGTTTATCTTCGAGATGAGTTGGATAGATGGTCCAATATGTACGCCAAGCGTAGTAGTGACTAGTAAGTTGGAGAGAGTTGCGTTATTGGTATCTGAATAGTGGACTTGGGATTGTAGTTTTCCAGGTGCTATAATTGGTGGTCCTGGTCAAATATTATCGATGGGCGTTCCTGGTGTCAAACAAGCAGTTCCTAGAGGGTATTTTGGTTCATTGTATGTTCAAGTTCCGTCCAAGACAATTATGGAGGACTATCACGCAGGTAATGAGTTGACAGTAAAAGTAAATAGATATATATATCTGTATATATGGATTAGGCAAGTTTATGGCTGCAAGAAGAGGCCGTTGTTTAAGTGGCAGTGTTTACGATTTGAGAATAATGACCAAAGATGGTTCACGGGAGTGGAAACAACGTGCAGTTGCTCGACATTTTGATCTGCACCATATTCAGTTGAGACCGGATTCTATTTTGTTTGTTCGATGTATTCCCAATCATTTATACAAAATGCGACTGCCTGTTGTGTTGTTAAATGACGACAAATGTGAAGGCTTAAGAAACGGTCATTTGATTCGTTATCATCGAGCAGTCGATGTGATTGCTGAAAATATCGAATGTCCACCAGCTGCGGTTTTCGCCGATTTAGGAGGAAAAGTAGCCGATTCGAAAATATTTGTACGCGACCTTCTTGTCCCACCTGGTGTACAAATTTGTGAATGGCAAGATAAGGAAATGTTCTTCGTGAAACCTGAAAGAGAAGACAAGGAAGCTATGGATGAAGCTTCGTAGAAAAGGATTCCATATATATATGTCCCTATTATATCTTCGAATACATATATATATATATATGTATGTATGTATGTATGTATGTATGTATGAACAGTTCCCATTCGATTCTCTCTTCTGGTTTTGTTTCAATCATAAAGTGCATTCCAGTAGAGATTGACTTGATGAACCAATCGAAGACCCATTTCATAACTCGATAGTGCAATAATTCCATTAGGAACTGTTCGAATAAGACTTGTACCCATTCCCTATTGCACGCAATAGTATAAAAGTATCCAAATATCACCATCTCCATAATTACCTTGTAAAATGCCAATAATCCTTCTTGTCGCAACATTCTTGAAATGCAATCCATAATTCCACGATAGCCATTTTTGGTTTGAGCATTTTGTACTTGAATTCTACTACGAATCACTTCAAGTGGATAAATAGTTATCGATGATAACAACGAAGATAACCCACTCGCTACTGCAATCTAAATGTTCGATCAACTATATATATATATATATATCGACGACTATCGAATACAACAAAAATACTTACTCTAGATAGATTGGGAGACAAGACCCTATCACGAAGCTGGTGATTCTCATAGTGCATAGGGGAATCACTTGTATTCTTAATAGCTTCATATATGGGAAACTGTACCATAGCTCCTAAAGATGGCATTGGATATTCCATTTTCTCACTTGAGAACAAAAACTTACCAAAAGCACCAAGCATAGCAGCAAAAGTTCCTCGATATAAACCACATATTCCTTCCTCTTTCAATATCACTTGAAAAGAACGCAACAAACCATCATATTTTCTAGTTTGATTACCAGTATATCGTTGTGTCTGCATACGAACCTAGGACTGGGTTTGAAATAATTTCTTCTATAGTAAAGGATTGCATACTTTTACTACCCAAAGTGGATTGGTCACCACACTGGTTACTAGCCAAGCTGTAGCTGCAGAAGAGGCATGTACCATGACAGGAGAATTGCACCAAATAGGAAACCATTCACTCCATTGGATTATTGACGTGCTTTTTAAGGAAGTATATACCGCAAAAAAGATTGTTTGGGTGGGAATGAGACCTGCAATAGTTGGAGTGATTCCCTGAGAATAGATATACTATTGGACCAAGTGTACAAGTTATTATCGTATACAATATTACCTGCCATAATCCTCTTATTCCTTCCTCCTTCCAAATAACCGCCAAGGACTGAAAAGTTCCATAATACTTTAGTGACTGTGACCTTGGTCTGCCAAACTGCACCTGTTTCCAAGGTAAGTAAGCTGCAAATAAAACTTTGCCAATACAAACTTGTAGCCTAGTTTTCACAACATCTAATGGGTGTGTGGCAAACGCAGAAAGAATACCAGAAAAAGCACCAGCAAAAGGAGCATATCGGGACTCCAACTTTCTCTTCGATTTTTCAAGAACCAATACTTCGGCATCAAATACGTCCTCCCTTTGCATTCACTATAAAGTTAGTCAAAACGAGTGCTAAAAGTTGATATCCACTGATGAAAGAAGCACGAAGCCTTGACACACTAAGGCATTCAAGTCAATGAAAAATCAAATGGAAAAATGTTGGATGAGTTGGTGACGATATTCTGGTTGGTTGCTCTTGTTGCTTATGCTTGCAAATATTTTTATCCCACCTGGAGTCACATCATATCTTATGGAAGAATAGTATATAGAGAAGAAGAAGAAAAGTGTAAAATATTGCAAAGAAATAATATGACTGTTCAAAAAGGAAACCTTTCGTTGATGGAAAAGACACTGTCAGGATTGTTATCCTATCTTTTGTCTTCTAGAATAGAATACCGTACAGGATTTACCCATTTTTATGGCATCGGTTGCATTGCTTCGTTGGTTTTATTCTATTTTCAAAACTTCCATGGGATTGGAAAGGCGAGAAGAGGTAGTGTTGAAAGAAGAAAACTCAAAAAGTTGACATATTTTGTCTCAAAGGAAATGTAGTGTGTTCTAGTTGGTTATTTCTTCTTCATACGAGTAGAAGGTTATACGAATCTTTGTTCATGCAGGTCTATAGTAAGAGAAAGATGCACTTGTTGCATTGGTTCGCAGGTACAAGTTATTATTTGTTCGCTGCTTGTACTTTTTGTTGGCATGATGACCATCCCTATTGGTCACTTTCTAAAGGGTGGCTTGCGTTGGTATTTATTGTTTTTGTATGGAGCAATTATCAACAGTATTTATGTCATCAGCACTTGGCACAACTGAGACGGAAGGATGGAACAGACAACAAGCGTTATTATATTCCATACCGAGGACTATTTCGATATGTTGTTTGCCCACATTATATGTTGGAAATAATCATATATGGAGTTTTGGTGAGTGGTAGTTGGGCTTGGTTTTCATTCAGAGTGATTTTGATAGGTTTTGGGGAAGGGAGGCTCAAGGAACAGTTTTCTGAATTTTGTTTTTGTTGTGCTCAATTTGACAAGTCGGTCTATTGAATGTTGGCATTGGTATCAAAGTTATTTTGGTATAGAATGTGTGAATAGTCACTGGCATATATTGATACCTTGGTTGTGGTGATGTTGAAAGAGAGCAATACTATTCATTCAATGACAACTATCCATTACATATACAACGCGAAGGAAATGTAGAAGATATGATTATGCTATAGAGTTTGATCAAAACGGGGGCCTCGCAACCTCAAGATGCCATAAGTCAAAACTCGGAAGGAAATAAGCAACGTAATGAGCAACTACAGATTCGTCGTTAGTTATGGTGTTTCATAAGACAAACATGGATAGATAAGAAATATACTCACACCTATGTTACCTCCAAGAGGTAGACTAGGACCCAGCTTTTGTAAAACTGCACTACCAGTACAGACTCCATCGGCAGGACATGATGCCCCATTATAGAATCTCCAATCCTCAAATTGAACTTGCAACAGAGAGCCATAAGAGTAGTAGAAAAAGGATAGATATTTAAGCCAGATAAAGTAATTGGGAATTTGTCCACTGCTAAGAAAAAAGCCACCGAATAATAGTGAGACGACAATAAAGGCAGGAGTAATGGCAGATGCAACTTGAGGGTTGGGAGCACTTGACTAGTCAACAAGGAATAAACTGTCATTCTAACTAAGAGTAAAACTTACTGCAACTGCCGAAGCTAAACCTTCTGCAGTTAAAATGGTCAGATAGACTATGACATAACTGAGGAAAAAGTCTCTGGCAGTGGCATGTAAGCCCACCATCCAATATAACTAGTAAAACATCTTCAAAAACAAATATCAACTGAATGTCAAACAAAAAACTTACCAGTAATATATAGACTATGCAAAGCAGGGCATTTCTTGGTAACTCAACTAATGTCTTGGACAAATAGTAAGCAGAGACTCGATACATGCCACTAGCTCTTTCCCGTAATACAATGGTTCGTTCCAGTGGCAAAACAAAGACTGTTCCAAATGCACTGATAAAACTTTGATTAATGAGTAAGAAGAACAAGATGCCTGCAATTGCATCATAGTCATGATATGAAATGTTCCTTCCTTTGTTCAACCAAATGAGACCAAGAAACACGGCAAAGAACTATGTCATTGTTATAGAGTCATTTGAAGAGACAAGCAAGATACTCACTAGCGTCTGTGCGATTCTCGCAATGTTGGAAGCTTTTTCTCTCGTTTCCAATTTGAAGGCACGTTTGGCCAATAACATGAATTCGAACATATACGAATTGGCAAATTTTTCTCTATTCAGCTCACTTTTGGAGGGTTTCATGTAAACTTGCACATCTAAGAATCTTCTCAATCGAGTTCAGACAATACGAAGCTTTCACATACCATTTTTTTCTAACTCCTTCTCTGAAGGTTCCAAAGAAAACTGCTTTCCCTGTTCTTCAAAGCATTGCCAGAGATATTCAATCTTCTTCTCGGATTCTTGCTCGGCTTCGGCACTACGGCCATCTCGTGATATGGTATCTAGGAAGAAGTCGGCTGGGTTGTAATGTTCCGGACACCTATTTCACATAACATGAGTTTATTGCTTAATTTATATCTCCCAGTCACTCACGAATAACCAATTCTTGTAAAGTAGGATACAGCATCCTTAGCAGGACCAAAATACATTACCTTGCCTTCACTTAATAACATCAACATATCAAACATATTGAAAATATCACTCCGCGGTTGATGAATGGTGGTAATTACAGTCCTCCCAGACTGTGCGAGTTTCAATAATGCTTGCATCACATTGCGAGCATTAAAGGCATCCAAACCAGAAGTAGGTTCTATTATCAAATAATTAAGCAACTCTGACTGTATTTTTTCCCCATCCACGTACCATCCAAGAAAAGTAAAGATGGATTGGTGACCAGTTCCGTAGCAATACTGACGCGTTTTCTTTCACCTCCACTCACTCCTCTCTTTGTCTCAGAACCAATCATGGTATTCTTCACATGGGATAAACCCATCTCTTGAATGATTTCTTGAACTCTTTGTTTCTTCTTTTCTATGGACATACTACTGGGTAGTCTTAATAAACAAGATAAGGTTACTTGTTCTTCCACTGTAAGTTCTGCAAACATGTTGTCGTCTTGCATTACGTAGGCACTAATCTACAAAAAAAAAGTATTGAGTATGAGACTATAATACACACAAAAGAGATTCATTCTGTCTTTCTCCAACATCTGAAATACAAATATCCGTATAGCACATACCTTTTTGAAAACAGAAAATTCTCTCTTTTCTCCATTCAACCTCACACTTCCACTCGCAAAATAGTTACCAGAAGAAGACATTCTTCCTGCCAATACATTTAAAAGTGTCGTCTTTCCAGCACCAGAAGCGCCCATGATGGCCAAAAGTTGACCAGGTTTTACTATTCCGGAAACTCCTTTCAATATTTCCTTATTTATTGACTTTCTGTTGAAAAGTCCTTTTGATTGGCGCACCCCAAAGTGTACATCTTGAAATTCGAGACATACTTGTATTCTTTGCTGCTCAAAGCTGGAAGTTTGTGATAGATAAGGTACCTCTTCATCGTTATCGATATGAATAGAAGAAAGTTGTGGTTCGTTCATTGACGAATACTCGAAAACTGTGGATTGGATTCCGTTAACTTCACCGGTTGTAATAACACCAATTCTGTAATAACCAAATATTCGTAGATGATAAGAGCATATATAACAAATGAATGCGCTAAAATGAGTGGCCCAAAAGAATTTGTACGACAAATGAATGCGCAAAAGTGAGTGGCCCAAAATGATTTGTACCAGAAATTATGAGAAGTTCTAATGGAAGGCATTTTGTTCCATTCAAGTAACATTTCTATGGTGTGTATCATCCATTCTAGATGATATCCCTCTCATACTCAAATAGTCTTACCTGCATTATTGATTCTTATATTTTCAACCACACTATGGGAAGAGTGTGGACGTATTCCTTTGACTTCTAATCTAGTCCATAATTGGATATTTTAAGACAAAATTAGTGTTTGACAAATTGCTATGATCGCAATAGAAAGAAAGTCATGTAAAAGTCAATTCCCCTCTTCGCCTTTTCAGGGTAAACGCATTTTTCAGTTATCATTCGAAAACTTTGTTCATGTCCTTTGCCCTTTGTAAGCTTTTTTATCTGAAAGAGTAGATGGGAAGTACCTACTGGTGTCGATGGAACGGGAAAACTTGGGAACCTTTTTTGTTACAACCACTAACACAAAGTTTCGTTTGCAGCAATGAAGGCCAAGAGACTTCACCTTATTTTTGTGTAGAAAACAACAACGTAGATATAAACTATGAACAGGATTTGGAGAAAAAAGGTTTCCACGATGGCTATTTGGCAGGTTGTCTACAGACAAGTAGTGGTGGCAATGCTCAACTTCCAATCGAACAACATGAGCTGACAGAATCTTTATCTCACTTTTCACCAAATATTAACTTGGAAGATAAGAGCGTTCGTTTTGTGAACAAGTCATACCGCTCTGGTATGAAAACCAAGTCAAAGCGTAAGTTACAAAACGAGTGGAAAAAGAAAACGAACCGTGGGTACAGTCCTTCTTCAAGTGAGAGTGTTCACTGCGATTCCCTGTTACAGCTGCCGTTTAATCTATTGGAAACCGAAAGGGTTCAACAAGAAGTACAAGAACTGGAGGCAAGTATTGACGCAGAGTTTGTGAAAGTTGTACGTGAAAGGACTCCTCCTTTATGGCCTATACTGGGTTTGAATCTTGCATATAGTGAAAGTTGAGAAGTATTCTATTCTATTTACGTAGAACCTGATAGATAAAACTTAGTAGGATATGAATGTATATGTATACAGTTATAATTGAGTGTCGATAAAGGAAAACTCTTGGAATGAAAAGAATTATTTTTGAAATTTTATGAAACGACAGAAAAGTTCAACTTTTGGTGAGATAGCGCCAGCAAAGAGGAAAAGGATACATAAACGTATATCCGAAAGCGATGACGAAGCCAACTGGTCAGGACAAGAAGACAACGTTATAGGAGAAGAACTTGGTGACGTTACCCAAAAGAAGCCCAAACAGTCGGAACCACCCAGTCCCAAGGAATCTATTGTGAAGTCAAAGAAATACTTTCAAAAAGGTCCTTGGAAGCACACCATTTCACCCCCTAACAAAGGAAAGAAAGCTGTACCAACGGGTAGTCCTGAAAGTTTACAAGGACTTACCTTTTGTATAACTGGTGTTTTAGATTCTCTAGAACGCGAAGAATGTACCGACCTCATTCGTTCTTTAGGGGGAAGAGTAGTTTCTTCGCCCAGCAAATCTGTTAATTTTGCTGTAGTAGGGTTGGAACCGGGAGAGAGTAAAATGGCGAAAATTGCTAGTTTGAAGATTCAAGTTATTGATGAAGATGGACTGTTTGACTTGATCAGGGCAAGGTCAACAGCAAACATTTGGAAGGGACAAGTCGAGACCAAAACAAAATTGGAGGAGACCAAACAAAAGAAGCCAACTATTGATAACAATATTGCTCAGAGTGCTACTTGTTCTGAATTGTGGACATACAAATATGCACCTTGCGATCTGTCAGAGTTATGTGCCAATCCTGGGGCTATCAAGTCATTAAAAGAATGGTTGGTTAACTGGAAAGCTGCTTCTTTATCTCAGGAAGGCTCCAAAAACAAAGGAAAGAGTAGTCCCAAAGCAGTGCTTCTTTCGGGGCCTCCCGGAATTGGCAAAACGACAGCAGCATTATTAGTATCGAAGGAGTTGGGCTACTTTCCTATGGAATTTAATGCAAGCGACACCAGAAATCGTGCAATTGTTTCTTCTACAGTCGGCTCAGTCATAAATAATCAAACTCTCAATCAATTCGGAAAAGATAAGACTACTAGTTCAGTAATCATTATGGACGAAGTGGATGGCATGTCAGCTGGTGATCGAGGTGGAATTCAAGAACTCATTCAACTGATTAAGAAAACTTCGGTTCCTATAGTGTGTATCTGTAATGATGATTCTAGTGTGAAAGTAAGCATGTGAAACATATTATCGAAATGGGACTTATCAAGATAAAGGTTCGGTCTTTGGCGAATTATTGTCTCAAGCTGAAATGGAGACGTCCTTTGGCAAGTCAACTTCGTAGTCGTTTGTTGGAAATATGTAAAAAGGAAGGATTTGAAAACGTGGACACACAAACCTTAGAAAAGATCGTAGAGAGTTGTCATGGTGACATGAGACAGATTCTCAACTTGTTACAGAGCTGGAGGTCGCACAGTAGAAATTTGACTTACTCGGATGTTTTGGAAAGAATGAAACAGGACGGAAAGACTTATGAAGAAATGAGTATTTTTGAACTGGTGAAAAGTCTTTTTTCTGTAAGCATTGTCATTACTTTTGTATTGGATAGAATGTAATGTTTTAATAGCCTGGAGAGTGGTTAAGTCGACGTTTGGATAACTATTTCATGGATCCAGATTTGATGCCTTTGATGGTTGCAGAAAATTACATAATTAGCAGAGAAGCGTCAGATTTAAAGAAACTTGTTGAAGCCTCAACGAGCATTGCAGAAGGAGATATTTTCAATGATTTGGTAAGTCTGAGTTATCCTTGCTTTTTTTTCGTGTTATGAATACAAAACAACAGATTCGTCGCCAACAAGCTTGGAACTTGATGCCGGTACAAGCATTATTCTCTGGAATTTATCCTGGACAGTTGCTTCAGGTATGTTATTGTTATCCTCGTTTCGAGTTAATTTCGATAAATGATTATTAGGGACCATTTGGAGATATGATTCACTTTCCTTCGTGGTTGGGAAAGAATTCTACTCGCTCCAAAAACAAACGCTTAACCATGGAGTTACAAATGAGAATGAGTAACAATATATCGGGTTCTTTCCATGCATTCCTGTTGGAATATCTCCCTTGTTTGCGAAGCATATTATCGGCACCATTGGTGAATAGCAAAGATGGTGTTTCAGATGTGATAGAGAGGCTAGACGCATATTATCTCTCCAAGGATGATTGGGATACTTTGATGTCATTAAGTTTAGAACAAAAAGGTCACACTGAGTTGGATAAAATTCCAACTGCTACGAAAACTGCTTTTACGAGGGAATACAACAGCAGAGATCATAGAGTTTCTACCGCTTCTGCCATAAGAGTACATAAAGTGAACGAAAGCGCTTTAGTGGAAGAAGGAGAGTCGATGCAAGAGGAAACTGAAGTGGTCAAAAAGGAGGAAGACGTTCAAGATATGACTTTGCATGATGAGGAAGAGATCGCTTCCAAGTTGGTTCGTTCGAAAGGACCAAGTTCCTCTTCGAAGGTATCCAGCAAGAATTCCAAAACGGTGGAAAAAGGTATGAGGAAGAACAAAAAGAGCACGGGAAAGAAGTGAAGAAAAAGAATGAAGATTCAATATTTTCCAAGTTTGTAATCTCTTATTCGAGACTCGTTATTGAACAAAGACACAATTCAGACTCCAAGTCAAATGGAAAATCAGTAGAGTTTATAAACAGGATTGTTTTCAAACAATAGGAACAAAACTATTCTTGTAGAAAGGAAGGATGAATAATTTTTCTGATGTATTCCAAAAGACATCGAAAAGCGCTTCGACTCTCTCTAGTGGGGGACATTGTAACGCACCTTCATCCGTTTTCATGAGGGGGTGGTGAGTACGGCGTTCAAACAAACATGGCTTTAAGGAACGATAGTCTCTTCTCGTCACTAAGTTCTGCCGTAGAACAGTCGAAAAAGACAAGAATGCTTCCAAACTATGGAGACAGCGTTGAGTTTGAAAATACGTTTCGTATGCCTCCCTTATCCCCTAGTGGTTCGGCTTCTCCCTTGAGTGGTGAGTACTCGTTATCTAGCTAATCAAATAACGTGGTAACCAATTGGAGTAGAGATGGGTGGAAGAGTCGAACAACTACCGTTCCCGGGACTAAGTTCAGCATTTTCCCGGTCTTCGGACGATGGCGATGTACCTATGCGGCAAGGGACTACGATGGATTACTTGGAAGCAAGCTTATCCCATTTTAACGACACAGCAACAACTCGCGTAAAACGAAGCACAACTCGTAGTGGTGCTTGGTATGAGGAACAGCATAAGAAGGGTACTTTTTCGAAGAAAGAACGAGATTTGGTAGACACTGGTATGATTGCGGTTCTCCAAGAAGAAGGTTTACCGTATGATTTTGAGTTTAGAAAAGAATTTGTAACCAGAAAAAAGAACCAGTAAGTTATACTAGCTTTTGTTAATTTTGTACTTTTTAAGAAAAGTTTTGAAGGTTGCCCAAGAGATTTTGGGTGAGAGTAGCGGCACACGTTCCAGGACGCTCCGCTCAGTCAGTGTATGACCACGCTAAACGAAGACTGGAACCCAAAAACTATAAGAGCTTATGGTCCAACGAAGAAGTTGAAGAACTCGCCAGACTCATCCGAAAACATGGAACCAAATGGGTCCTAATTGGAGAAGAGTTGGGTCGACTTCCAGGTGCCTGCAGAGACAAGTGGCGAGATGTTCTCAGAACCTCTGGATTTAGACCGCAAGCAATTCGAAAGGGACGTTTTACTAATGAAGAAGAGGCGTTATTGCTTTCGCTTGTGATGCAATCCAGAGAAGCGCACAATGGTGAAATTGACTGGACCGAAGTTGCAAGTAAAATGGGAACTCGTTCATATCGACAGTGTCGACGGTTTTATTTCAATCGTGCGATGAAAATGAGTTTTCCTTCCCAGAACCCGGAGTCTGACTTGGAACTTGTAGAGAGACTTTGCAACTTGGATGTTGAAGATGAATCAGAAGTGAGATGGGCAGAACTGGACCCTCAACGAACAAGGGAGCAGGTATATGAAAGATGGAGACTGCTGGTTAAAAGGTTTGTTCCTGAATACTTAAGTAGAAAGAATTCCGCAAATAGTATGTCCTTTCGAGAATGCATTCGACAACTTTATAATAGTTTGCAAGAGAGACAACGAGACGTACGTTATATAACTAGTAATGTGTCGCACGGATAGATTGTGACTCCAATTCAGTCGCGAGTTTGTTCGAGTGCTTGTTCCTCTTCACTGCTTTGTGGTTGCCAATTTTCAAAGAGTTTTCGAATCTCACCTGACGAACAACAATAATACGCTGCAAATAATTCTTTCTAACATAACATTCATAAACATTATGCTGGTTGGAAATCAAATGGGACGAACCTTTAACATAACAACGATAGCTTCAAGCCCAAAGTCCTTACTTATAATGACAATCGTTGGCTTTTCTGTTTTGTCTTTATATTCACAAGCACGTATCCCTGCACGATAGGCCATTAGAAAATCTGCGGCATTCTTGACACTCGACTGCGTCTTGATAATTTTCATTATAACCGGAATATTCGGGTTTTCATATACTCGACCAGCATAGCCTTCAAGTAAAACACCTCTTAATCGGTATTTCTACAGGACAGAGCTCAAATTTCCTATTTCAACAAGGAGACAGCTTTTACCTTGCAGTCCTGAATCAAGCAATTTAACAGATGAGTGGAGTTGTCGAGGTCGATCATGAAAATGTATGAAGGCTTCTCCACAACAAAGGCCGACAAATCACTTTCAAAACTGACTTCCGCAACTCCACCAGCGTTCCCAGGTTGCTTTTCGGTTGCGTCCCGTTTTGAAACTCGCTCCAATGCTTTTGTTTCATTCAAGTATTGTAAGATGGTATCTGGCACTTTACTTGAAAAGGGTGGCATTCGAGAGTCAGTCTGGGATACTTGTTTTATTCCTGACTGGACCAAGTCCAAATAATATCGACGCCTTTCCTCTATAGCGTCCATAGCCAGTCTACAAGCCTCCGCCTTTGCTTCCTTCTTGTTTCTTCCTACTCCTTTGAAAGGACCCAAATTGGACCTGTCGACCCATAAGTCTCATAGGGTTTGCGGGCATACAAAACTTACCAACGTAGGGTACAGCTCCAACTGGTTTGTTCAAGAGAACCTGTATTTTCAAAACGCTCCTCTGGACGAGAGTTTATTTTAGTGCTTATTTCATTCAGTAGTGTGTTATCGGACTTATGTGAAGACCTGTCAAAGTCTCCTAAGAGTCGGAAATGAAACTCTGGAGCTGAACCAAAATTCATTCAACTTTACACAAAAATCAATGAAATCGGCTCTCCCGAGAAAGTATTTATAGTATTGTTGTTGTGATAGAAAATGACACCCACATGTAGTTATGGCATCATTTCATGTTCAGTTTTAGTTGATATATATTGTCCACGTGAATATCTCCATAGAGTGGCATGCTGATTATATGTTTTATCCTTTCCAATACAAATCATCAACATTTAAATTGTTTGAATTTTCTGTAGTTATTGAAGGGCCTGTCGGTACAAGGCATCCAAGTTATCATGTACAACTACGTAGTTACAGCTCATAAAGCTTCAGCAGTCACTCATGCAGCAGTTGGATCGTTCCTTAGCCCAAATAATAGGGACCTTATACTCGGAAAGTGTTCGAGAATGGAGATATATTCTCTTTCTTCAGAGGGTCTTGTCCCAGTGATAGAACTGCCGATATACGGAAGAATATCGGTGATGAAGCTTTGTAGATTTCCTGATGACCTCCAAGATAGTTTATTCTTTCTTACCGAGAAGTATAAGTTTGCAGTCTTGAGGTGGAACACCCAAACAGGGGAATGTGACACTATTGCGGGAGGTGATGTTCATGATCGAATAGGGCACCCCACTTCAGCAGGTCATATTGGTAAGAGGGATCCTTTTGACAGTTAAAAGTACTTCTCAACTATAAAAGGTATCTGCGACCCTTCTATGACTTGCTTTGGTTTGCACTTGTACGATGGCCTGTTTAAGGTCATACCAACGGACTTTAAGAAGGAAGCTTTCAATATACGATTAGAAGAACTGGACGTACTAGATATTCAGTTTCTATATGGACACTCCAAACCTACCATAGCTGTCTTATATACAGATAGTGAAGAAAACAGACATTTGAAGACTTATACAGTATCAGTTAAGTACAGTTTGTGGGAAATACCTTGGGATGACTGAAAATAGTTTAGTTGAAAGATAAAGACTTTGGAAACGGACCACTTTTTCAAGGCAATTTAGAGTCTGGAGCCTCGATGCTTATTCCTGTCCCAACACCTATAGGTGGTGTCGTTGTGCTTGGGCAAGAGACGGTCACTTATATTTCAGGCAGTGGTTTGAGAGGCTATCACTCTATACCTGTTTCTGCAACTATTTTCCGTGCAGTAGGCTGTTGTTTTATTTGTTTTGTATTTCTCTCACCTTGCGTAGTACGGCAGAATAGATAAGGATGGTACTCGATATCTTCTGGGAGACGAGAAGGGTATATTATATTTACTTGTTTTGGAACAATCCACTTCTTTAAGTACCTTTACCGAAACTGAAACAAAAATAACAGGCTTGAAAATACAAACTTTAGGAGAGACTTCACTACCTTCCACAATCGACTATTTAGACAATGGTTTTGTCTATATTGGAAGTTGTCATGGTGATAGCCAACTGATTAGGTTACTATCTGAACCTCATCCTGAAACGGGTTCCTTTCTTGAGGTGATGGAAACATATCCTAACTTGAGTCCTATTGTTGACTTTTGTGTGATGGATGCGGAGAGACAAGGTCAAGGCCAAGTTGTGACATGTTCAGGCGCTGCAAAAGATGGAAGTTTAAGAATTATTCGAAATGGTATTGGAATTCACGAACAAGCGTCTGTAGAAGTTCCAGGAGTAAAGGAACTTTTTTCATTGAAAAGAAGCTCTCTATCTTCTCAACATTCTTTGTTGTTGTTGTCATTTGCTTCCGAGTCACGAGTACTGGAGCTCGTCAGTACCGAATTAATGGCAGAAGCAAATTTTCCGGTATTTGAAATGCAGGAACCCACTTTGTATTGTGGAAATGTTGTCGGAGATTGTATTGTGCAAGTATGTTTGTGAAGAAATATTCGTTTGTTATACTTATTTGGACAATTTTAGATTACACCTTCCAAGGCACGCCTTATATCATGTGAAGACATGTCTATCGTAAATGAATGGCATCCTCCTAGTGGATTTCGAATTTCGGTTGCTAGTGGAAATTCTATGCAATTGATTATAGCGACGACTGGTGGAAACCTTATTTATTTTGACATCGACGCAAATCCAAAAAGGATAATGGAAAAGTCGTATAAGAGTTTGGAGTATGAAATTTGCTCATTGGATATTTCACCGTTGGGTAAGCTTTAGATTGGAAAGTTGTAAGAATATCACAGAGTTGAATGAATAGGGCAAGCGGGTATGAATTTGGCATCGCAAGCTATTCCATCCAGTTTTGTTGCGGTAGGAATGTGGACAGAAGTCTCCATTCGTTTCTATTCTTTACCTTCCTTGGACCTGATTCATACAGAAAAGTTGGGTTTGGATGTGATTGCGAGGTCTCTTTTGTTTGTTACCATGGATGGAGAGGACTACTTTTTGGCGGCTTTGGGAGATGGTCGACTATTAACATATAGATTGGATAAGTCAGCCAAAGATACGGATAGTGAAAAGAAGTTCTTATACGATCAGCGCCAAATGAGCATTGGAACACAACCTGCATCCCTAAGCATCTTTGAAACGCAAAATGCTTTACATGTTTTTGCTGCTTGCGATCGGCCAACAGTAATTCATTCTTCAAGTGGAGGTGGAAAGTTATTATGCTCCAATGTGAACCTCCGAGAAGTGACTCGCGTCTGTAGCTTTAGTTCCGTAAGAACTTTTCACTTATTGCACAACGATATGCTTACGTTTTTGAAAGGAAGCGTTTCCAGATTGTTTGGCCTTAGTTACAGAGGGCTCGCTCCTTCTGGGTACAGTAGACAATATACAAAAGTTGCACATTCGAACCATTCCATTGGGAGAACAGCCTAGAAGAATAGCACATTTAGATACACATCATGTCTTTGCGGTTTTAACAACCAAACAGGTCGTCACAATATCGGAAGATGGTAATGAAGCTCTCTCTGAAACTACAGAAGAGGGTTATGTTCGACTCATTGACGATACGATGATGGAGGTAAATGGTTACTTTTTAACTAGTTTTGGTCTGCTGACTCTTCCCATAGATTGTACATTCCTACAAATTGGAACAGTTTGAAACGCCTTGTTCCGTTATTACTGTGAATTTTGGCGACGATGCTGCTGCAAAAGACAACCAGGACTATTTCGTTGTAGGCACGGCATACTCTTATGCTGGTGAGTTTTTTTAATTGGTTGAGATTGATGTAGATGAAGAATGAGATAGATGAACCTGAACCTTCGCGTGGAAGAATGTTGGTTTTTGCAGTTCGAGAGCAGCGTCTTACTTTGGTTGCAGAACGCACCTTTAAAGGAGCACTCTATTCTATGGATGCTTTCAATGGAAAAATCCTTGCCAGCGTGAATTCCATGTTGAAACTTGTGAGATGGTCGGAAACCGAAAGTGGTGCTCGAACCTTGACAGAAGAATGCACTTATCACGGAAGCATTTTCATTTTACAGATCAAGTGTTTGGGAGATTTTATTCTTATTGGTGACTTGGTGCGCTCGGTTAGCTTACTTGCGTACAAGGTAATGTAGTCTTTGTGTTGTTAGTTTCGTGCATTGAATTTTAGTATTAGCCAATGAATGGTACTATTGAAGATGTTGCTCGAGATATCGATCCTAGTTGGATAACTGTGATAGAAATGCTTGACCTTGATTACTATATAAGTGCCGAAAATTGTTTCAATTTGTTCACTTTGAAACGGAATTCAGATGCATCGACCGAAGAAGAACGCTCTAGATTAGAGAAAGTTGGAGAATATCATTTAGGGGAACTCGTCAATCGTATTAGACATGGAAGATTGGTCTTGCAGATTCCAGAATCAGGAATTTCTATACTAAAGTCGTTGTTGTATGGTATGTATATATGCTTTGATGATAACTTAAAGGAGCTATTTATGCATAAATATCGGTTCAATTTAGGAACTGCGAATGGAGCTTTGGGTGTGATAGCATCCATCGACGAAAAGACCTTTCAGTTCCTCCATTCTTTACAGACAGCGTTGAACGAAGTTATCAAAGGTGTTGGTGGCATTCAACATGAGGATTGGAGAAGATTCACAAGCGAGAGAAGGATAGGTGATTCCAAGAATTTTCTGGACGGGGATCTCATCGAACGGTTCTTGGACTTGAGTCGTGATAAGATGGAACTCGTTGCAAAGAAGGTGAATGTTCCAGTCGAAGAGTTAGCTAAACAGGTGGAGGAGTTGACAAGAATACACTAATAGGCCAATGTTGAAGTAGCCTATTCTGAAGCTATTTTTATATACTTTTATGTGTACAAGATTCAACTGGGAACATGCCGATATACTATATTTTGTGATAAAAGTAAATCTTTTGCTTGTTTTGAAACCAAATGGCAAATATGGCTCTGAAGAAAGCGTAAATGATGGGATAATAGTTTTAGTATCCCGAAATTGAGAAGCATCGAGGACAGCTGTCTTTTTGAAATGTCACGTGGAAGGGATTATCGGAAGGGCATTCATTCTTCTTGAAGAAGGAAATCGCATCTCCTTGCCTTTTTTAGAATTTCTACTCCGTTTTTGGGTTTTCCTTTGTGTGTCGAAAGGTATTCGAAAGACAAGATGAGTTCAACAGAAGACATGATAAGTGCTATGCACGACGGTCTAGCTGAGGTGAAGACAGAAACAGGACCTAAGATACCTGTTCCTGAGACTTACCTAAAGGCTACGAAGCACCACTTGAAAGATGTTCAAGAATATTTGGATTGGTACAAAAAGTCCCTCGAGTCTCCCAACGACTTTTGGTCTGAGAAAGCAAAGGAAATGCTTTCCTGGCATCAACTATGGACAGGAAAGACGCTTGAATACAACTTTGATGTCCGCAAAGGCAAAGTATATTCCGAGTGGTTCAAAGGAGGGAAACTGAACGCTTGTTACAACGCTTTGGATCGGCATGTAGAGAATGGGCATGGTTCTCAAGTTGCATATTATTGTGAAGGAAATGATTTGGTTGATGACCATCGTACCGTCACTTATGCACAAATGTTGGACCAAGTGAAGAGACTTGCTAGCGCACTCAAGAAACGAGGTGTACGTAAGGGTGACGTTGTTGCTATTTATTTACCCAATATTCCAGAACTTCCCATTTCCATGTTGGCTTGTGCGAGGATTGGTGCCATTCACAATGTAGTGTTTGGTGGCTTTTCCGCGGAAGCTCTCGCTGGTCGTATTTTAGATGCTCAGTGCCGAGTTCTCATAACTTGTGATGGTGTAATGAGAGGAAATAAAGTGATTGAACTCAAGGCATTGGCTGACGCTGCAGAAGAGTTAGTTTATGAAAGAGGAGATGGTCATTTAGTGGATCGACAAATAGTTTTTAAAAGATTAGGTGACAAGTGTCCAGTAGGTATGAAACCGAAAAGAGACGAGTGGTGGCATGAAACATTAGCCAAGGCAGAACCTGAATGCCCAGTAGAATGGATGGACGCAGAGGATCCACTTTTTGTTTTATATACTTCAGGTTCTACAGGAAAGCCAAAGGGACTTGTGCATACGACAGCTGGATATATTCTTTATGCTGCGATTACTCACAAATATGCATTTAATTATCAAGAGAATGATGTGTTCTTCTGCACTGCAGATTGTGGTTGGATCACAGGTCATAGTTATGTTGTTTATGGACCGCTTTTGAATCGAGCTACATCTGTTATTTTTGAAGGCGTTCCTACTCACCCAGATTCTAGTCGTCTTTGGCAAATATGTGACAAGTACAAGGTCAACCAAATGTATACAGCACCTACGTTGATTCGTTCTTTGATGAGAGCAGGAGACAAGTACGTAACCAAGATACCTCGAAATAGTCTTCGAGTACTTGGAACAGTTGGAGAGCCTATTAATCCAGAAGCATGGAATTGGTAAGAATGAATATTTGTTGTTCATGTGAATATGTATCACAGTTTTAGGTTTTTCAATGTTGGAGGTGATAAGTGTTGTCCTGTTGTTGATACTTGGTGGCAAACAGAAACTGGCGGTCACATGATTATACCACCTCCTGTAAGAGGTTTTCAAATGAAGCCAGGAGCAGCTTCATTGCCCTTTTTTGGAATTGAACCTGTGGTTTTAAATGAGAAAGGAGAGGAGTTGTCTAAACCATGCGAAGGTTTCCTTTGCATAAAAAGATCATGGCCAGGAATTCATCGTACCGTTTTGAATGACCATGCAAGAATGGAGCAAGTATATTTTTCTACTTTCAAAGGTTATTATATGAGTGGAGATGGTTGCCGAGTAGATGAAGATGGATATTATTGGCTTACTGGTCGTGTGGATGATGTGATTAATGTTAGTGGACATCGTATAGGAACTGCGGAAGTCGAATCTTCCCTCGTCTCACATCCTTATGTTGCTGAAGCAGCTGTGGTTCCGATGCCGCATGATATTAAAGGACAAGGAATCTATGCATATGTAACATTGAGAGATGGATTTGAACCTAGTGAAGAACTACGCAAGGAACTTCGACAAACTGTTCGCGTGGAAATTGGAGCCATTGCTACTCCAGATGTAATCCATTGGGCTCCTGCTCTTCCGAAAACAAGAAGTGGCAAAATTATGAGAAGAATTTTACGTAAAATTGCAGAGAAAGGAACTCATGTTTCTTCAGAGGAACTTGGAGATATCACTACATTGGCAGAGCCACAAGTGGTAGCTCAACTTATTGAATTGTATGGGAAATGATAATTTGTTTTGTGTTATTGTGTTTGAACAATGCTGTGTGTTATTCTAATAGAGAATGGAATGGATAAAAGTTTCTTCCTTTTGGCTTTAGAACTTTTTATAGGTTTTGTATATTGGTGAATACTTTTCTCAAGTTGCATAATGAAAAAAGAAACACCAAACAAAATATCATATAATACTGAGTATTCTGATTCAAGATGATTATTATTCCTTTCGCTTACTCAATTTGTTCTTATACGTCTCCACAAAACGGGACCAAGCATTGGGTTCCTTTTTATGATTACTTGCTTCAGATGATGTTTTACAAGTATCTTTATTGGAGGTGCGAGAATCATCATTGTGACTTGATGGGTTCTTTCCGAGCAACGAAATCTCTTTCCCTTTGCCATTCTGAAACTCATTTAGAAATAAACGACGTCCATGTCCAGAATCATCTGAAGAATCATATTCCATCATCTTTCGAGACCGCTGAAATGAACCAAATATATTACCACCATGTACAGTTACATCTTTCATCAATTCCTGTCTATGTAAAACAACAACTATGGCTGTTATATTATCCACTGAACCCATGGAAAGTGCCGTCTTGATGAGTGTTTTGGCAGCAATTTTAGGACTTGCGTATTGTCTCAACGTCTTGAGAGTCAATTTGACTGCTTCCGTGTCGTTCAATCGACACCATAAACCATCACTTGCAATAATGAGAAATTCATCATCCGGTTGTAAGTCGATCATAGCAATATCAGGAGTAGCTATAACCAAATCTGCTTTCAAATCTAGACAAGGAAACACTTTCTGTTTATGGCCTTTTAAATCCAAGTCGCCCAAAGCCCGCGTCACTGACATATAATCGTTGATTCCTCGATGCGTAATGAACCCACCAGCTTGCTTGACTCGAGAAACTTCAGCAGCATTAGAAATGTTATGATCTTTTGATAACGCAATAGCAACTCCATTTCTCGATAAAACTGCACGAGAATCCCCCACGTTGCAACAGTAAAGACACTGTGAACCAACTAGTAAATAATTGAGAGTACAACCAGAATACGTCTTCACTTTCGACGACTCTTCCAATAGACGAGCATCAAAATTCTCACAAGTTTCTTTCAAAGCTGTGGGAATACTACGAGGTTCCTCAGTCGATACAACTGAAGGAGATAATACTCAACAAACATACTCGTTAGGAAAAAGGGGATGTTGTAAAAGAGTTTCGGTAAAATGTTTTGCACAATAGTCGGCCTAAAACATATATTTCCAAAAGTACAAGACAAAAGTAACTTACCGCGAAATCTCCTCCGTGTCCATCGTAGACGGCAAACAAACCCAAAGTTTCTTTACCATTTTTGGTTTCTACCTGAATGACTTGGGATGAGTGCCTATCTTCCATTTGCTTTCGTTTTCCAGCAACAGAATGTATACCAAATTCCATTGCTTTGTTGAGGTTCTTATGGTGACTAACTCAGTGTGATAGAAGAAACATTGGCCAACGGATCAAAGAATAAGCAAATATTGCTTATTTTGGGGTAAACGAGATTGTTCATTGACGACGTAAGAGTTATGGTACTATCGGAACTTGGAAAGAAAATATCGGGGGCTTTGAGAAAGCTCGCCAACAGAACAGTTGTAGATGAAGAAGCTTTGAATGAAATGCTCAATGAAGTTAGTCGAGCACTGTTGGAAGCCGATGTCAACGTTAAAATGGTTCAAGCCTTGAGACAGAGCGTAAAGAAAAAGGTAAACTTGGAGGAACTGGCAGCTGGGGTAAACCGTAGAAAACTTATTCAAAAAGCGGTATTTGAAGAGCTTTGCAACATGTTGAGTCCCGGTACTTCTCCACCTCCCTTAAAGAAAGGTAGACCGAACGTTGTTATGTTTGTTGGTTTGCAGGGAAATGGAAAAACAACTACCTGTGTGAAATACGCCTATTACCATCAAAGGAAAGGTTGGAAGACTGCTCTAGTTTGTGCAGATACTTTTCGAGCAGGTGCTTTTGACCAACTGAAACAGTCAGCAACGAAAGCTCGAGTGCCATTTTATGGAAGCCATACTGAAACAGACGCTGTGAAAGTTGCACGTGAAGGTGTTGATTTGTTTAGAAAAGAAAAATATGAACTTATTATAGTGGATACTTCTGGAAGACATAAGCAAGATACTGCATTATTTGAAGAAATGGAACAAATAGCGCAAGCAGTTCAACCGAACAGTATAATATTCGTTATGGATGGAACTATGGGCCAATCAGTTTATGACCAAGCACTTGCTTTTCGACAGAGAGTGAATGTCGGCAGCGTCGTTGTCACCAAGTTGGATGGTCATGCCAAAGGTGGAGGAGCTTTGAGTGCTGTAAGCGCTACGAAGAGTCCAGTTGTATTTATTGGCACAGGAGAAATGTTGGATGATTTGGAACCTTTTGCTCCGCAAAGTTTTGTTCAACGTCTATTAGGTAAGGATAATAGAACCGGAGATCTGATTGTCCCATACTCAAAGAGGTGATAGGTCTTGGAGATATTAGTGGCTTCGTAAATGCTGTAAAGGAAGCAGGTGTTGATCAAAATCCGGATATCTTAAAGCGAATACAAGAAGGTGTCCTTACCCTTCGAGACTTGTATGATCAGTTTCAAAGCGTCTTGAAAATGGGACCCATGGGAAAGGTTCGTTGTTAAGTGAATATAAAAATATTGAATATTTTACACTGCTGGAATAGGTATTGTCTATGTTTCCAGGCATGCAGGATCTTATTCCAAAAGGTAAAGAAAGAGAGGGTACGCTTCGTGTGAAGAAATTTTTAAGTATTATGAACTCCATGACTGATGATGAATTGGACAATCCCAAAGTTCAGTTTAACCAGTCAAGAATGATTCGTAAGTTTCTTAGTGAATATTCTTTCCATAGGATTGCCTTATAGTCGGATGTATAGGCATTGGCAGAGGTTCTGGACGTGATGTGAAGGATGTAGAAGATTTACTGGCAGAGTATAAAAGATTATCCAAACTTGTAAGTAGAGTGGGAAAGAACAAAGCTTTGAAGACAGGTAGGATATATATATATATCTATTGAAACAATTGTATACATTTTCATTCAATAATACTTTCTAGGAGACTTTTCACAATTACAGAGAAATATGCCTCAACAATTGAGTCGAATGATGGATCCAAAGATGCTTCAACAAATGGGAGGCGCTTCCGGACTGCAAAACTTGATGAAACAATTTTCCTCACAGTTTCGAGGTTGAAGAATTTTCTGTATCCTATTCAATATTTCTACAACGCGTTATATTGTAAAATGTTTATAATGTTCCCCTTGTGACTGCAAACGTGTTGAATAAATGAAATGATCCCGATATCTCATGGGTCACTTTCAACAGATGAAGATTTCTTACGTCTCTCTTTAGTACTCTTCTTTTGTTTCTTCTTCCTCTTTCTGGGGGACACTGCATCAAGAGTTTCACAAGTTGCATCGTCCACATGTTCCTCCCTCGTTTGAGATAGAAACATTTCCTCATCAACTGCCCTTGTAATTCCACGAACTGCATTTTCTAGTCTCTTACTTTTGATCTTTGCAAAACGCATAGGATGGAAATATTGCTCGATGCAAGTTTGTCGCTGATTCCTTGCATCGTACGCTTTCAATACAGGAATAACCAGTTTCTTAACTTTGTCCGAGTTCCAACCGAATTTGGCTCTACAGAATTCAACAAGTTGCGCTATATTCGGTCTTTGGCAATGAAACTCTATAGAACTGGTGTCAACCATTGGATACCTGTAAGCATCAACCACATGCTTGTTAGGAAAAGAATCATGTATTACCCAATTTCTTTTCATCTTGCGATGCTTTAAAAAGAATTCGTTCTTGACAAAGTTGGGGTCCTCTGAGTCTAAAGAGATTCTTTCTTCTTTAAGAGACAACTGATTTGCCCAATGGGCAAACTCGATGAGTTCTTCAAAGCTTGGAAACGCTCTCATTATTTCCGTTGCATTTACAACACCCACTCCATGAATGCCTTGGGTATAATCACTTCCCAATAGTAGAGATAACAATATCAACTTTTCCCGGTTAAGACCGAGATATCTTTCAATGTCTTCCATTTCATATTGTTCTACGTATTTCTTGTCTTCAAAAATGTTTCGAAATACAGTTTTTGCCCCAAATAGAAAAGCATCACTATCTTCTGTGACGACGCCTTCTACAAGACCAACTTGACTGAAATATGCACACTGAGCCTCGGCTTCCATTGGAGCTTGGATATAGGGTATTCCTAGCATTCTAAGTAATTCACGAATTTCTTCACACATCTCATCAGTAATGATGTCAGATCCGCTTTTCAAATGAGTAAATTCTTGACGTAACTCCCTACGTTCCTTTTCAAACTCTTGAAACAAGTTTTCCAGCTTTTCATCTGGCAAAATAAAGTCTCTTGATACTTCTCTGTCTCTGTCTTCCTCATCTAGAGATTCCTCAAAGTAAGTATCTTGAGTATCCCCAAAATAAGAGAAAGAATCCTTCTCTTCATCAACTTTCGAGGAAATCATATCCTCTGAATCCTCCTTTCCCACTTGTAAACTCGTCACATTATCATCTTTATCCGGTATCAAAACTTTGGGGATATCTTCTGAATAGTTCTGATAACTATCGGCACATGTTTCAGTTTTACGCTCCGAACACTGTTCATTTGCAAGCGAAGAATATATGGCCGATTGAATATCAGTTGTCATGATTTCGTCTTCTGTATTATCTTCGTCCAGATGCAAACCGAGTTCAGCCGAAGAAGAATTGTCTCTATACAGATTTGTTCCATCTCTAACATTCTGTTCCATGACATCCAATTCCACCTCAGCTTTTGAATAAACTTTCTGTTCTACAAAATTGCAATTGGCGTCAGGAGGACATGCAATCCATTCGATATCTTCATCTTCTTCTTCCAGATTTCCTTCATAAAATTCTTCATTACCTTTGCCCAATTCCATAACAGATTCCCTTTTCTCTAAAGACTCTAAGTGCCTCTCAGTATTTGAAACCAATCTCGTCCACTCCAAGCCTTCATCGACCTTGTTGTTATTATTGTCTATGCTACTTTCCACTCGAAAAATAGTAGGAAACTGGTATGAATCATTTGGCTCCAGAGCATCTCCATTTTCAGGTACTGAATCAACTGTTTTAGTAAGCGTGTAGTTTTTACCAGGATCGGATGCAATGCGACGTCTTCCATGTCCCAAATGAGAGTAGGCTGTTGCACGAGCCTTCATAACTTCTCTCTTCGTCAATGACAAACGAAGGAAGCCTTCAAGTTGCTTCTGTGAAAAGTCAGCAGGATTGTTTTCAACTTTTATAAACTCTTCTCTGTGAAGATTTCTTTCTCTACTGCGAATTTCAGAAACAACTGTTTCAAACATTTCAGGTGGCAGTAACGCAAGAGAGTCTGAGCTCATTTCACAGAAATTTGGCACTTCGTACTCTTCTTTCTCAAAGGAAACAGTGTTCTCCGATAAATTGGAAACTTCTACATTGGTGAGGTTATCTTCTTTGTCTTTATCTTCTTCCGTTTCGTTGGAATGAGCTTCAATTTCCGGCTCTTCTGTTATAGAGTCTCTTTGTTCCAGGTTATCATCAAGTGCTTCACTGTCAAGTTGCTCAGTATTCTTTTCAGTTTCCGCATTATTCCTCTCTAAAGTGGCTTTCAAAACTGTGTCCATATATTGGTTATACAAGTCACGGGAATTAACTCCTGTGTCAACTTGGTTCTCAGTTCGTTTTGGTTCCTTTTGTGTTTTCTCTTTTAACTTTTTCAACTTCAATTCATTTAGTACAATTTGTTCAGCAAGACGGCGCAATTTGACCTTCTGTTTGTTTCGTTGATTCCGCCTTGAGTTGAGTGTCCTTCTCTTCAACTGAGGAGTAGCTCCATCGAAAACAAATATTGGTGTCACATTGTAAAAGATAAGTTTGCAACAACGTCTCAAGATACCCAACAAGTGAGCGTTGCGAATGAGTTCTCCTTCCGAGTCTCTCATAGCATATAAAAATTGGGTTAGCCAAATAGAAACGTCGACAGCTAAAGTCTTGTTTCTGACGGTATCCAAGGATACTCGCCTACCTACGGGAGCGACTAGTTCCCATAAACCTTTCACTCCCATTGTTCACAACAAAGAGGTTAAGTGAGTGTCGATTAGAGAAATCGAAATGGAAAATGGCATTGAAATTTTTCAAAAACTCTTTTGTACATTTTCGTTGTAAGTAAACTGGCAGAGTGTCGTCAAACGAATGGCAGTACAAAAAAAGAAAAGTGCTCAGCTGGAAAGTTCAGAAAGAGAACATCATATTCACATAGAAAACTCAAATCCAATATATTTCAACTCTTGTGCAAATAGAATAGAATATGCATGTATGATGAATAAGATATTTCGAAATACTTTTTGTATTTGCAATTTTCAGAATAGGAAAGTTTTAGGTCTTTGAAAATTTTTTTGTATTGCGACTCAAAAGACCGTTAAGAATGCTACTTCCATCAAAATTTATAACGTTTCGCGGCTTTTGAGGTTACTGATTGATTAGTTTCAGTTTGCTACTTTTTCTATGAGGCTGACTGGGGATTCAAAAACTTTGCTTCCAACTATTTTAAGGAACCGCCCTCATCGCAAACGTCGCAAGCAACTTAGCACTCCTACTAATCTTCGTATTTTTATTGGTGCACTTGGTTGTACCTTGTTCTTTTCTTGTTTGGCTTTACCTACAGAAATCCGTGTAGCTGCCTTTGTCCTTTGCACAGTGGCTTTTGGAGGCTTCCTTTTTTCGTTATTTCTTGCCAAGTGGGTTCTTATGCAAGAGGAAGGAACCGAAGATATGCGTGTGGTTTCCGACGCTATTCGTATGGGAGCGGATGGATTTCTTAGGACACAATACGGTACCATTATACAGTTGACAATATTTTGTATGTTGCTTCTGTTTGTAATATATTTGTTTCGGCAAGTACCTGAACACTCCCCAGTGGGTTCTTTGTCTTTGGCTTGCACAACAGCAATATCTTTCTTTATGGGTGCAATATGCTCTGGAACTGCAGGTTTTGTTGGTATGTGGGTTAGCGTCCGCTCCAATGTTCGTGTTGCTTCTGCAGCTAGTAAAGATTGTCATCTTGCAATCTCCATAGCATTAAGTGCAGGAGCGTTTTCTGCTATTCTCGTTGTTAGTATGTGTTTGCTGGGTATTTTTATACTCTTTACGTCTGTTTCGTTTATATTGAAAATTCCATTTTATCGAATACCGATGCTTCTTGTTGGTTACGGTTTTGGTGCATCATTCGTAGCTCTGTTTGCACAACTGGGTGGTGGAATTTACACAAAAGCAGCAGATGTTGGAGCAGATATTATTGGAAAAGTGGAAACATCGATCCCAGAAGATGATCCTAGGAATCCTGCAGTTATTGCAGACCTTGTTGGAGATAATGTGGGAGATTGTGCGGTAAGTTTGCTTGCCATATGAAACGATGTCGACTCAATTTCAATGAAAGGGTAGAGGAAGTGATTTGTTTGAAAGTATTGCAGCTGAAATCATTTCAGCGATGATAATTGGTGGAGTTTTAATGGAACAAGCACAAGTTGGTGCAGGATATTTACTATTTCCCTTAAGTGTCCACGCTATGGATCTGTTAGTCAGCTCGTTTGGAATACTTTCTGTTCAGAGAGGTGATAATTGGGCTTATTTGGTTTCCATCTTGTCGAGACTGTCTTGTTATTTTTACAGAGATTTTTCTTCTGAGCACAATGAGACTTTTGAAAATGGCAATTCCCAAACCTCTGAGAATAATCCTTTTGCCTTGTTGATGAAAGGTTACCGAATCAGCGCAATTATAAGTGGAATTCTCATTATCTTTCTTTGTCGTTGTCTTCTTTATCATGAAGCAGCACCTCATGCTTGCTGGTACTTTTGTTTGTGCGCATTTATTGGTTTGGGAACAGGTTATATTTTCATAGCGATAACACATTATTATACAGACTGTAGTCATAGTCCAGTGGTTTATATTGCCAAATCATCAATGACTGGAGCCGGTACAAATGTCATTGCGGGAATATCAGTTGGACTACAGTCTACCTTACTTCCAGCAGTGACTATAACTTTGGCAGTCCTCATGTCATATCGTATTGGCCAGGTATGTAAGTAGAAGTTTTTAAAATGAAATCTATTTATTGCATGGAGAAAGGCTTCTGGACTTTATGATTCAAATGGCGAACCAGTTGGTGGCTTATTCGGAACGGCCGTTGCAACGATGGGTATGTTAAGCACTGCTGCATATATTCTTTCGATGGATGTTTTTGGTCCTATTGCGGATAATGCTGGTGGTATCGTTGAAATGAGCGCTTCTACATCTGACGTCCGAAATATCACTGACCAACTTGATGCTGTTGGAAATACTACCAAGGCTATCACGAAGGTAGGCAGTTGTACTAGTTTTGGGGTAGGGAATGAGATTTTTAACCATTTTTTAGGGTTATGCGGTCGGCACTGCAGCATTGGCTTCGTTTCTTTTGTTTACTGCATTTCTTGATGAAGTCATGGAATATTCAGGGTTACCTTTAGAAATAGTCGACATTGCAGTACCTGAAGTATTTTTTGCAGGCTTTATAGGGGCATCATTGGTGTTCCTATTCTCTGGGACGACCATTCGGGCCGTTGGTTCTGCGGCTCAGGATGTTGTAGCCGAAGTTCGGCGGCAATTTACCAACTTTCCTGGAATCATGAATGGAACACAGAAACCAGATTATCAAGCGTGTGTATCTATAGTAACTAAAGCTGCCTTGAGAGAAATGCTGATTCCAGGTACGGTCACCGTATTGTCACCGGCTTTTGTTGGCTACCTGTTCAAATTTGTCGGGACGCATGAAGATGATCCATTGATTGGTGCAAAATGTGTTGCAAGTTTCTTAATGTTTTCTACAGCCACAGGTCTGTTGCTGGCATTATTTTTTAATACAGGTGGAGGAGCATTTGACAATGCCAAAAAGTTAATTGAACGTGGTTTCTACGGTGGAAAGGGTTCGGACACTCATAAAGCCGCGGTAACGGGAGATACTCTAGGCGATCCTTTTAAAGACACCGCTGGGCCCTCATTGCATGTACTTATCAAGCTGATTTCAACTATAGCACTTGTATTGGCCCCAAGTTTTGTAAAAGGTGGAAAGACATGACTTATAACGAAAATTTTTGATGAAATGGGGCACTATAAAATATTTTTACATGATGTGTCAGTTATCAGAGACAGAGGCAGTGTCACTTGTGGAGTCACTATCATCAGAACTATACATTTGTTCTTCAGATGGTTGTTGCTGTTGTTTCAGCTCAGTGGAATCTCTATTAGAGGATTCTGGAACGGTACTCAACTCATTATTACCGCTTTCCTCTGCATGGGCAGTACTAGAAAAACCTTTATCGTCATCGCCTCCTATTAACCCTCCCCCACCACTCGTAGCACTTACTGTCTGGCCACTTTCTAAAGTCATGCCCATATCATAATTAGTTCCTTGAAGGTTTCGTAACTGCTCCCTCAAATTTTCCAATTCACTAGTTACTGATGAAGTCTGTGTGGTAAAAGTTTCACCTAATGAGGAACCCTTCTTCTTTTGTACTCGTTTCTGTAGTGCACTTTGTACAAATGCTTCCATTTCTCGCAACGTTCGGGTATCTAATGCATCTATATCTATCTCTATCTCCTCTCTATCGTTTACAGGTGTGGAACCTTTGTGACGCATGATAATTTGGACCACCTTTGCAAGTTTGTCACCAGGAAGCAAGTTGATATTATCTCCTAATTTACGTTTCTCTTCATATGTCATCGGCACATTCACGAGAGGGCTAGGAGACGAAGAAATATCTTGTGATTGGTATTCTATGCTGGAAGAAGCCATTCTAGCTTGCATTCTTTCCAGTTCCCTTATCTTCTCCTGTAATTTTTGTATAGATGACGATGGACTTTCTGCCGTCATGGATGCGTGTGAAGCAGCAGCAAAGCTACTATATGTTCGATGATTATTTCGATTCTTTTTATCTGTTGAAACAGTGGTTGTAGCAGCGCTTGTTGAAGCTGTTGGTTTCACTTTCGTAAAAGAATGATGAGATAACTTGTTTGAATTAGCTTCCGGAGGTGTTTTTCTTTTCATCGACGAAACATTCTGTTTCTTTACAGGTCTCTCTTGAACAGGACGGGATACCGACTGTCTTTTCTTCTCCTTAGACTTGAACAATTTTGTTTCGGGTAAGCTTCTGAGAGTAGCTTCCAACTTCCTTTCAAATGTTTCACTTAGTTTTGCTGCAGTAGTGTGATAGGGAGTTCCCTGCAAATTATATGTCATGGCATTTTCCCAAACAAGACGAACATCAGCCTTAAATCTTTCAAGGTCGAACTGTGGGTATTTTGGTAATTCTTCTACTGTTGGATGACGATACAATCCAAGTTCCATTCTGTAAAGTACGGTGCCTAAATCCATGGGGTGTTTGACAATTTGAAAGTATCCCGGAATTTCTTCAGAGGTGAATAACTCGTCGATTGGTTTGAGAAATGCTCGAGCATCCTTTCTTTCCATCAAGCTCTTCAATACATTTTTGCATTTAAAGTACAAGGGATCTTCTTTGTAGTCGCTACCAGGGGTATGTGGCGACATGATCAATTTTGCCGTATTTCGCTGGCTTCCAGGAGTTCGTGGTCGAAGCGAACGAGATGATTTGTCACGTTCCGAGTCTTGTGGCGATGAAGCAGCTCGACTCTCACTATATTCTCCTAGAGAGGCTGCCTGAATGTCTAGAGTCGGTGGTGACATTCTGTCTGTGTTTGATGGCTTCTCTATAGGACTGGATGAGGGAGTAATCTTCTTTTCCATGTACTTAAGCTTTCTAGACTCGACCTCGTTCAGTTTCGCTAGTAATGCCATCTTTCTTTCCAACTTCTCGTTCTTTCCGATAACTTTTAATCTTGGAGAGGAATTCGGAGCAGCAGCGTCGCCATTCTTATCAGTGAGTGCGTTTTCCTCTTTCAAAGGGCTTGTTCCCTCCCCAACTTGCGAACGTTCTACAGCTGTTGACTTGGAGTCCGAACTCACTGTGCGTTCTGATGTGCTTTCCATTTCCACAGCCACGTTGACGTTTGTGTCTTTTCCTTCGCTATTGTGGGAACCTTCTTGAGTTGTAGCGTGCTCTGCAACCTCAACCGGTCGGCAACTTTTAGCTACATTATCATCGTTTACATTTTCAGATTCAATAAAAAGTTTTTCTTCTTCTGAAGTCTTTGGTTTTTCTACTTGGGTCTTCGCACTCGTTGCTGAGTCGCAATTAAAAAGAGCATCTGTATAGATACCCCCAGTATCTTCGTGCTTCTCACTATCTACATTTTGTTTTTCACAATGATGATCACGATACTCTGAAAAGTCGACAGGCAGAGCTTCCGTGTGCTCCATTCGCTCATAATTCGAACTTGCTACAGCAGCCTCATGAGCTAGAGTTACCTGCCCTTCCAATGCTCCAGAAACGAATACTGGGGTGTCTGGACTTGCAATGACAACTTCCTCTTTCTTTTCCTTGTCCATGTCGTAGTGCGCAACCACTGACCCCAGTGAGCCCACAAGTGCGTTCGTCTCTGTCGCGTTTGACACATCTAGTTTATTGTGCACTTTTGAACCCCCTAGGACTACCCCCTGTGACTCTATCACAGTTTCATCTTCAGGGAAACCTGTAGGCGAGCTCATTATCTCAAAAATGATAAGATGATGGTAAGAGCTAGTTGTGTCCACCTAACGTTGGGAAAGCATCAATCGTTAATTTCGTCGTTCCCTGACCAAAGGATTCTTAAAAGGCGGGCTACCGGCGGGAGGGCCGAGTTCCCTTTCGACAGAAAGCGTTTAAAGCTTTTACAAGGATATTTTGGGTAGTTTCGGAACACAAAATGATGAAATCTGTTTTCTCATTATCAACCTTTTCTGTTGGATTTTTATTTTAAAACAAGACAACGATTTTGAACCTACTAGGAGTCTCTGTTTTCGAGCCTTGAAAGACATTCTTTTACTTGTGCTTCGGTATAGATCACAAATTTCTTCGTATCTATAACGAAAGTTGAGGAATAACAGGAATAAAGTTTTGATATAGCCAACCTGTTCTTACAGCGGCGACTTCGACATTATTACTTTCCACTTTCTCTTCCATTACTTCTCTCAATGTACGAAGAGCCAGAGTCTCTGCTTCTTTCAAAGTCATGCTTTTGTAATACGCCTCCTGTAACGCACTTTGGGCTCCTTCTGCTCCGGCACCAATAGCTTTTGCAAGCCATCGAATGTATCTTGCCAGATTCAACGTCTCTCTTTACCCAATCGAATATCAACTTACGTTCCTGACGGATCCGTATAAAAGAGAGCAGGACCCTTATTATCCACTCCTGCTATAAGAAGAGAGACTCCGAAGGGACGACTCATCATTTCCTTCCGGACGGTTGTTAAAGTTTTGTCAAGACAGTCGCAACACATAATATACCTCTTCTTTATCTTCATCGTCTTCAACACCTTCTCCAAAACGAAGTGCCAGGTCGCAAGTTGCCTGAGTCAAGCTTTCTACTGGCATAGCTTCATCAAAAGTAAACCTATTCTGCGCTCAACAGTGAATGGAGGTTGAAGTTAATTTTGTACCTATGATTTTGGGCTTCTACTCTGGCGTGCTCTATCATAGTTCTCGCATCCGCAACGAGGCCGCTCATAGCACAACCCACGTGTTCGTCCTTTACAAATGCCTTGAAAAGGTTATCCAAAAAGGAAGGCGTCATAAACCTACGATTTCTACAAGCTTTTCCACGCTATTAGGTTCTAGAAGTGGAGAAGAAAGACGTTTCTCCACCGCGAGTACTACACTGTTTTTATGGCTCGAGTCATTCCAGCTTTGTATACAAAGTTTTTCTTACCCTTCGGCCGTTTGTATACCAACCGCCGTAGAACCAAGCTTGATTGCTTCCATTGCATATTCCACTTGGAAAAGTCTTCCTTCTGGTGAAAACGTATTCACTCCTCTATCATATTCACTTCTTGTCAGAAACATGACTGTTACAAAATTGAATACCCAAAATCAATCAATGTGTCTGTCTGTGTGTGGTGAGAGAGAGAGAGAGATGTTTTGCCTTGGAGGCTGAAAGAATAGAGAAAAGATAACAAGAGTATCCATTCTTCTGTGTTTGTATCTATATGGAGAAATGAAATATTCAGTGTACCATTGAAATATAATCTTTCATATCAACAGTAACATCCAAGGCTCGAATGTGATTGGACCAACAAGGGACGGATGAAAACCTGTCCCATTATCCCTCATTTGGATATTGTCTTTGAGTTGTCTGTTGGCATGAGTACCAACAACAACTGGCAAGAAACTTTAAAAGATGGAAGGCATCTGTTGCCTTCACATATACGCCCTGAACATTATCAACTAACCCTGGAGCCTTTATTGGAGAATTCAGAAGCAGCAATCGAAGGAAAGGACTTGAATTTCTTGGGCAATGTAGTCGTTCGTCTGAAAATCTTGCAAACGACCAAGTAAGCTTTGTATCTGTGGACAAATATTTTAATATACTAACATATTATTAGTCTGATAACCCTACATTCGAAAGATTTGGAGTTAACCAAAGTATATTGTATCTTTAATTCCTCAGAAACTGTACCTGTCTCCGACGTTTCCTATGACAAAGAGCAACAGACTGTAAGCTTGGAGTTTCCCAAGCCGTTTGAAGCTTCTAGTGAAGTAACTTTATACATTGATTTTATTGGCTTTCTTAACGACAAGATGGTTGGCTTCTATCGAGCTAAATATAGGACGAAAGATGGAGAAACCCGTTTTATGGCAACAACTCATTTTGAACCTACAGACGCTAGATGTGCCTTTCCTTGTTGGGACGAGCCAGCAGTCAAGGCAACATTTGAAGTTACTTTGATCGCTCCAGCCGATAGAGATTGTCTTAGCAATATGAACGTCATTTCAGAACAGTACAATGACGCTGGAAAGAAAGTTGTTCGTTTCGAGAAAACTCCAATCATGTCTACCTATTTATTGGTATTCATAGTTGGAGAATTTGATTATATCGAAGGATATACGACAAATGGTTTACCTGTTCGAGTTTATACTGCGAAGGAATCAGCCCATTTAGGTGAATTTGCACTGAATGTGGGAATTCGAACTTTAAACTTCTTTACTGACTTCTTTGGAATACCTTATCCGCTACCGAAGATGGATTTCGTAGCCATACCTGACTTTGGCAGTGGAGCTATGGAGAATTGGGGTTGTATCACCTTTCGAGATATGTTATTATTAGTTGACCCTATGAATACATCTTCAGAAATAAGAACTATTGTTGCAGAAGTTGTCGCTCATGAATTGGCTCATCAATGGTTCGGAAACTTGGTTACTATGGAGTGGTGGACTCATTTATGGTTGAATGAAGGCTTCGCTACTTGGGCAGCTTACTTAGCAGTTGATCATTTATTTCCTGACTGGGAAGTTTGGAAGGACTTTGTTAGCTCAACCTTTGCTTCAGCTTTGAAGTTAGATTCATTAGCGTCTTCCCATCCTATTGAAGTAGACGTGAAAAAGGCTAGTGATGTTAACGAAATATTCGATGCAATATCTTATAATAAGGGTGCTTCAGTGATACGAATGTTGGCAGATCATATGAGCCTCTCCTCGTTCCAACAAGGCCTACAAGTCTATTTGAAACAATTCCTTTACAAAAATGCAACCACTAATGACTTATGGAAAACTTTGGAACAAGTTTCTGGAAAACCTATCGTACGTATCATGAGTCTATGGACAAGACAAACTGGCTATCCCTTGATCGAAATAAAACTGAATGAAAAGAAGGAGTTTATACTTGAACAAAAGCGTTTTCTGGCAAATGGAAAACCTGCAGGTGGTCAATGGACAGTGATGTTGCGCTACATTGTTTCCTCTTCACCTTCTCAAGTGAAATGTCGCTTGATGGAAGGTCCTCAAGAAGAGCTGAATCATGTGCTGGGGAAACAAGACAAATGGCTGAAAGTAAATGCCTACCAATCCGGTGTATACAGAGTCAATTACCCACAGTTTGTATGGGAAGCTTTGAGTGAAGCAACAAAGAATGGCGAGTTAGATGCCATGGATCGTTTAGGACTTTCAATGGATTCCTTTGCCCTTGCTAGAAGTGGTTTTTTGCCGACTTCAACTGCTTTGCTGTTGATATGCTCATTTAAAGACGAAACCGAATATGCTTGTTGGGTAAATTTGTTGTCCAATTTTGAAGGTCTTTCACTAGCATTTGGGACAAATGATGAGCATTGTAGTCAGTTATTGAATCGTTTTTTTTGTCATATTTTACGAGGTATTGCATCTCAGTTGGGTTGGAAAAGAAAGGAGGATGAGCAGCATTCCATTTCCTTATTACGTCCAAAGGTACTCCAGGCGTTGGTAGATTATCAAGATTCTCATACTATTGAAATTGCCAAAAAGCATTTTAATAAATATGTTGAGGATCCAAATAGCGTGGACACAGATTTACGGATAGTAGCTATGGCTGCTGCTGTATCACAGGGAGGAAGAGAAGAATATGAAAAAGTGAAAGAAATGTATGAAACCTTTACTTTAAATGAAGAGAAGGTTCGTTGCCTAAGAGTGTTGGGTCGCATTCCTGATCCGCAGTTGGCTGAAAAGATGCTAGACTGGAGTTGGAAACATGTAAGACCTGGAGACTTTATGTTTGCATTATATTCGCTTGCAATGAATCGACACAAGGGTCCACAACTTGTTTGGCATTATATGCAGACGCATTGGAATGATTTGTTAGAGAGATATGGAAATGGAGGAAATCATATGTTGAGCAACTTGATACGTGCCAGTACTAGTCGTTTGAGTAGCAAAGAAGACGCGCAACAAGTCGAAACATTCTTTCATGAGAATCAGGTTGAGGGCTGTGAAAGGATTATCGAACAGAGTATAGAAGAGATAAATGTAGTAGCGTCCTGGTATCAACGTGATAGAGAGAATATCTTAAGTTGGTTGAACAAATACTTGAATGAATAATTGGTTTGAATCCGAAAGTTGGCGTCGATCTTATCGACTTTTTTTTTGGGCGATTTCCATCCATCCCATCACTTGACATTAGCGGTTCAAGTGAGACCTCTTTGGAAAGTTTTTGTTTATTGCAATAGTTCACTTTATTCAATATGCCAAAGCCTAACGTCTCTTCCCCAACTGAACACTCCTCCAGTAAAGGAAAATATACCTCTTTCAACTTGAATTCCCTTCTGCCCAAACAGAAGCCTCACACTGAAGCAAGTGTAAAAGGTTGGTCTTTTATTCTTAGTCACGAAACTGGAACCTAATGCTGAGCTAAAATAGGCGTCGGAAACTCAAGAATGCAAGTCTTGGGGAAGTCTTCTGTACTCTCTAGAGCAGCACCTAAAGTTCCACTGCCGTTTAACCTGCCAAGCTTGAGAAAAGAATCTGCTGTGGAAGCCACTTCGGAAACGGAATATAAGGATGGAAAGGACTCCAGCCCACAAAAAGTGGAAACATCCAGACAAGAACAACCAAACTCTTATGCAACAGTTGCTGCGAGTAGGATGAAATCCCATAGCATTAGATATTCACCAACAATGAGTGGGAGAGCCTTTTTGGATACTGATGAACACTTCAGAGATTCTCAAGATAACAATCGGGTGTTGCAATCTTCACAATTGGATTCACAGAGGATTGATTTGCATGCAGATTCACAACAGAAGAATTTCCCGATTCTAAGTCACAGTTCGAAGTTGTCTGCCAGAGTTTCTATTTCACGAAATGATGCAGAAGAAGCTTTAGGAGTGCGACTAGCGCAAGGAAACTTGGATGAATTGAAGTCGGAAAAGTCTCCACAGAATGAACCGCAAGACGTTCGCAGCAATAGTAGAACGAATGAGCGGGTCTCTTATTCAACAGAAAACGAGATTTTCTCAGAATCAGAAATAGAAAGGGAACAAGGAAGTTCGCTTAAAGATAAAAGGCGAGTAATATTAAGAAGACAAGAGGAGACCAAAGTTTCCACAGGACAAGAAGAACAAAGTTGGAAAACGGAGAGAGATGGAGATTTTGCTGTGGAGTATGGAATATCCTACAATGAAGGTGAGCCTCTATATGAGTCAGACACTATTACGTATGGAAATCGTGAAATGGCCGGACCAAGTTTGAACTCGGGCTTTTTATCAGATAGCAATATGACTTCAGGAAGAGAAGTCCAGAGAAGTGAGTAAATTGAGTAACTCTCATCCTCTCGAAAAAATAGACTAATCACTTGGATTTGTAACTTTTAGATGATTCTATAGCAGATAATGAAGCCAGTCGAGTGTCTCTCCCAAATTACCTGCGAGAGAGACCATCTCAAGCTTCCAAGGCTCGCTATTCATCGTCGAGAAAAGGAATGAGTGGCAGATACAAACATACTTCAAGTTCAAAGCTTAAAGGGCATCGTCGAGGAATATTTCCTGAGAATCTTGGTCAGAGGACTTGGAGAGTGGTTTCAGATCAACGGACACAAATGATGGAATCAAAGCGGAAAGGTTTGTATTGCTTAACTATTTGTTAAATTATCGCAGCCGTTTGAGTACCTTTTTAGAATATGTTGCCAGCGACTCATTTCGTAAGGAAGGACGATTTCGCGAAGAAAAGACTCAGGTATATCAGGATAGTTTACCTCGTTGGTCAGAAAAATCTTCCAGTTTTGTGCCTAAAGCCACATCTCAGAGTAAAGAGGCTTTCAGTAGTTCGAACGACGGAAATTTATCAGAGATAAATAATATTGAAGAACTCTTTGAAGATGTGTCTCTTCAAGAAACGCCTGTACATCCTCAGGAGCAGGAAATCAACGTGGATTTAGTTTCTTTATCAACGGAAGGGACTCAAAGGGAATATCGTAGCAATGAGGGAAATAGGAAAGCTGAAGATGAAATGAATGTTTCGTCTTTTTTAACATTTGGTTCATTATTGTCAGATTTGAATGCGTTGAGTGATTCTTCGGATTGGAATAGTCCAATATTTGATTTTCAAAGTTCGACCGACAAAGTCCTATCTGATGATCTGTGGGGTCAAGTCAACGGTGCTTTAAGGTCTATTCAGTCTGACTCCAACTTTGGAGTTGACAGAACTTCCAGTATTCCAATCTCCAAGCAGAAACTTCATCAGAAATTTAGTCGAAAGAGGTCTATTCAAAATGGAAGAATTCATAGAAAGAAAGTATTTCCAACAGAACGCGATATTTCAAGTAAATCGAAGAAGAGCAGCAAAGTGTGGATGGCAAAGGAGTCCACTTCCCCTTTTCTCGACAAACAACAAACTGAACGGCATGAAGGGAAAACTGAATCGCTTAGTGTTGGAGAAGTTGAGCAACTCACATTTATCGATGCAGCTGGCAAGAGTCAAAGTTTGACTTCATTCACAACTATGAAACACAACAACAAAGTATCTCCGAAATGGAGGAAGATGGACTCTCCTTTTGCACATCCGAGAGCAACAAGAAGTAGTCGTGCACCCAAGGAATGGGTTGCAAAGCATCCTAAAAATGTTGATCAACAACATTTAGGCGCGAGTACAGTTGTGTCACCGCAGAGTCAAGAAGAGCCAGATAAGAGCACATCTATATCTGCCACGCCGAGACGTAAATGGCATTCAAATTCAGTGATGCGAAAGAGTTCAGGTAATGCCAGTGGAAGGATAAAGTCACAAGAGGTGTCCAACCAGGGAAATAATCCTATTAGGTGGAGAAAAGTGACTGAAAAAAGAACATCAGATGAGACTACAAACTTGGATAGACAAGAAGTGCGATTGTTTTCTTTGAATGGCTATCGACCGCATTCATCGAAGACATGGAGTAGAGGGAGATCACGGAGTGTACAGTATGTTCCTAAGAATGCGTAATTGGAAAGTTCTCATCAACCTAGTTTTTAGTAGAAATGTTTAGTTACTGAAATATTTGGTTATTACGAAGCCCCATACTACCAATCCTTTTAGGGAATCTTTGCATCATCGCAAATTATTTTATCTATGTAGAGTTCTGTTTTTGGTAAGAATAGAATGTGTAATAAAATTGGTTCACAAGTATACGTGAATGGGAGAATACTATAGGAAACCTTACAGATATTGAGCAAGTTTTTAGAAATTGTTTCGGGTCTCTTATCTTAAGGCATATTTTGATTTTGATTCTTGTGAAAGCCATTCCTGAAGTTGTTCCAGACTGGACTTGTGGCTGATTCAAATTTTGAGCGGCATTTCAATCGATTGCTTTTCCATTGCGAAGATTTTGCTTAGAGACATGACTTCAAGAGTGAAACTGGAAACCTCAGAAACTAGTTCAGAGCCAAAAGTAGTTCTAAAAAGCTCAGACATGGAACAGTCGAAACTAGAACAAACTTTCCAAATTGCAAAAGAGGTGAGTTGTTGTTATGCGTATACACCCTGGGAGTAAAAACTTTGAAAGGCTATTTCAAGGTTTAAAGTGGAAAAGGACGTTGCCGCCTTTATTAAAAAAGAGCTTGACAAAAACTTTGGTGAATATTGGCACTGTGTTGTCGGGAAGAGCTTTGGTTCATATGTTACTCACGTTAGTGGGGCATTTGCCTATTTTTACGTAGATCAACTAGCAGTGATGGTTTTCAAAGCTTAATAGGGACTTGGAGAAAATAAACTACTACTGGAAAGACATTCCAACGCCAGTTGACATAATTCTCAAAGGTTATGTTCACGTATCTCCATTAAATAGATGACGAGAGTCAAATGGATGCTCCGTAACACATTGTACAATATTTCTCCCATTGAGAATATTATCGAAAGACATGTTGGGATATTACACGTAAAAGGCCACGTACGGCAGTTCATATGTTGCTGTTATGGAACAAGAGAGATCTGAGTCGCAAACTTTTCAAGCAAAGATGCTTCATGACTTGCCTGAAAGCCTGTCTGTAGATAGACAACAGCAGAATATAACAGCGGCGCAAGAAAAGCAACTTAATCGGGATCGCCTCTGCACAGTAGGTATTTGTGCTATGGAAAAGAAAGTCAAGTCTGCAGCCATGCAAGAGATGATTCACTCCATCTTGGTATATAGCAATAACTTGTTGAGAATTATAGTTTTTCCTCTAGAAAGTATCTTCAACTCGAGTGTTGAAGAATGGCCTGTTGTTGATGTTCTCATTAGTTTCTATTCAGTGGGTTTTCCACTGGATAAAGTTCTTCAGTATGTGGAACTTCGTCAACCGCAGTGCGTAAATGATATTGCCTTTCAGAAAATTCTCCTTGACCGAAGACTTGTATTTTGTGTGTTGAAAAACGTTGGCGTCTCTTTACCACCCCACGTTTTTGTCAATAGAGATTCAGCCTCTAGAAAACAGGAATTATGTGCTTGCCTAGCACAAGTTACTTGGAAGAAATCTACGTTAGAGAAGAGTGTACAAAGCTTGCAGAATGCACAAAATTTTTATCAAGCTGGTGAAACCATTTTTGTAGGTTCGCATACTTTGCATATGCCATTTGTTGAGAAGCCAGCTTGTGCTGATCGCCACGATATATATATATATTATCCATTATCTATGGGAGGTGGTGTTCGACGCCTATTTCGCAAAACCGCTGATCGAAGCAGCGAATATTACATTCCACGAGAAGATGAAAAATGCGGAGACGTAGCTCATGTCAGACTTGATGGCTCTTATGTATATGAATCTTTTTTAGAAGCAGATATTCAACAAGATGTGAAGGTTTACTGTGTGGGTCCTCATTATGCTTATGGCGAATTACGCAAGTCACCAGTAGTTGATGGTGTTGTGGAACGTCTCTCAGATGGAAGAGAAAGAAGGATTGCAACTATTCTTTCTACAGATGAGAGCAACGCAGCAACTGCAATAGTATCCGGTTTTCGACAGTTTGTTTGCGGTTTTGATATCATTCGTTGCAAGAACCGCTTCTTTGTTATTGATGTGAATGGTTGGAGTTTCGTAAAGGGCAATGAAGAATATTACAGGCAGGCTGGAAGATATTTAGCTACTCATATTTTGTTTTTATGGTCAAAGCCTAATTGTTGATATATACTTTTATTATATAAATGAAATACGAATTATGAAAGTGGGCGGTTCTAGAATCCTCCAATGCCATTTTGGCGCTCAAGTTCTTTTTTCTTTCATTTTTATTCTTTGGGATTTCTGGTGTGCGATAACAGACGGAGGAATGGCGTCACTCGCAAACTTTTTGAGACCAGGCGTAGGAGGTATGTTGAAAGAAGGCACAAAACACCTATCCGGAGTAGAGGAAGCCGTTCTTAAGAATATAGAAGCTTGTAAAGATCTGGCTTCCATCGTACGTACTTCCATGGGACCTAACGGCATGAACAAGATGGTATTGAACCATACTGGAAAAGTCTTCGTGACTACAGATGCTGCAACCATAATGAAAGAACTGGACGTAATTCATCCTGCTGCGAAAATGATGGTAATGGCTGCTCAGTCTCAAGAACGCGAGTGCGGCGATGGAACTGGTTTCGTCATTGTTTTCGCTGGAGAGTTACTGGAACAAGCCCAGGAATTGATCCGTCAAGGATTACACCCTAGCGAAATTATTCAAGGTGCTCAATTCGCTACTGGCTTTTTTTGTCTGCTTACTTTTTTGGCTACATAGGATACCAGAAGGGTTATGAGAAAGCTTTGCAGGTCTTGGAAACTCTTGTGACCACAAGCATACCAAACCTTCGAGACAAAAAGGCTGTTTGTGAGGCTTTGCGATCTTGTATCGCCTCCAAACAATATGGACTGGAAGATTTAATTGCTTCGTTGGTAGCAGAGGCGTGTATCAGTGTTCTACCTTCGGACGAACGACATTTTAACGTCGACAATATACGTGTTTCAAAAGTTTTGGGGGGTTCCTTACCCTTCTCAACGGTTGTACACGGAACTGTAGTCAGCCAGGAAGCAGCAGGCTCAATCAAGTCGGGTAAGGTTTTCTGTGCAGTCTAAAATACAAACTTAGATTTTGTTTAGTTCAAAATGCGAAGGTTGCTATCTATTCTTGTGACTTTGACATAGAGAATCCAGAAACAAAAGGAACGGTTCTCATTAAGAATGCAACAGAACTACAAACCTATAACCGTTCTGAAGAGGATTCATTAGAGAAGAAAGTAAAAGATATCGCTGAAAGTGGTGTAACAGTAGTTGTTAGTCCCAAGTTTGGTGATCTCGCTTTACATTTCTTAGAGAGATATAAGATCATGGCCGTCAAGTGCAGCTCAAAAGTTGACCTACGTCGTATTGCACGTAGTTGTGGCGCAGCAGGTTTGACGAAAGTTGAGGCACCGGATACTGAGTCAATTGGTTTTTGTGATTCTGTGATGGAAGAAGAAATAAGTTCGACAAAAATGGTTGTATTTCGTCAAAAGAATGAAAATTCTCGAGTTGCGACTATTTTGCTTCGTGGGGGGACGGAGAATATGATTGACGATGTCGAACGTGCTATTGATGATGCGGTTAACGTATTTAAAGTTTTGACTAGGGATAATAGATTTGTTCCAGGAGCCGGAGCTACTGAGATTGAGCTGGCTCGCCAAATTTCATCCTTTGGTGATAAAAGCCCTGGTTTAGATCAATATGCTATCAAGAAGTATGCGGAGTCTTTAGAGGTCTTTCCGAGAACGCTGGCTGAAAATGCTGGCCTAAAGGCAACGGATGTGGTGAGTCGTCTCTATGCCGTTCACACTTCGGGTCAGTGCACGACAGGCATTGATATTGAAGCTAGTAGCAAAGTGCGTGAAGACATTACAGACGGTTCGTTATCGAATGGCACTGGTGCAGTTCATGAGACTCTTCCAACAGGTATTTTAGATGCAAAAAGTTGTGATATTTACGATTCGCTGGCTACTAAAAAGTCCGCATTGACTTTGGCAACACAAGTAGCCACCACAGTTTTAAAGATTGACCAAATTATTATGGCAAAGCAAGCAGGAGGACCCAAACCCCAGTCACGTGATGCGGATGCAGATGATGCTGCCTAAACCATCCTTTTCTATTCAATAAAGCCTTTGCAAAAAGAACAGTTTTCTTATATACAGAAGAACGGAACCAATTTAATATCTAAAAGTACTAATACGACATAGAGTTACTCTTTAATATTGATGTGAAAGGTCTTCTTCATTTCTGATCGAATTAAAGTTGCGGAAGGGATTTTTGGGATCTTCAGGGTCAAAATCTTCCAATGCAGCCACATCGTCACCTTTGTCCTGAAAAATAGTTGTGCGTCAGTTACATATTCTTCCAACCGCAAAAACTTACTTCATCACGCAGTGGTCCGTATTGCGTCAAATCAAGAGGATCTTTAACTTTGGGTACGATTGGAGGCTTTTCATTTCGAATCAAAGCAAAGTTAATGTCTTGAAACCAAGGGTGTTTCTTTACATCTGATGCTCCATTTTCATGTCCCAAACGTTTGCTTGGCTAAGTTTAGTACACTTCAGTTTATAACGAGTCGGTAACAGTATCTTTTGTCTTACATCACGCTTCAAAAGCTTCTTCATTATATCTTTACATTCACTGGAAATAGGGAGATCCTCGCGAAGCTTTATATTTCCACTGATAATCTTACTAAATGTTTCATCCGAATAAGAACCTTTAAAAGGAGTGGTTCCATATATCATTTCATGGATAAGAATACCCAAAGTCCACCAATCAACAGCTGAAGAATGTCCAACGCCTCGAATGACCTATTCAATTCAATAGAACGTAGCAAGTTGTTGAAACATCCGATACCTCAGGTGCAATATATTCTTCCGTTCCAACAAAAGAATTCGTTGCGTAGGGAAGAACTGGCTCAGAGTCGACGATATCCAACTTATGCTTCTTTTCACGCTTGTTGCCGAAACTACTTTTAATCTTCTCCAGTAATGAGGTTGTTTGTTCGACGACTCTGGGAGATACAGGATGCGCCTGTTTGGACAAGTCAAAGTCAGTCAAAGCGATATGACCGTCACCACGCATAAGAATATTTTCAGGCTTCAGATCTCGATAAATGAAGCCCATGTGATGCAGATATTCCAAGGCCAATACAACTTTTACAGTTTGGGTCATAACAGTTAAAAACTGAAGTGTTTGACCAACCTTCCGCCGCATAGAATTTGGCAGCGTCTTCCTTCAATCTTTTCTTGGGTTGTCGTTGCAATACTCTGAAAAATTCACCCCCCTCACAATACTCCATAATGAAGTAAAGCCGATTAACCGTTTGAAAAGAAGCGAACATGGTAACGATGAAAGGATGATTAGCAGTTGCTAGGATTTCTCTTTCAGTAAGAACTCGCTTCACCTTGTGGCAAAATACTCAACAAAATAACAAAAAGGTACATCAGATAACAAACCTTATTTCTAGCAATCATTTCTTCCTTAGTCAACACTTTCATTGCGTACAGCTTTTGCGTTCCTTTCAAAAGAACTAAGTAGACCTTGCCTACGTCTCCTTTTCCCAATAGTTTCAACTTCACAAAGTTGTGTGGTCCAACCTAAAACCAAATATCAACTTGAAGTGAAAAAAACAAGCAAACACCTACCTGGTCTTCAGCAACGGGAAACCTGTCATTGAACGCAACTGCACTACGAGCCAAGACTTGCGGTCGGGGGCTTTGTTTTGAAGGACTGTTATTATCCACTGACAAATTTTCCAACTTGGAAATATTTTTCTTCTCTTCCGTGTCAGAGTCTGGCTTTGCTTTCTCGTTTGCATCGTGGTTCACAGTGTCTGCCTTCTCATTCATCTTACAAAATCATTATCTTCAAAACCAACCAATAGAAATAAAGAATTTCAACGTAGAATCTCAAGGCAGTGGCCTTCTTAAGAAAGGCTTCATTACTTGATAGACTATAATAAGAATACGATTACCCATTTATATAGTCTATACAGATTGCTAACAATTTGGGATTTCCAAAGTATCTACTATGAAAGCTGCAAAGGCATCAGCAATTAGTATTGGAACATTTCAAAGGCTTGCAACATGGCTTTTCAAATAGAGAAGACTCATAATGGTATAAGAAACTGAACATCTCCTATATCTTCGAATAAAGACTTCTTTTATAAAGAAAAAAATAAGATGACTAAGTCAATAAGTAGCGACTGGAATCAATTCATTCTAAGAACGGTCTCCCATCAATCACAATCAAAACCTCAGTATGTCTTCCACATCTCTTGCTATCCTTGTAACTGATGTTGTAAAAGTGAAAATCTCTCCATAAATTCTGCTTTGTTCTGTAGCATCTTCATGGCTTTCCAATATAGTTGAGTAACTCTATGAGGTCCACTGCATTTGCGTTCAAATGTAATATATTGTAACCAACAGTCAATACACACACTTCCTTCTACTTCACACCAAGCATCAAATAACTTGCGCAAACGGTGGATACTCTGTTTGTCATGATTCTGTCTTTCTTCCACATGAATAGCTATCCGAATCACTGACACGTTCATAGGACAAAGATGAAGAATTCTATCATAGAGCTTTCTTATTCGTTCCAGACATTCCAAATTATTCAATGATGCCAGTGTCCCCATTTCGCCATTTAAAAACTGAATGGACAACAAAGCTTTTTTGTTGTCAACATTTGCATCCTTACTATCAAAAACTTCTTGTTCCAACCGATCTATAATGAAGCACTCCATATTCTTTCTCTCCTTCTCATCCTTTATATGCTGCCATGTTGTTATCAGACTGTCCAAAGATTCACTTTGAATAGTTTTGATCAATGTATGCGAATCTTCGATTAAACTCCTATCCAGCTTACTCACCCAATTTAAAAACGATTGCTTCAGCTCCTCTTTCATAGACAAACTATCCATTACTTCACAACATCTATTCAATACGTCACGTGTAGGAATATCTCGAACAATTTCTTTGAGTTGGTCCAAAAGTTCATTACACTGAAATGAACTCAAACTATTGGAATCCGATTGGAACCAACCCTTCACTAATGCTAGACGACAGTTTTCGTAAGTTCGCAGCTTTGAGAATATCAAACTCCTTATTTCATTCTTCAAAACTTGGGGGCTAAATGGTGTCTCCATAACAAGTTGAACTAAGCTTGCAAGAAAATGATCATCCGTTTCCCATTTTTGAAGGATATGCTTCAAAATCAACAACACTGTACAGCCTTCCCAAAACGATACAGAAATAGAAATTGTCTGGTTTTGATCGCTTCCTTTTGTACTATCATGAGAAATGGATGAATGCTGCGAGATGTCTCGATAAACAAGGTCAAGCTCTTCGTCCAACAAAAGTTGATTATCTTCATTGTCTTCCTCCATATCGCTATCTTGAAGGGGAATATGATCGTCGCTTACTTCCTGTGAACATACTGTATCTCTATGATTAAGTTCAGTGAAACTTTGGGAGTTCTCTACTTTTTCCCTTTCAGGTATCGGTAAACCTAGATACTGTCGTTGAAATAGTTGTCGGCAAAGATAATATAATTCTATTCGAAAATATTCTTTCCATAGCAATTGAGAGTTCTCCAACTGTCTCAGAGCTCTCTGTGCTATAACTCTTGCAGCTCGCATATTCTTTCTATGATCAAATTCGAAGGAGATAGCTATCAACCACAACTCTTCCAAGTTTGGTAACCTTGCTAACGCCCTTCCTAAAACCCGACTAGCCAGTCTAGAGCTATTGGTCTGTAAACAATATTTCAAATAATTTTTCCACACCGTCCAATCCATAGGAAACTTTCGACTGGCACGGTTGAATAAGAACATGACTCGGCTATCTTGTTGGAATAAAGCCCTTCTCAATCTAGTCTTGTCGATTGAAGTAACATCCTTTCTATCAAGCTTCTTCACTCGTCTTTTCAAAAGCAGCTGTACGTTGTGTTCATACTGAAGATATCGAAAGTAGTGTTTTGGGGTTGTTTCCCTTTGAAGAAGATTTCTTTCCAGACTCCTTCTCTTGCGACTAATTTGTTTCGCTTCGTGTTCTGTTATCACTTTTAGCTTTTGAAAGATACGCAACTGCTCTACGGTTGTTTCTAACAAACGTTCTACTACTTGTGCCATTGTGTAAAAAATTAAGATGATTCGATTACCGTCCGATAGCCAAATCAACAAGTCCTCTTTATTCTTCATCCATGTCGTCTTCATTTTCGCCTTGAACAGAATCATCCTGAGACTTTAAAGGTTCATATTGTGGAGAGAAGAACTTTCTTGAATTTTTTTGAAGAAAGCGTAACATTTCATAACTCTTCTGTGCAATGTTCAACACAGCTTCTTCTGGAACTTGTAAATGACGTACAAGACCGGGTAACTTGACAAATAATCTCAACAAGTGCTCTGCACCATATACATCTATTGGTTCTGGAGGTGATTCGTTCTCATGGAAAATCTGATTATGTTGTGGACGCTCATAGCGATATAGTAACATCTTTCCCAAAGAAATATTAAACAACTCAAATATTCCATTCACGAATTCTTGTACAGTTGAATCGTCCTTATTCGAATCTGATTGTTTACTCTTTGTTGTAGCCCAAATTTCCAATATACGTCGAACAGTATATTCTCGCGGAAGTGTCAACGTCATCTTTTCCCGCGTGACCGTTTCCCACTCGTCCATCAACTGTCTCTTCAAAGAACCTGGGATGTTAAAAAGAGAATAGGCGTCTAAGGGTTCTTCTCTTTTCTCTGTTTCCTTTGAAGGACGTTTTCTCTTCAACTGGTTTTCTTGTTCTGGGACGGAATTCTCCGTGTCTTTCTCAGTGAGAGCTTGTTGTCTCAAGTCATTCATCAATTGTTGACTCTCGGCGTTGAAGGGATACAAGTCAAGTTCTTCTACCCATTCATCAAAACTTTCGTTCCAACTCACATAGTGTACAAAATAACGAGCAGTACCATTTGCTACAGTCGGTTCAGCTACTTGCTGTATCTGAGCAATACACTGTGAGTCTCGACAAGGACACGAACGATTGCAACCTACCACTATCTCATACATCATAGAATCTTTCTTCACATAAGCTTTGTCTCCAGTCGTGAATTTCTTTTGCGCTTCTCCTTCCATTGTTTCAGTTGAACAAGCCGCCATTATCTGCACATTTGCGCCAAAAATAAAATGCCAAGGAATTGGTCTTTGTATTAAGAGACAAAGAGAGAGATGAGGAAATCTTTGTTAACAAAGAGTGTTCACTTTAAGAAAAGCGTCCATACTATAGAACGCAACAGCTAAAAGTTAACAGAATGCACTTCATTTGTTTCAAGGGCAAAGTTTATGACTGAATGGATAGTTCTCGTTCAAAATGTGCCTCTTCTTTCATGCTCTTTCAAGTTATTCAGAATAGCATACTGCTCCATTTTAGTCTTCACCTTGCAGTCATATACTTTATCAAAAATTAAATACTCTACTACGGAGGAACTAGTCTTCATCAATCCACTTTGAAATTTTCGTTTGTGGTGATTTTGTGGAAGAAGATGCTTACAAGAGCGACTGTTGAGACCTGTGGTTTTTTGCCTTGCCAAGTGAAGCTGTGTTCTGGACATAGAAAAAAACTTTTCTCGAAACATATACAGAACCATAAGTATTTGTATTGTAATACTGTTATGAAGAGTTCCTTCAAAGGAAGGGAAACTCAAGCAAAGCCAATCCTTTGGAACAAGGAGCAACAACACAACCGAAGAGCTTTCGTTATTTCCATCGCTCAAGTACTATTATTGGGATTGCTGAAGCCAGGAAAAAGTTATGCTGAGGAACATAACTTTGCTGAAATTTGGACAAAGCGAGTATTTCCAAAAGCGGGTTACAACTCTCCAGAGGCCTTGACCAGTGAATCAGTGGAGCTGGATTCAGATGCTATGAAAGATCCACAAGTAAAAAAGGGTATAGAAAATTTGAAAGCATATCGTAACAAGGTCTTGGATATGTGTAGTGCCTTTCAACAAAACCCACAGATGGAGATACAGCAGCTGATAAGAGAAGGCTTCAACGTTGCTCAACTGCGGGATGATCTCAACAAAGTATGTCAAATGTGTTCCTTTCTAATAAATTTTGAAGAACATTTAGGCAAATCGAGTATTTAATGAAGAGACACAAATAACAACTGATCGTTTTGTGAGAAACATTCTTCAAGATGTAAACGAACTCGAGTCGGTTTCAGGACTGCTCGACGACAAAACAAGGACTCGTAGGAAAATTGAAAATACTCAGAAGTGGCTGAAAAAGTTGTATCATGACTTTGATCGTTTTTTAGCCTTATATCCATAGTCGTTCAAGAGGTATAGGGTTTATCGGGTCATCAGCTCATTGGTTTTGGAAGGAATGAGAAATAAAATGATTTGGGTAGAAAATATTCGGGTTCCTTGCGAATAGGTTCTAGAAACTTAACTTTTAGAGATATTATGCGACTACTTCCGGGAAATACAAACAGCATAACAGATGTCGAAGGAGTAAGAGTAGGTTCAGTGGAACACGAAACACTTTTGACTGGAACTACAGTAGTTGTACCAACGAAAGCTTGCACTACTGGAGTTTCTGTGTCTGGTGGTGCCCCAGGCTCTCGTGAAACTGATGCGCTTCGTTCTGACTGTTTAGTGGGTTTATCTCATGCGGTATTTCTTTCTGGTGGTTCAGTCTTTGGTTTGGATGCAGGTTCTGGTGTCACTCAAGTTCTTACTGAACAAGGACAAGGTTTTAATGCATTTCGTCCACACGGAGTGCCTGCAGTTCCTATAGTTCCTGGTTGTGTACTGTTTGATTTAGGAAATGGAGGAAACTGGAAAGAGAACGACGAGTTTATTTCTCCCTATCAAGAATTGGGAAAGAAGGCTTGTTTGCAAGCGTTACGACAAAGGCCTTTTGCAAGTATTCGTCTAGGAAATGTTGGAGCTGGAACAGGATCGAGAGCTGGAGCATATAAAGGAGGTTTAGGAAGTGCTTCTGCTATAGAAGAAAATGGTCAACTGCAAGTAGGAGCTCTAATGGCAGTTAACTCCTACGGTTCTCCAGTTATTCCAGGTTCCGATATTCTTTGGGCTTCTTTTTGGGAACAGAACAGAGAAATGGGTGGAATGAAAGAACAATTGTATCATTCTTTTCAGTCAAAATTTTCTATACCTATAGGGATAGTCGAAGATTGCAAATCTTCTATGACAGTGCACGAAAACACAGTAATAGGTGTGGTTGCAACCAATGCAGCTTTATTTCCTGCAGAAGCAAAACGAGTTGCTATCATGGCACATGATGGTATTGCACGAAGTATAAAGCCTTCCCATACATTAGTAGATGGTGATGCGATATTTGTATTAGCAACAGGAAACTATTCTTTGCCAACTTTTCAAGAAGGTAATATTCATCGAGCTAGAGTAGTTTCTTTAATAGGAGCTATTGCAGCGGATTGTGTGACGAGGAGTATTGGGAGAGCTATGTGGGAGGCAAAGAGTAGCGGTATGTATTTATCCTATAGAGACTATTTTAAAAAAGAATAGTATGAAATCTATATTGTTACATGATACTTCAACACTGTCATACTATTCAGGACAACTTGAGTTTTCTTGTTCATGTGGTTTCTCCTGTTGTAGTTGAAATACCCTTCTTCTTTCTTCAAGTTGAGAAAGTGAACTGCCGAGTATCTCAAAAGTACCCAATATATCCGTGAGACTTGCAAGAATATTATCGAGATTCTATTTAAAATAAAAAGAATATTTCTATCTAGTTCTTTGTTGTGCCTTACCTGGCCTACTCTCAAAGCATGTTGTTTCTTTTGTTGTTTGAATGAATCCATGGAAAGACAATAATTGGGCGGGTTAAGAGGAGAACGTCGAATAGATATGTTTTGTCAAAAATGAGGTTGTTTCCAATAGAAAAGAATGGCTTCTATTCAAAATGAAGCAACTTTATCTAGTCTTTCACAGTACTCTCAATCTCCTGTTTTCTTTTTAATATTAAAGAAGATATCGGAAATTTTGAAATTTGTTACAGAAAAATGGCGAGTGGAACTTCAGATGTAGGTCTGATAGGCTTAGCAGTTATGGGACAAAACTTGGTTCTAAATATGAATGATCATGGGTTCAAAGTTGCCGTTTTTAACAGAACAGTTTCTAAAGTGGACGACTTTCTGAACGGTGAAGCCAAAAATACCAATATAGTAGGTGCACACTCGTTGCAAGAGTTTTGTGCCCTTTTAAAGAAACCAAGAATAATCATTCTTCTGGTGAAAGCTGGAGAAGCAGTTGATCAGTTCATCTCTATGCTGCTACCTTACTTGTCTCCTGGGGATCTTATAGTTGACGGGGGAAACTCACACTTTCTGGACACAAGGAGAAGAACTAAAGAAGTTGAGGCCAAAGGATTGCTTTTTATTGGAACAGGAGTTTCTGGAGGTGAAGAAGGTGCAAGACATGGACCTTCCATTATGCCTGGTGGCTCGTCCGAAGCCTGGAAGTTAGTGAAACCCATTTTTCAGGCTATTAGTGCTAAGGCCAACGGAGAGCCTTGTTGTGAATGGGTAGGTGAAGATGGCGCTGGCCATTATGTGAAAATGGTCCACAATGGAATAGAATACGGAGACATGGAACTTATCTGTGAAGCATACAATCTGTTGCACCGGGGCTTGAAGCTTAGCAACGAAGAGATTGCAGATGTATTCACGCAGTGGAATAGCGGAGTTTTAAACTCTTATCTGATTGAGATAACCGCAAATATTTTAAAGTTTAAGGATACTGATGGCTCCGATTTAGTGGAGAAGATTTTGGACACAGCTGAGCAGAAAGGAACTGGTAAATGGACTGCCATGTCTTCGTTGGACCTCAATGTTCCGGTAACGTTGATTGCAGAAGCTGTATTTTCGCGAATTCTGTCATCTATGAAGGAAGAACGTCTAATTGCATCAAAGACGTTTGGTTCGTATTCGTCCAATGTGACCATTCATGATAAGAATGCGTTCATTCAGGTTATTGAAATGCTGTTTATCATATCCACGCCGTATTTCTAAAATTTTTTGTTGGATAGGATGTTCATGACGCCTTGTATGCTTCCAAGATTGTTAGTTATGCGCAAGGATATATGTTATTACGAGAGGCAGCCAGTCACTATGGTTGGAATCTGAATTATGGAGGTATTGCTTTAATGTGGCGCGGTGGATGTATTATTCGTTCAGTGTTTTTGGGACAAATTCGTGATGCTTTTCTTCAAAGTCCCAAATTGTCTAATCTGTTGCTGAACGACTTTTTCAAAGCTGCACTATTGAAGGGAGAAAGAGGTTGGAGAAATGTAGTTGCTCAAGCAGCTTATATGGGCATTCCTTGTCCCGCCTTTAGTTCCAGTCTTGCCTTTTTTGATGGCTATCGTTCAGAACGCCTCCCAGCAAATCTTTTACAAGCACAGAGAGACTATTTTGGTGCTCATACGTATGAAAGAGTGGATCAGCCACGCGGCAAGTATTTCCATACAGAGTAAGTTTCCTATTGGTTTTTGTCTTATATTTTAACACGTTATAGTTGGACTGGTAGTGGTGGTCGTGTTACTTCTAATGCTTACAAACTATAGTTTCTCTTGCAGTTTTCTGATTGCAATAAATACCTTTGTAAGGATTGTCCGTTTCAACTCAGTTTGTTAAATGCTTAGTTTGTCCCATGGGCATGCAACGTATTGGGGGTTGTTTATTACAGCTAACTAGAGCACTTGGGTCTCTGCCACTTGTTCATTGGAGGAGTAGCTCCGGTATTAATAGGTTAAGGTTTTTATCTACACAGGCAACAGAATCGCATACTATGGAAGTGATTCCAGGAAAAACAAAAATGGGTTGGATAGGAACTGGAGTTATGGGTAAGAATAAAGTTGTGGTTACCCTTGTAAACACCTTTTACTCGACTTAGGTGTTCATATGGCCAGACATTGTATGGATAAGGGATATGGGCCTTTTTTTGTTTACAACAGGACTATGCAAAAGGCACAGGCTTTGGTTGAAAAGGGAGCCACAGTTTGCAAGTCTCCCAAGGAACTCGCTCAGCACTGTGACGTCGTATTTACTATGGTGGGATATCCTCACGATGTTCGTCAGGTAATCCTAGACCAAAGTTCAGGAGTATTGGCTGGTTTGAAAAAAGGAGGTGTGGTTATAGATTTGACAACTAGTGAACCTAGTTTGGCAAAAGAGATAGCAGAAGTGGCTTCTTCACAAGGAAAATATTCATTAGACGCCCCTGTTACTGGAGGAGATGTGGGAGCTAAGAATGGCACACTTGTTGTCTTTGTGGGTGGTTCACAGTCTGCCTATGAGTCCGTGTCACCTTTATTGAGTTGCTTTGGTAAAACTATCAAATACTTTGGAGAAGCTGGTTCTGGACAACATGCCAAATTGGCCAACCAAATAACAATTGCCTCCAATATGATTGGAATGTGTGAAGGACTCATATATGCTTACAAGGCAGGTTTGAATCTGGAGACTTATCTCTCTGCTGTCTTAAGTGGTGGTGCAGCCTCTTTCTCTTTGCAAGCATATTCTCCTCGTATTATGAAAAGAGACATGGCCCCTGGCTTTTATGTCGTATGTATTATCTCAAGTGTTTTATAAAATGACTAACTTTGATAAGGAGCATTTTGTAAAGGACCTTGGCATCGCATTGGCAGAATGTCAACGAATGAGAATTTCATTACCAGGTTTAGCACTTGCACAGCAGCTTTATGTGTCCTTAATGGCTAACGGAGGTGCAAAGAAGGGAACGCAAGCGTTGATTGAAACGCTAGAGTTGCTGAACGGATGTCAACTTCCAAAGATGTCATGAATGAGTAATCAAGGACAAGTGAGCTAGTGATAAGATCGCTTTCTTTAAACCGAGTTTGCTCGGTATTTGTTGCTTTGATATTACTACTTGCCTGTTTTGTGTTTCATTCTTGCCGTTTATGAATATAACGCGTTGTATTGAGTTTTCTTTTGTCTATTATCGTTCAATATAATTCTTTATTTGTGTATCAGAAAAGAGTGAATTGTAAATCATATGAAAAGCAGTTTTCTATACAACGCATATTATACTATATTGTATCAAGCAAATCCACGACAATACTTTGCATCAGTGAGTTAACTTTGTTTCTTCCTTCTAACAGGACATGTAGAGTTCGAATAATATCAGCAATAAAGTCAACTATATGCCACGAATTTGCTGATCCAGAGAGCAAAGCGGAACATATCTAACAAAGGTAATATGCTTTTTCGAAACCGTGCCATCTTTTGCCTTGTCATATTGAACCAACTCTTGTTCTGACGTACCTAACAAGCAATTTCCTTTTAACCTTCACGTCTGCAAAAAAGAGAGACACTTACCTTCTGGTATCAACATGCGACCACCAGGAGCCAATTGGTCTAAAAGTACTCGAGGAACGGTACCTGCTGCAGCACCGACATGAATAGCGTCAAATGGCGCACCCTCCAGGAAGCCTTTCCTTCCATCATCTACCATAACTCTTACAACCCCTTCTTCCAATAAACTCTTCTGGCTCCTTTCAATGTTCTCAAGAGACTGTTGAGCAAGACCCGGAATGTGTTCAATACCCACAACGAGACCCTTTGGTCTAACCATAATACCCATACAAGCTGTTAAATAACCAGAACTACATAAAGTAAATCCCTTTATACAACCAAAAATCTTGACTTACCCCGACCCAATATCTAATGCCTTACTTCCAGGTTTCAAGTGTTCGTTGAGCAATTCTAAACACGTCACGTGCATATGTGGAGCACTTATGGTCGCATTCCAACCAATGGGTTGTGGAGCATCTTCATAAGGTCTATATTTACAGAAATGGCCTCTATCTACAGCAAGCAACGTCCTCTCAACTCTTTCCGTTTTTATCAGTCCATTTTCCTTCAGTGCCTTTACCAATTCGGCCTGGTTCCTACCACGAGAGAGCCATGCCATGGCTCTACGAATATTATATTGATATAGAAACCTCTTTCGAAATAACTGTCGACCAACACGTTCCCCACAACCAATTTGTGCTATCTGTAAAGTTCTTCTCTCTAGAAAGAAAACCCCTTTGTATGATTTACGTGATATAAGGGTGGAGTACCAGTTGCTTAGGCTTCTCACTGAACTAATGAAACTGACAAAAAAAGTCTTATTACTTTGAACGGACCAGCCGTCGATCCCAAATTTATTTCTACTCCAACCAGAGTTGTTCCACATTCAACATCGAATTGTCCTTTCGTTGGTGAAGAGTTTCTTTAGTATTCAATGTCAAGTGCGGTTGAGTTTTTATGGGTGCTGGTAGGCGTATGTGTTGTTGCTCTTTGTTTTGCAGGATGGTTAGCACACTGGGTCCTTTCACACAAGGAAGGATCAAAGGAGATGCAAGACGTGGCTAGACCGATCCAAGAAGGTGAGATCTACTGTTTATAAACCCTTGTATATTGAAGTGACCAAGTTGACATTTGAAATTAGGGGCTAATGGGTTCTTTAAGGTTGGTAATATATTTTTTATCGAAAGGATCGTTTTCACCTTGTTGCTTTAAGACACAATATGGAACGATTGCTAGCCTTAGTTTGGTGAGATCAAAGAAGAAGATCATATCTCCAGTTGGCTAACAAAAAGGTTTTAGGTTTTAGCCCTTATTATATTTCTATCCTATGGTTATCGTCCGGTAAACCCCAGCGAAGCAAACATCGGCTCTCTCGGCATTCGTTCTATTTGCACCATTGCATTTCTTTTGGGTGGCTTCTTTTCTGGAATATCGGGTTTAGTTGCTATGTGGGTTGCTGTACGCTCTAATTCTCGAGTTGCAGCAGCGGCGAAGGTATCATACAACGAAGCTATTCAGGTATTTGAAAGTAATTTGTTGATATAAATGTTTGAACGCTGTTGTAGGTTGCCTTTCGTGGTGGAGCGTTCGCATCTACTTTGATTGTGACGTTATGCTTGTTTGGAATCGTTCTTATCTATGCTTTCGTCTATGGCTCCTTCCAACGATTGGGTGTTAGTGCTGCTCAGGTTCCTTTACTTATTGTCGGCTACGGTTTTGGAGCTTCGTTTGTAGCACTTTTTGCTCAACTTGGAGGCGGTATTTACACAAAGGCGGCTGATGTTGGTGCGGATATTGTTGGAAAGGTCGAAGCTGGAATACCCGAAGATGATCCTAGGAACCCTGCAGTTGTTGCAGATCTAGTTGGAGACAATGTTGGAGACTGTGCAGTATGTTTTATGTTTCCATAAAGTTAACTGTTGTTTTTGAAGGTTTTGATTAGGGTCGTGGTGCTGATCTTTTCGAATCTATTGCAGCAGAAAATATTGGTGTATGTTCGATCACTATTGAATATTTGTTTTTGAAGGTTGTAAATATTATTCTTTGATAGGCAATGATTTTAGGAGCTACCTTGAGTAGAACCTGCAATCTTCCCGAAAGTGAGCAGATCACTTTCACTTTGTTTCCATTATTTGTTCATGCTTTGGGTAATTGTGGAATATCTGTAACTCTGTTCTGGTCGTTACTGTGGTTCTAGGTATTTTCAGCAGCAGTATTGGAACGATGGCAGTAAGAACAAAAGACAAGGTAATAGTTTGATAGCTTTTGGTGTTATAAAGTTGCTTAAGATTGAATTTAGAGCTTGAACAAGAGTGGCGGAAGCTCGGAATCAGCTCCATTGTTGGGTGGTTCCAAGTCATCGAAAGAGTACGAAGATCCAATGGTGGGTTAAGAATTCCTTTTTGTTATGAAGTTTACAATGGATTGCACATCTTTAGGCTATCATGAAAAGAGGTTTCGTAGTTGCAATGGCTTTGGGATTTGTTGGAATCTGGGTATTGTGCTATATTGCCTTGCAGACGAGTGAAGCACCCAATGCATGGTGGCACTTTGGCTTATGTGCTACTATTGGTAAGTGTTTTGTATGAGAACTACGAGTCACTTTATCGATTTTCTTTTAAGGAATAGTAACTTCATATTGTTTTGTCATTATTACAGAATATTATACTGTAAGTGAAACATTGCATTTATATATACAACGATAGAGAAGCTAAACCATTACAGGATTATTTGTACTATCCTGTAAGAAGAATTGCAGCTGCATCTTCTACGGGTTCTGGAACAAATGTCATTGCAGGAGTGTCTGTTGGAATGGAATCTACTGCACTTCCTATCATGGTTAGTGTTTCCTTTTATATAGATAAATACTAATCTCCATAAACTCCTTTACTAGGTACTTGCCATTGCTTTATTACTTGTGTACTGGCTGGGTACAACTTCTGGTCTGTCTAATAAACTTGCTGCTGGTATTTTTGGTACCGCGGTTGCAACTATGGTGAGTATTTTATGTACTTTGAATAGCAACGACTGACAAGGAGTGGTTACTATACTTTGTCATTTTAGGGAATGCTCTCCACAAGTTGTTTCATTCTGGCAATGGATGTGTTCGGACCCATCTCAGATAATGCGGGGGGTATTGCAGAAATGTCAATGCAGCCACCTGAAGTACGAGAAATCACTGATCGTTTGGATGCAGTTGGCAATACAACAAAGGTAAATTCTTGATTTGTTAACTATGCAGTTCATACAATTAACTCTATTTAGGCTTTAACGAAAGGCTATGCAGTTGGTTCAGCAGCATTGGCGGCATTTTTGTTATTCCGTGCTTACATTGATGAAGTGAACAACTACTTACCATCAAGTCGTGCTCTCACGGCGGTAGACTTGAGTCAACCAGAAGTATTTGTTGGTGGCATGATAGGTGCTATGTTAGTGTTTCTATTCTCGGGACTAGCTATTCGCGCAGTTGGCAATGCAGCCCAAGCAGTGGTACATGAAGTTCGTCGACAGTTTCGTGAAAAACCTGGTATTATGACATACAGCGAGAAACCCGATTATGAAAAGTGTGTGGCTATTGTTGCCAATGCGGCACTTAAACAAATGGTCGTCCCTGGTTTGTTAGTTGTTTTTGTCCCACTTTTCGTAGGATTTCTTGCCTCATGGGTTGGAAGAGTTGCAGGAAAGTCTCTGCTAGGAGTACAAGTCTCTGCTGGAATTTTGATGGTTGGAACTATTGCTGGAATTCTTATGGCACTATTCTTGAACAATAGCGGTGGCGCATGGGACAACGCTAAGAAGTATATCGAAACCGGTGCATATGGAGGAAAGGTATAGATTCTATTTCGTTGATGGAATTACTTTTATTGACGTTTGTTCATAGGGCTCGGAATCTCATAAAGCCAGTGTAACAGGAGACACTGTAGGTGATCCTTTCAAAGACACCGCAGGACCAGTGAGTAACTGACCGTTAGCGTGGAGTTGCTTTGAGCTAATTTTTTCTAGTCATTGCATGTATTAGTCAAATTGCTATCAACGCTTACACTAGTATTCGGTCCACTGTTCTTAACGTCTGCAGGAATCGAAGTCATTTCTGGTTAACGAGACATACCACGGTATTTCTCCATCGTGCCTTTTATCTTTGTGCTTTTGTTTAGAGCAGTAATAAACCATTGGTTTGTTTCAAACATTTTGGAATCTAATGCATTGGTAACGTTAAAGAACGTGTGATTTATTTCATTCTCTGTATTTATTGCTCATAGGTGAGTTTATAACGGACTGGTCTAGATCTATTCTTAATAGTCAGCTATTCACACTTGCTTGCTCTCTCTTTCTTTCGTACACTATGCTGAGAGTGCTCAATTGTCGTAATCATGCAATAACTCGACAGAACATATTTGTATGACACTTCAAAATAGTTGGACAAAATATTAAATGGGTTTTAAAAAATTAAAACAACAAGCTATTGAACAGTATATAATTTCCACATCATATTACTATTTAGAATTTACGATTACAACTGAAAGGCTTTCCAGTGCTCTCGATGGCAACAACCAAGCTTTTAAAAGTTCCATAACTTCCCAACGTCAACATAAGAAAGCCGACTAGAAAGCAAAAGAAGGGTAAGAGCTTTTGATACCAACGAGTGTCGTGCCAAAATTCCCAAAAGTAAAAAGCACTTGGCACCATAAATGTCAAGAAAGAAGAGAAGAGTGACGTCATAATGCCAATGAAAGATGAAAAGAAGGGCACCAATTCGGCAACTATAAATGCTGCTCCATACGTTATGCCTGTCCAGAGTAGCCACCAAAGCCTATTACGAAGAGAACCATCTCGAAATTTCCTCAAGCCTCCAGCAATCAAAGGTTGGAAACCCCACTGAACTGCGCGACTTAAGACATTTCCTCCAATAGTACCTGCAATAGTCACGTGTATAACCATAAAGACATCATTCACATAGTGTATCGCACCATGTTTGATGACCAAAGTCACAGGACTTTCCATGTGGCCCGTGTTACCAATATAATAATATGCTACGGCAGCTAGTGTAAGGTAGCATGCATAACTGAACGTTTGTGACAACCACAAAGCTGTTGGGAAATCTTCAACTCTCTTCAATTCTGCCATAAACTCAAAATAAATAAGATGGCCTGTGAATGCGAATATAATATCCATTGCCGCAGTTAATCCTTCATAAAAACTCGTTGAAGAACCCGCATATGTCTTTCCTAATCCTGCACCAATGCTTGGAACCTTCACACATACGATAATTATGGGAATGACAATAAAGGTAATAGCAATTAAGATAATATAAGTAATCTCGAAAAGGCTTCGAGCCTGGCCTGCAAGAAGCATCATCGCATAAGCTATTACAGCAAACACCACAGTACATATATGCTCCTTTTGAAGCATATTCTTCCATGTCAAGGATGACGTTAACAAATCGCTAGTTAACAAGGCAAAGAAATAAGAATATGCAATAGTTGCTGTAAAATACATGCCGGGTTTCCCCCAAAGTCTACGACTCATTGACGCATAGCTTCTTACTGTAGGATATCTCAAGCCCATGTAATAGAGAAAGTAACCAGTTGCCGTGGTAATAAAATATGCTCCTGTGAGAACGAACACACCTCCAATCCATCCAAGCGTTTGAAAGGCACTTGGAATAGATAACACACCTATTCCGACCATGTATCCGCACATTAACAAAGTTAACATCCACCAGCTCATCTTTCGAGGAGGTACATATTCCTTATCTGGATCATTTGGATCGAATGAGGACGAGCGACTTCGCCTACTGAGGTCAAACGACTCTTTCATGGCTTCTTCAAAACTTTTCTCAAACTCTGTCTCTCCTTCTTCCACAGGTTCTTCTGTAGCTACTTCCATAGGTTGAATTGGCTTCATATTCGCATCCTCTACGTGCAACTCTGCTGTTTTCTCTGTGGAAACCTTTTTCCAAGGTAGCTTCATTATCTTAACTATGCTTGATAACAATAAGAAGGTGACTAAATACAAACAAAAAGTCTACAATTGATTTTAGACAGTGACGCTTATTCTATTTATAGCCTATCGGTCTCATACTTCCAGCCAATCAGATAAAAATGTCTCGATGACTCTGCCTGATGATTGGATTTTCGAAAATTGGCCAGCCGTCCTTTTCAGCAGTTACCCAATGAAACTGAAAACAGTGGAAGCAAAGATTGATTTCGACAGCTGTCCAAAATAGTAATCCTGCGGATTTATGGATCGATTTTATGTTCGTTCACAACGATACAGAAACACTAATGTAATCACTCCAAAGTAACTGATAGAAGAGATAGAAATTCTTCTATTTCGCAACAGTGTATTAAGACATTGTATTTTTTGAGGAACTACAGAAGTTAATGAGAATATATAAGCTGTTCTATATTGATAGAAGAGGTATATGGTTTATCTCTAAGAACTATTATTGCAATTCTGTTTGTATAAGATTTTACTGTCTTTTTTGTGAAACGATGATTTGATATTACATTTGACAAGATATAGTAATGTCTCACTATCAGGACTTGACTAGGATTTAAGAGAGAAAAATCCAAACTTGCTATCAACAAAACAAGATTGGATATTCAGTCAGCTTGACTGTAAAATTTGTTCGTTTACTTGACCGTTGTTCTGTCTGTTTGTCTTATACCGCCTTTCATTCCCAGCTTGCTTTTAGAATATCCTGGATTTTTTACCTTTTGTTCTTTTACTAGAGCAGCGAACGAACAAGTCTTTACAGCAAACTTATTAGGTGCTCTCCTTTGAATGGCTCGGTGTTTGATATGGAACATGTTACTCTGTTTTCATAGGTCATCTTGAAAGGGAAAGTGTAGCCTTCCAAGGCATTGTTATAGTTGGAATTGACAGTGCCAAGTCAGGCTAGAAAGTTTGCTTCCGAATTCCGTTGAAGATAACGGTCTACCAAAATTTCCAAATTTGTGATTTTTCCATAAAACTTCTTACAGCAATGATTGCGGACGTTTCTTTGTTGCTGCAAGTCTTTTATTCGGTTTTTTACCATACCCGAAAACTTGCTTCGTACTCTGTTACTAAATCTTTCGTCACAGAGAGAACATTATTTCTGTTGGAGTAAGGTTAACCCTTACTAGTTAATTTTTCATCTTATTCTGATGAGGGAACCTTGAGAACAAGTTGACACGCTCATCTATTCTCAGAAATAGAAACTTGGAAATTATGAAAAACATCTGTATATACAATGTAACAGTTTTCCAAGTTTTCAAATTTTACAAAACGTCGAACTTTATTCATCTTTTTTTTGGAAAAAAATAGAAAAGTTTAAAGTCAGAGTTCAGCGTTGCTGCTGTAAGGTTCAGTAATAATGGAAGCATAAGAACACTCACTCCACTTACAACTACAGCGAGCCAACTTTCCACTGCGTTTCTACGAAGAATATCCGTAAATAACGCGAATTTCAAAGCCGCGGGTCATTGTTTCATTTTTCCTGATTGTTCCAGTAACAACGTTGCAACTAGAATCCGTTGAATGTATTGTTCTAGTATGCCCATTAGTTCTAGTGAGTTTCTTCGAATCAATTGAGGACTGTCTCCAAATATATAAGGAAATGTCGATGCATAACGTACTACAACTTCATCGGGTAACAAAGCAGACTTGGAAAAAAAACTCTTTCCAATCGATACTTGTTCTCTTCTTTCTGTAATTTCTTGCAATTGTGAAAAAGTCATATTCATCATTGGACGATTATCTCTTTCTTCTCCTGCTTCTGCTACGGAAACTTGTCGCGCATTTTGTCTTTCTTTTATCTCCTGATATTCCCTGCAACAAGCATGTAAATGCAGAACTCAAGAGAAAGAAATCAGAATCTGTTGAAGCGCTAGTGCCCTTTGCAAAAATCCTTTCGAATAGTTCACATGCCTTCGATCCAAGAAACTGTTTCAAAATAGACGTCGAACAAACAACCAATTGACAACGAGAAGGAATCGGTAACCATTCCCTAGCAGAGACACGTGAAGATTGAGAAGCACATGGTCTTAAATAAAGTTGTCCATTATCATCATCATCATCATCATGATACACTCCACTCTGTAATATCTAATACTTGTCATATCTAAAGTTTCTTAAAACTTGATTGGTATATTTCGTACTCACAATGAACTGAACGACAAAAATATAACTAGCTTCCAAAAAAAATGAATTTGTTATGATTCGAGAAATAGAAATTTTTCTGCTTCCGCTCGAATATCAGAACGTCCAAGTCCTTTTTCTTCTACTGTTAAAGTTGAAACACTTTAATGAGATTCCTATAAGCAGACGGTTTCTTTAAAAGTTAATGCAAAGAGTCTGTCACTTCCTCAAAACATGATACACTAGTCTTTGTAACATTTCTCAATACAAGAAGTATCAAGTCGAGTCTTCTTCATTGTTGTGATTGAGGAATGAAAATACCATCTTCATTGGATAAGGATACTTCGGAGTCGAAAGAAGAGACAAACTTTGGAAGAGGAATACTTCTTTCTGCTTAAATGTCGTTCGCACTTTCAAAAATATAGTCTTACACTTTCGTATTCTTGGATATGCTGAATTCTCCCAACTTGCAACAAAAACATAATCGAAGATATAATACCAAAGCAAATAGCACTTGGGGTTGTAAACATGCGTCGCAGGAACACAAAAGACAGAGTGTCAAATTGCAAAATAAATGACAAATAAAACGAATTATCGCGACCTGCGACAGGAATGTTCAAGGTATTTGAAAACAGGCTTTGGATAAATCAACTTGAAAGGGTCTGTATTCTCTTCATATATATAGGATAAAAACCAAACAGACTGACAATGTCCAGAGCGTATTCAGCGTATTCGCACGACTGCAAAAGACCAAAATATATTTCTCTGCAATGAAGAGGGATTCTTAGAACACTGACAAAAAGCAGTGTAGAGAACACAGCATATCCTTTAGGGTTCATTCTTTCGGCTGTCACAAAAAAGACTTTCAGTCACGGGAATGGTTTCCGTCTTCTTCCTTAGTTCTTCTTCTTATAAATCTCTCCATTGTGGATTAGATTGACACTATCTACTTATTCGGATAAGACATGAAAAACATATATAGGCACTCCACCTGTATGGTTATAAATTATAATGTCTAGGCATTGCATGTCTTGAGGACTTCTTGGAAATATGTTTTGCTTAACAAGTGTCCTCCTATTCAAAAATGCTATACTATAATGAAAAGCATTGACTGGAAATGGTTACAGTTTTAAAGGTCTCAATAACATTCGTGATGGCATATCATCTTCTTCTCTCAGCAAGATTGCGTCACATTCTCCTCCTACAAGACAGCACATATCAATATCATCAAGGAAAACCCTTCTATATTGAAAAAAAGTGCGATAAGCTGTAAAAATACTACCACTTTCAGGGAAATTTCCAAGTCGCTATATTAAAAATGCTTTGGCTCACTCAAATAACCAACTTCATCCATCAACAAAAATAAATATTTTTGTTGGTGACCTGCAATAGCTTATTTATGCAGCCGGCCCACAGAAATAAGAGGAAACACTTTCGACAGCAATTCCCAAGAGTTTAAAAACTTGGATTAGACAACTTTGTAAATGAATTCAAGCAAAGCCTGTGCATAAAGATGTCCTTCCAAAGGCAGATTAGAAAGGTTTACATAAACATCAAAGACTCATTGTAAATGACATTCAATTCTTCCTCCGTAGTAGTACAGCCAAGGCAATGCCAGTTTTTGCAACTTGTAGAAATATACTCCTTCTTTAGCATAAGAAAATCTTGGAATCTCACACCCACAAAGTTGTCTTCCACGAGCCAAACAAATGGCCAGAGAAGCAAACTATGAAACTGAGTGGAATATCTTTCGTACGGTTACTCCCATAATATGATTCGGAAAAGGCAAGTAAACCTGATAAACGGCCTCCTGAAGATTGACTAAAGGGGTGCATATGCCGCATGTCTTACAATAAGGCGTGAAGAGAACTCATCACAGAACTCACACTCTGCTGAGAAGCTTCAATATCCAACTCTTCAACTGTGTCCCTAACTATAGAAAGGAGTTTGTAGGAACCGAATACAATCGTTTATCGTTCTTACCAGACAGCCGCTGTATCTTCAGAATCTCTTTCAAACTTTTTTTGGCTTCTTTCGCTTTCTCGACGCTCTCCTTTTCCTTGTCACTCCACTCCTGACAGCAAAAAACACGTTGAACCTATTTGTATCTGCTGCTTCCGACAATCAGAAGAGCTTGTTGCTTGACGTCGTCAACCAATCCGCATTTTGAATGGGTTGTTGACAAAAACGTGATTGACTTGGTTTACGCTCCTACAGTTTCTGTGGTTACTAAACAAAGTAAAAAAGACTCCTCTGCTTTATAATTACCCTAAGTTTTACTACAATGGAATAAGGGCTTGTTTCTCGTTTGCCTTGGGTGACTATTTTCCGGAAAGTTAGTTTACAAAACCCAACATAACTGAGCACAATAACATTACCCCCAAAAATGAAAGGATGAATTGGCCGACTTTGTCAATCGAATGCGTGACCAACTTCATCATCCAAAAACTGCCGATAAGCTGGAATTGTTTCACTTAACGTATAGTGCTGTGCGTTTTCATAAACAATACTTGTGTTCGTTCCGTCTAAACATTATGTAACTTGTCAGTTGCATATCTATTGCATTCAATCAGAGATTAATTTGAATGTAGTAAAAGAATGTCATCTCCACCATAAAAAGATCCAATTGAAATATTTAGATATAAATGACGCAATATTTCCTTCTTCAACAGTTTCTCTAGTTGATGACTAAGTTCTCACAATGTTAATACATGAATAAAGGCAATATCCGGTAGTCGAAGAGAATATCCCTTGACGCCTCAGCGACACGTCTCTACAGGTCATATGGAGTTTGCTTGAAAAGTCAAGACTAGTATGATTTACCTAGATAACAATGAAAGATCAAATGACAACAAATTTCATTTGATGGGATCTACTCGCGTCTTGTATGCTGTACTTGATAACATTTGACCAGATAACCATATAAACTTCTGAAATAACAAAACTTTTTCAAATATTCTGTGCTTTCTAAGGGGGTATTTCCATTTTTATAGGAAGATTCATTATTATTATTATTATTATTATTATTATCATTATCATTAATCTTTCAAAATGTTGTTCTAGTTGAATTCATAACAGCGCAAACTCAGTTTTAAAAAGTCCTTCCATGGTATATATACAGGTTTTGAAACTTTGGAAATGTGATTGTTTTCAAAAGAGTTCATGTGCTATATCAAAACGATTACAAATGTTTGGTTGGTCCAAAATTTTTTATTTGCTTTACCGAGTGCTTTGTTATTCGGTCCTTTACTACGGAGAAAATACTTTTTCTAAACTATAACATGGAAGAAGGTTGATGGGATGTAATTTTCTCAACTTTCCTAATTAGATATATTCTTCAGCCTTCATTTGATGATGAGACCTTGAGAACAACAAGTTGAAATGTATGTATCGTGAAAATAATAAACTTGGAATTGCAGAGACCCTTTCAAATAAAACGTAATGTCATAGTCTTTCTGGCGACAGGTAGAAAAAGATTAAAGACAAACATGAATAGATGTAGCAACAAGTTGCCAAGTTTTGAAATTGTGCAAGGTCCAATCTATTTCGTCGTTTTCAATGGAAATGAATGTTAAAATCAGAGCTCAGCTTTGTTGTTATAAGTTTCATTTATGCATTATACAGCACGTAACAATGGAATATGTCATCCAAATCGTGCAATTGTAGTCAGAGGAATAAATTTGCTCAAGTTTGATATAGTTTTTGACAGTGTCTTATAAAACAGCCCCCGATTTCTGACGACTTTTGAAAGTGTCTATCTTTGGAAAAATTCTCAGATATTAAAACAAGATATTCTTTAATATTTTTGGAAAGAGATAAAACTATTTCTTGTAGTGTTGAAATGCCAATATTTCTCGAATGTGGATTATCCACAGATTTGAAAGCGTTCCTTAAATTTGATAAAATGTCTTTGCCAATAAAGTTTTCTACATCAGCTTCAGAAAGAATAACCAATTCACAGTTGTGAGGAATCAAGAATTCTCCAACACTATCGCCAAATGAATAACAACGACTAGAATGATTCAAGTCCTCAGATACATTTGTAGCCAACTTGGTACTCATAATAATCAACATACAATGCCATGTAGGATGACTAGTCAATACTTGATCATGCACTGGTTTTAAAAACTTGTGAGCTTCTTCCAAAATTTCATTCCATCGAATACCATTACGACTCCATCGGCCTTTACAAGCAATACCCACAATCATCAAGTTCTTCTCATTCGTTCTTCCATGCAACTTGAATAGTATATCTGGACTATGGGATGTTGAATGAAATGGAATATATATCTTTTCAAATTCTAACATTTCTTTCATTATCCTTTCCCACTTCATCTTGCTTCCAAATGTCATTCTCTCTGTTCCTGATACAGTTCTGGTATAATGTATAGATTTCATATAATAAGCAGCAGATTCGGAAGAAAATTGTAAATTCATTTCATTCCAAACACGAGATAATTGACCAAGAGTAGAAAACATTGAGCTGTTTGTAGGATGCCGGGAAAAATGTAAATAAAACAGTGTAGCAATAAGACCTTCCAAAATTCGACATTTCGACTCATAAAAGAATTCCATAGATTGAGACTTGAGAGTTTGTAAAAGTAACCATTCTAAACGATCATCCTTTAAGCCTTGGTCAATATATTCAATCAGTAACTTGGGAATCAACACTTCATAGCGTTCGTTGCGGTCTGGTTCTATAACCAATCGACGATAGAGACACATATCTGTAACTAGATCAAACAAAAACACATCAGAATTTGAGCTTATTTGCACAGTTTCATCAAAATCAAATCGAATACGATACAAAGATAATAACGTAAGCATTCTTAACAAGCGCTTACGCTGCTCACTGAGACTTATCAGACGAGGTAAGAATGTCGCAACACAATAATTTGTTACTAGAAAGCTATTCATTATGATCAAGAAGGTTTCCTTTGATAATAAGAAATTGTTGTTGGATGATTTATACAGCAAAAGGTAACTGATTGCTCGAACAAGTAAACCAGGAACACCACCAGTCAATTCCAACAACAATTCTGCAAGTTCACTAGTTGAGAAGTCTTTGTGACAAAGAATTTCTGAAACCTTTGGGCTCCTAGTGAATAAAAAGGAAGAACTTTTCTCCAAATGTTCCACGATACTATGTTTCTCAAGCGGCGAAAGAGGAATAAATACTAACTGAACCCTTGAGACTGAAGCTACGTAATTGTATATATTTAAGCCTTCACTTTTCCCAACAACTATAAAAAACAAGTCGGGTTCTTCGCACAATTGACTAATGATACCGAAAAAGTCGTTGTATGGTCGAACTCTGCCGTCATGGGTTCTCTTGAAATGAAATTCGTCGAGACTTTCGTCTAGGACACCAACTTCATCAAATGCTATCAGAAGATATTGATCAGAAGGAATCCTTAGTATATCTCGTAAGAGTGGAACTAAGTTGGAAGGTTCCATATCCACCTTTTCGAAGGCTTCTTTCTTTGACAATATTTCAGCGCCAACTTGAGAGTGGGCAGCCTTTATTAACAAATAGTAGACTGCCCACTTTAGGTTTCGTAAAAACTCTTTGGGGTCTGTGGGCTTCAACTGCCTTAAATCGGCGTACAGCACTGAAGCCCTTTTTAATTTCTCCAAGAAACCTCTTCGGTTGGCCTTCTCAGACTCACAAACGTAATCGAGACCTATCAGTGCACTTTCACCCATATTATTCACCAGTTCCAAGTAACTTTGTATGAATTTTGTCTTTCCACTTCCGAAGAGGTGGGGACCAAAGGGTATGACTGGTTTGAAAGGGGGACCAAGTTTACGTAGAGTGTATAGCTGAAATAACTGCAGTGTTACTACACGAACATCATTTTCTCGGTGTACTACAACCATGTCATATACGGTTTCTGGTTCAAATTCACTAGACATATCGTAAGCTGTGAAGTAAACTATGCGACAGAAAAATACAACAATGATCGATCTTCTTCAATTGTTTCCAATGCTCAAACTCATGATTGAGACGAAAATCGTTGGAGGCTTTGAACAAATATGCAGCACAACTACATATATATCAATTATCATTTTTCATTTCCTTGTAATAAAGAGTGGATATTGGTTTCTGTGCAATTGTATATAAAGACAACTTCTCTGAGCTATTAGAAAATAACCAGCTGAGGAACTTTCAACTTAAGGCGAACCATAAATAAAGTCTTTGACGAATACAATACCTTGTACAAAACCCATTTATCAACACTTTGGGACACTCTCCTGAGTAGTAACAAGAAGCAAATATGACCTGTCAAACTGTGACAGTGACTTTTGCAACGATAGTCATATTTTGATTTTCGTGGTTAGTACCATATTAAGACAATACTCCTCAGAGTAAAAACAAGTAAGATGTGACCGAGTTTCAAACATACAAAAAAAGTTTACTTGCTCTTAAAAACAAATCACAAAGGGAAGGATTGAGTTAGAATCTATTGCCAACTTAAGAAACTGTTACGGATTCTATCAAGTAAATCTAATCCAAAATCCCAAAAAGTAGGATTATGGGAAACATGAAATGCTCTTTCAAGTCCATTCAATATTTCTTCGTCAATCAGCATTTCCATATCTCTTTCACAAAGAATAACAAGTTCACAATTATCAGGTACTTTGAAAGAATCACCTCTAATAAACATTCCATTGGAATAACAACGACTCTGATTACCCAACTCATTAGAAACATTCAATGATAACTTTGTACTAACGATAATAAGCATACAATGATGATAATCCATTGCACTGGATAAGACTTGATCATAAACAGGATCTAAAAATTTCTTGGCTTCATCTATAATATCTGACCAGCCAATTCCTTCCGACTTCCAACGTCCTTTACATGCAACTCCAACAGTAAGAACTTTGGGTTCCACAGGAGATTGTAATTTGAATATAATATCAGGACTATGAGAAGTAGCGTCCAAAGGAATGTAAATAGTCTCTAAATAAAGTGTTTCTCGAATAATCTTATTCCATTCGGTATTGGCAAAAGTTCTTCGACTCTTGTTCGATTCACTTCTTGTTTCTCTAGAACTAACAACAGACTTGATATAGTGAATAGGTGATATTGTACTGATTGGAAGTTTCATTTGTTTCCATATTGGAGACAATTGACCCAACAATTCCCTCAACTCATTTCTATTCTTTGAAGGCAACATCAAAACTAGTCGTAAAGCAACAATTCCTTCAAATACACGACACTTTGAATAGAAGAAACAATCTACTGGTTCTACATCAAGTGATCCAAGAAGTATCTTTTCCAAAGAAGATATGGAAGGGTCGTTCTTGAAGATTCCAACAAATACTTTTGGAATCAGGACTTGAAAAGTATTCTGGTCAATAGGATATCGATATAGTCCCATTTCAGTGACTGCATCATGTAGATAGGACTCCGAGGTCAATCTGTCGTCTACTTTAGACGGTATACGATAAAGTGCCATCATCAAAAGTATATCAAAAACACTTTTTCTATCTTCGTCCAAATTCAATATTCGTTCCACAAATGGTTCAGCACAAATTCTTCGGAAATTGTCGTCGTTCATGCATGTCAAACATTCTTCTTTCGATATGAAAGGCTGGTTTCTTGCTATTATATAATTCAAAAGCATATTTACTGCACGAGTCAACAAACCAGGAACTCCACCTGTACATTCCAATAATGAATCTGCCAATTCATTTACTGAAAATGAAGAACTACATAAGACATTACAAACTGGTTCTTGAGTAGGTGTCTTTAGAAGACTCTTTTCAAGGAATTCAACGATACTGGAAGCGTCCAAAGGTGATAAAGGGATAAAATGTAGTATAACTCTTGATAGCCCAAAAGCCACATCATTCTTAATACTTAAACCCTTGCTTTTCCCAACAACTATAAAAAACAAGTCGGGTTCTTTGCACAATTGACTAATGATACCGAAAAAGTCGTTGTAAGGTCGAACCACACCTTTGTCATTCTTCTCCAGTTCAAACAAAGTTGCCTTTGTATCAAACACACCAACTTCGTCAATTGCTATCAGAAGATATTGATCGGAAGGAATGCCCAAAGTCTTCTGTAGCTCTGGAATTAGAAAGCTTGGATAGGGAGGAATGTGTCTGTAGGCTTCATCAGGCTTCATAAACGGTAGACCCATCTGATTACAAGCTGATCGGTACAATAAATAGTAGACTGCCCACTTTAGGTTTCGAAAAAACTCTATGGGGACTGTGGGCTTCAACTCCTTTAAATCCGCATAAAGCAATGAAGTCCTTTTCAGCTTCTCCAAAAAGGTTCTGCTCGAAGGGTCTGAAGCAAACGTCGACAGGGAAGTTTCACCAACCCTTTGCACCAACTCCAAATAGGTTCGGGCAAAGGTCGTTTTGCCCGAGCCAAAGAGATGGGGGGCAAATGGTATGGTCAAGCGATAGTTGCAACTGCTTGTTACACCCCTGAGTTGTTTTCTGCTTTTATGAAGATCATACAGTTCTTTTGTCACTCGAACAACATCTCTTTCACGATCTACCACAATAGGCTCAAAGTTGTCCACAGCTTTCCACTTTTCATCCAAACTCGCCATCGCCAAAGAGAAATTAAACAATCTTCTGTTTATTTCGGAGTACAAAATATAAATAAATGAACGATTGACTGTTTGTTTGTCGGTCACAATAACAAGGAGGATAGTAGTAAAGGTTACCAATCCAACTTCTTCTCTTTATCAACTGATGACTATGTCATACCTTTTATGGCTTGGACTGAGATGATTTGAACTATGGAAGAACGATCAATATGGCTTTTTCCGCTATCGATATTTTTATTCTCGTATGCTAATATAATGGTAACTCTCATAGGGTACAAGAAGGATTGGAAGGAAGCCAATGTTTATTTCACAAGTTTTTTATGCTCTTTGAGAGTATAAAGCTATTGAACATGGCCCATTCTCACATAGATAAGAAAGTTTCTTTCAGAATTTTCGAGAGTAGTCATGAGAGTTCCGAGTGATATAGATTGTTCATGAAGAATTTGTTCCATAGACGTCTCTTTAGATTTTCTGTATTTTATGGAATAGTTTTTTCGTCACTTTTGGTTCATTTCGAAACACGGAAGTAGAGTATGGACCAAGTCATTCTCTTGTGTAGTCTATTCAAAAGCTCCAGTTGAAATATATTATTTAGTAGAAATGCAGAAACCCGCAAGCACAGCACTGCTTTATTTTCAGCAATCATCAAATTCCTTTCTTACGATATCATGACAAGTAGCAGTTTATGCCTAAAGCTACAAAAGTTGATGATAGCAATAGACAAACCAAAACAAATGTGCTAAGAAGGATCCAAAATATCGCGTGGTTTTATCAAATCTCAGAAACAACATTGACTCACACAAGTGTATCATCAATACTCAATTTCTGTAAGAGTCAATAACTCCTGTCTCTTTCTCCTCTGAAAATAGTGGCATTTGATACTGTGGATTCTGTTAAGAGGAGAAAAGATATTTTTCAAGAAATTCAATTCAGTCGAATTGAGTCTATTCTAGCGACTCTCTTCTCGTATCTTGTCATTGCATAGCATTTGAATCATAGTTGAATTCTTTCTCCTCAGTAGTCGACTATACATTTGAGGTGTTTTTGAAGGTAAACATGACTGTTTAGGTTTAAATTCTTTTGTTGCATCCTCTTGTACGATAAACTTTGTAAAAACTACAACTTTTAAAGATATACAAGAAAGCAAACTATAGAAAGTACAAAGCTGCTTTAGGAACTATATAACTCCAAGAGAGCTATTATCTCTTCCAATATAAAAAAAAGTAAAACTTTTAAAAGCTCTGCAAATTCAAAGAACGATTTGTCCAGTTGAGTCCTACTCTTCTTCCAATCTCAACCATCAGCTCGTTGAATAAGTGAGTCACTATACAAAAGTTCCTTGCGTTAGGCACTTGGAAGAAGACTTTTGCGAAGTATAACTTGATGGGTACACTAGTAGAGGCTTCCTTTTGGATATTTGTGACAAGAACGTTTCGTATAAAAAACGGGTCTATCAATAGAAGGAATGTTCATTTCTACTAGGGACAAGTAAAACTTGAAAAAGCAGCGAAACGCTTTTTTATCCAAGTTGCTCTAAAAAGAATAAAAATGTCGTCAACTCGCAAACAATATTCAGCAGAATAAGATAAAACAATTTATCTGATTCCTTTGCAGAGTCAATCTCAAATGATATTTTGGTTGTTATCTAAACTGGTAAAGGTCTTGTTCTTTTCAATATATTGGATCAATTTCGTGTCCTAGTGAAAAGAAAAGAATATAAACGTAGAAATAATGGAAAAATAAGAATCTTTCATCTCCTCTTGGCAAAGTAATAAAGGAAGGTGAATCTTGAAATATATGTGCAAGGAGAAGTAAAAGCATCACCACTTTTACTCTTATAACAGTCAAAACTCTCTACAAGTTGTTTATGAAGAGAACAAAGCGAGACCCTTGTAACTTTTGAGGTTCGATCCTCCTTGTCGTAAGTAGTTTATGTATTTGTATTTAGACAAAAGAATTCAAACCTTTGGTCAGTTTTTTGTTGTAGCCTTGTCCTCTCTATACTTTCCAACTCTAGGGTTGAGTATATAATTATTTCTTCTTTGCAGTTCACAGTGGCATAAAGACTATTCCTTGAGCCTATTTTGCACAGAAAGAAAGGCTATAGTTCTTACACAGAAAGCCAACAGAATTATTTCCACTGAAACTGGAAAACGACCTTTTTACACTTTGTGAAGCAGTTTTCCAAGGTTTTTGAGAGGCTAACAAAGGAAGATTCTGAGATCGAGTCGAAATAGGGTCACAGAAAGTCTGAAATTCACCTTACAAATAAGTTTTGTCAAACTCAACTCTTTGAAAAGGTACAGTGTCGATAGTTAGTTGAACAGGAACTTTGTTACAACACTATTTTTCTCCTTTCACAACATTACTATGCTGTGAGATTAGTTGTATCTAGCACATTTATTATTAAAGCAGCTTTTTCCAAGTCTCCAAGTAAAATATTTTCTTTCATAAAACTCACTACAAGATACTACACCTCCAGTAGAAATGAGACAATACATAGCAATTCTTCTCATCATAGTCCAATTGGAAATTACACAATAGTTTAAAAGGGGCCAGTGTTGTTAAGGCTTTGAACTTGGTTAGGTTTACTTCTGAAACTTTTCCGACTTTAATTTCCAACTCATTTGTTGTTTTAGTTGGACAAGTGGATTTCTATTATCTACGTTTCTTTTTTAAGCCTTGCAGTTCATTCCTTTATAAAAATCCATCGAGTCGTCTTGAGCTCTGAGTTCCGGATAGACTGTAGTATCTTTTTGATATGTACAACGTTGACTATCTATTTGACTTTTACATAGTTTATGCAAGACTTGTTGTTGTTTCACTTCTGGTCTTGTATGGAAATCTGTGAGCTGTATTGTCAAGAAAAGAGCAAAGACAAAGGAGTTTAAGCTGTTGTTGAGTTTCACTCCATTACCCAATTAGTTGTCTCGCAAGTTTATTTAGATTTAGTTTTTACTGATAATTGTTGCAGAGCATTTTTTTGTATTTATTAGTAGTTGACAGTCTAGTCTTGTAGTCGATTGTTGAAAATCAGTCTTGGTTTCATATTTCAAAGATGTTTTTCCAAGAAACCAGTTAGACACTTAGTTGAGTGTTTTGGTCAGTATAAAGAGTTACTTTCTTTATGATAGTTTTTGTCTTTTATGTGCCTTCTTTCAAGATGGAGAATTTGGTCTGTAACTCTGCGACAGGTTTTTTAGTGTGTATGAACGATATTCGCAGTCTTTGTAAAATTCATTCGTTTTCCAGAATAGCATAGGAAAGTCTTGAGTCCATCATTGCATATTTTTAATGGTTGTTTGTATTGTCGAGCGTTTATATCAATTCTCTATTGATTCGAATATGTCTTTTGAAATATTATGAATGTGGGGCTTTAGATAACGAAAGCTGAATAGAATTGTATTCTGAAAGCAAGGGAAAAGTTTTCAGTTCAAAGTATGCTCACCTTGTTGGGAACCATGAAATAAAGCAAGCAAAAGGACGCTGTTGAAAATCTTGGTTGTTTTCACCTGGGTAAAATGTTTTGACGATGGCGATTGTAGCTATTAGTCCGTTTTGAGAGACGCCTTTGTTTTTTTGAATTACTTGGTTTTCCGAGGGTGAAATATGTTTAAAAGGATATGTGAGTCGTAAGAGTGATAGTGTTGGAGCTAGTATTGTTGGTGTTTTTGAAAGGCATCTATTGCAAATCGTCTTTGGTCCTTAGTATAGTTGGAGAGGAGGGTAACAGTAGTAGTACGGTGTGAATGGGAAACAAGGCGACTTGTGTATAACAGTATTTGCCTTGTCAAGAGTGCTGCTGATCTGCTTTTCTTTTCTACACACTGAAGGTCGTTCTGTTGAAAATAGTGGTAGTTGTAGCTGTCAAAAAGTGAAAAGGAGACTTCACATTTTGTGCAAACAGGTTGCGTTTGGATAGTATACAAAGTAGCTCTGAAAGAAACTCACGAAGGATTGGTTGAACTTCTACAATGTTACACCAGTGCACACATTGATGTCATCGTGTCCGACTAGAGTTTTTGGTTTGACTCTGAAGATAAAGTCCTGGTAGATAATTCCTAGAAAGCATACGCAGACGAACAAAGTGGTTTGCAAATACATTGGCACGAACCATAAAGCATTTTTCTATTATTGCAGCAAAATCAAACCGTTCGTTACTACTTGAAATTCAACCAGAACATGAACAACAACAAATATGAGCTCGAGGCTGGTACAGTATGGCATAGTCATCAAGTCTACAAAGAGAATGATTCCTGCTTGTATCTTTTACTTTTTTTCTTCGTTGTTGGCTTGACTGGAAAATTGCAATTGTTTTATTTACTTGGAATTGTAAGCAGACAACAAGAACGACAACAACAAGACAAAGTTATAGTGTATTGGTTAGTGGTACATGGAATATTAATAATAGTTTTTGTGATAAAAGTACGAATTTGACCTATTTTTTACCATACAGGAAAATTGTGTTGTTGACTTTATAAAAGAAAAAGGCATTGTTTGCACATTTACGACTATTCCTGTACCTTACTATTAGTAGGACTACATACGGTTCTGATTTTGAACAACAAATAGAGTATCGAGTTGCTTTACTGGTCGATTTTCGATTTTTCTTGTATCTGTTTGATACTAATCTTTATCTTTTGATTCTTGAAACGAACTTGTTTGTTATCTTATGATAGTATGATGAAGAACTAGTCGTCATTTCTTTTCCGAAAACGTCGACGTACAACCTTTCAGAAGCTTTTTTCATTGGAAATCCCGAACACAAAGAATCTCTTTGTCCCGTGATAGTTGTGTTGCATTTGTAGAGATGTGTAACTCCAAGTGATCAATTCGAGACAATCTAGTCAATTGAATCAATTAATCTTTGACAAGTGAACTTGCAGTATCATGAAAGTGTACAACATATTGTCTTATGTGATCTTGAATCTACTACTGATTTATCTTGATACATTGTAATGTTCTTATGTCGAAACTAAACCTTTTGACTATTTATGCTTCAGAACAATTCCATCTTACTTGTTTTTACCCTAAGACCAGCTTCATATGAAGTTAGTCATCTAGTCGATAAAGATAAGATAATATCTCTATTTCGTTTTTTCTCTTCTTTATCGGAGTAATTGTAGAATGGTGAAGATCTTGTTTTTTAGAGTTGTAATGTGTTCGAAATACAGTTGAATGCTCATTGTACAAGAAAAGGAATGAAGATGATAGAAATTAGTATTCGAAGACTGCGGGATGATGTAAATTCAAAGAAAGAATCAACTAGATTGCAGTCAAAGTTCTGTACAAGCTATCTATTGGGATTAGAAATTGAAGTTGTCCTAGTACGACCTACTGGTTGTTTTCCCTTATTCTTATGAATTGTTATAAAGGACAAAAATTTATGTTTTACATAGTATATACTTTTCAGTGAAAGAATAAAGAAAGGTCAGTTGAAAGAAATTCAAGGAAAAGAAGTAAATCAATACTTCCCTGGCTTCACAGGGTTAAAATATCAGACCTATGTTTTATAGATTTTGAGGTTGATCCTCACAAAAAGCAGAATCAATTCTGTGATTTTTACACAAGTAGCAGCAAAACACAAACTAATAGCTATGTTCTAATTTCAGGATCCTTTCGTATATCCTTTGATGCTTGAACCTTTTCGCAACCTTTGGTGGTTTTCATCCACCTCTTTATCTTGAACTATTACCACAATTGATTCAAGTGATAAATAACAATGTATTTACGCCTTATCAATACCTTGTTTCTATTGATGAGTTGAATTTGAATCTTATTTTAGTGTGATGTATGAATCTATTCTGGTTACAGCTGTATTGAAGGAAGTAATAATCACTTGCTTTAGAGTACTACTCTGAATCTTACCACTTCTAGTTAAATCTCAACGGGATATGGCACAATTATTCTATTAGATACGTAAGAAAAGGTCTTCTCAACGTATCTAGAAACTGTTTACTGTTTTTTATTACTTGAATTGTATACTGAATTCAATGATTTACTGTTCATTGGAAAGAAAGTAATATATTTCTTGGTATTGCTCATTTAAGATGGCTTTTTGTGTTGGAGTTGGTCATTTGTTGATTACTGGTCGAATATCTCATCAAGACGAAATTCTGTTTCATAAGCTAGTGAAATGTCCTCTATGGTTGGTTCAACTTTTGAATTCTTAGAGATTATACTGAATTTATCGAACGAGTTTGTTCTTATCCCTCGAAAAACGATTTTCCATATAGTATTAATAGTAGTCTTATTACTAGGGATACAGAGGACTAGGGAGATGAAGACTTGGTTTGAGAAAAACTTGGTAGTGTTTGAGTGTCCAGTTATTCCTCCGCGATACTTGCACTCTATTTGCGATACTGGATACATTTTCGTTGATCATTTCATCCTAGATAGTTTCGTGAATCTACTCAAGCGATGAATTGTATTGTATCTTTGCATTGCTACGAATGTGATACTACCAGTTTATATATTTTGATATTAACTAGTTGTTTGTTCAGATATAAATATGTCAAACTGTATTTGATTCAATTCATAACTACTTGTTTTGAAGTACCTTCAGTTATATAATTTCGTTCCAACCATGCATTACTGAGTAAGGTATAGTCATTTGGCAGACAAGAATCAGGAATCAGATGTCAGTTTATTTCAAGTATTCGCATCTAAATGCGTTGATTGTTAGAAACGTTTAAAGTTGGCTATTGAAATATAGCCTTAGTAATGAATGGAGTCAATGTGTTAGGCAAGATAACGGCACAAGTCGATGCACAAAAAGTTGAATCAACGTTTCCATTCAAAATCAATTGTTTGATAGTAAGACTAATATACGTTGTTATTTTTTAGGGTTATCTAAGAGAGAGTTGGTTGAATTGTCATTATGTGGACATTGGGTTATCCAATAGAATTTCTCTTAGATAGTGTTTGTATAAGATGGCTCCTTTAAGATAGAATTGATACTTTACTGACTAGTAGCTGTCAAGTTGATAAAGACTTTGTACCTTTGCACTTGAAATCTTGCTGTTGTATGTACAGAGTCTTTATATTCGAAGCAGTGTTCTATGTGGTCTTTAGGTTCCCTGTATGCTTGATCCAAAGTCGAATTGTTGAAGATTATCTCGATTTGCCTAAAGTATTCTAGTCCTTACTCTAAAAGGATGATTTGCAGACTATTATTTGGGTTACTTAGAATCAAGTTGAAGATCAATTTATTCGAGAATCACTGGGTAAGAATCCGAATTGCAGCAAAGCATCAATTTTTCCCTTGATATTTGTATGCTGTTTGCACTACTGGACAGGTGGTCGACCATAATTCAATTTTGGTACATTTGTGGATTGAATTTCATATTGAATGACAATGTATTTCTAGAATATTGAGAACATGTTACTATGGATGAGCATAAATCAATCAGCTTCTACTATTCTTGTATTTGTACGGAATTCAATTGGGCTTTGTTTGAATTCACTGATTCCTATGAGTATTGGTGTAGCGCGTTCTCGTTTTACTGCGTTGGCACCAAGTTCAACTTGCGTCATAGAATCATTACTTTTTGGATAAAGTTATTGTGCTAAAAGTCTATTGTTTGTTTCTATTGACTGGTCGGAGAGTAGTCATCATCTTGTTATCTTATGTTTTCAAGAAAGTTGCAATTACTGAACACTAAAAACTGAACTTTCATTGTACTAAAGTATGACAGCGATAAGCTATGTTATTCATAGAGTACAGAATCATTTGATTTAGAACAAGATTCAACTAGATTGTAGACGATTGGTCACAAACGAGCCGCAAAAAGAAGCAATGTAACCTTGCTGATACAAGCTATTGAATTTCTTGTCATGTTGAAATGTTTTTTGTGCAAGATGAAGAAAATGATTCCTTTCACTTCAACTTTTATGTAACTCGCTGAACAAAAGAATACAACAATTTGCTTTGGAAGAAAATGTATGATGAAAGATATAAGGTGAAAAAAGAAAGAAATGGCTTTCTAGTTCAATAGACTACAGAAATAGTATTATGAGCCAAAAGTCTTGACTTTGATTCTCACCAGAAACATCAACGATATACAATCTTACTTGCAGAATCGTTATTTGTATCTCTGTAGATATTATGCTTTATATAGCTGTAACTTTCTTTACTAGTTTGGAAAGTTTATACAACAACATTTATAGGAAGAACAATATCAAGTTTATGATTCAACTTGATCTCGATACTATTATTCCATGAAGAAGGATATCACTCCTCATCATACTCGACGAATGGTTTTAGATTCAAACTAATCAATCTTATGTCAATCAACAACTTGACCGGAAAAAAGTTGCTTGAATTTATTTCATTGCAAAAATCATTGAGGTCTTGGTATGAACTGTTAGAAATGATTATAAAAGCAGAATTTACTGTTTGATTTGCACATTTGACGACAACAATAACAGCAACTCTTAGAAGAGATAGGACAACACTTCTCACTACAGCATTATTCTCGAAGAGTCATAAACATAGTATTTCATCTATAGTTCGTCATTTATTTAGAATTATGGTTGGTGTTTTACGACCACTCTCTTCCCTATATTGTAAATTCAATACATCCCTCAATTGTGGAACTGATATATTTTTCTATCTAATCGACAAGACTAGAGACAAAAGGGGTATGAGCTAGTGTCCAGGAATCAGTTTGAATTCAACTGATTTCAAGATCATAGTTTTGGCTATGTTGAACCGAGTTTAAACTGTATTGAGTGGAAAATAAGTGATTTTGCTAAATAGAGCTAATCAGCTATCAAACTAGTGAGTAGTTCAAGTGCTTTGCTTGATAGAGTCAGATCGATGTCGTTGAATTGAGAATAGTTTATGGTTTCTTTAAGCACCTTTCATTCTCTTGTTCACTACGCCTTATCTATAGAATCACACGAGTTGGTCATAAAGAGAGTACCTTTGGTATTTATCATATCAGTTATGCCTAGTTACAAGCTCAATTTGGAGTTGTCCAGAGAGGGACTTCAATCTATCTTGGCCACTTTTGTATTGAACTCGGTGTCAAATAGAATGACTTGACCTTGTTCATTTGAATTCATATTCTTGTTATGAATACTGTATTTGAGGAGTACCTATTATATGCTATTTGAATTTACTCTTAACTTTTTTTTTCACTGTTTATTATACAGCTCATCATGTAACTTGTTTTCTTAAAGTCTTTGTATCTTTGAGACTATCAAGTTTTATGGTTATGACTTGTATAGTTTTGATAGAATTCACTTGACTCTAATCTGTTCCATCAAAGATTGGTTTGATAGTGGGACATGCATAATGTCGCAGTTAACTACAGAATCATAGGCCTATGAGACAATTCAACTGAATTGAAAGGAACTGTATGCTCGGCAACTTTAGAGATCATTCCTATTTTAAATAGAAGAACGCGAACATTCGGTTTTATGTTGTTTGAAAGATTTGAACCGACATGATAACTTGAAAAGATTGACGAAGAAGTACTTTGATCATAACCTTAGATCGGTAGTACTTCAAGTCTTGCTGAGATACATGGTTATGTTCGTTTACTTTCTATGGTGAAAAAAGTTGTCTCTTATCTTTGTTATACTAAGCTATTACAAATTCGAGTTGATCATCTGATACAGTTCAGTAGGTCATTGTCATTTGCACAACAGACTCTTTGTTGTCTTTATGGATGAAGAATTGAGTTTGGCTTGTGTTGATTCATTGATTGATTGCTTTGTGTCATACTGGCCTATTTGTTTATCAACTGACAAATAATCGCACTTGGATTAGTAAAATAGATTGATTCCAGTATTTGAGGAATAGTAGTAAAATAACTCTATTAAAAAAGGTGACTCAAGAATTCACTTTAGACAGATTGTTGTTTTGCGGGTCAAAAGCAAGTTGTAACCATAGAAAAAGATTTATACAAGGTAAGTGACATAAATAGGAGTAGTTTCGTTGTGCATTTTCAAGCTGAATACGGACTGGATTGGATACTGCTAACAGAATGAAATGAATTGTTTGAACCACACTGGGTTGTCCGTCTATTATGAGTTCTTTAGCTCATCAAGATCTTTTATCGTGACACTCGAAACCTCTCTGTCCCGTAAGAAGAGTCGTTATACCCTAGACTTTGGTTCATATAGGGCTTATATATCCTTGATAGTCTATTTAATATCGATTGCTTCACGATTGTATGGATTTATTGGAAGAATTTACTCAAGTAGACTTGGCAGAAGAAATACCAACGAGTATTAATATTCTTTCATCTAAATACACAGAGGACAATCTAGTTGATAGTTTTCTTGACAAGAATCATAACGAGAGAAAATCCCCACATTCTTTCCTGATAGCTGCAAATCACTTTCAAATTCTGAACAGATCGTTGACCGAACTCGTTTGAATCCATTGTTTCCAGAATTGACCCAATGTTGAATCATATTGGTATACTGTAAAATGAAGATTTTGTTGTTTCCATTGGGTCTGATTTTGCATAGTATGTTGAGCACCAATATGCACAGTCTTTACTGATTTTTTCTGCTAATGGGAAAGATGGGCAATTTGGAAAGAGTGGCCTATTGTAAATGGGCCCGCGCAATTTTGATTTGAAAATTGCCATTATGGGTGTTGGGAAGAATGGGTCCATTTGGAAATGGGAGAGAGTGGGGAAATTGCCAAGGGGAAAATGGGTGGGGAAAGGGGGCAATTTGGGGCCACCCTAAGGTGATCGTGATTTGAAATTGCCATTGTGGTGGGCTGGGGAAGAATGGGTCCATTTGAGGAGATGGGAGAGAATGGGGAAATTGCGATGGGGGAAAATGGGTGGGAAAAGGGGGTGAAAAAATTGGAGAAGAGAGGGGCCAACCCAAAGGTGATTGTGTTGATTTGAAAATTGCCATTATGGATGCAGGGAAGATTGGGTAAATTAGAAATGGGGGCATTTGAAATTGAGGACAGTGTGCAAAGAGGACTGAGTGTGAATTGAAAATCTTGGGAGAGTCCATCCGTACAGGAAGGGTGTTTGAAAAATTCCAATTCGAAAAGCAAAAAAGATTGGAATTTGAACTTTAGTTATATTTTATGAGATAGTCGTAGTAGAAAGTTCGATTACATGCTGTTTACATACTGTTTCCATGCTTTTATAATACATTTTTACTCTAAAATAATCTTCTTATTAAATTTCTAAAGAAAGTATAATGACAATTTAATATAGTTGATTGAAACATTGAAAACATTGTTAAAAAATTTAATCGTTGACTTAATTTTCAACTGTTACAATTAAGTGTTCAAAGTAAATATTATATGAACACATAAAACTCAACAAAGCAAAAAAAGAATTAATTTTAAAGACTATATTTGTACATTATCCACTAAATTGACAAAAATAAATAATTTTTAGTTTAGTTTGACAATATTTACTAAAAATATAGACAATAAAAATTATGATAATAAGTAAAATTTTAAAGCTGCCTTGACACGCTATACTACAGACACGCCATAAACGCAAGGATTATTTTTGTTAAAAGTTAATAACAACAAAAGTGAAAACTAACCAATAAAAAAAGAGAACATAGTCGTCGAAAGTATAGAAAGAAAGATTTTTATTCAAAGAAATACACATATTTAAAGTGATTAAGTAAAATGGCGCAAAAAAATAATGAACGAACTGGAAAAAACAAAGAACTGCATTTGGTAAATTGCCATTTGATGAGAGAATATGTATGGGGGAATGAAATTGTCGATTGCGGGTAAAGGATGGTAGTGCAACTTTGGTTTGAAAATTGTCTTGGAGTGTGGGGATGGGGGGAAAAAAGGGGCCAATTGGAAGTGGAAGAGGGATGGGGGTCAATTGTGAATTGGAAATTGGCATGGGGGAAAATGAGTGGGGGGAAGAAAGGGCAAATTTGGAGAGGGGTCAACTCGAAATGTGAATGGGCAATTGTGATTTGAAAATTGCCATGGGGGAAAATGAGTGGGAGGAAGGATTGAGGCCAATTGGGAAGAAAGGGGGGCCAACTAACTCAACCAACAGCGATTTAGATTTGGGATTTACCATTATTGTTGGTGGGGAAGGATGGGTAAATTGGAAATGGGAAGGGATATTGAAAACTGTAAGGACAGTGTATGAAAAGGACAGAGTAATTTGAATTGAGGAAATTAAGAAAATACAAGAAGAGTGTTAGAGGGATTCAAATTTTAAAAGTAGAAGATTAAAAGTTGACCTTCAATTATATTTTATGAGATGGAGGTAGTAGTAAGATTGACGACATACTGTTCACGGAATATTTCTATATTTTCATAGTCGAACCTCAGTCAAAAATAGTCTTTTTTAAACTTAATAAAACTATGCTAACAAAATACTATAGTTAAAAGCATTGAAAAAATAAAAAAATTTATTGCCGCCTTGATTTTCAACGCTTATATGTCAATGTTTCAAAGTAAATTCTATTTCGACACAATAAATTGAATAGAGTAAAAAAAATTTATTAAAAAAAAAAATATTAAAGTTGCTACTTAATGGACAAGAGAAGATAATTTTTTGTTTCAAAATAGTTACTAGAAACCACAGATGCAAAAATAATTAACTAGAATTAATCGCAACATAAACAAAAATGATTAGAATCATACAATTACCGGAAAATTTAATTTTTAACCATCAGTAAATTGCAAAATAGATACCAATCTATGTGAGCGATAAGACACAATTTTGAATGATACACAAAAAGAAGTTGCATTTAAGGGATTAAAGATGTCCAAAAAAAATTAAGTAGGATACAGTTTAGAAATCAAAATAATAGAAATAAACCGAGAAAACCAAAAATTGCAATAACTTTACTTTTTCAAAAGTAGAGTAATTGTGTAATGTCACGAAGGTCAATTTTCTTTTGTTATGTTTATTAAGTTTTATTTAGTTATATTAAGTTATATTAGGGTTTATTAAGTTTTATGGGGGAACGCAATGGTCGATTGCGGGTAAAGGATGATAGTGCAACTTTGGTTTGAAAATTGTCTTGGAGGGAATGGGGAAAAAAGGGGCCAATTGAAAGTGGAAGAGGGATGGGGGTCAATTGTGAATTGGAAAATGTGCATGGGGGAAAATGAGTGAGGGGAAGAATGGGGGCCAAATTGGAAATGGGGCAACTCGAAATGTGGATGGGCAATTGTGATTTGAAAAATGCCATGGGGGAAAATGAGTGGGAGGGGAGGAAGGATTGGGGCCAAATTGAAAATGGGTCAATTCGAAATGTGGATAGGCAATTGTGATTTTGAAATTGCCATGGGGAAAATGAG